AGATTACCACAACTTTTTATATTATATGGTAGAGAAGATTTGTAGCTCAGGTGGATGATTTTGAGGTGGTTGTGTTATGTGAGCTGGATAGTTAATTTGCGAAGCTTTCATCGCCCTACTAGGCGACATTCTCAGCGCATTCTACTTCAATTTCTTGAAGTGAGCTTTTAGATTTCTTTACGAGTTTTTTAATCATCTCTCCTGGTAGGTGACCTTGGACGTGATTGGTTGATTTTGTGTGTTTTCACACCTTCTTGTATTGGAACTGATTGTTTCTTTGACTTGAACTTTGACCCTTTGTGTGTGTGAGATTTCCTTCTTATCGGTTGATAAATTTTATCTATCTCTATATGTCTATTGATTGATGATTCACTGGAATGCCAAGCTTCTAAAAATTCTCTAGCATTCTTGTTGTTTCCTTTCTCTAATATTTGAACGTTGGTTAGCCAGTCGAATTGATGTCCGTGACTGTCTGTGTGTAGTGATATGAGGGAGTGGATATCATGTCTTTTCACAGCTAGCTTATGTTCGTGGATACGAAGACGAAGGGGACGTCCACTTTGACCAATGTAGTGTTTTTCGCAGTTATTACAATTTATTTTGTAGATGATGTTGGTTTTATCTTCTTTCACTGTTGAGTCTTTTGGTTGACATAGAATTGAGTGAAGCGACTTTGTTGGTTTGTGTACGACGTCAATTCCTACAGGTTTGAAGAGTCTTGTAGTGATTTCTGAGATATCCTTTATATATGGTAAGGCGATTTTCCTTGTGTTTTCCTTGGGGGCTTTCAGTTTGATAGGTTGGCTTGAGGGACCGAAACCGTAATATCGTAGTCTGAACGTAGGGGACCAGTTGTCCAGTTCTTCTGTTTAGCTTATCAAACTTCTGCTAGTCACTCATAGACCCAAATTATTCCATTGATAGTAAAAATGCATTTTGATATGATAGAATCTGTGGTACTACCAAAACAATAATAGTAAGACATTAAAAACGCGAAACTACCTCAACAATGTATTTAATTAGCTATAAAGATTAAGAGTTTCTCCAGGACTGTACAAAACCTCTACAACAGCATTAATTAATGAAAAATCAACTGTAAGAAGTACCTCAGAATCAAGCAGAACACTTACAACAAAGTGGAATCAAAACTCTTCCGGCAAGAATCAAATACACCAAACACTTCCCACAGACTGTCCAATGTCAAAATAACCTTGACAGTACTCAAGTAAATTCACAGTCGTAAAACAACACATTATCAATAGCATCACACAACCACAAGGAGAAGCGTTGAATAAATCGACTGGCAGTATGCAAACTCTAGGACAAAGATGTACAGCCTAGGGGAAAATAGGATAAAAATTTAAAAAGTTAGTTGAAATATCCAAATATGCATCAGAATTGTAAACTAATGATTCACAAGGGATTTTCCAAACAGTTATCATGTTACAGTTAGCTTTAAGATGTAACAAATAAATATTAACTAATATTTCTGCAAAAATTTACCCTATCAATTTGAGTAGCGTAATATCCTGCCAAGTTAATCGGGTCTTTTCTTTAGTGTATGGCGAACAGTAACTAGAAGTAGTTGTGCGACAATAACATTCTATTTGGTCACTTCATAAATATGAGGCCTTACTTTTCATTGTTCCACACATAAAAGAAGGCTAGTGAGTCATTTTGGTAGTAAATAACAGTAGAACCCAGGATATGGCCTTCATTCTCCTCGAGCTTTCGTAGTTGGATATGGCTTCATACCATTGAATGGTGATATCCTCACCTGGACGAACATCATTCCTGTAACACAGAGACCTAGTGAATTATGTATGTATATTTGCGTACAGTTAATTATCTCATAAAGTCCTACTGGTAACGAATTAGTGAGCTAGATGGTTAGATATTTTTTATCTGTTCGAAAACTTGCCAAAGATCTGTAGCTATAATAAATAGTCTGTAAAAACTGAAATTAGTAAAGATAAGTAAGGTCAGCAATGAAATACTATTATTATTCTCTTGGGTTCCGAGTGGAACATACCGCCTCAGCAGCAGACCTCCACTTTCTTCTTTTTTCCGCTGCTCCCTTCAGCAGGGTCCAGGATTGACCATAATCTTTCATTTCTCCCTCCAAACACGATCTCCTCCATGTCACTCTCATATCGACAACCCACTCTTCACTTCCCGTTGGCATTCCACTCAAGCAATGGCCTGAGTTGAGTGCGATGTCATTCGACGGTCTCCTCAATGTATGCCTGATCAATCTTCATTTTATCCTACATATTCGTTCAGCCATTGGTTCTTGGTTGGTCTGTTCCCAGACAGAGTTTCTTCTCGCTGATTCTTTCTGCCCAACCGGTCACTTGATCTTCAGTATGCAGCCAGCCAGCCAGTGAAGATTGCAGCTATTGATAAAAGTATGTAGTAGCTTGTTGGAAATCCTCTTCGTGACACTCAGTGCTAATTTCTGACCAGTATAGAAAAAGTGACTGACTGACTGACTTCACATATGTGTTCAAAATCCTAATATTGTTCTTAAAACTCGTTTCAGGGTGATGAAAGTGTATCTTGCCTTTCAGATTCTCACTGGCTGGCATTGACATCAACTGTTCCGGCCGCCTGCGTTAGTAACGGTGGTTCTTAGATAAATGAATGAATGAAATCGATATGATTATGAACAATAATTTCTGCTAGAAACGTCACCCAGTTGTTAATACTGCATCTCACTGTGTGATTATTAAAATAAACTTATCGAATATGAAGTTATCTTTGTCAAATCTCTCCTTTTGATGGTGATTGGGGTGTTGGTTGTTGTCGATTGTTTGGTTATCTTAATCACCTCCGTCTTCTCTATTTTCAACCGGAGTCGTGTTTTCACTGCCAGCCTCTTCAGCCCACTTTGTTGGTTTTTGCCAGCAGGTCTTTGGGTCTGCATGGCATTAAACATAAATCATTCACACATGAAATCTAGACCTCCCACAGTCTTCTTATCGGTCAGTGCAGCGTATTCCTGTCTTCTCACTCCCAAAAGTCTTCGGCATAATCCAGTCCACCAGAATTAGGAATATCATCGGTGACAGTAGTGGATGGCCTTGTCTTACTCTTGAATCCACTGAAAAGGCTTCAGATACTTTTATCAAAATATGTATAAATTTAGAAAGATACATCTCTCTCTTCAATATTTCATCTGCTAACAGGTTTTTATCACCTGCCTAAAGTTAGACATAAATGAACTTAATGAACATTATCTGATTTTGTACTTTCTGTTTTCAACTAGAATAGTAAGCTGCCAATACCAGTTATACTTAATTAGTAAAATAAAACTACATAACTTTACTGTTACTTTCTATGGTGAAAAAAAATTGTACAAGGGAACACACACACACACCTACGCATTCACGTACGAGTTGTCCTTAAAATATCAGTTCAACATGCATGAAAAGGTTACTGACTAAAATAAGGTCATAAGTTGTTGTTTGTTTAAAGGGAAGTATACAACAGAACTAAGTGAACAGATAAATAAAAGTGTAGAAATAGTTTACAAGTCCTAGCAATTTAAATGATTGTTAATTGAATCTAAAACACCGTGTGTTACATAATCAGTTTTAAATGATTATCTGAGAAAAAGTTGAGGATGGAAAAGAGAAGAAATTTCATTTCATCATGAGGTGACATCGGTTAGAGAGACAGGGGAGTACTACCAGACAGCTTTTTCATCCTAGTGCTCAGGACTCTTCAGTAGTGCACACCCACCGCCAGTACTCGAACCCAGGACCTTTTGGTTACAAGGCTAGCGAGCTCGTAGACCAGTGAACCACTGGGAACCCTTCGAATAGCCAGCCCATGAATTCCAATTTCTGTCGATTCACAACATAGCGTGACCACTGGCGACTGTCTTCTTCGGTGAGTGACTTTCCTCACCTTTTTACTTGCTGTACCCTACTGGTCACTACCTGAATTGGGCCAGTCGCCAGCGAGCATCTCATTGGTATTCAGGTATTAGTAGGCATTAATTTTGCAAGCAAAATATTTAGCTGACCTGAGCCCTAGCATTATCTACACACCCTTCTGAGAGCCTTTATATGTTTCCCTTAACAAATTTCTAATTCACCTGATGGTATAATCTATGACTTTTTCCCTTGTCCCTTCATTTGACAACATATGCGGTTGAATTTCATGAGTCATTTCCTACTCAAAGCTAAAATTTCCAGAAATGTAACTGTTTTATCTTTTCTTTTGACTATAGAATGAAGCATCTATTCCAACGGAGTTCTATGCCATATGAAATAACAGGGCTTATTTGTTGAATCTCTAGTGTTTCGATTTATGAATGTTGTGTGTTATTTTTCATCAAATTCATTTTGCGAATTCATAAAACATACAGTGTGAATTTCGATGGTTAACTCTTAGAATCTAAGTTCTAAATCTCAGTTAGCGGTCATCTGTGAATTGTTTTGTCAAATTTGTAATAATGCAGATACAGGTGGATATCTGTTTGTGTCTTACTCTTACATATTTAATGAATACATTTCAGTTATGTCAGTGAGTTACTTCAATCCTCAAAGATTAAGTGTGCTATGAAATAAAAAAGGACTAAATATACCCTTACAGTTCCCTGTCAAAAGACTGATCTTATCAGTCACTTCAAACCTTTAGTCGAAAACTGTTCATTCTTGGTTAGTATTAACTTCAAACTGTACAAAACTAACTTCGTGAAGAATGCTTCTTCAATGTTTTCTATCCATTTGTTTTCAAGATTTGTTACGTTTGCAGTGAGTCACTTTTTAAAACTTTTCATCCATCCTTATTCTGATGATGACAGTAATTATATGTAGTCTGCCAAAAAAAACACTTTCAAGACCGCTTTTTACCAGCACAAGGCAGTAAAAGCAGATGAATAACCTTAAATAGATGAAACAATATTATTCTATTGTTCCTCTCATTGACCGGTTCAATCTACGATAATCTTTATGTTATTTTCTGATTATTATTCTTCTCTTCCTCTACAGCTAACCAGAAGTCAGCAGCTAAAGCTCCAGTATTTGAAAAACCGAAGATTTATCAAGATAACAGAGGACGTGATGTAGTCTTGGAATGCCGTTGTAACGCAGATCCTGCTCCTACATTCACTTGGTCTCAAGGTACTAGAGAATTAAAAGCAAAAATTGGCAAATTTGAAATGCAAGACAGTAAAGATGGTGCCATATTCGTTAATAAACTTAAAATTATTGTAAGTGATATTTCAGAATATTTACACTTAGTATTTTAGAATGTTACACTACACATCTCTGTATTTGTCTGGCAAGCAAGCTTATTCAACTTAGTTACTTTAGGCAGAAAAATCACTTCATTGCCAAAATAACGCTTACCTATAATCATCTAACAATATGCATTTCGATCACATCCACTAAGTTTCTAACATTACATGTAGTAAATAATGACAGTCTGAATTACCATAGTAATACTAAATGAAAAAGACAAACCAATGGAAAGTTAATGTAGTGTATAAAAGTGTTGGTTTGCAGCGATCTGACGGGTTTTAAACCAGATCATAAGCTGATAAGAGTTAGAAAACCACTGAAAATCAGAGATCAGCCGACAGATGTTTCGGCCTAGTTCCAAACTTTTCAGTAGTGCTCATCCACGACCTCATCAAGGATCGAATCAACGACCTTCAGGATATGAGGCTGACTCGTTGACCATTCAGACACTAGGACGAATCCAGTGGCCAGTTTATGAATTCTAACCTCTGCCAGTTCATGATCTGTCGACTCCGCTAACTGATTTCATCACTAATATATGAATAGAGCTTAGGCACTTTGGTAGAGCAGAATTCTATCATGAAAAAAGTTTTATTTTGATAAAGTCTTGCAGTGGTATACAATAAAATTTACTGATTTCATCACATACACATAACTTGGTAGGGATCATTGGTCAGGACTTCTCACCAAATCTACCACAGTAGTAGTCCACAGCTGCTAAAGAAGTAGAAATACTAAAAAATAGCCCTTATTTTATCGTAAGTACTTTACTGGCATGCGATAAATGAGGGCATTCTGAACTCCATCCCTCCCTGTCTGCTAAAACAAACCATTCACCTTGTATTTTTATAGAGTATTCGACGCGCTAGTAGTTAGACTGTATATTTTGAATGACATCTCTCCATCTACACTAAGATATGGCGAATAAATCTGAATACGAGTATGCGTCAGATTCTTGTGCTAATAAGAAACTTTAAAAAACGTGCTGATAACCACAATAAAACAACTGATAACAATCTTCAGCCAATTTACTTGTTTTTGACCACCAACAATGATTTACTTGCAACTATCCCAATTCCTTGAAATGATGTTAATTACGGTTTTACTTGGTTGTTAGTAATTTTTTAGTGAATACTATGTATAATTCATCACATGATTTTTTTAAAGTATTCTACTAGTTATGCTTGAATTCCTGTTTAGCTCCAACTGTGATTCGTACTGCAATTGAACTTATCGTCCTCACTTTCTCTCCTAGATACCACCCACATATTATAACTGGAATAAAAATTAAGAAGTACCAAAATATTCTAAAAGAAGACAGTGTTCAATTTAATTATGTAAACTTTAACAATGAATAAATAGAAGTATAAAAAACAGTGAATATAAATCTTGTGTCATTCATTCATACGTTGATGGTAAGGAACCAAAATGTCATACCGACTGGAAACTGTTAAACTCCAAGTAACGATAACGTCCCCAAACCCAGTTTCTAGACTCGTTCTATTATTTGCTATACCAAAGCTACCGTAAGAATATAAGACAAGGGTCAGGCAATAGATCGTTTATTGAGAAAATAAAGAGATATTTACAGATTTTTATGTACATTATTACTAGCATTATTGTTAGCAGAGAAGCAACGTCTTCTGATTGGTTGTTTCCCTGCTGAAGGTTATTCCGTACTGCTTGTGACCGTTTCCTAGAAAGTTAGACCATATATCTATGAATCGTATTTGGACACGTTAAGTCTTCTCTGATTGGTTGATGAGTTCCTCAGGGTTAAGCTTAGTTATTCTTTTTTCTCATGACCCAATTCGGTACGCAACATTGATGTAAATTGCTGTCTACAATTTTTGGCTTGCAGCTAGCTTTCACCATACTACTACTGGCTTAGAGATGGTTTTAAGTGATTATAACTTTGGAATGATGGAGAATATTGTCAATGTGTATTTTAACATTCGATGTCTGTATCACCACTACGAACTTAAGGGTTCACGTGAGGTGTATTCAATGGAAAAGGTTCAAGCGATTCTTCTAATGAACAACTTCTGTATACGCATACGAAGAGCACATCGTAAAGTAGAATATAATACTTGTAACTTGAAGGTAATATATTTAGGTAAATATATTGTAACATGGCACAAATAGTCCGTTAACTTTTCTAAAACTAAGGTTTGTGCAGAAATCAACGTTAAATTGTGAAAACAATCTTTGTTATCAAAAAGACATCTGAATTTACCATATTTGAAATTCAAATTTATGGCGGCCTATTTAAATCATTGGGCTACCTAAATTTTCTACCCATCAAAATACATTGTATTTACTTCGTTTCATATTGCTTTATTCAACTAATTACCACAATAAGTTGTGTTCTATACTCGTATGCAGTATCAAATAAGTTTCTACCTAATCACCAAGAATTTTCCTAGGGACTGGAGGGACAGCACTACAAATGTAACGAGATTGCTTCTGACGACATATTACCGGTCATGAACAAGGGGTAAATACCTTGCCTATAAAACTAGCTGAAAATTCTGTATTGTGTTTAAATACGCTTTTTCTGAATAAACTGTTGTTGTTTAATATCCATTCACAATATCAAAAGGTACAATTTGAAAGTAGAAGTTCAGATTTGAAATTTCTCGACAGTTACCTGCAAATTTACAACTCTGATTTGTAAAATATTTTTGTCAAATGAAAATTGATGTTTTCAGAGTTTCACAATCGAAAGAAAATGTAAATAATTTAATAATATTTGTTTATTTAGAGTTTTATGAATGCTGATGCTGGAACCTACAAATTAACTGCTAAGAATACTGCAGGTGAAGCAGTAGCAGTCATGGAGATAAAAATGTAAGTAAATGTTCTGATTAAATCTTTTTGTTACAACTACTAATAATAAGAACTGAGTCGGTGGCACAGTAGTAGAATGCTCGTCAACCACACCTCATATGGTTCGGGGTTCAATCCCCAGCCGACGCACTCCTCTTTTACCTCGCTAAACCAGTAATTCGACTGGTAAAGAGGGAAGGCTGGGCATGAGGCTAACAACCCCATCCCGAAAAATAAACACCATTGCTACCGAAACTTCAAGCCTTTAGCTTGAAGCCTTACATCCTACTTGGAGTGTGAAGGAATAAAATTTTTTCTGAATGTTAAAGAACTCCACAAATAAGGTAAATCACAAATTATGTATGGATTTGTTGAATTACATATGTACCTGAGAATTCCAGAAGGAATAGTCAAAAGCAACATTACTTAAGTAAGTAGGGTTTGTTTATGTGGATATTTTATCTGATAAAGTAACACAAGTGTGTATACTTCTAAACCGAGTTTAACCTCAGAGTATAGCGACTCATGTCAGATTAACTCTGGTAAGCAGTTTATTGTGTATTCAGAGAGAGAAGAATGAGACTACTCATTTTTAAAAACTTTTCAGACTGACAAGTGTAGGTAAGACAGCATCTTCATAAATTCCTCTTCATTTAGTTCCTCATCATCGCCTCTACAATAATATATAGATTTTACATCAAAATTTTATAAATCAAGAGGTCATTTTAGTTAATCAGTGTTAGGTATTGGAGGGGTGGAATTATGAGGTTAAAGGTCATCAAAACTATAATCTGATAGATGTTAGTAACGAGATATCTTAGTTTTAAAGGGGGGGGGTGAAAACTGATTAATTACGGAATTCAAGATAAGTTAATTCAAATGCGTTAGCGACAAGTTATCACATATCCAAGAGATTTTTAAAATAATCACGACTAAGAGGAGTAAGATGGCTCAGAGGAATTACATAAAATACAAACAAGTGAACAGAATTAGCTAGAATTTCAGGATTTCATCATCAACTGACATCGGTTAGAGAACCATTAGAAAACTTGGGAGTACTGCCAGACAACCGTTTTGTCCTGGTCTGGGACTCTTCATCAGTATACACCCACCGCCAGGGTTCGAATTCAGGACCCTCTGATTACAAAGCGAGTTCGTAAAACATTAAGCCACTGGGATCCAAACCAGTGGTCATCCCATGAATTCCAACTACTGATAACTCATGATATTGCGCGATCACTAGCCAATGTCTTCGCCTAGTATTTGTCCTCACACCCTACCTGCTGTACCCACTGATCACGACTTCCCACTAGAACCGAGGTAGCTACCTACCTGAATGGAGCCAGTTGCTAGAAAATATCAGATTGATATTCAAGTGTTGGTTTTCAGGGATCTGATTGGTTTCATCATGAACTGAACCGTTAAAAAATAACTTAGTCAAAAGATAGTTACAAGGGGACGGGAAAAACGCATTTTTAAAAAACTTAATACACATTATGCAGTTGGCCATAGGGCTGCAAAAATTTGTTTTGAACACACAAATTTGGCTTGTTCAAATGAATTCCGATTGACTCTGCTATATGTAAAAACTGTACTCGTAGACCATGTGAGAGATTGGGTGATATACGATAAATAACTTTAAAAGCCTTGTTAGAGTCGACGTGATGTCCGGTGTCTACGAGATGAGCTAGTGTTGAGATGCGTGTAGCAGATTTATTCGGACCTTTTCCAAGCCAAGATTGTGGGGTGTTCAGGAATTCGACGATGAACTTGCCTGATCGTACATCCACTGTAACTAGCTCTGCACGAGCAGTTAAACTGGTAAATACACATGTCAAAGGCGAAACAGGACAGTTTGTCTTTATTTCTTGAGCTAAGTATTGCTTGGCTAGTCAATATACAGCATAACTTAGCTGCTGTGAAGTCCCTTCTGAAGGCCCTTGTCAGACATTGTGAGTGTAGAGTCTATGATGGGGGACTAATTGAAAAGCACTAAATTTCTTCGCTCAGTCTGTCGTTTTTTCTAAATGCATAAATGGGAAGTGAGAAATTATCTTCATAAGTTTCAACTGGGCATCTATAGCTGATGAAAGATATGAAATGGAGAATGATTATACTTTTGTTTCTTTATTTTGAATATGAAATCTTGTCTTCTAATAAATTATATCCTATAAGAATATTTTTATTCATAAAAAAATTATTTTGATTTTAAAGGCCAAAAATTGTTGGGATGCCGAATGTACGATTTGAGGATAACAATCAACGGGCTGTCTTGGAAGTTCGTGTTGACTCTGGAAATCCTCCGGAGGCGAAATGGTCACACTCTGGAAAAGCTATCAATATTGAAGGACGTTACAGTTCAGAATCTACTTTAGAAGGCAAAAATCATGTGGTGTATTTAACAATTAATGATGTAAGGCTTGTGAATAGTGTATATTATTAACTCATATATTAAGTCTGGATTCAAATTTCTAGTGAACTAATCATAATTTTATTCTTTGGTCTCACCGAGTTGTTCATTTGCGAAAGTGACTTCATCAGTTTCATTTCAGTAATCACCCCTGTTGCATTATTAACTTTTTAAGCCAAATATTTACCCCAATATTCTTACTTGTTTTATTCCAGAATCCCGTGAAAGCTGTCAAACACCCAAGAGCTGTTTAGTCGTCGTGTAACGTCACGAGATAAGGAAATAGGTAACAGATATGTATTTAGGAAAAACATCACATTTATACATTTTAGCCACATTTAAATCCTGCCAGGTCATCGGACAATAAATGGTTCTGATTGGTTGGTAATTGGCCCATGGTTAAACAATGAGGCAAAAAGTTGTCCGACGAGGTCGTAAACTAGATCCAAATCTGAGGAGTAACCTCTTCTACCTCTGCTGAAGCCTTTGACTAAAAGTGTTCGTTTCAATTTTTTCCGCTTCTTATCAGTCTGTATATGTGTACTATTTAAAAATCTTGTCAGTAGCACATGCTACACTAGTTGAGGATCCCAGTATAACTGTTTGTCTCAGTGGTCCCTCCCCCCTCCTCGGTTAATGTCCATTCATGGTGAAGCTACCACCTTATTGGAAATTTTAACAGTTTACAAAAATTGAGCACTGTTCCCACATCAATAAAAGCATCAGTTAAAGTGTTTTCGTTCATATTTTTTTATCAGTAGAGATAATTTAACGCTTTGACGGTGAACTAATGCAAAGATTCTACTATGAATTGACGGCAAAAACTATTGCTCTACTAATGCCACTACTTAGTCTGTGCATTTACTCCTATTGCATACATAAAATCTAAAACTGACATTTTGAGAAAAACACTTATACAAGGTTGTGTTGCTGAGTTTTATAAGTTTCGTTTTCACAGTGACTCAAAAAGTAGTCGATAGAAACTATTCCTGAACTTTTGAATTAAAACTCACCTCTAAAATAATCACTCATATAGATGAGCAACAAGAATAAGTCACCAATAATCGTCTAAAAACCAGAGTACTAGAGCGAAAAATATAACTTAGCCGAAAAGATCCTGGACACTGTTCTGATTTGTTTATTGGATATAACACCCAGTGAAACAGTATTATTTACTGAACAGTGTTTCGAATACAATTTATTGTTCATAATCAAATCAGCTGATATCACATGTTAGGGTCTGTAAGATAGCTGATCTGTTCCAAAATAGTCCTGTCACCGTCTACAAACAAGACAAGAATATATCAAGAGCGAATATACTGTTGAAAAACTCATAACCACAGCAGCATACCTCCTGAATTCTGGACAATTCCTAATGACTTTCAACCAATTTCGGTTTGTTGTTGTGAAGAAATTTCGACTCATAGCCAAAAGTTTCAACTATGACTGAAAGTCAAATTGTGCTATTATATGACTTGATTCTACACACTTCAGTTAATATTCAGAAAGTTAATATGATTCCACTTGCCTAAACAGTCATTTCAAAACTTGTGTTCGAATATAACTTCAAAACCCGACTGATATACCCAAATACATGAGAAATTGCCTTTGCAGTATTACTGACCGCTTTCACACTAGTATTAAATTGATGTAAATTGGAAGGAACTAGGAATTATGGTAGAGTCCTTACCAACCATCAGAATAATTTATTCTATATTTAAGACAGTTTAGGATTTTCAAATATTTCCATACAGGATAGGTATAATTCCTTACATAAATAGAATACACAGATTCAATATGTGTATTACGGCGATATTTACTGGAACCAGCGGTAAATCAAGCAAATGAGCTACTCATCTCCTGAGTTGGAGAATTATCCTGTAAACTTCACTTACAATACATTCGGTAATTCAGAATATTCTATAATTCCCTTCGATAAGGTAGAAATAAATTCCGCCTATTTTAAAATGTAATTAACCTAGAAGACTATTTTCTCATTTTAGCTATTTGTTTCTTTCTTGATTGGACCTGGCTCTCGGGATAGTTTCTGTCTTACTTAGTACTTATACTAGACTTCTTAAAATGATTGTTACCCTCAATAAGATATGTATCCCTTAACCCAAACCCTTTGGCTTATGACAAAGTGGTTCCTTTTTAACAATATATTCAATGGGGTAATCTATGAACCACTCTGTTCACTTTGCACTCTTGAAAGAAGTATGCATTGAAGAACAACTTTAATCAAAAACGTCATGAACTGATTAGAAATAAACACTCAAATTTACTTACAAATTAGAGAAAGAACGAGAATCGCTGATTTTAAATCTACTTAAATATATTTAATTCAATTTTAGATTTTTCCATCGATTGATTGGACTGAAGTGCTCGGTCTCGACGGGAAAATCAAAAATTGAATTAAATAATTAATATGACCCGTTGCACAAGAGGTGGCTCTCGAGGATCAAATGGTCTAGTGGATAACGCTTTGGCGTTTGAAACCATGGGCATTGGGTTAGAGCCTCAGCGTGAACATAATCACTCACTGGGGAATGTAGGCACATCCAGCTGACGAGTCTCAAATAGAACGAAATATGCTAGTCACCGTCCACTAATTAACCACTTAAATGTAGACTACGATGAAATATAGGTTGAAATGTAGTTACGCCCTGTTTAAAACCTTTCTTTCTTTTGCTCCACTTGATTAAATATGAAAAACCGTAATACTGTGAGACAGAATCGATGAATAAAAGTTGATAAATGCTTTGCATTACTCGTAAGCCTTCTGCGTTGCCTAGACAAAAAGAAAAGTGACGGTCTTCTTCATCTATCTAGAAGATTTGAACAAAATTCAAGGAAAAATAGTTTTACTTAATGAAAAATCAAGTTAAACAGTTTTAACAAATGAAATGCTTTATTTTTAATATTCTATTCCTTAAGATTTTTTTGTTTTACCTTCCTATTAGCTAACCGAAAAAGATTCTGGTTTATATGAATGTGAAATATTCAATGGTGTCGGTAAGGTACAACAGTCAATTACACTGAAAGTACCTGGTAAGTCAATTTTACCAATTTCATTATTTCATCATAGTATAATAATGTTGAGAACAGTTTGCATATTTCATCCTTATTGCTCAAAAAACTTACGAAGTTGTAAAGTTGTCGTATATTTGCTTTTTTTTATGCTAACAACATCTAAATCAATAAACTTAACCCCCTTAATGGATCAACATAATATCCTGTCGAAATATTATTGATACTGACGAATAACTAGAGTATTTCAGCTATACTTTTATATGTAAATCTACCAACAAAGGTATAAGATGAAATTTGAAAAGTACATATAAACATAAAATCTCTAGCTCTATAATTTTGTACACATTCAACCTAAGAAAGCTAACAAAATGATCTGGTAAACCGTCATGTACAACAGATGACTCTCGGCAGCTTTATATTAAGGTTCATACTTCATACTATTCGTTACTCAGGTGGTTTACACAAAGTAGCCTCTAACATTATTCGAATATAGACAGGACACTGTGTGAGATGGATCTCAGGACTGTTGGCTTTAGGGAAATTTGTTTCCCAACCACACGATTCAAACCCAATATTGTGATTACAAACCTCCACCGATTTTATAGCATACTGAGACAATCGTAATCAATTTTTCAGTGAAGTTGATGATTGGTTATAGAATTTTAGGCTTTATATAATGATAGTTATTTTGTCACTCATGTTTATTTACATTTTTTTTCACACCACACTACGTAGTTTTTAAATCCATCCTCAAACTAGAGGTAATGAAAATATAAGAAAAGGTCTGTTAGCTTGCAAGAAGTCTTCACTGTAAATACGATTAACACAGCATTTATACTGGTAATAATATCAATAAGAATATGAACGTGAAGCTAAAATTAATTATTTTGGATCTATCTGATGAGGTGCAAGGAAGATTTGTGTATACAGAGGATGCTCAGGGTCTAATAAAATCATATTCACTAATTTTTTGAGAGTTGGTTTGTAAGGATTAGATTTGTTTTTACAAGTCTGACCAGGGGTTGATGCCATTTAAAGAGCCATTGAAAACCAGGAAGTGCTGGACAGCCAGCTGTTTCATCCTAGTTTGGGACCCATAGGAAGTATACACCCACTGGGTTTCGAACTCAGGACCTTCCGGCTACAAGGGAAGCTAGTCTACCATTCAACCACTGGAAACTGATTTAATGGCTCATGAATACTAACTTCTACCGATTCGTGATTTAGCGAGACCATCAACCAATGTCATCGGTGGGAAATCCATCCTCACACTTGACTAGATAGACCTCACTGGTCACGACTTCTCAATTGAACTCCAAGAAACTCTGTCTTGTAGCAAGTCACTAGCAAACATCAGATTAATTTTCAATATTTGGTTTGTAAGAATTAGATTTTTTAGGGGTTTGACCAGTGGCTGAATGATATCTGAGCTTGCCTTTTAACCGGAAGGTCCTGGGTTTGAACCCCAGTGGGTGCGTGCTGCCGATGATTTCCAAACTAGAATGAAGCAGCTATCCAGTACTCCCTAGTTTTCAATGGTTCTCTAACTGATATCAATCCGTGGTCAAACTCGTAAAAACTAGTTTTTTGCATGAGTTCAAGTGTCTATGTACAATAGTATTAACAAGTTTGTTTAGAGGCACTATACTCGCCCTACCGACAGCTTTTAGTGAACCTCGCCGTGTAACAAAGTCTTTCTATAGTAGCCCAGGGAAGATTAAGATGGGAGAACAATAAAAAAGATTAAGCGGAATACAAGAATTAACAAACTGCAAAAGTACAAACCGGGTGAAACCAAATTTCCTTATGTCTCTCATAAAATGTTAAACGAAACACCTTTCTAGAAATTAACATGACGTTGGAAGACCAGGAGAGATCAGACGAAAGATATTCGACTTAGTTTCAACTCCAGGGTAAACTACTATACACGAAACATGGTCACAGGCCAGTTCAAATAAATCATACTTGTGTCTTAAAGCGAAATCAACAATCTGACATTTGGAGGAATTTAGCTTTTGACTGTTTGACAAGGCCACTGACACTGATTTATGATAAAAAGCTTTTCATTTCGAAGCAACGTGACTAAGATGTGACCGACATAAAAACAGTTGTACCATCGGCATACTTAGTAAAATTGGCTTCATCAGGATGAGGCAAACTATTTAAGAAGAAAGAAAACAAAAAATGAGAAAGAATAGCTCCTCGAAGGGTAAGGCCTACAGCTTCCTACCAGCAAAGTAAGAATGCAACCATCTACTAATCGAGCACTCTCTTTGTGACACAGTAAAGTTGTTTCACTTAAGAGGTCTAGATACATAATCAATGACAGATGTGTAATCTAGACAGTATTTCAGAGAGTTTTAACTTATTATACATAAAACATATCTGTGGATCAGTGTTAGAATTTTCAGAAACTATGCAGGAGGTCCAGGTTTAACTTCCATCTGAGACACTCCTAAAATCCTCGCCTAGTTTACTAGCCAATAGTTGACCCGCTAAAGAAGTAAGTTTGAGTGTTGGACCGGCAACCTCAACTTGTAAAAACAACACAACTATTGAAATTTCGGAAATAATGAAGCCCTGCATTCCACTCGGGACACAAAGGAATGGGGGGAATAGATCATAGGAAACTGTCTTTGGCGCCAAGCTTTCTCGTTTAGAGTGAGTGTTTTTAACTTAGTATATGCACAATAAAATAAAACGTTCATTTCTGTCTACATTCACGGAGGACACAGAAGAGAAATATGGCGTGTGGTGATTGGCTTCATGTGAAAAAGTTGCTTTTTTATTCTATTAAAAAAATGTTCTAGAACTGGTCATGGTTTTCATTTATATTGCATCTAAATCGATAAAATGAATTAACCTGCATCCATTAGCCTTAGCTTTTGGAATATATTCTAACTCGAAAAATGTTTGTCTTAGCATAAACAATTTGGTTTTGTGAGAAATTCATTTGCGCGCCACTTTATTTATGTAATGATTTAGCGTATCAGTGTATCAATGAGACTATATCATTTGTAATCGACTAGTTATAATGATTTTTCTGACAAAACGACTGAATATCCTTCTAAAGCTGACTTTATTAAACTGTAACCAATCATCTGCAACCTACTTAGTAAAGTAAACTATTTTTTGTGAAAAGCGCTCATCAAAACATTATGTAGTGGATAAGAATGTACGAGGATAAGTGGCCAAAAATGTAGCTGAATGTTTTTTTATTCTCTTATGTTCCCAGTGAGATTTAAAGCTTCAAGCTAGACCTTTGAAGTTTCAGTAGCGATGATACTATTTATAGAGTTGAGGTTCCTAGCCTCATGCCTGACCTTTCCTCTTTACTGGGCTTACAACTGGCTTAACAAGGTTAAAGAGTGTGTTGGCAGGGGGTGGAACCCAAGACATTTTACTTGGTTGGTCAGTGTTCCACCACTGAAGCACCGACGTTCAGATGTGTTTAAATCTAATTCAGAGTCTGCTACCCTGGACCGACGTGAAGAACCTAGAAGACATGGATTTCGCGGATGATTTATGCTTGATGTCACACAAAATCGAAGACTTACAAGCGAAAACCGACAAACTGGTCGAAGAAGCAGCCGATGAAGACAGGACTCCAAGTGAACATAGACAAGATGGAGGTTATGAAAATAACCAACCAACCAAAGAACAACAACAGCAGCAACATCCAGTGCCAATCACCATCAACGGGAGGGATTTGAAAGAGGTCACTTCATTCACTTATCTAGGGAGCATTCTCTCAACTACAGGAAGTCGGAACGGACGAGGATGTCAAATCGAGCGAGAAACACACTCATCAACCTGAAACCAATCTGTAAATCTTCGTCACTCAGCCAGCACCAGCAACAAAACTCGGTCGGATTTTCAATACAAACACGTCAAGTGAGTCAGTTCTTCTATACGGATCAGAAACTTGGAGGGCAGGTCACAAAGAATATTTCCAACAGCCTGCTGCAGACCAGACCTTTATAAACAACAGTCTTCGCTGGCTCTATACTGAAGATCAGATGGCTGGGAAGAAACAAAACAAGAAGCAATCACCAACCAATAAATATGTAGGAGAAAGTGGATATGGATTGGATACTCGCTCGCTGACGAGGCGGCTGGGTGATATGGCGCGCGCGTCAGGCCATTGCTGGAGTGGAACCAGGCCGAAAGGGAAGCGGCGAGTGGGACATCAGTGCAAGGGTGACATGGATGAGATCGTGTGAAGAGGAGTTGAAACAGTATGGACTAACTGACATGGATGCAAGTGAAAAGTACAGCAGAAGGAAGACAGAAGTGGCAAGTGGAGACGTGGAGTTGAATCACTATGTTTCACTAGGAACCCGAGGGAACAATAATAACAATATCCTATTTCTTTGGAGGAAGTGATGATATTTGTATATGAAATATGTGGAGATAAAAGGTGTTTGTAAAAATATCTTCGAGATATTCGTAGTCTATGATCAGTACAAACTCGTGTTATGAAGTATAGTGGGTGGAAATTTATCATTTAACTACAAATACACGCCATTATCTTAGTAGGTAGCCTTACCGTATCACTTAAAGAAAGTGATGAATTTGCCGCTCGGATTTTCAAGTGTGTGGAAAAGAAACAACTGTTTGCATTTCATAAACCATCCATAGAAAATCGCAAGTACCTTTGCAGTATACAAAGTTTCTTTAATTCAAGACTCAAATAATTTCTAAGTAGTCACTTCATAAAACTTTTTACCTAACTGTTTTTGTTGAGACGTCTGTTTACAGTATCCCTTAATTGCATAACACTCTTATAGCATATGCTTAAATATGATGTATTCTTGTGTGAATAAATGTACATTTTTTTATTGACTTTTAGCCAAAGATCCAAAAGCCAAGCTTCCACAATTAGTTGGATCACTGAATAGTCAAACAGCTGAAATTGGTAAGTGATAATGATTTTCTCTATAAAAAAAGACTATTTATGGTGGTCATGTTAGAGACAAATAATGTTAAATTTATCACCTTTTGAATACACATCACTGACTTAAATTTTCAGATCACCAATGCTTTAGCTATCCCCAAATGTCTTGATGTCACTCCCTTTTGAAGAGGTCTGACAGGATGTTGTACAATACTCTGAAGGATTTGTCAAATGAAGCTGAGTGTCTTGAGGTCACAAAACTTTCAATTGTCGGACAACAGATACACTTACGTTCTCCCTTTGCTAGCCAAGTTGGATAGTATTTCCAAATGCGAAACAAATGTACTTAGCTGTACACAAGCAAGTGAACTAGTATATTCATATTGATGTGGCTCAATGGCGTGGCTTGCTTTTCATATGCTGGCCGAAAAGTTTCTTGCAAAAGAATGTTATGCCTAAGCTGATAGTGAAGTATGTCTCAGTGAAAGATTTTGATCAAGCCATTTTCAGGGAATTTTCTATTCAGAACAATAATCAAATTAACCCTCAGTTTTCTCGAGGGTATAACGTCATAGTGAGCGGAAGTCAGGTTTAAGTGATAGTAATTATTGGACATTAAAAAATCCAGTTGAATAAGTTCTAATATTGTCAGAAGACATGTTTCAGCAGTATTATTATCTGTTTCAGATAGTCAGTATCATTTCATTTCATACTAGGGATCGGTACGTATTCACACAAATTTGTTTATCTTGACAAACGTTGACAGTAATTCTTACCAATATTCTTCATCTAAATCTTTACAAGTTATAAATTTTTTCCAAATAATATTGCGTAGAGAAAGAACAAACACTGGTGCAGAATAACATGAATCCATTTTATTCCGTTGATTCTCATCAGCTGCACACAACCTATAATCTTTAACAAATAAAAGTCGGAGTAAAATTTAACATAATTTTGGCTATTGACAAGTATATTATAAGAGTGTCATGGTTAAATAAAACACCAGAATGACCAGGTAACTGAAGTGTAAACGCATATATTAATATATATATATATATATATATCTTGCTGGAGAGAAGTTTCTCAGAAACTAATTGATAAGTTTGTTGTTAGGGTGGTGACAAAACAAAAATTGGTAACAATTACGTAGTTAGGTGAAAGAAGATCAAAATTTGTTGTGTTAGAGGTCAAACGAAAAGATGATGTAATACCGTAAGGTCTCTTATGTCAGTCAAACAGAAAAAAATGAGGGAGGCGATTGAAAACCTGTCAAATAATTTTCTAGGAACTTCTTTCTAGCAATATATGTATATATATATACAATCCAACTACCTGGTCATTCTGATGTATTAACTCACCATGACATTCTTGTAATATGCTTGTCGATAGACAAGATTATAGGTTGTATGCAGCTGACAAGAACCAACGGAATAAAATGGATTCGTGTTATTCTACAGTAATGTTTGTTCTTTCTCTGATCAAAATTATGAAAGAGAATCCCTGTACTAAATAACATTTCATCAACTACACAACCATTTCAGCAAAGTTAAACAATAGTGTCCCAGGGGTGCGAACGCACGAGTGACTTTCAGCTGACCAATCATAAAAATGAGGAATGTTTGCTCAAAAAAAAATATGTATATTAACAAGAAAACGCTTGAAAACTCACTAATCATGTTATCTTCCTCTGAAATGACTTAAAAATACGTCCTAGTTATATCGAGGAGTATCATTTGCTAAGTTAGACTAGTTTCTCTACATGTATTCACTGAGATGACTACAGATAAACTGTCTTAGTGAATCGTTTATCTCTCCCATCCTGCTTTCAGTCTTCCAAAAAAGACCTTGGTTGAATTGTTACGGTTTGCAGCAAAAGGATAGATGACATCATCTATCCTCTTACTGGATAAGTAGTACCATTTACCAGGAAAACGTGGATAATAAAACAAATTAAAATAAATGACATCAACTATAAATCTATCCCTAATCGTAACCATAAGCTTAATCCTGACCCATAGCATAACCTTTATCTAAACTGTAATTCTAACCCTACTGCTAATTGTAACCCTGATCCTAACCTTAACTCCAATGCTTACCTTAGCCTAATCCTAACCCTAACGAGCTATTAACACATTGTCCAAACAGTCCTTAAAAACGTGATCTGGGTGAAATTCGCTCCTACGTTGGTGAACAGCGTTGATATTTCAGTTATGTGATGATGACAGATGTCGTTAGCCAATGACTAGCATGCGTTCAAGCTCATTGCAGCGTTCACACTCCTGCGACGCTATTGTTGAACTTCGCCATCATTTCTCCTCTTATTATGAGGACAGAACAACATATGTTGTTAATCGTCAGCTTATTCCGTTCCTTGTTTTTTTTCTTTATTCGTAATGATTTAAAGATTAATTTTCTGAACACTATTCAGTGATTGCCAGAATTAAATAATGATAAGTCTGACATCATTATAATAAATCTTATGTCCTAATTTAGTTTATCAGAAACTAATAACAACAGGACTTTGATAATCTCAGGTTTTTGTTTTGCAAAGACGTATATAAATAATAACGCCGTTTGTTTTGAATATGTGTTTGCAATTTTATACTATATATATATATATATATATATATATATATATATATATATATATATATATATATATATATATATAGCATACTTATTCAAACTACCAAAGAAAGGAGACTTAAGTCAATGCAAAAACTGGCGTGGAATTATGCTCCTGTCCATCCCAAGCAAAATACTAAGCCGCATCATCCTGGAGAGAATCAAACAAGCGAACCTGGACGAAAAATGTCGACCGGAACAGGCCGGATTCAGGAGAAACAAGTCATGTGTTGATCAAATCGCCACACTACGGATCATCATTGAACAAAGCTTGGAATGGCAGTCACCTCTCTATCTCAACTTCATCGACTTTGAAAAGGCCTTCGACAGCGTCGACCGGGAGGTCATTTGGCAACTACTTCGCTACTACGGGGTCCCATCGACAATTATACATCTCATCCAACAGTTATACGACAATGCTCCATTCCAAGTAATCCACAACGGGAAACTTACGGAAGCCTTCGAAGTGAGGATACATGAAATAAATTTCATCACTGATTGATATTAAAAATGAAGAATTGCGGAAAGCCGAAGAGCATTGTACAACTATACACTTTTAGCTTGAATTTTCCTGATATCATCTACTTACAAATATATATGCGTAGAATCGATTTCGATTAATGTTCATATAATATCACAAATGACGATTCATATCCAGTGACAAGAAGGTAGAATAACAACTTTCTTATTTTGGGGAGGAAAAATAAAAGTTGTCAGTTTATTTGGAAACCAATATTACAGTTTTTTATAAGTGACAGTGGCCTTTCATATATAAAATATTGGAAAAAGGACTACCACTTGACTTAAGTGACTTCCAACTACTCGTATAAGACAGTGAGTAGTATGCAATTTCCTTATTACTAGATGGTTGGAGGTAATTGGCAGGATTCCCTAGACCTAAGTTTTGTGTTTGTTGGTACTCGTTAGCAAGACGTATCTGGAGTCTTGAAGGAACTCATGTTCCCTGCGAAATTCGAGTCCGTGTCACCCAGTACTGCAGTCAGAGATGATTACCACTGAGTTGTTTGGGCTCTCGATTGATATTCTGTAGGTGTGTATTAGATACTTTTGTTGGACACTCAAGATTGCAGTGTGGTCATCATGCTGGTTGGCTTACCATCATTTTGAACTGTTAACTGTTGTTATTAGATGGTTGGACGCAATCGGTAGGAAGACTTGTTCGCATGTTTCTTGCTTGTTGGCACTCGTCATCAAAGCGTATATCAGAGGGGATATGTATTCTTCTAAGATTGCAGATACTCCTTGTTGACAATGCACCGTGAATGCTCACCGCCTGGCATGGTGATCGCACTGTCAGCTTTTCTGATAGAATTCAGTTTGCACCAAACAAGGGAGTAGACGCATGACGCTAATTACTATCTAGTGTCCAATAAGAGTAATTTCTTGACTGCTACTTATGACATCAACTGAATTACTCTATTGCAGTCTGCATACATTTAGTTCCCGATGGAAATTGTGGTGAAATCTCATCTAGTATCCTGTGATTTTCAGATGACTGATTTGATACTTTAGTTTCGTCAATCAATGAATTAAACTTAACTGGTAAATGACTTCAATTTACATAGATTTTCGCCTTCGAAACTGATCGCTGACAGAATTTTGAGATATTTCTCATGAAATCAGAAATGCACTAGAAGAATTAAGTAGTGATTTACAGTTTTTATTCCTCAAATGTTTAGTAAAACTCATTAGTTATGACTATCAGGTTACTGCCTAGAATTCCTTGTCTTATCAAACATCTTACCGAATAAATATGCCAAAGAGTTTAATTAAAGGTAACTAATACTTTTAATATAACCATCTTGTAATTTCATCCATTTACAGTAGAATCAATTACTTGTGGCTTCAACTTGTCGCAAGCAACTCTCATCAGATTACTTAGAGTTGAATATTTGACGTGACAATAGTTCTTAGGATGAACACATTTCACATTATATTTATCAGTAAACAACAATCATTTCATCACCAATAAATAAGCGAATCAACGCGTCGGTGTGAAATATCCTTTTTATGTTCATCCAGAAGCTATAGACCCAACCACTATGTGTATCGATGTTCAGCTAAGAATAATCTAAATTTATGCATATTAGAATTTGAACCTAAAGATCTAACACAGTACTGAGGAAAAAATAATAACAGTTAAATTGATCAACAGAGTTTCAGGAATTGAAAATTAAGATTTATTAGCATCCATGTATTGGAAATGTCTTCAGAATAATTACTAATTATTTAATCCTCTTACTCAAAGTTCATTTTCTACATTATGTATAAATTTCAGGACGAACATTTATAATGACAGTTGACTATGCAGTTGGTTCTGTTACTCCACAAGCTAAAGTACTTAAAAATGGGACTGATATATCATTGGATAAACGATGTACTGTTCGAGTCGATGCTACAAAACATTCTATTGTAATCACATTGAAAAATGTACAAAGTGATGATAAGGGTACTTATACACTTCAGCTGTTAGCCAACGGGAATGTATGTGACAAAGGGAACTTTGATTTATCCGTGATTCAAGAGTAAGTGATGTAAATGCTTATATATATATATATATATATATATATATATATATATTGATAGTTTTAGCCGAAAATAATCCCATTTTTCCCTTTCACTGTCATATAATGTATGGGGAATCTGCTAATTGAATTAACTCATATTTAGAGTGTTTATAATCTGCTTCAAAGTAATCATTCTATTAATTATTGCTGATCCTATCACTGGTCCTGCAAATACTTCCCGATATCTGAGGCTATCTACAACAAAAGTTATTTAGATAATAATATTGTAGACTTTCTGACCTGCTCAGAATTACTTTGCTGTAAGAATCGGTTATCTAAGCACAATATGATATTTTATTAGAAAGTAAAACAACTCAAATTTGAGTGGGTAAATATCTGCCTAACTTGAAGAACCAGAAAAAAAAAGAGAATTACATTTTTTACAAAACCAATGGTATTCTTAAATGTGGTGGACTGTATTATGCAGTGCACCGTGTGTGGAGAGTGGGAAGGCAGGAATACGTTGAACCACCAATAAGAAGACTGTAGAAGATCTAGATTTCGCTTGTGGATGATTTATCTCTAGTGTCACACAAACTCGAAGACTTGCAGGCGAAAACAAACACACCGGCTGAAGAGGCTGGCAGTGAAGACAGGACTGCAGGTGAACACAGAGAAGACGGAGTTGATGAAGATAACCATACACCACCGACATCAACAACAACCAGCTCCAATCACCACCAATGAGAGTGATGTAAAAAAGGTCACTTCCTTCAATTATCTGGATAGGAACGACGGTTTCAACCACAGGCTACAACACGGATGAATATGTCAAGGCCAGCCAGACAGAATTGGCAAGGCAAGATACGCCTTCATCAGCCTGAAACCAGTTTGGAGATACTCTACACTCCGTGGCATTAAGAACAAGATTTGGATTTTCAACACATATGTGAAGTCAGTCAGTCAGTCAGTTCTTCTACACAGTTCAGAAACTTGCACTGAGTGTCCGTTACGAAAATGACTTTCAACAAGTTGCACAATTTTAACAACGGTTGCTGTCTTTTTCGCTGGCTCCATACTGAAGATCAGTTGGCTAGCCAGAAAGAATAAGTAACAAGCAACTCTGGCTAGAAACAGACCAACTAAGAGGCGATCGCTCAACAAATATGTAGAAGGAAATGGAGATGAATTGGTCGGGCATACACTGAGGAGGTCGTCCAGTGATATCTCGTGCGACGTGGGCCATCGATTGAATGGAATCCCGTTGGGAAGTGACGAGTGGGTCGTCAGTGCGAGGGTGATATGGAAGAGATGAAAGATTATGGTCAGGTGTGGGCCTAGCTGAAGAGGAAAGCGGAGAATAGAACAAAGTGGAGATGTGTTGTTGAAGCCTCATGTTCCTTCCACTTGGAACCTAAGGGGATAATAATAATTTTTTAAGGAAAACGGATACTTTGGTTTTGGTTGCACATTCCATAAAGGACCTAAGTGATAAAACATTTATGCCAGCTGTTTGTCGTTAATTACTATGATCTTTTAAATGCCGATCTCATCACAAAGTGAACTAAAAGAATATCTGTTACAACGAAAACAAACTCGTTGTGGTTTGAACACAGCTCTACAGCTGACAAAACACCCTCGAGACACGCAGCCATAAAATGCTACTAAGATAGAAAAATACGATTATTCGCGTTTGGTTCTCTGTGGTTCGATTCACCAATAATAGCGCATCAAAAACTCCAAATTATCTCAACAGTGCCATTAAGAAGTTATACAGACAAGGTACTTTTTAAATAAGTACTGTAGAACAAAATTAGTCAATCGAAATGCAACTGTAAGACGTACCTGAGAATCAAGTAGAATATGCCCAATGAAATGGGACCAAAACTCCGTCCATAAGAATCACACACCAACAATTCTCGCAGACAATCCATAGGCAGAATGACTTTGATTCACTCAAACAAAATCACATCATTAAACAACACATTAGCAATATCATTACACAACCGCAAAGAGAAGCATTAAAATTACGGATAAAACAGGAACAAAAACAAATAATAAGGATTAGGTCAACATGTGACAAGTGTCATCACACACCAGGCCATCACTCGAGTGAAGCCCCACTGGGAAGCAGTGAGTTGGTTTTCGAGGTTGACATGGAGGAGGTCATGTGAAGATGAGATGAAAACATGTGGCCAGACGTGGAGCCAGGTGAAAATGTTGGCAGAGAGACTTGCGGCTGAAACCCTGTATTCCCCTAGGAATTAAAGGAAACAATAATAATGATAAGTCAACATGTGAATCTATTTAGTAAGACCGTGTAACCAGTAATCAACATCAGATTAATACAGTCGCTGTATAATTGTACCGCTTTTCACCTTTTCAATAAAATCTCAAGTAAAGTAGCATACAACAATTATTCAAATCCACTAAAAGTCTTTCGCTTTAATTTAGACTTTAATAACATTAAACGACTACTCCATAAGTCGACAGAATCACAAAACTGGTTTTCTAGACTTTACACCTCTTTTTAATATTTCAAATTAGCCATAATTAGTAAGCACTTTCATTTCCCCTAATGTTATAACACATTATTTTTTAACAAACAGAAATGATGAAGCAGGTGAAGAGATCGATGAAGTTGGTGAATTACATGTACCCTCAAACAAAGGCAGTCGACGTTCATCTGCAGTTAAGAAAGAAGAAGACTTTGTAAGTGGATTTTCCTAATATAAATTATCTTAAACATGTTTCATTCAGACGACACAAATTGGGCACATTTCTAAAGATAATTTATAGTCTTGTGACAGATCTTTGTTTACTAATCAAATGTCGTCTTTTTCTTTATGATCTTATCTGTTAAATGGTTTACCTAGAAGTTTTAGCTGAAACTTATAAAAAGTTATAACAAAAAAAAATGTTGCAATTACGTAATCAAAAAGAAAGAAATCATAGTCATATCAGGAAGTTATCAGATCAGGTTTGCACAATTAGCGCATAACAAAGATAATTAAAGTAAATAAGGGAATTATACAAATTAAATCAAAACTTAATGAAAGCGCATAACTTAAAAATGTCTTTTTTCATATTAAATGTACGCCTAATTCTACAGCCGTTCTCCTCAATTATAAAATTAAGATATAAAGTATACTTTACCGCTGAAATTTAACTTTAAATTTCCATAAAGTGAACTGATTATGCCATGCGTAGTAGGTCAGTAAACAGTGACAGTGATACTGTGATGGTAAAAGACAAGAGACTTGGTGAAGGAATGCTCATTTGGAATCTGGTATCTCTGTCTACACAGAGGAATTATCTACATCTTAGTTTCAAATCATCATTTACACAGATCTTCCGTATTATCCTACTTCTTACCTTAATATTGTGTTTCTTTTTCTTTTTTTTCATCTCTCCCACGTTTCGCCTAACGCTGAACCATTTTCTCTCTTTGATTTCAAATCTATCTCCTCCCTGCCTAATATTTTTATGCTGATGAATGTCTCTTGGTATATTACTGAAAAATCCTGTCAGTAGTACACACCACAATACTAGGCTGAATCGTAAAGTTTTGTTTTTGTACCGACCTAAGCTTGCTGCAGAAATTAGTTTATTCATGTTTAAATTAACAAGAGAATAATTTCGCATTTTACCGACGAAATTGTATTGTAAATATGAAATATTAAAATGAGTAATTTATTTTGAGGCGTTACAACAGATTGACAAATAATCAGAAGTCGAAAATGATAGGAAAATATATTAACTTGGATCATTTTTATCTAAGAATGTGCTCTTACAATGTAGTACAGAAAAAATACCACATGTCGATGGTGTACAGACCGTTTGCAGGTGTTTTGTGTTTTAACTTAAGCTGTAAACTTCTCAGTTTAAAGAATAATCCACCTAGGCAGAAGTTAACTATTGAAGACGTCAAATCAGACATATTGTGAACATATTCTTTTATTTTTGAGAAATCTTAGTATTAGATGGTTGGAGACAATCGGCAGGAAGCTTTCGACTTAGGTTTCTTGCTAGTCGGCATTCACCAGTTAGTAAGGCGTATCTGTAACCTTGAAGGAACCCATGTCGCTCCTGAGATTCGAACCCGCGTTACCCAGTGAGTTCTGCAGTCAGAGACGTTACCACTGAGCTACTCAGGCTCGCGATTAACATCCTATAGGATTGTATTGTATATTTTTGATTGTACACTAGTCAGCAACCAGTGTGATGTGTGGGTGTGTGTCTGGTCCTTTTATGGTGCAGATTGAATTTCATCAGTCAAGTTGGCAATTTGGCCACCATGTTAGATAGCTGGCCAATACTGTGCACATTGATTTGATGATATTAGATGGTTGAAGGAACTAGGTTTTGTGCTAGTTGATACTCATCAGCAAGGGGTATCTGCAGCCTCGAAGTAACTCATGCCAATCGCCTCCAATCATCTAATACCAACAATTCACAATGCAGTGTGATGGCGAGCTACCTAACATGTTGACTGATAGAATTCAGTCTGCACCAAAGAAAGGGCTAGACACTCACCCATATATTACACTAGTTACTGACTACAGTCCAATCAAAAATAATTTGAGAAATCTGTTAGTAATCATAACCCTAGAGAAGAACATGACAGTTTGCTTGTAAGGATGATAATTGACGACACTGCGTTACTACTGTACTCCTATAGACACGAAGAAATAGTAACAAAACATAGGTGCCAGACACAAACCGTATCCAAAATGCTTATTATACTAAGGAATTATAAGTGTATTTACACACTTAAGATTCATCGACATAACAGACTCATGCATTAAGCAATCCTAAAATTATTTTCATAAACTGTAAATGAAAATACGAGCATATCCCATGTACACCTTCAAAAAATACGTAAAAATAAAGATAATATTTTCAGTGCAACCTCACGTAAAATGATGGTTCAGGCAAATCTACTGAAATATATGTATGTGTATAATGAAATACAGCTCGATCAGCCTGCATACTTATTTCATTGTTTAACGTCCGTGAGGATGAATAGGCTTCACAAAAATATTTATGTATGCGTTACAAGTGTACAACATGAAAATCGAAACTCAACGACTAAAAACTGTCTTCAAGAGATCTTTTTCGTCATATACAGACAATCTGAAATCAAAGTGAGAAATATGTAACATGTGCAAGCTTTGCAAATCTTTATGTTTCTAGAGCTTTTGACAGAAAATTTTCACTTATCACGGTTAACATTCAGTAACAGCTCCAAAATACAGCGTTGATAATGAACAGAAAGTGTATATGCTTAATTTATCACTGGGCAAGTATCTAAGAAAAACCGGTGCCCATCAAATTTTTTCAACAATATTTCAATATTTTGTTCAATAATTCTTTTTCATTATAGCTGAACCGTCGAGCATCACAAGAGAAACCTGGTCTCTTAGATCCAAAAGCTCTGGAACAGTCACTTCAAGCCAGGCGTGATTCTATGACTAATCGAAGAACTTCACTGGCTGACGCTATCCCTGGATTTGCTGGACTAAAACATCGAGAAACACCAAAAGTTGTAAGTCAGTCGTTCTACATAGTGGGTTTGCCGAAAATAAAAATAGTAAAGCTCTGCATGACATGTTTTATTCTATTATTTATCATTGTATGAGATAGTAGGGATAGTTTTGTATGAAAACGCTTAGTTTATTAATACTAGTATTCCGGGAATCTGTACGAGACATATTCATTTCAAATTATATGATAAAATTCATAAAGTCTCTTCAGTCACTCCTTCGGCAGGAGGAGAACACCAATTCGTAGGTTATAAATTAATATAAAGAGAACGGCAAAGCAAAAGATGACTCTTATATTTTAGTTTTCATGATATAAAATTATTATTATTGTTCTCTTGGGTTCCTAGTGGAGCATACAGCTTCAACACCACGTCTCCACTTGCCACTTCTGTCTTCCTTCTGCTGTACTTTTCACTTGCATCCATGTCAGTCAGTCCATACTGTTTCAACTCCTCCTCACACCATCTCCTCCATGTCACCCTTGCACTGACGACCCACTCGCCGCTTCCCTTTCGGCCTGGTTCCACTCGAGAAATGGCCTCGCAAGCGCGCCATATCACCCAGCGGCTTCCTCAGCGAGCGAGTATCCAATCCATCCCCACTCTCTACTGCACATTTCTTGCTTGGCGATTGGTTCTTGTTTTGTTTGTTCCCGTAGTTTGATGCTTGTTGGTAATTCTTTCCGGCCCCCCGGCCATCTGACCTTCAGTATAGAGCCAGCGAAGACAGTTTTTGGTTGATGAAGGTCTACAACAGGCTGTTGGAAATATTCTTTGTGACCCGCCCGCCAATTTTCTGATCCGTATAGAAGAACTGACTGACTTGACATAGTTTGTATTGAAAATCCGAATTTTGTTGTTGATGCTGGCTGAGTGACGAAGATTTCATTCCAGATTGGTTTCAGGTTGATGAATGTGTTTCTCGCTCGCCTTCCCGATTATCGCTCGATTTGACATCCTCGTCCGTTCCGACTTCCTGTAGTTGAGACAATGCTCCTCCGTGGATAAGTGAATGAAGTAACCTCTTTCAAATCCCTCTTGTTGATGGTGATTGGCGCTGGATGTTGTTGTTGTTGGTTGGTTATTTTCATAGCCTCTGTCTTGTTCACCTATGTTCACCTGGAGTCCTGTCTTCGCTGGCTGCTTCTTCGACCAGTTTGTCGGTTTTCACTTGTAAGTTTTCGATTTTGTGTGACATCACATGATATAAAATAGCAGAAAGGAATTTTCACTATGAAAGATAAGCAGCGAACAACTCAAAGTAACATACAAATCGTCACTTAAATCACTAAAGAAGCATAGTTTCTTCGTACACTGTGTTAATCACCGCTGCCTAATTATTGCTGTTTTGTAAAGACATCTACACTAAGATAACACTTGCAAGATTAAAATAAGAATAAGATAAATACTTAGCTAGAAAACTGCTAGAAGAAAAGACGTAATTTTGTTTGATCTGAAGAGGATTGAAGTTATGTACTAGCAAGTTAGTAAATGGAACCAACCAATATTTCATTTTTTTACTCATGTATTACATTACACATTTAAGTAGTGCTTGTGGATTCCAAAAACTATACAGTAATGAAAGTCACTCACCTCTCGGAGATATCCGAGTCGTCTGGTATGCTACTTTTTGTTCCTGTGTTCAATATATAACGGTCTGTTGTACTGTTATACTAAATATGACTCTTTGACTTAGTATTCTGTGGTACATACTTAAAAGCAAGGTGAACAGAAGAATAACCGACTACATTTGTTAGCTAACTGTTTGCACAAGTTCAGCTGAATGACTGAATGTACTGTTTGATCAAGTGGAATCAAGTTTACGAACCAATGAGTTAAGAACATGATTTTATCAGTTTGTTTTTAAAATTTCGATTTCCTACATAACTTTCACTTATCACCATTTTATTCTGTTATACTATAGGAGAAAGAATACTTTACTGAAGAATTACAAGATATAAAAATCAAAGAGGGCAGCTTAAAAGCCCTGTTGAAGTGTACATTCTGTAAGCAAACATCGAAATTTCGTTGGTATAAAAATAAACTGGAAATATTTCAAGGACCAAAATACAACTTTTTACAGTAAGTCACTTCTATAATCACACAATCGATTTCATGTCAGTTAAATTCAGCTATTAACTGAAACTCCAACGAATTTCATTTAACCTCGATAATATCAATCTGATACTCATTGATGACTGGGCCTATTCAGGTAGGTAGTTATCTGGACTCCAGTGAGAAGTTGTGACCAGCTGGCGATGATACTGGTCACGTTATATCGTGAATCGGCAGAAGTTGGAATTCATTGACTGGCTACTAGATTGGGTCCCAGTGGCTTAATGGTCTACAAGCTTGCCTCGTAACCAGAAAGTGCTGGATTCACACCCGGTTGGGGCGTACTGATGAAAAGTCCTGAGCACTAGAATGAAACAGCTGTCCATTACCATAGTGCTGGTATCCAGTGGCTCTCCTACCGATGTCATCTGATGATGAAATCCCCCAACGAATAATTCACATGAACATAGAACTTATCATGAATGACAATGAATGTATAGTGATAAACACTTGTGGTTAACTTTCGAAATGAATTTCATTCGATCAGACTAAAAAGTTTCATGATGAATGATTATTAACGTAAATGATAAGGCGGGAAAATCGGATTGGAGGTTGTGTGAGTGCGTATCAATATGTGAATAATGAACGAAAACGTTTGTTCATGTAAGTGTAAAGATAAAATGATGAATGAAACAGATAATTTTTTATTTTTCAATCACTTACATAAGTATTATCTCCTTTAATGTATTCATCAACTAAAGTAACATATACTTCGTTAATCAAAAGAAACAGAAGAATATTCACACTTAACTTTTGTTTGTTTTCGTGTTTTTTTTTCATGCTTATTCTTATTTTAGAGAAGGAAATGAATTCGCTCTAGAAATTAAAAAGATTGCTATGGAAGATGTTGGCAAGTATACTTGTAAATGTAATGAAGTATCAACAACTTGTACAATATTAGTTGAGGAGAAAAAGCATACATATCACTTTAATCAAAAGTTACCGAAAACAGCTGAAGTTGTTCGTGGTAAAGATTTAACCGTGGAATGTTCAGTTTCTGATCCAAGAGCAGTTGTTGCTTGGTATCATAAAGGTGAAAAAGTTGAAGTAAGTCAACATCTAGGATATATTTACATATATATATATTCACTGAAATCGTGACTATATGATAACGAGTTAACGAAATCAAGATACGACTAGTGCTAAACGTTTTTCAAATATTCAGTTTACTCTGCAAGCAGGTAAGCGGATAATTTCGCAATTTTAGACAGAGGAAATACCAAAAATGCCACGGAATTCCTAGAAGCCTGGTACTTAAAACGAATATGCAATTAACAAACATCTAAATATAGACCAAGTATGCCAACTAATAAAAAGGAAATCATTTAACCAGAAAGTTTACAATCTGAGTCAAAAGAAAATGATTAGTACATATGTAAAGATGGTTACCGGGAGACGCAATAATATCATTCATGTAAAATTTAAGTCACTTCTCTTTATACCAAAAATTGCGGAGAATATGATGTCAAGAAGAATGACGACAGTTCCGCAAATAAACCAACACTACTAATTGCAAAACGGAAGTATTACATGTAGGTATATACAAAAATGAGAGATAAAGATAGAAATACAGAGATGGATAGATAGATAGATAGATAGATAGATAGATAGATAGATAGATAGATAGATAGATAGATAGATAGATAGATAGATAGATAGATAGATAGATAGATAGATAGATAGATAGATAGATAGATAGATAGATAGATAGATAGATAGATAGATAGATAGATAGATAGATAGATAGATAGATAGATAGATAGATAGATAGATAGATAGATAGATAGATAGATAGATAGATAGATAGATAGATAGATAGATAGATAGATAGATAGATAGATAGATAGATAGATAGATAGATGGCAATTTCATTTCTGGGAACGTTTAACCGGATCTGTTCAGCTGATTTTAACGGGAGAAATTATGAATGAAACAAGTTATTACGCATTTTGAATGTTTCACGTTAAAGAATTTTTTTCACTTTTCTTACAAACTTAGAATGCGAAAACGCAAAACACATCGCTGTTTTAAAAATTATCCCAACAGGAATCCTAATGCAATAAATATTGCGTTGCATAATTAATCATAGCAAAGGAAAATGATAATAATAAATTTTGAAATTCTAACCAGTATCTGTGTGGGGGGGGACTTACATTTCTAGTTTATGACGTTTGAGTGATCTGATTTATTTCATTTTTTTTAAGAATTAACAAACTTGGATTTCACGTAAACACCTACATTATTCAGTGATTTATTTCAACGTATTATTTATCTATCAGCAGAAATGGTTGAACATTATTTAGTATGACCTACTGCATAGATCCTTTTTCATGTAGTGAGTGGCCTACCTATTAACAAAAGGTAGTATGGACACTTTTCATATCGGAAAGTGAACGTCTTTGAATTCAGGGCTGTGTGATGCGGGTTTGAATCTCTAAGTGGCATTTGCTCCTTCAAGATTGCAGATATGCCTTGGTGATGAATACCAGTAAGCAGGATACTTAGATCCAGAGCTTTCCGCCTACTACACCCCATTATGTGACACCATTTAATAGTGGATTATGATAGTGAATCACCCCACTTGATGTGAGGTGACCACACTGTAAACTTGACTGAGAGAATTCACTAAGGAATTGACAATCGACACTGAAAGGTTAGTGTAGTCAGATTTCCGTAGAGGTTTTAGAAATGTATCAATAATCAGAAACACTTTAGTGTTTTTTCTGAAAGAAGAACAACTTCGACTAAATAATCTATGAAGAAAATTAGAATGAAAGCGTCTAAATCCACTACTGCGGTCAATTGGATTAAACATTTGCATAAAAATATCTAAACTATGTTTATAAAAAAAAAAGATTAGACGCATTACACAGGTTACTAACTGGTGTTCAATCAAAGCATCCAGTACGGTCCCACCGGAGGCCAGTCGCATGTCCGAATAGCTCAGTAGTAATGTCTCTGAATGCAACCCTGGGTGACGCGGGTCTGAATTTCAGAAGGGACATGAGTCCTTTCAAGGTCGCAGATAAGTCTTATTGACTAGCAGGAAACCGACGTCCATGGTTTCCTGCCGACTACCTCCAACCATCTAATACTATGTTTATGTGTGTGTCCTAACTAGTCATCAGACTATATCAGGTCGTATTCTTGAGAATATCCATGACTATCTCTTCATATATATGTATTTTTGTAATATCTTGTATGCTTAAGTTTCAATGTGCTTAAGTTTATTCACTTTCACTTTCTGAGCTGTGGTTAAACGTCGAAATAATCTTTGAAAAGACTAACTTTTGGTACTACCAATCCAAATTACAAATGATCGTTTACCTTAAAAAGAATTCTCTTTACTGTTTTGTATCAGGAAAATTTCATCACATATAACAAATGGCTTTTTAAACTCTTAGACTAAACAATTTTACGTGGTAACGTATAATAATGTCCCATCTGTTCAGTGTACAAGGAGACAGTTATATATTCTACATACTATCAAATTCAATTAACTTTTTGAATATGTTTTTTTAACATTTTATTACAGTATGTTGCGGGTAAAATTGAAATTAAACGTCGTGAAAATCGATGTATCCTTCGAATAGTTCGTGCTAGACCTGAACAAGAAGGTGAATACTGTTGTATTGTAGAAGGTGATGAAACATATATGGATATTGCAGTTGAAGATCCTGATTGGTTTTTCACAAGAGAACTTAAAGCTCATCAAGCATTAGAAAATGATGAAGTGGTGACATTTGAATGTGAAGTATCTGATCGAGATGCTGAAGTGGCTTGGTTTAAAAATGGAGAGGTAAATTTAACAAAGAATTATTTTGGAACACTTCTTAAAAGCTTTGACTGGGTTTTTTTTATGATTACAGTTGCAAAAATGATTTTCTAAGAAGATAATTTTAAATATATGGTTGTTTAGTATTTACAGGTGGTTTACTTAAATCACTGGGCTACTTAAATGCGTAGTGTTTACTTAATTTCATATTGTTTTAACGATATATTTATGTCTAAGAAGCGCAACGTTTACTCAGGCATATTTTCATATAGGTTTCGAACCTCTGCTTCAAATTTTCTGACTAAAATCGGGGTGAAACACTGTGGATCACTGGAGCATGGCTCAGATAAGGCAATAACCCTTCAGCTCATATACTGTTGTTTAATGCTTTACTTGAAGATTCTGCCAATGGAATGGACACCTTACAATTTTGTATTATATGTAAATGCATTTTTCAGAATAAAGTTATTATCATTATAAATAAAAAGAGAGGGTAGATATTTTTATGAATACTAATCATAGATTGACATGTAGTTGCAATTAGTAAATCGTTTTTGAAATTGTTCCAACCCTGGAGAATATAATAATGACTTAAATGGTCTGATTTTGCCTGATTCAAAATCAATAATAATATCAAAAGAGAATAAATGTGTTTGTGTCCGGGATGATATTGGGTTCGAGTTCTTTCTATTGTTACTTCAACACACAACAATGAACGACTGATAGCTCAGCTACTATTCGCACACTGAGAAAGTCACAGGAGACTGACTGAAGAGAGAGAGAAGAGGACACCAGAAATTACAGCAAATTATAGGGTTATTTTATATGACTAGTATACGATTTTTAACAGCATTGTTCTTATTGAATAGCATATACAAATAAAAATCCAATGCTTCGATCTATATTCTACTTTAGGGTGAAATTCCTGGTTTACAGATCATGTAAGAAATAGGAATATATGGTTGGTATGTCTACTGTTGCCCCAACAAAGTAAGAAACAATATCTGAGTAGATGCAAAGAGCACTAAATTCCATCCGCTAGCTGATCACATTCCATTATCGAACTAGAAGTGATTTTGTGAACACTATTCATATTGTAGTTCCACAGTAAATGAAAAATGCAACTCCAACTTCACGAATTTGCGTGACATTAGACTTAATGCCTCCTGCAAATCTGTATCATATAGGCTTTTTCTGTTAGTCCAACTTATACCCCCCTTCTCACTTCTGACAACTTCTGGCTTGATCACTGATGATAGTAGGTAGTCTTGTCTCATACTCGGGTCTTCACTTCAAATTCTTCGCGAAGCTTTCCATGGTGAACTATTTGGCATGTGATATTGTAAAAACCTACTCTGTGATTTGATACTCCTTCATATTCACTCTACAGCACTCGCATTGAATTTCGCACATTTTTCAGTTAAACACAGATGTCTTTCTGATAAACTCTAGAATTTGAAAGTCCATAATTAACCCTGAATAACTGCTCCTATCTAGTGCTTTTCTTGTGCGTTGAAGTTTCTGTAACAGCCTGATTGGTTTTCTGAGGTAGGGTTGCTAGGCTCACCGGCAACCCTCTTTCTTTTCTCGAGCTTGGGACCCACTAGAAAACTAGCGAGCTAGTAAACTTCGCCCCATACTGAAAATCAAATGGCCAGTTGGTCGGCCAGAAAGATGATGAAGAGGACAGTAGAGAATAGAACAAATTGGAGATGTGTTGTGAAAGCGCTATGTTCTACTTGGAACCCAAAGGAAAAATAATAATTTCGTCTACTACTTTCACACTTACCATTCCTAGCTTTCTTTAACCACATGTTTAGTGAAAAATAATCATCAGACATCAAAGGTATAACTTCTCTTCTTTCTTTGAAAATAGAAACACAAATCCTGTTTACAATGAAGACTATGTTTATTCATATTATACCAAAAAAGAATAAATTGATTATAGTCATAAGAAAAACGGTTTCTTTCTTTGCGTTATTCATCTCTTCACCTAACCATTAACTGCACAAGAGGGAAAAATGAAGTCCACTCCCTGAGAGACTGGCTTTTGCCTTCAGGGAGAATTTGTTCTTTAATTTATGAAGGAAGTAAAATCACAGAAGAAGACTAGAAAAAACAACACGCCTAATTTCGGTCTTACCACCATATCTACCTACCTACCTTGCCTATCTTTCAGTGCGCTTTTCTTTTCTCTTGCCTACATCACACAAACGTGCATACACGTTTTTTCATACAAAAGTAAAAACCTTAAAGAAAATGATGAATGAATTGTTTTTATTAAAAAAAGAAGGGAAAAAGTGTATATGGGCAAAACAGAAGACATATACATATATATAAATAGAAAGTAAAAGAGGATGTGATGGTATAATGAAGAAATAATAATAAAAATAATATCACTACTATTACAATTACTATCGCTTTCTTTCGGCAAGCAACAATAATCTGAATAAAGCATTTAAGATAATAATTTACGATTAACTAATCCACTATATCACTCACTATACCATGTAGATGAAACATCAAACAATAACCTTTTTTCAAGTGTTGGTTTGTAGGGATTTGATTGGTTTCAGGATTTCATCGTGAGCTGACATTAGTTAGAGAACCATTGGAAAACCATCCAGGGAGTACTGGATAGCTGTTTCGTCCTAATTTGGGACTCTTCATCAGTACGCACACACCACTGGGGTTCGAACCCAGGACCTTCCGGTTACAAGGCGAGCTAGCTCGTATACCATCAGGCAACTGGGACCCGATCCAATGGTCCTTGAATTCTAACTTCTGCCAATTCACGACATAGCACGACCGCTAGCCAATGTCTTCGGCGAGTATTTGTCCTCACACCCAACCCACTGCACCCTACTGGTCACGACTTCCCACTGGAACCCAGGTAACTACCTGCCTCAATAGGGCTAGTCGCCAGTGAGCATCCCATTGGTATTCAAGTGTTGGTTTGTAGGGATTTGATTGGTTTCAGGATTTCATCGTGAGCTGACATTAGTTAGAGAATTATTGGAAAACCTGGGAGTACTGTAAATTTATAGATTTATTCGAATCGTTTCTTTGTAATTCTATTGAAATGCCACATAGCCAATGAAACATACTCATAGAGTAAAACGTTTTCAGATAAAAAAACAACATAAAGACCTGAAGTTTAACGAAATGACATTAGAGAAAACTCGTGGAGATGGATCACGAACGACTGTACAGATCAATTGACAGTTACACCTGAGAATCGTACCCCTATGCCCTTCTAAATACTGTAAAAGAAACATCGTTGGGAAATTTAATCCTATGAAGAATAAGGGATTTAATTTTCTCTCCCTGTGTATATAAGTACTACAATACTGTATGTAGGGGGGGTGGGGGAAGGGAACTTTTCACTAGCTGAAAGAATTTTTAAATTTGATTCTTTGGATGTCTCCAAAAAGATAAATTTAGGTATTTTTTTTATATTTCTCTTATCTTTTCTATCAAAACAATAAAATATGGCGTCTAATATTTTATTTCTGACGATATTGGATTCAGTGACTTATCCAAGCCATAAATACGTTTTTCTTTAAGACTGTAATAATGAGACAAGAAGTCATTTACATCCCTGAGTATAACACTGTCATTATTCTTATCAAAGAGACAGTGGATCCTATAGGGGTACTTGTTGTAACCGTAATATTTAAAATAAAAAACACAATCAATCTGTTAAACATCAGAAAAGTGACAATAATGACAAATAAAATTATCGACGATCCCTGATAGGGCTATAGGAGATGCACACTTCTGAAGGATCTCAAACTAGAGCCAAACAACCGTCCAGTGTTGCTTTGTTTCCTTTACTTTCCCAGTGGAACATAGGGCTTCAAGCTAGTGGCTTGGAGTTTCTGTAGCAGTCTTTATTTTTACAGGATGGAGTGGCTAGCCTCATGCCCCAACCTTTCCTCTTCACAAGGATTATTTCTGGCTTAGCGAGGTAAAGGGATGCGTCGGCCGGGGATCGAACCCCGGACCATGTGCATGGTCGGCGAGTGTCCTAACCGCTATGCCACTGACGCACCAGCGTTACCTGGTTTCAAATAATTCTGTAAGTGACATCCGTTCATGATCGAATCTACACTGAAATTAATCCGACTAGTCTAATTATAATGTTAACACAGTCTAGTATGTATTTCGTCCCATGATGAGAATCAATACAGATCGGGAATTTCTACAGTTTAAAGTACGAACGAGACAAGAACATTTTTTAAATCTACAATCAGTTATCCTGATGCAAAGTATACACCGGTGACGGATATTCTTTTTTACGGAAAGTAAATGAAAAGCAACTGTAGTCATCACTTTCTGTGAAATTTTCACTGTTTGTGCATTTCATTATTTTAATTAAGAAAATCTGACTACTTTCTTCAAAAGTTTTTTTTTCGATTTAATTTCCCTTCTAACATTTCTTCTAACTTTGCTTCTTCAGCCAATCACTGCAAATGATAAATATGAAATAATATCTGAAAAAAGAGTGAAACGCATTCTGAAAATTAAAAAAATCACAATGGATGATGATGCAGAATATACATGTAAAGTTGCCAAGAAAACAACAACTGCTAGATGTGCAGTAAAACGTAAGTCGTACAATTCAATCACATTATGGTATGTATTCATTACTTTTTTTTGCCTAAAGAATTTATCTCCCGACTTCTTTTCATGCCATAAACAAAACGAGGAGATTGTGAAAATTTACTTTCCAACAGCAATATATATTAGCCTGCCAATGAAGATCCATATAACGCCCCCCCCCCGAATGTTTCATCACTTCATCTTGTCACATGGCACCATCAAACTTTAGAAGAATGCGGATTACAATGCAATAAACGCACACTTTGATAAATAATCATCTATCTCAGAAGTTAAATGGTCAATGGTAACTAGCAGTAGAATCCAGGATGAGCATTTCGTCTTATTTGTGACTCGTCATCTGGATGTGCTTGCGCATCCTGGATTCCACTGGTAATCACCAGCCACCAATTAACTTCTGATTAAAAACCCAGATATCGTCGAAGCGTCTGCACAAGAAACCGACACGCCAACCTGGGCTCAAGCACTTCAATCCGATCAATCGACGGGGAAATCTAAAATTGAATTAAATCATCTATCTCTTTTATGTTAGGAGGCTGTCTTGAAAGGCTTACAACAAACAAACAGCAACTCTGTAGTGCATCATCAGTTAAAAGTATAGCTACCTAGTCTGCTATCACATAACAAGACGTTTTATGATCCAAAAAATACACTAGTAACTATTAAGCCACCTAAAATGAGTTTGCACAGATAATCAAATGTGTACAAACTATTCGGCTTCTATCTAGCAATTCGGACAAACTGGTAACACATGAAATTCGTCTGAAACCAGTAGTGTTTGCAAGACTTTAATCTAACTAGAGAGCATTACAGATTGACATTATTGATTTCCAGGTACCCGTACCAATTAGTAACATGTGATAGGTTATATCTTTTGTGACTATTTTCAAGGTGTACCAACTTTGCAATATGCACAGTTTCATTTTACCATCCACCATGTTTGAGAACCTGCCTCTTCTTTTTCAATAAGCATCTCGATATGAAACAGTTGGCTTTTAAAGCGGCAAGTGATTTTTTAAAACTTCACATGTCCAACTGCAAATTAATATGCAATTTGCCCAAGTTCAAGGTGAGATCTCACCACGGTTTCCTTTGGAAACCAAAATTATTTGGATCAAAATATGTGATCTAATTCATACCACAATTGGTAATCAAAAAAGCAAACATATTCGCATAAAACTATATACTACTGAATGGTTGACATGAATAGTTGTATATCACTCGCGATAACTAGTTTGAAGTGACTCGGTTCTCTGAACTGAGTTAAATAAGGTAAATCGATGATGACCTCGGCCCCAAACGAGCAGAATGGCTGTCCAATGTTCAGATCCATTCAACCTGGCTTAATCAGCCTATAACTCTACACAATCAACGAAATTTCAAACAATCCATGTCTTAGTATTAGATTTGCTGTAAGATGTGTCGTCCTTTCTTGTCCAAAATTAAAGAGCACCGTATGCTAAGTAGTAATTACTTTGAATGTAATCAGATAAAATGTTGATTCACTACCATTCAGAAAATATCCCTCATATTTCCAAGCAAATAAGAAAATAGGTTGGAGGATGTCATCATGAGCTGAAATCGGTTGGAGAACCAATGAAAAACAGATAGCTGTTTCGTCCAATTGGTTTCGGACTTTTCATCAGTACTCACCCACACTGTGGGGTTCAAACCCAGGACGTTTTGGTTACAAGGCTAGCGACCTCGTAGACCATTAAGCCACTGGGTCCCTATCCAATAGCTAGCCCATGAAATCCAACTTCTGCCAATTCATGACATAGCGCGATTACTTAGCAATGTCGTTTTCGATGAGTAACTGCCTCACCATCAGCCTGTTGTACCGTACTGGTCACGGCTTTCCACTAGAACCCCAGGTAGGACCAGCCGCTAATGAATACCAGATCACAATCCCTACAAAACCAACCATTACTTGAAAATAAGAAAACAAGAGAAATTTGCAAATCCAAATGAGGATTACGCCTACGCAGAAAACATTTTTACCACCAGGCTTATTGATGTCATTAATGTAACATCCAGAAATAGACATTTTAACTAATGACCGTGTACAGTTACATAGGTATATGACAAATATTCTTGCTATATATCTACTGCAATTTCATCAGCTCAAGTATACAATCATTTTATTCTATTAATACTAATTGTGCAAACTTTGTTTATCATTATTTTAACCATAACCTTTTTTGACATATCTTTAACTTTAGCGGATGTTGAATTCAGACAAAACCTTATCGATACTAAAGGAATAGAAACTAAACACAAAGAATTAGAATGTCGTGCATTCAATCCTAAAAAGTATCCAGTTCAATGGTATAAAGATGGACAACCAATTGTATTAAATGATCGTATTTCAACTTCAGAAGTTGAAGGTTCTTTGTATCTTATATTTCAATATCTGGAAATGGAAGATACAGGATATTATAGTTGTAAAATTGGTAATCATGAAACTAAAGGACATTTAGAGGTAAGAAGTCACTTCTTATTATTTATTTTTTTAATTGTACCAAAAGAGAACGCTGGTAACTACTAAATCTTCATGTTATATCGGTAAAAAGTACATTCCGGTTCCTATGCTCCGAATCGAAATGATTAATCCCGACAACTTCCGTGAAATTCGGTTGTTTAGAGTCTATACTAAAATGAGGATCAGCAGATTCTACTAAACTATACGGGTTAGGTAGTAATTGGCATAAAGTTTTTATTCCACATAGACAGTCTCTTGTAACTTGGAAATTTCAGAGTTAATAACGTTAATTAAAAGTAGCGAATGATTGTAGTTTGCGTTCTCAAATGATTATAATTCGTCTTGGTGAGTTTGTATTCTCCAGGGATAGTGGCTTAATCGCAAAGCTTTCATTGGTCCTTCTAGATAACATCTTCAGGGCTTACTGTAATGTGAAGTGAGTATTTTGGAACTAGTGAAGAACGGAACAAATAGTTTGGCCAAGAGGTTCCTTCTAGAGATTTCATTTTCTTCAGGTGTTCAGTCGTATTTATATAAAATTCTTCTTTACAAAATAGGATAGTGAAAAAAAGAACAATTGTCATAAGTATAGTTGCTAATATCAGTCAAAATAAAAGATAACCGGAATAATGGTGTCGGGATTACGTTGTGGGTTAGATTATATAGCGAAGGAGTCGTAACGAGGGAGCACATACCAACGAAAAGAATGCAATATTGCGTCAGAGTTCGGAAGAATGAAAAAGCTAGAGTTTGAAAAGAAAAATAAGCAGTCGAATCGACTGAAAACAACAGGGTCATAACCATAATATTAGAAGTGGCTAAAGAACTTAACTTTTTAGGCGGATATCTGGTTTTTCTATCCGGATATCTAGAGCTTCAGCAATGCAAAGCAGATGAAGGCGTAGCGTCTTCAGTAGGTTGCTGTTCACTTTGTACAGCACTCCCAAGGAGAAATTTGTTGAAATAGAGTGGCTAGTGTCTATAAGGTGTTTAATTATTTTACTTCTTATGCACCCCCTGCTAGCTTGCTGAAACAGTCCAGGATAATGTTCTTGAATTTTTTGGATAGGATAAGTGTCGGACGACCAGTATACCTGGCTCAGCGGAGCAGATGAACTAGTAAGTGTGCACTTAACAAGGTTGGATACAAAGTCTTGTCTTTCAGGCCTCTGCAGACCAATGGGCAACTGGAGAACACAACTCTTAGAGTTGCTGCTAAGAATATCCTGAAAGATATTGAAATTCTCTTCGTGAGGACATTGCAGGTTAAGGCACTTTTGATATCAAGATCCCTTAAAACGTTTACTGCACTCATGATATCTCATGTCTTCGCAGATATTCATTTTCGATGAAGATTTCTCTCAGAAGGAATAACTCTTCCCCTAGAGCGTTAGGACTACAAATATACTGAACGCAAGTGGCAAATGATATAATTAAATTCCGTTTTCGTTCAGTTGGCAACCAGCTCTAGAAACTTTTTAACAAACCATTCCAAGTTGATTCTCTATGAACAGATCTTCTTAATGTTCCAAAGGTTCTTGTTGTTAGTTCACCATCAAGAAAGGGAATTTTAAGACATATTTTCCATTCAAAGAGTGAATCTTATTACATGTAATAAATAATCTAGATCATATATTAGATGACAAATAATAAAATATCGTCCAGGTACCCTGAATACGATTGAAAATTACCGATAATCTACTTGAATAGACCATTCCCAAGTCTTGCTATAAAACACTCTACTACCGACGAACCCATAGTTAATTCCATAGAAGTCCTATTCTTTTTTCTGTAAATAATGTCATTAAATGTGAATTGTATGCTAAAGGGTCATCTCAATAGTAGTTCCTTTAAATATGCTGTTGGTATTATCAAATAATTTCGATATCAGGCGTACTCTTTAAATAATTCTTACTGTATGAATTGCTTGTTGATCTCATGAAACAAAGATTTAGTAATCAACCCATTTTTCTACTGAGCTTTCTTGAAGTTTAGAATTTTCATCTCATCACACTGTCTGCTAATTCTATAGATTAGTGTTCTCACTTCAGATATGTATGTATTTATGTTATATCACATAAACTTATCTAATATGCAGTTACATTCTTCTACATTAACCAAGCTCTGCACTCTGTACACCTTTCTCTTAAAACCTTTAGGTACAAGAATGCGAAAAACCGCCTTCAGTTGATCTTTCAAACTATAAGAATCAAGCCACATTGAAGAGAGGAGCCAACTTCATGACTGCAATTCCATTCAAAGGTAACTTCACCTTTATAATAAACAGAATTTTTTGGCTAAACACAAACACGGTTTCATCTGTTCTCAGGAGTTTACTTCAGATATCTTTTAGAAGAAGATAAATAAACTTGTCAGTCATACTCGAATTCAGTGATGCTTCTTAAACGCTTTTAATACTTCCAAGAGTTAGCTTGTAGGCATTTGATTTATTCGAGTTTGATCATGAAATGATGTCAGTTAGAGAACCATTCATAGACAGAAGGTACTAGAGTGCTCTTTCGTCCTAATTTGAGACCCTTGAGCAGTATGTACTCACATCTTCACCGGGGATCGAGTCCGTGACCTACGGATTACAAGGCCAGTACTATACTATGATATTGACTAGTGCTGGCGTTAAAATCGCGAATTAACAGAAGCTGAAAATTATGGGCAATTGGAATCTGCCCCAAGTAACTTAGTGGTTAATGAGATTGATATCCTAGCCTGAAGGTGCACGGTTTGCTTCCTGGTGAGGTTGTGGACGAATGCCGTTGAAGAGTCTCAAAATGCGACAAAACACCTTTCAAGTGCTGTCTAATTTTCAATAGTTCTCTAATTCACATCCATCCATGATCAAACTTGAAAATTCTTAACTTATTTTTAAATTCACATTCAGGACATTATATATTAAAATTCATATTTACAGTGTTACTAAGTAGTAAAACATTTCTTTATAAATAAAAATATACACCAAACTTAAATTTCAGCATAGATCTTCCGAGTTTCTAGTGCAATGATTATCAATGGATAACAGTGTTGCCCGTCATTTTGTTACCAATTTCAACATGTTTTATTAAGGTTTTGAATTTCTTCCAACGCCTTATTATGAAATACAGTTCATCTAAATGTACCTTTATTTAGAGATTTATGATGAATTGAACTAGACAGCTTTTTTTCTCTAAGACTCTTCATCAGTACGCACCGCTTACTGCAGCATCAAGCATCAAACCACCCCACCTTCAGGTTACAGTGCCAATCTCGTTGACCATCCCATCACTAGGATAAAATCCAACAGCATATCTCATTTCTAACTGCTGACCCCTGGCGTGGGTTCATGGGTACATACTATCGAAAAGTTAAAAAAAAAAGAGAACAGAACAGCTTTTCACTAATCCCCGCTGGTTTTCAGAGGTTCTTCAAATAAAGTCGATTCGTGATCAATCAAATCCCTACATACCAGATTTCAAAATCTAATCAACTGAAAACTTTGTATCTTATCAGGACTCAGCATAAAGGTATTTCTTTAACCATTAAGTAAGGCAATGATCAGCAAAAACTTCAAACATTCATTAATCAGTGAGGAGGAAGTAATTTGTTAAACAAAATGATCAGTCACATAGAATCACTTCCTACGCAAGCATCAGTTCACTTACAGATTCCTCTGTACAACCTAATCAGCAAATTGGGTTTTATTGTTCAAGAGTATCATACAACCCTAAATCTTACCATTCAATGATCAGTTCACGTGTTCTGATTCAATTATATCTTCAAAACAAAAAGAAATAATATTCAAGGAATTAGTTTCTAGGGATTCTATTTGTTTTAGATTAGACCATGGATCGATATCAGTTAGAGAACCATTGAAAATCAGGGAGAACTTTACTGGAAAAATGTTTCACTCCAGTTTGGGACTCATCGGCAGTACGCACCCACTACCGGGGTTCCAACTAAGAACCTTCTGGTTACAAAGTAAAGCTCGTATACCACTGATCTACTGGGATTCGACTGATTGGCTCATGAGTGAGGATAGAGTTCCCGCTGATGACATTGTTTGGTGGTTGCGCTAAATATATCATGAATTGGTAAAAGTCAGAATTCAAAGGCCAGTGGTTGAATGGTATGGGAGCTTTGCCATGTAACCGGAAGATCTTGGGTTCGAACCTCTTGTGGTGGGTGTATACTACTGATGATTCCCAAACTAGGATGAAACAGCTGGTTTCCAATGGTTCTCTAGCTGATACCAATTCCCCAGGGTTAACCGGAAACAAAATTATAGATAATTTCCTAGTATTTTTTTCCTAAAATTTCAAATTTTATTAAAAATAATTCACACTATATGCAGAAGTTGTATGTCTTCAGCTTAATATTATTAAAATGGATTTTAATTGGGTCTCTTTCTTTTGCGTTGATCCACTGAAACAGTAATTGTGTACTGCTGTCTTTCATGTTCTAAATTTGTGTCGTATATATATATATGAAAATAAAAGAATGATTTCCTCATCTTTTAAACAAAATAACTTTTATCTCTTGAATCCACACACACACGCACACACACATCCCAATATAGGTGCACAGCACAGTAATGTGTACTGTGTACTTCAATGCGTACCATTAACTTTAAAATTCTGTTTAGTTATATATGTATGTACCTAAACACAAATATGTGTACAATGAATTTAATGTCCATAAATTCATCATTTCTGGTTTCATAATACCACCTATATGCTGGTATATATATATCGATATATCATCTGGCTACTTTTGTAAAAACCTTAAATGATTTACTGTGGTAATAATAAAATGACTTTCAGTGTTAAAAAGAAAAGAAAAGAAAAATAATTGAAACATAATAGAAAAACGTCGTTTATGCGATAGTTATTCATAAAGGGTTATTAAATTTTAGTTAATAGTACATTGGAATACATTCCTTCCATCCTACCTTCCTCCAGATCAAGTTTTCACAGGGTGTACACACACGCATGCCTGTATGGTAGGGAGTAGTTCACAGCATCAGTTTTCAATCGAATAAACATGTGACTCAAATCGGTGTTTCTTTACGCATATACACACACATAAAAATATGTCACATATGATTTCATTTTAATCCCATGCCAATTGTATACATTTATATATTTAATATGCACTTCATTCACATGTAAAGAAGCCTCAAATGACCACCACTGTCTTTTTAGTTAGGCCAGGAGTGTAGGCTGAACTTTACAACGATGACCTGATGATATAAATAAAGTATTTTATGACAGTAGAAAGGTACTTTATCATCAATGCATAACTACTTTTCTTTTTAAATACCATAGGTAAAATGTCCTTAGGTAATATAAAATATTATAATAAATAAGTACAATGCACAGCAGTGATATTATCTTTAGATGACCCACTTACTGTCCGTTATTATTATTATTATTCCCTTGGCTTCCGAATGGAACATACCGCTTCAACAACACATCTCCACTTTGTTCTATCTTCTGCTATCCTCTTCAGCTGGTTGCACGTTGCCCGTAGTCTCTCATCTCCTCCATGTCACCGTCGTATCGATGACCCACTCGTTCGTTAGACTAGATAAAAATCCCCTCGATTTGCAGGTCGATTTTATGATCAACAGGTGTTGAGAATTCTGAGATAAGCTCAACTAACGTTGATGAAGGTATACATTGTGTCTAATATTCTGTTTAACAATACGTCAATCATATTGTAGGTCACTGAGAAAAGTGACTGAAATGACAGTTGTTTTATGTGATGGAGATAGCGTTAACTGTGAAACCTATAACTGACTATATCATTGGAAATGAAAACAAGTGATTCAGCGAAGAGACTCTTTTCAACGAACTTATTACCAAGCAGTACAAACGTACACATATGGTTTTTAAGAAGTTATAGCTGGTAAGGTGTGAATGCATAAAATAATAATAATAGTAGTAGTAGTAATATGAAATGCGATTAAAATAGCAGGCCAAAGATGAGGCAGTAACTCATCGAAGAAGACACTGCGAAATGGTCGCGCTATGTCTTGAATTGGAAGAAGTTAGAATTCATGGGCTGGCCATTGGATCGGGTGCTAGTGGCTCAATTATCTACGATGTCGCTAGCCTTGTAACCAGAAGGTCCTGGTTTCGAATCCCTGTGATGGTGATGAAGAGTTCCAAACTAAGACGAAAAAGTTGCCCAGTGCTCCTAGGTCTCCAGGTGGTTCTCTAACTGATGCCAGCTCATGATGAAATCCTCGATCCATTAAAATATTTGTGATTATAATCACAGTTAAATGTCAAGTGACAAAACAATTTCTGTCATATATAGAATAATTCATAGGATGGATAGAACTTGGAAAGGGTGTGCAATTATAGGATTAGTAGACAAATCAAATCAAATAAAAACGTTGCGTAATATTGTATGAAATTTGATAGCATAGAATTGAACATTGCAAAACAGAATTGATTTAGAGTGACAAGTGGAGCAGGTGAAATAATACCGGAGACAGTTCAATATGAGAATAGTAACAATTGACGTAATAAATTGAATAAACAAAACGAAAAAATTGGTAGAGCCTAAATATGATTAGGGATGACCACACTTTAGCATAGAAGGATTAATACCATGAAAGTTGGAGGGGTTGAACGAACTTTTTCTGTTTCAATAGCCACAGCTTCAGCAATACAGATGAATTGGGTAGGTAGTGATTTGAGCAAATCACGTTTTGCCTTGCAGATAACTTTAAAGGTGGAGACTGTAGAGATAGGGTGATCAGTATCGACCAGATATTCAATGATGACGCTTATTATTGCTCCACTTCCCACTCTTCGTAACCATGCAGGATAGTGTTCTTGCACTCTATTGGAGAAAAATTGAGTTGAACGATCGTTACACCTACCTTTACACAAGCAGGTGAATTGGTAGACTCATCATATTATTGGCAAAATAATTAGCTCTTTTATCGTCTACTACTGGTGATCTATACTGAAATGATTTCAGATAACTTATGATTTTAGCCATTAACATTATTATCGTCACTATTTAATTATTTTTGTACATCTTTGAATGTACTGTCACCAATAATACCAAAAAGCTGTCATTATGTATCGTGGTTATGTATACCCTGTAATATATTTTTGTGTGTTTTCGCTGTTGTTGAGTAAATTAAACGCAATATTTTACCAAATGCTGAAAAACTCCACAATGTGTTGTTATAAGTACTGTTTTTGGCATAAAGCAAATAATTATTAGTAATCTGGTATCTACCAGTTTTCGTTAATTACCAGGTGGATTTAGACTTGGACGATAAGAATCAGTTGGGTAATTGTTGTAATAAAATTAGACCACGACGTAGTACCGATTCGTATAATAAGTAAATGAATTAGTTACGTGTTAAATAATGTTATTATTTATGAAGAAAGTACATAGATTACTTAATTCAGTAGTTGAGTTGATAATTGAGATTTTCAAGTGTTCGTTTGTAGGGATTTGATTGGTTTCAGGATTTCATCATGAGCTAACATTAGTTAAAAAACCATTGGAAAACCATCCAGGGAGTACTGGACAGCTGTTTCGTCCTAGTTTGGGACTCTTCGGCAGTATGCACCCACCGGGATTCGAACCCAGGACCTTCCGGTTACAAGGCGAGTTCGTATACCATTAAGCCACCGGGACCTCTCTGAATCTCAATATCATCCAGATTAAGAGCTCAACGGTAAAATGCCCACCGACCAATAAGGATGTCTGGATCCGATTCCCGGCTGATACACTCCTAAACTTCACAAAGTATACTATCCAATAGTAAGCCAGGTAAAGAGGGAAGGTTGCTAGTAAAGCCAGCAATCTTCGATTTGTTATTAAAACGTACACTGGTGATAAATACTATAGTGAAAAGAATATTTCTACCGATTTCCCTCAACTAACTAATATTAAGTTAAATTTTACCGTGACTACAGGTCACCTAGCGGGGTGGCTATATATTGTTCACTTCACTGGTAGTGTTCAATGACCATCAGCACTAAGAACTAGATATATAACATTGGTTACTCTTAAATGACCTATGAATGAAATGTTTATTCCTTCAATGAATTTTTCTCATTATCATGAATACAGTAGTAAGATAAGGATGTCTGCCTATTATGAACGATGACATTCCAAACTCTGGTGGACTGGATTATGCATCAATTTGTGGGGAGGGAGAAGATTGGAATCCGTTGTACTGATCAGTAGACTCTAGGAAATTTGGATTTCGTGTGCGGATGATTTGTGTTTAATGTCAGACAAACTCGAAGACTTACAGGTGAAAACCAACAAACTAGCTGAAGAGACTGTTGGCAAAGAAAGGACTCCAGGTGAACAGAAAGAAGAGGAAAACGGAGATGAAGAAGACTAACGAGAATAACAGCCAACAGCAATCACCGTCATAGGCAGAGATTTGACAAAGGTCAGTTCCTTCACTTATTCGGCTAGGAAGCATGATTTCAACCACAGGCAACCAGAACGAATGAATATATCAAAGCCAGGATCGGAAAGGCAGGATACGCCTTCGTCAAACTGAAGCCAGTTTGAAAATCTTCTGCACACAATCAGCATTAAGAACAAGATTCGAATTTTCAGCACAAACGTCAAGTCAGTAGGTCAGTCATTCAGTTCTCCTATATCGGTTAGAAACTTGAACTGCGTGTCACGAAAACCATTTCCAACAGACCACTGCAGACTCTCACCAACAACTTCCTACACTCCGTATTGAAGATAAAATGACCAGCCGACCGGCCGACCAGAAAGATTTAGCAACAAGAAACGCCGGTTGGTAACAAATCAACACATAACCGATCGTTCAAGAAATATGTAGAAAAAAATGGAGATGGATGGTGTACACACTTAGAAGAACGTCGAATGACATCCCGCTCAGTGCAGGCCATCTCTTGAGTGGAATACCAATGTCGTCTGCGCAAGGGTGACACAAATGAGATCGTGTAAGGAGGAGATGACAGATTATGAGCAATAATAGTAATAGATAAATTCAGGTCACTGACTGAAAGTGTATACATGTCACTTTTCTTTAATAATAATAAGCTGCTTTATTCCAAAACAGTACTTGTGATACAGAATGGAATTCTCAACATTTTACTACAGTATTGCATCCAGTTAGTACATTATCAGTAAATAAAATTCTACATAGATTAAGGTAATCTCAGTTCATTATGACAACAACATATATTAGCATGTCGGTAGCAAAGCCAAAATTGAACAGAATGTTTGAAGGTGTTAGAAAAGTAGATGCTAGCATATTTACTGGCGTAAGCGGTAACAAAATGCTCGAGATATACAGAGTATGAGAGAACGAAGAATGTTTTAATAGAGTTAGTAAGGAAGAAAGTAACAAAGCAGCACGTAACAGAAAAAAGAGCGAGAGAAAAGGAAAAGAAAGAAAGAAAAACGTTCTACCTATAAATGATATGAGTTGGAAAGACGAGATCCAGTTGTTCTTTCACAAAAATGGGGTCAAAGATTGACAACAGACCATACTTTAGGGAATTCATTTGTATTTATAGATCAGGATCTATTATATTATCATATATCATATTATATTCCGTCTTTTTCTAATACTTTTTGTCTTATGATTTTGTTTTTCTCTTTCAAAAACAAGGTTTCCCTGTCCCACAAGTAGCTTTAATGTGTAATGGTGAACCTGTCAGAGAAAACATCAAATTGAAACCAGTCGTCAAAGGCAATATAATTGAATTACAGCTAGAGGATGCTGCTAGAGCTGATACTGGCAAATATGAGTTGAAACTGAAAAATGAACTTGGTGAAGTATCAGTACCATTAGAGCTTAATGTTCTTGGTATGTATAGATGAGTTTGCCATCTTTTATTTTGCAGTATATATAATTCATGTTTAAAATTACTGCCTATTATATCCATACACGAATATAAAAAATAGAGTTAGTCAGTTTATGAACTTTGTATGCCGTCGAAATGCCCAAAACTAATCATCGCAGTAGGATGTATGGTGTTGTTAAAGTTCATAAGTCAGGATACCCTATTATGCCCATAGTTGATTTTAGAAATTCGCCTACTTATGAATTATCTAAATATTTAGCCATGATATTAAATCCTCTAAAAAGCCACTCAAAATCTTGACTAACTAGTTCTTATGAACAAAAACACAGATTAGATAATTTAAAATAAGATAAAATAAGAAGAAAAAAATGGTTAGTTTTGACATTGTCAGTTTATATACACGTATACCAATAAATATGGCTATAGAGGCAGTCAGAAACGAACTCTTTTCTGATAAAGAACTCGAACTTAAGGAAAAAGTGCCACTTGAGGACATAACGCTGGGCGTGCAACTATGCCTGACTTCCACAGTATTTAAATTCCAAGGGAAAATATACAAATAAACTGAGGGCTTCGCCATGGGATCACCAATATCCCCAGTTGTAGCAGATATATTCATGGATAGGTGGGAAAACATAGTGATTGAAACGTTCAACCCCACCCCAAAAGTATGGTGGAGGTATGTAGATGACACATTCACTGTACTTAGAACACAAGATATAGATAGATTTTTCGAACACATCAACTCGAAAGTAGAGGCAGTTCAATTCACTTATGAATTGGAGAGTCAGGAACTCAGGGAGCTCCCATGTTAGATTGCAACGTAAAAAGAAAAGAAGATGGGAAGTTTGGCACACTGGTGTTTACAGGAAACCCACACATTCAAACAGATGATTGGACTCCCGATTATTTCATCCTGTGTCAGTAAAAATAGGATTGGTGAGAGCACAAAAACTAAGTAGTACTAAGGAAAATCTAAGACAAGAAATGATACACATAAAAGAAGCCCTGAAACTTAATGATTATCCGGATAAATTAGTCAGGGAATATGTAGGAAAATGTAAAAATAAAATAAATAATGATAGTAGCGATAGTGATAATAATAATAATGATAACATTAATAATAATGATGATAATAATAATAGTAATGACGACACCAACAATAAGGAATCTAAATCATCAGTAGTAATTCCATACAAGGAATGAGCCTCGAAAACCTTACGCAGAATGCTTAACAAGGCAGGAATAAAAGTGGCTGGGATTCAAACCAACCACAAACTCAATTTGAAACAAGCCTTGTCGGTTAAACGATCAATTCTGTGGAGCTTTTAAAACAAAACAATTTAGTTTATATAATGCCCTGTGTGCAATGATTGTCAGGTCAAATACATAGGTCAAACTAGTAGAACAGGGGCAGTCAGACTAGCCGAACATAAAAACCTTGCAAAATCTAGATTGGTTGACCCGAATAAGATAAAAAATCTAGAGAATAGTTCAGCTATACCACTCACCACATGCAATCACACACAACCATACAATAGGCTGGATGGGATAGGATGACAGTTTCAAAATCTGATGTCACAGGGTATAGGGAGAGATTGATAACAGAAGCTTCGTTTATCGAATCAACTGCAAATACATGTAATAGGAATGATTTAAAACCTGTTCATTCGGATATCTGGAAAATTCTACTACCCCTACGACGACAAATAGGAGAGGACACAGAAAACTATAAAACTCAAGTTTCGAAGTTGTGTGATTATAATTGATGAAATGATTATGAACAGTAATAAATTGTGTTCGAAACTTTGTCATCCGGTAAATAATACTGTTTCTCTGTGTGGTACATCTAATAAACAAACTAATATGGAATTACTTACTACCACAGTACCCAAGTTTTACACTTATTTTGAAATGACCGACATTTTACCTTTTCCTTGTTTAAAGTATATCTTATCAAAGCTGATAGTGTATTATTCTAATTTTATTTTAAAGATCGTCCTGGCAAACCTCGTGGACCATTGGAGTTGACAAGTTTATCAGCTAAAAAATGTGTACTTGAATGGGGTGAACCAGAAGATGATGGTGGTTCACCGATTAAACATTATGTTGTTGAAAAAATGGATGTAGCTGATGGTAAATGGAAACTGGTGAAAAATGCTAAAACACCAAAATGTGATGTCGAGTTAGAAGAAGGTCATAAGTATAAATTCCGTGTACGTGCTGTAAACAATGAAGGTGAAAGTGATGATTTAGAAGTTGAAAAAGAAATACTGGCCAGAGATATTTGTGATCCACCAGATTCACCGACAGGACTAGAGGTATGCCAAGCATATATTACATACTATGCCGAAAAGTTTACTATTTTATTTTATTTGTTCTACTTTTGGTTTCAAAGAATGTAAATAAATGTGATACTGAACAATAGTTTGCTAGTCGAATTAACCTAAAGAGTTTGGTAATGGGGCAAAACCTCTTTAGATTTTAGGTTTCTTTCAATGAAACACTTGAAAAATTTGTCAGTAAATATTCAGTTCAAATCTCTTTATTTCAGTGCAATAACTACTAGAGAAGAAACTCTATAAAACTGAATAAAGTGATTCAGTTGCGTTTTTTTCTGTCATCACTAATACTGTGAGAAGATTATTATTATTGTTCCCATGGGTTCCAGGCGGACTACAAGGCACGCAGTAACACATCTTCACTTTGTCCTACTTTCTGTTGTCCTCTTCGGCCGCATGCACGATTGCCCGTAGTCTCTCATCTCCTCCACATATGATTTCATCCCTGTTACCCTTGCTCAGACGACCTACTTGTCGCTTCCTATTGGCATTCCACCCGAGTGATGACCTGGAATGAGTGCGATGTCATTTGACGGCCTCCACAGCGTTCTCCTACCCTCACCTCCACTTTCTCCAAAATATTTGTTGAGCAATCGGCTCTGGCTTGCTTGGCTTGTTCCCAACCAGAGTTTCTTGTTACTGATTCTTTCTGGCCACCCGACCATTCGACCTTCACTATGGACCCAACCAGCGAAGGAGGCAGATGTTGATAAGAGTCTGTTACTTGTTGGAAATCCTTTTTTGTGACGCAGAGTGCAAGTTTCTGACCCAAATAGAAGAACTGACTGACATCACATTTGTGTTGAAGATTTGAATCTTGTTGATGATGATGAGACAAAGTGCAGTGCAGGAGATTTCCAAACTGGTTTCAGGTTGATGAAGGCGCATTTTGCCATTCCGATTCTGTCTGGCTGGCTTTGATATTTTCGCCCATCCTGTTGTCTGTGGTTGAAACCGTGGTTCCTATCTGGATAAGTGAGGAAAGTGACCTCTGTCTAATCTCTTCTGTAGGTACTGATTGGTGCTTGTTGTTGTTGTCCAGAGATGACTTACACTGAGCGCGATATCACTGGACGTTCTCCTAAGTGTGTATCCAATCCGTCTCCATTTTCTTTAGCATATTTGTTGAGTAGTAGGTTGTTGGTCGGCTTGTTCCCTGCCACAGTTTCTAGTTTCTAAATTTTTCTGGCCACCCAGCTGGCCATTTGATCCTCAATATGGAATGTAGGAAGTTGTTGATGAGAGTCTGCAGTGACGCGATGGCAGTGCTTTCCGTGACGCGCAGTTCAAGTTTCTGACCCATTTAGGCGAACTGATTGATTGACTGAATTGACATTTGTCCTGAAAATCCTAATCTTGTTCATTACGCCGCGGAGTTCAAAAGACTTCTTAACCGATTTCAGATTGATGAATATGAGAAGAGGAAGTGGTAAATTTGAGACCCTTAAAACTAGAATTCATAGTTCATGTATTTTGTAAACATACCCTTTTTGATACGGAATATTCTCCTTTTTTTTCATAGTCTAACCTATTCGAATGGTTAGTTCAACACGCACAACTACTTTGAATTTTCTATCATTAAAATCTTATAATCTTTTCTTAATCATTTGACAAGGACGCACCTCTGAAGAAAAATCACCGAACGGAAACAGATTTTAAATTTTATACTAAAATAAAATCCATGAAAAACTTAACTGGTGCTGTATATATTATATAAAACACTCAATAAATATCCCATAGTCTGATGACTAAATCTTGATAATTACGCCAGTGACTAAAATGAGTGTGATTTATTTCGTTCTCATAAGCTAATGTACAGTAGTTACTGAAAACTAAGGTTTACTGGACTACCGTTTCATCCTAGTTCGAAACGCCTTATCACTCACGCATATTTATGAATTTACACAACAATGAGTCTAGCTCCATTAGATCAACTGAAAAAGCACGTTTTTGCGGAGTCACTTATGAATCGGCTGATTTAGATTGAAGAAGAAGACTATTATGTCTGAGTAACTTATATTTTTTTAATCCCTCACTTTAACCTCCAGTTATGACATAATCAGAAATGTACTGGTTTCACAGCCGCAAGAAAGAATTCTCTATAGTTCACTAGCTAATCAAAGAAGAAATAAGTCTTTCAGTGGTATTCATTCCATTACATTCAAATTATAACCTTATCAGTTTACCTACAACCAGTTGAATGCATATTCTTATTCACGACATAGTGAGAAATTAACCAAGATTGACTTGATGTAACACGAAAAACAGTAACGTCGACATATCTGTATGTGTCTGGTTTTTCCAATAATCAAGAATTCTTCTAATATTCAAGTATTGGTTTTTGTAGGGATTTAGTTTGATTGATTGGAGGATTTCAACAGAGGCTGACATCGGTTAGAGAACCATTGGAAAGCCAGCATTGGAGTAATGAACAGACAGCTGTTTTGTCCCACTGGTTTTGGTCTCTTCATCAGTACGTACCCACCGGGTTTCGAACCCATGACCTGCTGGTTAAAAGGCGAGCTCGTAGACCGGTGGGTGAGTACTGGTGAAAAGTCCTAAACTAGGATGAAAAAGCCGTCCAGTAATCCTAGGTTTTCCAGTGGTTCTCTTATTGATGTCATCTCATGATAAGATCCTCCAACCAATTCTTCTAATAGTAACTATTATCAGTGTAACCCTGAAAATGTCATGTTAACTTGCTTTGTATACAACAGATAGAAGATTGGGATCGTGATCATGCAGATTTGAAATGGCTACCACCAAGACGTGACAATGGAGCACCGATTACAAAGTACATTGTTGAAGGCAAGACAAAATCTAAAAATAAATGGGAAACAATTAAAGAAGTCACAGATCCAAAAGCAAAAGTTGACTTGAAAGAAGGCGAAGAATACGAATTTCGTGTGATTGCAGTTAATAAGGCTGGAAAATCTGAACCGAGTGAAGTTAGCAAAGCACTTGTCGCCAAACCACGTCTGTGTAAGTAATTATTACAAATTTATTGCCATATACAAATGCATTTATATATTAATGTAAGTTTTGATTAGAGTAAAGCATAGCTACCCAAGCGAATGACCACCAAAATGACCACGAAGAGGAAATTAGATGTGCGTAATTTAAACAAAATTATTTTATTTAGAAATCAAACTGGTAAAAAGTAGCTGAACGCGGTAGAGATCTCTTTTATGTTCTAAGAATCCCTTCCAGTTCCTCATTAAAGTCTTCCAGGTTAGTGTAAACCAATTTCGACACATAAATGTATCGAGATGACTGTGGCCCAGTGATGACAACTGTCGGCAACCACTGTATGCCTATCGAAGTCTACTACATACTTCTGTAAAATCATTACCCTCTTCGTATTCTCTTGTTTTGTTCCTTCTTATGGGCCTATTGACCAAACAGTGCTGAAATCCTAAGCCTGGATGTGCACTTCATCCATATTTGCACATTTTTACTATATTCTTGTCTGTTTGGCTGTTCGAGGTCATTTTTATGGTCAGTCTCTTCGGTTGTTATACCTTAACCTAAGTTTTTACTGTCGAATGCAAACCTTGTTCATAATATTATCGAAGCTTAGATTTCATATAACCATCCAACGGGCAAATGTGAGCAAAAACTAATCTCTTTTTTCAACTATTTGTTACAAAGATAAGTTTGTACCACTGTTTAAACTGGAATCAGAAACCAAGAAAATTCATTTAATCCTACAGTAGGAATACATTGTCTACAATAGATGTCTACTTCTTGCTAGGGTTTTAGAGTTAAGTCTATGCAGGTTACAATAGAAATCGATAAGATAATAGCAAATCAAAAAGATAAGTAACTACCCATTCATCTAAATCTACCTTAGATTTAAATCATTTCAATAAGAGTTAGTTAAATATTAAATGATAACCAAGTGCGATTGATGAATGTTTCTCGAAATGAAGACATTCATGTGTGTAAAACCAAAGTAATCTGCTTGTCTCATGTTTCCTCTAAATTTATAGGCAAAAGTAAAAAAGAATAGTAATGAAAATCTATATTTATGTGTTAAAATTCTATTAGTTTGTGTCGTTTGCTGTGTGCCGACATATAAGACTTGGAAAAATAATTATTTCCTCAATATAACCGCATATCTGAAACCTGTTCACCTTTGGTTGCAATACTAAACGTGTACAGTTTCATCTCTCTTTGGTCTCGTTGCTCAGCTGACAGATTTTCAAGATAGTGATCCGGTGACTTATAATTCGAGTCCTGCTGCTACCCATATTTTGTGGAAATGTACGTCATCGGATATAACACTTGACTTCCAGTATATTGATTCCACATTCAAATTTCACTGCACTCACTTGAGCCTAGTAAAATGGGTTCTATTATAAGACCTCACATGATAGGTCTGGCTCATAGGTAGATATATTTGTTAGTTGCTGAATGAAGAACTAGTTAAATCAATAGTTATAAGAATAACAATAATGGTAAGAACAGATTTATCCTGGGTAATAGGTTTATTGAAAGTAGAGAATTCGCAGTGTGTTTTATCACCGAGTATCTACTCTCTTAAGACGATGGTATATCGTTTGATGCAGTGTTCCAATCTCTTTCAAGGTGTTTTACTCTCATTTGTTTGAAAAATGCCCTACCGTTAGTAGACTCAAAAATGTGTAAAAGCATACACTGTGATGCAAGAACGTAAATGAGTGATTCTAACACTATGCAATGATTCTGTATACTGGACAGAAAACTCAGTGATTTAAATGGGCCGCCATCTTGCAACTCTGATTTTCAAAAGTATTAGGTAATATATTCCGCGTATTAATTTCACTATGTACTATGAAATGTTGTGACAATTCACCAATATCCCAATCATTCACATTTTATGATTTTTGCATCATTTCTTTGCTACTTCACTTTTTCTGATCATAAAAGTTTATTTGTAATTCATTTTATTTTACTTGTTTAATAGTGAAACCATTTATTATAAAGACTGGTATCAAACCAATAAAAGTTAAAGTTGGTGAAGTTGTTACATTAAAACTTGATTATCGTGGGGAACCAGATCCTGTTGCTGTCTGGTCAAAAGAAACAACTGTAAGTTAACTTTCGGTATATTGAAACATTTACACTTATTTTAAAATACATTTTCAATGACCTTTTACAGACAAAAAAGGAAGTCAAAAATGTAGTTGTAAGGTACTGGTTATGCTATTGATATACTACACTACATCAACCTTGCTGGTGGTAATGTGCCTAATTACCTAATCAGTCAATAAATCGCCTGACTTCTAAGTACGGATAACCAAACACAAATCAAAAAGACTCGGCTGTTTAAGTATGTGCTGTGATGTGCAGTACACTTAATGGAATAAAAAGTTAAGGTTATTAAGGGCTAGTATGGATAAACTACCAACTCTGAGAATGTGCATGTTAACCGGAGCCTGTTTGATTGCGTACTAGTTAAGACATAACTTAAAATACTTAAATCGTAAATACAAGTGCGCTACAGGTTTATTTAGTTAAAGTTAGGCTGATTCAGTCTGATTTATTACTTTCACCCCTAGGATTATTTTGCTGCCGTGAAAGATGTATTACATATTTATGATTACCGTTGCTAAGTTTCGTTACCGTTAGACTACTTATAATAGCCTCTGTTTTATAAAACAACTTTAATGTGAGAACACGATGAGCAAGGTTGCAAAAAGTCATAGATTCGGTTAATTTTCAGCTGGTAGCTTATATTCAGTTTCTCTTTCATGCAATTATATGTATTTAACGTGTGATTACGAAGTGATATCAGTTAGCGAACTATCGCTAACTAGGATTAGAACTCAAGACCTTCCGGTCACAGAGCAAGCGTTAACATCATGAATTGGTAAAAGTTAGAATTTAGGGGCCGCTGAATCGGGTCCCAGTGGCTGAATGGTATACAAGCTTGCCTTGTACCCAGAAGGTCCTGAGTTTGAACTCTGGTGGTGGGTGCATACTTATGATGAATCCCAAACTAGGTCGAAACGGCTGTCCCGTACCCTCCGAATTTTAGTGGTCCTCTAAGTGATATAAAATTTGAAAAATAAACTATATTCGCACAAACAAACATCTGCAATTTACATGTGTGTGTATTTCACCTACATTTCTTCTCCTAAATAAAGCTGTTCCTACACTCAGTAATTTATAGAGACAATAAGAAATTGAATTGAGGTATTTGAAAAATCATCTTTTTTTTCTCATAATAATTACAGTAGATGATAATAATTATAATTTCAGTATGAACAAGAATTCTTTTGAACTACCCGCCAGCTGTTTCTTTAAGTGGGTTTCAATTATTCTTATTGTAACAAACAGCCATGTTCAATTTTAAGCCTTGGATGGTTTTTTAAAAAAAAAAGTGGATTCTAATTGAACTAGTTTGTCTGTGCTAGGAAACAAACTTCTGAATGCTATTTATGCATACCTGCCTTCTCATTTCCTGTATCTAACATTTAAAAACTTAAATTTATCTGATATTTATAAAATTTAAGAAATCTCTGGGAGAGTGATTTTGCTACAGTTTTCTCTTTATAAAACTTCCTATTATTAGATGGTCAGTGTGCTGATTTTACGATCGAATTAGGGAGCAATTTTGTCAAATTTCTACCTGGAATCAAACAAGAATTACACGGACTGTAGTAAATAATGGACTGAATTTAACCGACATGTTGTTAGGCAATTCGAATACAGCATTAGAATTGATGTTTCCAATTACTAGTTCTCCCATAATCGTATTTTCTTTGAACAGACTAAACAACATGATGTTTTAAGTCAGTTGCAATAGCCTTCTATTATAACCGAACTTCAGGTAATCAGTTAGTCAAACAGCGGACATATGGCACATATGTAAAATGCTCGCCAACCACGCTTCATGTGGTCCGGGGTTCGATCCCTGGCTGACGTACTTCTTTACCGCACTAAGTCACTAATAAGACTGGTAATGAGGGGAGGTTGGGCATGAGGCTAGCAACTCCATCCCGTAAAAATAAACACCACTGCTACCGAAACTTCAAGCCTCTAGCTTGAAGCCCTACGTTCCACTGGGAAGATAAAAGGAATAAAAGGAAGTTAGTCAAACAACAGGTGTATGTATGTATATCGAAGAGATAATGTACTTAATTGGAACAAGGGAGAAGATTTGTAGCTCAGGTAGGTGATATTGAATTAGTTGCATTCTCTAAGCTGGTTGTTTCAATTGAAAAGCTTTCGTCGTCCACCTTTTAGACAACATCTTCAGAGCAGCTTTTAGTATAAAGTGAATTTATTTAAATTCTCTATGGATGATGTAATTGTATCCCTTGGCAACCACTGTCGTAACTGGCTGTTAATTTACTTCTCTATTAATCATTTTTATTGACTTGGAATTTGAACTGCCTTGTCAGTAAAAGTATATCTCTGAAATAACTGCTAGAATATTAACACAGTTTGAAATAGATATATAGCACACAAGCCATCCAGCCTCACAGAACAATCACTTCATTTGATATTGTGCAAACCAAAAGATCCAACAGAAAAAGGAGGGAAAAATAAATACCATTTACGAAATAAATTGTATGAACTGCAATAAATATTGCATCGGTCATAATGGGAGTCCTCTTAGAATCGTAATCCAAGAACACAAGTTAGCTGTAAAAAGGTCATGTTGTATATTCTTTCGTATCAATGCGTGTAGATAATTATGAACATCAATTTGATTCGGATGATGTCGAAATTTTAAATAGAGGAAATGCCAGACAGTAATACCAGGGGATTTCTAGAAGCCTGGTTGGAAAGTGAATAGACGAACAAGTATGACTGATTGATTTACGAATGCATTAAATGTGTGGCTGTGTGAGCATTTTTACAAATCAACATAGTCAGCTATTTAGATTTACTTCTTTATAAGGTGATATACATTTTCCATTATAATCTCAGTGGAACCGTTGTCATTTGAAAGTGTTTACTTTAAAAACCAATTAGGTTAAAGATAATAACGATGTAAACAATACGGTAGTAAATTAAGTGAGATTTCTCAAAAACCTCTGAAATGAGTGTATCAATTTACACCAACAGCACAGCACTTCTTTATGTTATTTATTTCACGTTTTGTTTTTTGAAAAACTGAGTTCTGAACTGGAGTTCTGGTGTGAACTCTACCACGCTCGGATGGAAACACATCCACCTGATGAGTTCTAAATAGGTTGAAACACATACCGGAAATTCGACTAATAGCCACCATCAACCACAGGACATCAGGGTAACCTGAAGGTATCATCGAAGCATCAGTACTAGAAGCCAGTATGTCAACAGATACCCAGTATTTCGATCTAGTAAAACCAATCAACAGGGAATTGAAAATAATTCCAGTCGACAACAGAATCGCTTTTATGAAGTTAGCGCTGAAGACTTCGTTAAAATGGACATTAAAAGCTTTGTAATTAAACCACTGAGCTCAGAGGAAAAAACTAACACCAAAAAATTAATAAAATAAGCCTGCTATGGTATTTAGTAGCATATACAAAGGACTTCTCCTATAGTTCAACGATCACGTAATAACTGACAATGTGGCTTTTTGAAGACCCCTCACAAGAATCTTCTTCTTTTTACACAATGAATAATCTTGTATTCATATACAAAAATATGACCTAATTATTACTATAAACTAAGCGTATATAACGTGCGTCGGTGGTATAGCAGTTAGGACGCTGGCCGACCATGCACATTGTCCGGGGTTCGATCCCTGGCCGACGCACTCCTTTACCTCGCTAAGCCAGAAATAATGCTGGTAAAGGGGAAAGTTTGGGCATGAGGCTAGCAACCCCATCCTATAAAAATAAACACTGCTACAGAAACTTCAAGCCACTAGCTTGGAGCCCTATGTTCCACTGGGAAACATGAAGGAAAGAAAAAAAGCATATACAAGGATGCCATGTGTCAGATGATCCCCAGCGGAAAACTCACCTAGGCGTCTGAAGTGAATACAGGAGTATGACAGGGCTGCCTGCCTATTACCACCAATGATATTCCTAATTCTGGTGGACTGGATTATACGTCAAACTGTGGAGAGCGAGGAGACAAAAATAAGCTGGACCACCGATAAGAAGACTCCAGCAGATCTGGATTTCGCGTGTGGATGATTTATCTCTAGTGTCACACAAACTCGAAGACTTGCAGGCGAAAACCAACAAACTGACTGAAGAAGCAGGCAGCAAAGACAGGACTGCAGGTGAACATAGAGAAGACGGAGTTGATGAATATAACCATACACATCAACAACAACCAGCACCAATCACTATCAATGGGAGCGATCTAAAAGAGGTCACTTTCTTCACTTATACATGGTTTCAACCACAGGCAACAGGACGGGTGAAAATATCAAAGCCAGCCAGACAGAATCGGAATGGCAACATACGCCTTCATCAACCTGAAACCAGTTTGGAAATCTCCTGCGCTGCGCTTTGCCTCATCATCATCAACAAGATTCAAATCTTCAACACAAATGTGATGTCAGTCAGTTCTTCTATTTGGGTCAGAAACTTGCACTACGCGCCACAAAAAAGGATTTCCAACAAGTAACAGACTCTTATCAACATCTGCCTCCTTCGCTGGTTGGGTCGACAGTGAAGATCGAATGGTCGGGTGGCCAGAAAGAATCAGTAACAAGAACCTCTGGCTGGGAACGAGCCAACCAAGCCAGAGCCGATTGCTCAACAAATATTTTGGAAAAAGTGGAGATGGATTTGGCCGTCGAATGACAGCACGCGCAATGCAGACCATCGCTCGTCTGGAATGTCAATGAGAAACGAAGGGTGGGTCGTTGGTGCGAGGGTGACATGGAGGAGATTGTGCGAAGAGGAGACGAGGGGTTATGGGCAATTTCGGAGCCAGATGAAGAGAACAGCAGAAAATAGAAGTAAGTAGGGATGTGTTGTTGAAGGCTTATGTTCCACTTGGAACCCAAGGGAACAATAATAATGATAAACTAAGTAGTATATGACGATGTATAAGTTGGTCAGGTAGTCAGAAGAGTTATGTGACTACATCTCAGACCAGATTTGTTCTTGTTATTACAAAGTCAAGGTTACTTTTATGATTTCTTCTGTAATGGAGCACAAGTATAATACAGGAGGTTGCTTAGTGATGGCTGATTGGCTAACGCACAAACCAACAGAGAAAAATAACTCCTAGGCTTTCACAGATTTCTACTATTCCCATTCCGCATCCTTGGAACTTTGGAAAAGACTACAAACAGAGCGTCCTTTTCTTGTCTATGTGTTTCATACTTAATACTACTTTATTAAATTTAAACTTATCATTCCTTTAAATATTTTTCTTCATTATTAGCCTCTTGAATCGACACCAGAAATTGAATTAGTATTTGAATCACGAACAGCTCATTTAAAAATTAAATCAGCTCAACGTAAAGATACTGCATTGTATACACTGAAAGTTAGTAATGAAGTTGGAGAAGATCAAGCAAGTATTGAAGTTGTTGCGCTGGGAAAACCATCTCGTCCAGTTGGTCCACTAGAAGTTACAGATGTTACCAAAAATTCTGCTACACTAAGTTGGAAGAAACCAGAAGACGATGGTGGAACTCCTATCACGTATGAGATATATATATATATATATATAAATATTTTTACTGTACATAACATTTACATCCCTGATTTTAGGGAAGAATTATTCAATTTTATGTGTTGTATAGTTTCTGTTCATCAGTGATTTACAGATTGGAAGATTCTTCAATAGATTATGAATCTAAATCTATACCATTTTGCTGCACAGTTAAAACAAAAAAGACCGCCCCCCTCATATTTTAATATATTTATGCGTGTGAATAACAAGCTTTTTTAGAAGAATGAATGCACTTTAGCGAAAATAGACAAAATAAAATATAGTTCATAAATTTCTCTGCATCTTAAACTTATCTGACAACTTCACTAGTCTAAAAATCATAATCACAGCACTGATATACATAAAAGCAGCACTTGATTACTGTTAAACTTTTAATATTTAGACTCCTGATCAGTAGTAAGCGTCACTTATGTATCCATCATTTTCAGTGATGTAGGTCTGCGTTTTCCAACATTCGAACTCTTAACACTCATTTAAATGGCTTCATTTGTCTGCGTTATTATAGAAAGTTTACGTACTTAAGTACACGTCTTCCATATGTGTGTATTGAATGTTTAAATAGGACAGGAAAAGCTGTCCAACCTGTATATATACCCAAGAATTGCTCATCTAGCTTTTACACATCCTTCCCATAGATTTCATTATATGGAACGCCTGAAAGATATTCACTGTCACCAGTGTTACATTTCATTTACCAATGATCAAAGCTAAGCCAATCAGGCATACACACTATATTATCATATTGATAAGAGTACTTTACTGTCAAATAACCTATCGGTTGTCAATAGAGAAAGAGTTACCCGCTGATATTTTGAATTACTTTATAAAATATTTATAAATCCGCAATCATCTTTAGGTATACCACAGATTTATGATAAAATTAGAATAGCAGGAAGAAATTTCTGTTAGGCTGTTCAAATGTCTTGATATTGGGTTGTAACAGTGAATTTGTCAACAAGGAATTCAAAAGAGAGATAATATTTATAATTTGACATGTTTCCGTCAGTTGTTTTACATACTCTCCTTCTATATATATATATATATATATATATATATATATATATATGGAGAGAGAGAGAGTGATGAAAAATTATGTATTTTGCTAAGGCAAAGGTTTTCCTCCCGCACAATAATCAAGCATTCTGTTCATCAAAGTCATGTGTTTCATTATTCAATATGAAAGCCTAAAATACACACTGATGTAAAAGAATAATTTTTGAAAAACCGAATGACAACTGTTTTCTGATTGTTGGTTCGTTCAAAGATACGAAAACCCAGATAAAATTATTAATATCCGGTTGCAAACTATTATTGCCAATTATGTGAGGAAATCTTTTGAAACGAATTATTATTATTATTATTACTGTTCCCTTGGGTTCCTAGTGGAACATAGGGCTTCAACTCCACGTCTCCACTTGCTTCTGTCTTACCTCTGCTGTACTTTTCACCTCCATCCATGCATGTTAGTCCATACTGTTTCAACTCCTCTTCACACCATCTCCTCCATGTCACCCTTGCGACGACGTCTCACTCGCCGCTTCCCTTTCGGCCTAGTTCCACTTGGGCAATGGCCTGGCGCGCGCGCAGTGTCACATAGTGGCCTCCTCAGCGAATGTGTGTTCAATCCATCTCCACTTTCTTTGTGACCCACAAAGAATATTTCCCGCCCGCCCGCCAAGTTTCTGATCCATACAGAAGAACTGACTGACTTGACGTCTGTAGGGAAAATCCGACCGAATTTTGTTGTTGATGCTGGCTGAGTGACGAAGATTTCTAGATTGGTTTCAGGTTGATGAATGTGTGTGTTTCTCGCCTTCCCGATTCTCGCTCGATTTGACATCCTCGTCCGTTTCTACTGCCGGTAGTTGAGACAATGCTCCCTAGATAAATGAGTGAGTGAAGTAACCTCTTTCGAATCCCTCCAGCTGATGGTGATTGGCGCTGGATGTTGATGTTGTTGTTGTTGGTTGGTTATTTTCATAACGTCCGTCTTGTCTATGTTCACCTACAGTTCTGTCTTTACTGCTTCTTCGACAAGTTTATCGGTTTTCGCTTGTAAGTCTTCGATTTTGTGTGACATCAAACGAATAGATCGAACCTTTACTCCAGAGCGTCTACTGTTTAAGGAATACTATAAATAAATATTATAATATAATAATATTATATTATATATTATAAATACTATACTAATACTAGCATTAGTTGTGCGCGTAGAGTCATGAACATTACGAGATTCGACTGTAGAGTCTGTGTAGCTCTTGCCTTAGGTTGTATTCTTTGTAAAAGAAGGAATATACCTCAGTAATTAATCCTCCTGAAGATAGCTAACCAAAAGCAACAAGCATTAGTCACTATCAAGGGAGAAATTTGAACGAGGTCAAATTTTTCCACTAGTGTAGGGTGCATCTTTTCAACTGCAGTTAGAGGCATGGATGGCGATGTCAAAACCAGGCAGGATCACAAAAGCAAGATAAGTCTTCAGTTATCTTATATCTGTGTGGAAATCTGTTGCAGTCAACATAAGGAAAAAATCCGGATTTTCAACTCTAATGTCAGATGAAGAGGCCTGAAGCACGCGTCACAAAAAACATTTTCAGCAGCCGGATACAGACTTTTATCCACGCTGAAGATTAGATGACCATAAAGGGTAATATACAAGGAATTCTAGCAACATGTTGACCAAGAACCTATTTCCAAATAAATATGCTGAAAAAAATGGAGACCAGCTGGACACGCATTGAGGAGACTGTTAAATGACGACACGTGACAGTGGGACCCGGATTCAAGACAACGATTTGGGAGTCTGTCTAAAAGTGAGAGAGATAAAATCGTAAAATCAACTAAAGAGGACTGCAGGCAACACGGCTAAATGAAGATATGCTTTTGAAACCCTATGCTCCACTCAGAACCTAAGGTAATGATAGTAATAATTACTTGCTCAACAGTGACTGATGTAGCCATCAATTCCTGACTGATAATCAGAGTCCTCCAAAAAACCTGCAATTTTATCAAAATGTTACACAATACAACACAGTACGAAGTGTTCTAACATTGGAATTTATGGAGTTAAAGAGAAAAATTCTTCGACCTTAATTCTGCCCCGTCTGATACTTGTTAAAAATGCTTTTATACCATGTGCACTTTCTTATGGGGTCAGTAGTGCGCTGGAAATCTAAATAGGGAGCTCCAACTTCAGCAATTAATAACTCAGGTGGAGATCTCTGACAATTCGCCAGCTTCTTCTTTTTACACACAATTAATAAAAGATGTCTAATGTATATTACAATGTCATTGCAAATATTTGTTACTTAAAATCTGTTTGTTCACTATTTATATCACCGCCGTTTCGTCTAAGCTGTCTCGTATATTTTATCAGAAGGCATGATAAGAGTGTCATTCACCGATGGTGGATGACAAATACATTTGATAGTTCTCATCTCTTTAAAAGAATAAAGGTCAATCATATTTATCCCTTGGTGGATGGTGGCTAGCAGTGGAATCCAGGAGGCGCATTTCGTCCTATTTGGGACTCGTCATCTGGATGTACCTGCATTTCTCAGTGATTGATGATGTTCCCACCGAGGCTCGAACCCAGTACCCATAGTTTCAAACGCCAAAGCGTTATCCACTAGACCACTTGGGCCACGAGAGCCACCTCTTGTGCAACGGGTCATATTAATTATTGAATTGAATTCGGTGGGAACATCATCACTCACTGAGAAATGCAGGTACATCCAGATGACGAGTCCCAAATAGGACGAAATGCGCATCCTGGATTCCACTGCTAGCCACCATCCACCAATTGTATACTAACTAAATGCCCGGACATCGTCGAAGCATCTGCACAAGAAGCCGACATGTCAACCTGAGACCGAGCACTTCGGTCCAATCAATCGACGGGAAAATCAAGAATTCAATTCCATATTTATCCCTGTTTCATGAATTCTCTTTTTTTCACTTAGACATTACAAAGTGGAGAAGATGAATGTTAATAAAGGTCGTTGGGAACCTGTTGCTGAAACAACTAAGGGATTATCAGTGACTGCTAACAAACTAGAAGAAGGTCAACCATATAAATTCAGAGTAATTGCTGTTTCAAGTCAAGGGGATAGTGAACCACTTGAAAGTGAAGCAGAAACAGTTGCTAAAAATCCATTCGGTACGTTTTACCTAACTGTGTATACCCAGGAATTAGATATCACCATAAGTATTTGCTATGATGTCTGTCAATTTAAAAAAAACCGAAGTGAAATGTTCTTCTTTTTCAAGTATTGGTTTTGTAGGGATTTCGTTTGTTTGATTGTTTGGGGGATTTTATCATGAGCTGACATCAGTTAGAGAACCATTGGAAAATCTGGGAGTACTGCCAGACATATGTTTCGTCTCCCCTGGTTTGAGACTCTTCAACAGCACGTACCAACCGGGGTTCGAAACCAGGACCTTCTGGTTACGAGGCTATTGAGTTCATAGACCATTAAGCCACTGGGACCTGATCCAATGGCCCATGAATTCTGACGCTCACTAGCTACATGGCATATTCAGCCAGTTAACCTGCGGTTTTAGAGGGAAGTCGTGACCAGTAGGGTACAGCAGGTTGAAGGTGAGAACATTCACTCATCGAAGAAGACATTGCGAATTGGTCGTGCTTTGTCATGATTTGGTAGAAGTTAGAATTCACGGGACATTGGATCTGGTCCATGAGGCTTAATGGTCCACGAGCTTGCTAGCCTTGTAACCAGAAGGTTGTGTGTTTGAACTCCGGCAGTGAGCATTGTTGAAGAGTCCCAAACCAGGGCAGACGAAGTAGCCGTCTATCAAAACTTCCAGGTGCTCCAATGGTTCTCTAACTGATTTGAAATGTCTTTAACACTTTAGTAAGACTTTACTTATTCTACTACGCATAAACTGCTAAAAGGTAAGGGAATTTCAGTCAAATATGATGAAATTCCAAGTTTGTTCGTATTAGGTAAGTGTTCAGTGTTAAAGCTATAGCTGGAAGATATCTAATTGTCCATCCTTATCAATAATGACCTATAGAAGAGTACTTGAAACATCTGAAGCCTTTTTAGAAAAATCCCAGAGTTACCACAACGAAACGAAATACAGGGCAACAGTGGTTCGACTAAATTTCGCAAGTAGCTTCATTGTAATTATCCTTATTAAAGTGTAAACAGCCGTTCAGATAGTTCACTAATATCCTTTTTATAAAGATAGGTAATATCCGACTAGAAGGACCTCCTACTAAAGCTGGTGCTGAAGAGTTTCTAGGATACCTGTTAGTTACGCTGCTCGAACGACTTAGAGCTCGTCCTCGGCTTCAACTAGAAAAAATGATCTAGACTGCTGTGTGGCCATCTATTCCTCTAGTTTCAGCTTTAGCCACACCACCTGCTAACGTTTTAGCCTATCCCACCTAACCTGGTGGCTGGACTGTTCTTAACACCACTTCAACTAGTGAAGGAACAGTATAATACTTACGGCTGCTCACAGGTGTATTTTTTACGATAACATGAAGAGAGCATACAGTCACTATACAACATAGTCACCCAGCTCTTGTCTTTTCAAAATACAATCATCCACCCTGGATTTCAATCCACACAGATAAACAAACTGGTCGTTAGAGGTTCAACTGATTTGACGAACTTCTTCGACCTCCGACAAGTTCACGAAACTTTGTGATGAAACATTCATTATCAAACACTAAAACTTGGAGAATACCAAAATAATCTCCACAAAGTAACAATAAGCAGCGTTGAACATTGACCAAGGATTCACTCTCGTAATTACAATTTGTTTATTGAATTAGTTAATAAAACAGATACCTTCACTTCATAACAAAATGTCTGTAACGTTACTGATTCAACACTAAATAAAGTCTAGATGCTACTCAGATCCCAGTTTCCCTTCTGCTAGTATGAAATGTTACTTAATAAGAGTGTGAATAGAAAGCACTTGAATGACTATGTATCATCTCATTGGCTATTAAGTCATATTCTGTGTTATTTTATGACGTTGGTAAGTGGGACCATTCGACTTATAAATAGTTAGAAGAGTCTCTGTTATCTTAAGTTTAATTTTACTGGCTATCCTACCAACCAAACGTCTGAAAGCTATGAGATGTCCGTTTACTATTAAAAATGATTTGGATTTTCTTTGATACATCAAGTATAGAATCAATCAAGTGTCAGAACTATGAGTAGGTGCTTTCTATACTAGTCATATGTGAGCTCTTGACGGTTGATTGGTGTGGCTGCTAGAATGTCCTCAAAATCGGCTCTATCTTAAGAGGTGATACTAACAGCACAATACATCCATATGGCGTTAACACTGGAGGAGATTTCGTAACATAACTGTCAAATAAGTCACCAGTCAGGTGACCCTGTAGTGGGTTTGTCATTTTTTCTCCAGTCATGTTATCTTACAATAGATGGGTGACTAGTCGTCTATCCAAGATAGCCCATTAAAAAAATAACGGCAGATTTTGTTTTAAAATTTCTAAATCCCCTAAAATGATGTCAAAACCAGATAATGGAGATTTGACAACTGACAGTATTAGATATGTAGCTAAACTGCATAAACACGCAGAATTGTACCTGAATTTTACTGACTTTAAATGACATGTTGCTAAGTTATTTAAAAAAACATAGGAATATGAGTAAAGCGGTGTTTGGACACATTTATTCTAATGCAACATGTCGTTTACATACAGCTGTGTTTAATGAGCTTTTAATCTGTCACTGATAATGGGCAGTGTGTGAATTAGTCTGTTACACGATTAAGCTACAGTAGATACTTCATATACTGGGCTACGAGCCACAGATCATGGGAAGGCCGACAAATAGATGGAGTGGAAGTTGAAGCCATAATTCCTTGACTGAAAGCATAGCGCTTAAACCAATGCGCTGCATCTTTTTTGTAACAGTCCTTCACCTTTCGCGAAGTATTATTATTATTATTAGTATTACTGCTTCAAGCACAATGTAGACCTTTAATTACTTCTAATTAATTCTGACTCTAAGTATAATTCTTTGACATCAGCAGTGGTGTCTATAGTAACAATGATTTTATTTTTGTGTCTAATATGATAGTGATTTACGTGTTAACATTTTATTAATATTTTAGAGAAACCTGGTCCGCCTGATAAACCAGAGATTGCTGATTATGATCGTACTCACATAGATATAAAATGGGAACCACCAGAGGATGATGGTGGTGCACCCATTAAAGGATATCATGTTGAACGCAGAGAACCAAGATCTCAACGTTGGTTAAGGCTAACACGTGTCCCACAAGCTGAACTTACCTATTCAGATTCTGGAGTTCGTGAAGGTAAAGAATATGAATATCGTGTGATTGCAGTCAATGAAGGTGGCTTAGGAGAACCAAGTCCTCCAAGTGACTTGCAGACTGCCAAAGCAAGTCGAGGTAAGTTTTGTATTAGACATATTTGTGAATGGTACTTTTAATGTTTATTTGTAGTTGTATCACCCAAGAAAAGAATGTCAGTTCGGTGATAAGTAGGAACTAGGAATTATAGATCACTGAATTCCAACTTAATAACTGAACTCTAATGTGCCACATTCATTATTTGACGGTCGTGAACTTGACCAATTACTGGGTTATAAGTGTACACGACTGAAGAATTGAAGTAGGATAAAATGACTGTTGGTAATTCTCGACTTTAAGATGCTTTTATAGTTGATGCCGATTCGTGATCCCACTGTAGTAATACATCTGTCTGTCTTTGTAATGGGCGTTTACTCTCCACAAACAGTGTTTTATGAAATGTGCTCTAAGCAAAGCCTAGTCAGTATTTTACTAAATATCCAAAAAGTAGAAAAGAAGCGCCTCCATGAAAAATATCGTCGTGTAAATGTTCACAGTCTATAATATCTGATATTTTCTTAGTTTTTTTATTGAGGGACTACCTTCATCCTCAAATCTTCTTTTGCTAATCAGAAAAATATGAAAAATACTTGTGATTGGAGACTAGTCAGTAACTAGTGTAGTGTGTCTGGTCCTTGGTGTTTGGTGCAAACTGAATTCTGTCAGTCAAGTTTGCATTGTAGCCCCTAGGCCACTAGGTGGCTCACCATCGCAGTGCACTGTGAAATGTTGGCATTAGATGGTTGGAGGCAAATATTAGACTAGGGTTACTGAGGTTACACTAGTGACTAACTAGTCTGCAATCAAAAATATACATTACAGTCCTACAGTAGGTCAGCTACGAGCCCGAATAACTCTGTGGTAAGGTCTCTGACTGAATCATTGGGTGACGTGGAATTGGATCTCAGAAGGGACATGACTTCCTTCAAGGTTGCAGATACGTCTTGCTGATGAATGCCCATTAGCACGAAACCTAGGTGCAAGGTTTCCTACCGATTGCCTCCAACCATCTAATACCAACGATGAAGAATATACATTCCTGATTAGTAAATAATCAGACGGAAATTTACTTGTCTTTAAAAATTAATACGAATATTCTTAAAACCATAAAATCATATTGTTTTCCATTTACATTTTAGAACCGCCTAAATTGAAACTCACAGAATTACCATTAGGTTTAAAACAAGAAATACGATTACGAGCCGGTGAACCATTACATATGCCTATTCCAATCACTGGTGCTCCAACGCCTACAATAACATGGTCTAAAGATAATAAACCATTACCAGCGCATTGTCAACTACAAAATTCTGAAGAAAAAACATGCTTAGATGTGCCGAAATCTGTACGTGGTGATTCAGGTTTATATAAGATCCAATTAACAAATGATTATGGTCAAGATGAAGCAGTTGTAAAAGTTATTGTAATGGGTGAGTACACATTGGAAATTACTTCCACCAGGTTTCTCATTTGTAAATCTTGTTAGAATCAAGTCGTTACTCTCACTTATTTTCCAGATTTCTCCTAATAAACATAAATTTGACACGCTGAAAGGAAAAGACCTGGATAAAATATTTATAATAAGCTAGTCTGTTTGATAATATTGAGTAACCAATAGTTTATCAATGGAATTATAAGACTAGAAGACAAGAGACGGGAAGTTTATTTACAATTTGGTGTCTCTATATGGCGAAGTTTTTTATCCCTTTATGTTCCCAGGGGAAATATAGAGCTTCAGGCTAGTGACTTGAAGTTTCCGTAGCACTGGTGTTTATTTGTACTGGATGGGGTTGCTAAGCTCATGTCCAACCTTCCCTCTTTACTAGTCTTATTGCTGGCTTAGAGAGGTAAAGAAGTGCTTCGGTGGCAGGGGATCGCACCACGGACCACGCGAGGCGTGGCTGGCAGGCATCCTACCGCTGTGCCACCAAAGCGCCATATAGCAAAATTATGAGCACTTAACCTTCAGATCACCATTTTCATAGATCTTCCGTGTTGTGCTACTTCTGCTCTTTGCCTTCCTTCTATGTCTCCCACGTTTTACTGTAACGCTGATTGATTTTCTGTCTTTGACGTTAAATATATTTCCCCGATATTTGATATTTCCATACCGATGAAGGTCTCTTTACATACTACTGATAAATCTTATCAGTAGCACATACCACAGAATGAATTCTCATCCTGACTATTGAATATTAGCTCTGCACAAAGAGTACCACAACTAAATTTAGTACAAAAGAAAATATGTGCATACAAAAGAAGTGTAGTCTGAGACTAATAAAACATGTCGATAAATAGTTGATAAGTGCAAATGGCCAGTGAGCAGTGTAGTTATGTATTATTTTCAGTTAGGTTTATTTTATTGGTGTGTATCAGTGGCACAGTTTTGGAATGCTCACCAACCACTTAGTTGCTTTGGGATTCTCTCCCCGCTCGACTCACTCCTATACCTCGCTTAGCTAGTAATCAGACTGTTAGAGAGGGAAGTTCATGCATGAGGCTAACAACCCCATCTCGTAACAATAAACACCACTGCCATCGAAATTTCAAGCTTCTAACCTGAAGCTCCATATTCCACTGAGAATGTAAAGGAATAAAATAAATAAATATTATATAGGTGAAAAATAAAAACATTTGCTTCCGTGAGTTTCAGTCAGTGCTGAACTTCTCATTCTTATATATTTTCCTATTTCTGGTGAAGGGAACTATGGTGTCTTCTATGGAGTGGATGCCATGATCTGTTGTCAAGTTAGTTTCAGGTTAAACAGTGTAACTTAGAAACTGTCAGATTGTCAAACATTCTATTCCTTCTAAGCGAATGACTTTTATTTTAGTTTCTAAACTCACTGACAAACAAAATTACAGATTATAAAAGGAGGGTGAGGTACAAGACAAAGAGTATGTAGCTGGATGTCTTTATTCTCTCATTTGATTACGTAATCTTTGTCTTGTACCTCACCCTCCTTTTATAATCTGTAATTTTGTTTGTCTCTTGTTTCTATGATTTGAGTTCAACTCACTACATTGTTACCTAACTTATTGGTCACTATGCATCTAACGCACATCTCATCTTTATTATGTAACTCCCTTACCATTATATGCATACATTTATTTTGTTTTGACTTGAACTGCCTGTGTAAAAACTATGCAAGCGCAATTTCCTGACCACTGTTTTCTAATTGTGGAACTTTCTGTCAACTGACAACATGGAAAATGTGCAAGTATGTTAAAACGTTTCTGTACGTTAGTTAACCTCATAATTTATTTAGGCTGTAAGTGGCAGCTGATGAGAATCCAACGAAATAAGCAGTGATGGTACCATATTATTCTGCACAAACCACCACTGTTGTTCTTGCTTTATTCAAATAGACGCCTATATTTGGATAAAAGGACTTCTTTACAGAAAACTATTAATTAGTCACTAAACACTTACATTTTAAACCCTAGTCGCTTTAAAATAATAAAATTGATGAATGTATAATATAGTATGCTAAGAAAAATGTTCAACTGACAAGAACATAATTCACTTCATCGCCTAGGCAAATAAACAAATAAAAAGTTTGCTGAAATTTATGTATACACCCATATTTTAGACAAACAAAAGACAATAACTGTCGAAATCTTGATGAGTCAGACAGTAACAGAATTCGTCTTCATAAAAAAAACTTAACATATTTATGATTTATTTCAAGTTAATTTATATTTAATAGATCATAAAACTGTTGCCATGGTAATATTCTAGAATATGCTATTCCTTTGTTACAGTTTCCCTTTGTTGAAAAGAGAAACTTCATGTTTTTCAGTTGATTACATCATACAGAAAGGATAAAGTACTGGTGTTATCTACTGTTAACAGCTGATTCGTAAGATTAACTCGATATTTGTGTCATGTCTGTCCACAATGAGCAGTGCACTTTTTAATTTCCAGAAAAAGTTTGAAACTACTGGTGTTATCCAGATGTCATATCCAGACGACGTAGAGCGCCCTTATTCGTAGCCATTTCGGTTAACATAAATGTTTAGTCTAACACGAACACACAAATAGACGGTGATAAACGCTGGAAACACCAAAGTCCAGAGTGACATAGTTAGAAATGACATTTTTTGAGAATAATATATTCAGTTAATTTAGGAAAATGCTTGGTTCATATCCGTTACGTAACATATAGAAAGCGATGCTAGAAAACTAATTAGTTCAGATGCAAATTCATTTACAATTCATCGATAACTTTTATCCAATTAGCCAACTTAATTTGACAAATCACAAAATGATAACACGAATTTAAAATGTATTCATTTATTTATGATGCTATATACTACTGTTTGAGTTATATAAGTAGTTGTATATAGGTCACATCAAATAGTAGTGCTAATTAGCCATACTGGAGTGATCTAACTAATAAAACTCTGGCTAGCTAGAACTGGCTGTCGAGCACCACGTCAATCAGTCAGTGGTGTATTATAGCTTGCTTTCTTGATTGCAGTCTATGGTATCAAGCAGATCAATACTGTGACCTGGATAATGTCAGTTTCTAAACGACATTTCGGTAAAATTTCACCTCGAACTGAGTGAATTGCAAATCGGGAATTAATTCTCGAAACTGCTCATTTAGTTTATGAATTTACAATGAAAACGAAACTTTACTAAAATATCCTCGTTTATAGTATACCAAGCGACCACACCACGTTGAAAACACTGATTCTCACCCGATCACCTAAGTTAAGCCACATTAGCACTTGCATGAGTGACCCACTGGGAATAAAGAGTGTTGCCGGCTTTCTCTGCGGCCTTCATGGCCTAGTGGATAGGGATTTGCATCGGTAGTTCTGGGGTAGAATGCTCTCCACCCACGCCACACATCGTTCGGGACTTCATCCTCTGCCAACGCACTCCTAAACCTCACTCTGCTGGTAATAAGCCCAGTAAAGAGGGACACTAGTAACCTCACCCCGTAAAAGTAAAACCACTGATATCGAAACTTCAAAGCTCTAGCTTGAAGCTCCATGTTCCACTCAAAAGGTAAAGGGGTAAAATAAAATGGTAATAATCAATAAATACTATATGGCACTTAAATTTAAATGTGCTAAAGAGGCTAATATGCGTCAATGGTTCACTGGCCAGCCAAGCAAGTGGTCCGGGGTTCGATTCCCGTCCGACGCACTCCTAAACTTCATTTAGCCTGTGGCAAACCCGGTAAAGAGAGAAGGATGGGCGTGAGGCTAGCAACCCCGTCCCATTAAAAAACCATTTCTACTGAAATAAGAATAAAACTTGTGCACTGTGGTAGAGTGTAATTCCAATTTCTACTGAAACTTCAAGATTCTAGCTTGAAGCCCTTAATTCCACTGGGAACACGAAGGAATAGAATAAAAATAATAATAACAATAAATAGCTAATATATATATATATCCTTCCACTGTTTCCCTCATTTTATGAATATCATTCACTTTTTAAGTACTTTTATTAACAAAAGAATAGAAAGTTAGTGTTCGACCCTCCATAGGTTCCTGAGACGATCACAACATGTTGTAAACCATTCACTTTGTAAACACTCCAGTAAAAGCCCTCAATATATGCATCCTAGTCAATATGTAACAAGCATTAAGAAGTTGTACGCATAACTTCCTGTGATCAGATAAGACAGGTATAATAAATAGATGAGCCTTTTACATACTATGCATCAATGCAGAATTTATTACTGCAATGACATTCCCCTTAAATTTAGTTGAATGAAACCAATATCCCAGTCAATTGGTGGATGGTGACTAGCAGTGGAATCCAGGACACACATTTCGTCGTATTTAGGATTCACCAGTTATTTGAATGAATAGAAAAGTCTAATTAATAAAAATAAACCTTTATTTCACATATATATATATGTCTGATTTCCCACAAACTGGAAGATATGCAAGTGAAAAGCAACGAGCTGGCAGAACAAGCATCAAAGATAGGACTTCAAGTGAACATAGATAAAACAGAGGTGATGAAGATTCCTGGCCAACAACAACAGCAACAACAACATCAACAGACAACAATCTGCCAGCATAAATGGGGGGAACCTGAGAGAAACAACCTCCTTCACCTACCTACCTACCTGGGAAGCATCGTTTCAACTACAGGCGGACGAAACTGACGAGGATATCAAAGCCAGAATCTGGAAAGCAAGACAAGCTTTCATTACTCTCAAGTCTGTGTGGAGATCAACAGCCCCACTCAGCATCAAAAATAAGATCCGGATTTTCAACTCCAATGTGAAGTCAGTCAGCGCTAATCTATGCGGATCAGAGACTTACACTGCGCGTCATAAAGAGCATCTCAAACAAACTACAGACCTTCATTAACAGCTGTCTTCGCTCAATACCCAAGATCAGATGGCCAGCCAGAAAAGATCAGCAATAGGGATCTCTGGCAATGAGCGAACCAACCCAGCAGGAACCGATTGTGAAACAAATAGGCAAGAAGAAATGGAGATGGATTGGCCATACAATGAGGAAACCATCAAGTGACATCACTAGACAAGCCATTGCTCGAGTGGAACCCGACGGTATAGGAAGCGGCGAGTTGGTCGTCAATGCAAGGGTGACTTGGAGGAGGTCATGTGAGGAGGAGATGAAATCATGTGGGCAGACTTGGAGCGGGGTGAAAATGTTGGCAGAAAACCGAAGGCAATGCAGATGCGCGGCTGAAGCTCCTTTAGGAATTAAAGGAAATAATTATATATATATATATATATATATATATATGTATATATATACATATATATATGCACATGATTTATACAACTACTATTATTATTATTATTGTTATTGCCATTTTGTGACCAATCAAGAATTATACCATTTGTATAGGGACCCTTTTCTTTTTTAAGAAAACTATTCATCTATTCTTTCCACTATACAGTGAACATCTACAGATGTCTGTCATCTTTAAAAGTCAATGAAAAAAGCACAACAGCAACAGTAGCAGCATATATCTAGTCATGGTTTACAAAAAAAACCAACAAACAAAGAATTAAGGAGTAGATAAGAAGAGACGATGTAACTAAACAAGATATGTCCAGTAATTAATTGGTAGTGTATTCATAATCATTTTGCCAACCAGTAGGCTATTATTCATAATTTAATTAATCTAAATATGGTTAGAAATAATAACAATATTAATAAGATATAATAGTTAAACTACTATATTGTCTTGTTATTAGTAGTATGTGTTTGGGCAATCAGTATTACACCTGAAAAAGAAATCCTGCTGTTATTATTGTTGTTATTTACCGAGAGAAGAAGAAGAAGAAAACACAAAATAGAATATCTTGTGAAGTAGTCTTATTCCTCTTAAGGGATTTGTAATATATACACTTGTGTGTGTATGTGTGGGTGTGGTTTAGTATATATTAGTTTTAGGATTTCATCATTAACTGATATCGGTTATTGAACCATTGGAAAACCAGTACTGGACTACTGGACAGCTGTTTCGTCCTAGTTTGAGACTCTTCAATAGTGCGTACCCACCGGTCGTGATCGGTCCCGTAAACAACATAATCCTTGCAAACCAACATTTGATATATTTATATCAACAGAAAGTCCTGGGCTCGAACACTGGCAGTGGGTGCGCACCGGTGAAGAGTTACAAAAAAGGAAGAAACAGCCGTCTAGCAGTACTCCCAGGTTTTTCAATGGTTCTCTAACAGATATGAGCTCATGATGAATTCCCCCAACCAATTAAACAAATTCCTTACAAACCAATACTTGAAAATTTTCAGTATCTAACCGCATTTAACCACATTAATATTACAAAATGAATTCTTAGGATCAATTTTGAAAGTTACTCTCATGCGAAGACAATCAATCCTAATAGCTGACATCATAAGTGAGAAATTTTAATGTAGACTTTGTCATGAACCAGCACCACCACTTTGAGATCACTGAAAATCAGGAAATACTGGACAGTGAGAGTCAGTTGGGATGCGTCATGTCAAGGTAAAGTGAATGCTTATTGGTTCAGGTTAGTACCGTATCACTAAGGAATAGAAGTTATAATTCACGTGTCACTGAATTCTAGCCCAAGTAGTCGAACGGTCAGTGAGCTCAGTCGTGTAGCCCAGAGGTCCCAGGTTCGATCTCTGGTGGGTGTGCACAACTGAAAAGTTCAAAAATAGGACAAACCGGTCATCCAGTGCCTTCTGTTTTTCAGTAGTCTCTAACTAATGTTGGTTTGTGATGAAATCGAAGTGTAAAAGTTGATATTAGTTATTCTATCAGCCTCAGAAACCTTAAATCCTAATATTTCCGTTTTTATTTTATTCTATTTTTTTTTGTATTCACACAGTTTTCCATTATTAGGAAATTTTTTTGACGCGATTTTAAATGGAATCCCTGTATTTGTGTGTCAGTAAAACTGATTCCTGATGGTTGCATACCTTAGAGTCTAACAACGGCCCACCTTTTACAGCTATCTATTTAGTTTGTTATTCTAAAATGAAGTTACATTCTGTATCAAAATGTAGTCCCTTTATAGCCTTCTCAACCACTCTTCATCCTGAGAATAAAAGTGATATTCATGATACATTATAACACAGTAACCATAAAAATGTTGGTGTTGGTTTGCAGGGATTTCATTCATTACAGGATTGATCACTACCCGGTAGGTGCGTACCGGTGAAGAAGCCCAAACTAGTGGGACGAAATGGCTGTTCAGTACTCCCAGGTTTCCTAATAGTTCTATAACTCACGTCAACTCATGACCAGTCCTATAATATTTGATGGTATTAAATGGTTGAAGGCAATCGGTAGGAAACTTTCCAGCTACGTTTCGTGCTAGTTGGCACTCACCAGTTAGCAAGGCGTATCCACCACCTCGAAGGATCTCATGTCCCTTCTGAGATTTACACCCGCGTTACCTAGTGCCGCCTGCAGTCAGAGACATTACCACTGAGCTATTTGGGCTGACATCTGCCCTCCTCCACGATTGTACTGGATAAACCTGCGCATGAAATAGATTGGCTTCTACATTTCGGATAACCTGCTTGTCACATAAATAGCGGATCTAAGAGATATTTTTATAAGTACAAAACATAGAGAAGGAAAACATCCATGAAGAGTCTAACTGTACTGCTTAACGATGTTAACAACATATACAACACTAATAATATCTTTCTCTTCATCAAAAAATCAATACAGTCAACCAATAGAATTAGAATTAAAGTCGAAAGGATTATCGATCTAAAAAAGATACAAAACAGACAATTTACTTCCTACCTTTTATTATATTATTACCAGAAATATAAGATAAATAAATTTAAATGTTCAACACTCCACAGAATTTAACTTTAAATACCAAGATGATAAATCACACTTTATTTCTGAAGATAGAATGGCTGAATGAAATATGTAAAATATTTGTCATTATTTTTATCAATGTTTAGAGGCAACTGATCTATTTATCTTACTCCGTTTTGTATTGTTATTGTCTATACAAATGCACTTTACTCGTCCTTATTATACACACACACTCACAAACACATACAGAAATTTTAATGAATGAGTGATTAATGCAGACAACTGTTCGCCGATTTAAACAAATACACTTCTTTGTGTGTTTGTGTGTGTATGTATTTGTGGAATGTCCAATCCTTCTTGAACATTCATTGAATACTGTCGGTCTAATCCTGTTTATCTCTTATTTCTGTAAAGAATCATAGATGTGTGTGTCTGTGCTTAAGTGTATGGATGTGGGTGTGTGTGGACGAACCCGTTCAACTTTATTCACTATTCTTGTTTCTAATTATAGTGGTAGTAGTTATAACACTGTGCGTCGGTGGCATAGCAGTTAGGACACTCGCCAACCATGCACATGGTCCGGGGTTCGATTCCCGGCCACCGACGAACGCCTTTACCTCGCTAAGCCAGAAATAATGCTGGTAAAGAGGAAAAGTTGGACATGAGGCTAGCAGCTCCATCCTGTAAAAATTGAACACTGCTACAGAAACTTCAAGCCACTAGCTTGAGGCCCTATGTTCCACTGGGAACGTGAAGGAGAAAAGAAGAAGTAATAATACTAACGGTAGCCATTTTTTTCAACATTTAGATAAACCATCTGCACCAAAAGATGTAGAAGCAGTCGATGTATTTGCTGAATCGTGTAAAGTAATCTGGAAATCACCAGAAGACGATGGTGGAACACCAATAACAGGTAGTTTTTTCTTTTTTCATTTTGTGTATGTGTTCAATGAATTATGGAACAATTGTTGTTAAAAAATCTTTTGTTTAAATTCGCCTATTTTGTTGTGTTTTTTTTAATTTCAATTCACAATTAGTCATTCATTCTCTAGGGTGAAGGCTTAGGTAGTACTGAAAATAAAGACAAATAAAGGTATAATAATTAACACATCTACTTGTTTTATTTTAGTAAACTAACTGGTGAATCAGTCGTAATGAAAAGTTGCATATGCATTGATTTTATCTAGGTTATGAACCGTGTAAATTTTGGAAATAACACACATACATATATATATGTATCCTGGATGATAGATCATTAATCAGCGCATTGATTGACTATTATATATATTTCATGAATAAAGATTTCTTTGTAGGACACAAGAGATTTTTGCTAATCTGTTTGTCTTATGAACTTATCTTTCTAGCATTAGTTTTAAAAAATAGAGATATATCCATGATTATCATTATTTTCATTGAGTTTGTAAATATGCAGCAACGATGAAAAGGAATAATCACAATAAAAGCATATGCAGATTATCATCAATAGTTGGGAAGCACACATATCACACAGTAGTTCTAGCTGACCAAACCAGAGAGATCTTTCAGAATTTAAATAATTAGAAAATGATACCACAAGTAGAAAATGTTAGTTCTTCATAAATCCAGTCGACCTTTGGACGATGATGATTTGGAGACAGTTAATATCAATGTTCAAACTACTTCGACCTGGCCAACATGCATCACTACTGGTTTGAGTGAATAACTTCTGAATGTTCATATATAAATCGGTAGCATATGTCACCTTGCTATTTTGTTTGCTTTCTAGATCATCCGTTATGATATTTATCAGATCACAAGTTGAGATTTGAATACTTTTGGTTTCCAAAGGAAACCTCTATGAATTTTCACCTCAAACTGCGTAATTTGTGAATGATATTGATAACAAACAGTTTATCACATCATTTTTGAACTTCTGAAATTGTGGAAATACATTTCAGCATTCTGCATCAGTGTAGAAACTATTGTATTACACTCCTCTACTTCGACAGTTACCTTATGATAAGTTCGGCTGTGATGACTTCAGACAGTTTATGTTTGAAAAAATTAACATCTATTGGGAAAACATGGTTGTTTTCATTTTGGAAATTCTTAACTTCTAGAAAAATACCAGGTTATTTAGTTAAACTGTTTATGATCAGCTTTAAAGTGGCGAATTTTCCACTCGTCGTATCATAAGTTAATTTTAAACAACATAACGTAATTCTTGGAATAATAGAGAAGATTTGTAGCTCAGGTAGATGATTTGGAAATAGTTATGTTTTCTGAACTGGTTGGTTTGACTGCGAAACATTCGTAGTCCATCTGGACAACATATTCAACGCAGGCTTTAGTAGGATGAAAGGAATGGATATAATTTTATCTCCTGACAACCATTCTCGTGGCTGGTTGTTAATTTACTTCCCTATTGATCATATTTTTATTGACTTGGAATTCGAACTGCCTTGTCATGTGGTGTGAGTCACTTTTTATTAGCGGATGGTAAATTTAGTCTATATTAGTATGTTTGTAAACTACTTATCTATCAAAATGGACGTCCCCTTCGAATACGAAACCACGTACACAAATTAGCTGTGTAAAGATATGATATATATTCTTTCATATCAATGCGTGTAGATAATTATGGACATCAATTTGATTCGGATGATGTCGAAATTTTAAATAGAGGAAATGCCAGACAGTAATACCAGTGGATCTCTAGAAGCCTGGTTGGTACTCAAATGAATCAGCCAGCGATTTACAAACACACCACTACAGATCAAATTTACCATCAGCTAATAAAAAGTAAATCACACCACATGACAAGGCAGTTCGAATTCCAAGTCAATAAAAATATGATCAATAGAGATGTAAATTAACAACCACATACGACAATGGTTGCCGGCGACGCAATTATAACATTCATGGAGAATTCAAATGAGTTCGTTTCATACTAAAACCTGCGCTGAAGATGTTGTCTAGAAGGTGGGCGACGAAAGCTTCTCAATTAAACCAACCAGCCCACAGTACACAACTAATTCCACACAGCATAATTCTAATTGAAGAAATATACATCACTTTGTAACAGTAAAAAACAGTCATTCAGGTAGCCGCAGTTTTTAGGCTACAAATATGTAAAGCACAGATTCCAATACTCGATCATCAACCAACTAAAACTATTCAGAAATTCAGTGTAAGTTATCATTTTCTGTGAAAGAAGAGAAATCTCTTAAAGCAGTTTACTGCGTATAAATACCAAAAAGAAATCCGCTGTATATACAGACAGATTGAAGTAGTGAAATCAGAAATGAAATCTATTCACTAGTAGGATTTTAAACTTATATGTAGTCAGGTAAAGACAAATCACATGTTCCATGTGACTGGTGGCAACTACCCTTAAAAGAAGTTAGTGTCCCAAAGAAAATAAAGATATATATATATGTATATATGTACAAGAGTTGTTTTGTAAGGATTGGATTTGTTTTTCAAGTTCGACCACGGATTAATATTAGTTAGAGAACTATTGAAAACCAGGTAGTTGTGTACTGGGCTGCCGTTTCGTCCTATTTTGAGACTCATCGACAGTACGCGTCCACCGGGGTTTGACTGAGGAAAAAATGTAGCTGACGTATAATCTTGTTGGCGTGATCAAGTAGTATTTGTAATCAACGCATCTGTGTCTAGCAATGGCGTCCCAATCCTATCTCAATCTCAAACTATTGCTAAACATTAAGAGGGTTGCAACATCATAAAACCTAATGAAGTCATAATTCCATTTCGAGTGCAAAGCACATGGTTATTCAACTTGTAACAATCAGTTTAATAATAGATATTACCGACTTTTTTTCGATCAGAAATACCCTACATTTGTCTGCTGAAGTATTATGCAAGTCAGCTCATACTGAAACTTCCACTAAAGTTGACGTTGTGTAATCCTGTTATCAGAATTTATCTATCATTCACATCTCGACTTCTAAACGCAAAATAAAATAGACGAAGAACGCAGCCTCTTGGAACATCTTTAGGGTGCATATATCTGTTTTAGATCAGCCGGGGGAGTTTCACGATTTGATCGACTGCAATCAACTCTCCATACTATTTCAGAATTTCCTGAATTACCCGGTTGCGTGACAAAATTTTACAGCGTTACACAATTAGATCACCATATTAATTTTTACTATTCTAAAAAATTTTAGATTATCTTGTTGAACGATGTGATGAATTGGGGATTTGGGAAAAGGTTCCTGGACTAGTTTCAGACAATTCTATAAATGTGAAAAATTTAACTAAAGGAAAGCAATATCGTTTTCGTGTATTTGCTGTAAACGCTATTGGCAATAGTGAACCAGGTGAAACGAAAACAGCAATACTTGCGAAAAATCCTTATGGTAAGTCTAACAATTTTACTATATTCTGAAATATTCATGAAGTGAATTTGTTCCGATTGATGATGAATTTAATTTTGATTTTAATCCTTTACTTTCTGAGTGGAACATAGGGTTTTAAGCTAGAGCTTTGAAGTTACGGTAGCAGTGGTTTTACTTTTACGGGGTGGAGTTACTAGCCTCATGCCCAACCTTACCTCTTTACCCGGTTTATCATCAGCCAAGTGAGGTTTAGGAGTGCGTAGGCCGAGGACCGAACCTTGAACGGCGTGGAACGTGATTGGAGAGCGTTTTCCCCCCTGAACCACCAACTCACCCTCCGAGCGGCGAATTAACTATTAACTAGTTGTAATACTTTCACTTCAAATGGCAAGGTTTGTAAGTATCAAGCCATGAAAATGAAATTATTATTATTATTATTGTTCCTTTGGGTTCCTAGAGGAACATACGGTTTCAGCCGCACGTCTCCACTTGCCACTTCTGTCTTCCTTCTGCTGTACTTTTCACCTCCATCCATGTCAGTTAGTCCATACTGTTTCAACCCCTCTTCACACCATCTCCTCCATGTCACCCTTGCACTGACCTCCCACTCATGGCTTCCCTTTCGGTCTGGTACCACTCGAGCCATGACCTGACACGAGCGCGATTTCATCCAGTGGCCTCCTCAGTGGGTGTGTGTGTGTGTCCAATCCATCTCCACTTTCTCCTGCATATTTGTTGGTTGGCGATTGCTTCTTGTTTTGTTTCTTTGTTCCCAGCCATAGTTTCTTGTAGGTGATTGATTCTTTCCGGCCCGGCCATCTGATTGATCTTCAGTATAGGGCCAGCGAAGACTGTTGTTGATAAACGTCTGGTCTGCAACAGGCTGTTGGAAATATTCTTTGTGACCCACCCACCAAGTTTCTGATCCGTATAGAAGAACTGACTGACTTGACGTTTGCATTGAAAATCCGACTGAATTTTGTTGTTGATGCTAAAATATTATTCTATACTCTTCAGATTTGACGCTATGGGCAAATCTGTCCTCGCAAATAAGGCATTGAAACTGCTAAACTTTTTCTCAACAATTAATTCATTTTATTAGACAAAGCTGAATAGCTCAGTATTGGCATTTCTGACCATCTCACTAAATGAAACAAGTTTGAATATTTAAGTGGAAATAACTCATCTGGATATCGCAGAAAGAACACAATTGTATTAGCTTACAATTATCAACTTTACTAAAGAAACCAATGACCAAGATACATATGTTCCATTCAATAGTTCTCTAGGTGTTGTCGCTTTCCGGTGAATTCCGCCTCAAATCTATAAATTCTAGGCAAATACATGCATTCACTAAACACAGAAGCAAGTGTTATGCTCCTACATAATTGAAATTAGCACTGAAGGATAATTCTTGAAAATACAGATTGTCTCTTACACAATGTAGCTGTATTTTATAACCAAATTTAGTTGATAAATTAACATACATCCAACACCGCAAGTAAAAGGTTTCTTGAAATGAAATATTGAAATTAGTTCTGAAGCCAAATTTGAGAAACTACAACTTCGTGATGAAATGATCAATGAAGTCAGTGTGATTAAATCTTATTCAAGTATACGTGATGGTGATAATCTCATTATGTATTCAGGGAATAGCAGACGGATAGTTTATTAGTACGATATACTATTTGTCTTAGCTGATGGCGGCTAGCGGTGAAATCCAGGAAACGCTTACTGTCCATTCAGAGTGGATGATTTGAAGAGGCTGGCTATCTTTGACCATAGATGTTTACGTTGTATTCCCCGTGTTAAGTGATTCAATATGGTGAGGTTAGGCGTAAAGTAGTGTGTAGGTGGCACAGCTGTAGAATGCTCACCAACCACGTCTCATGTGGTCCGTAGTTCGATTCCCAGCCGACTCACTCCTTTACCTCACTTAACCAGTAATAAGACCGGTAAAAAGGAAAAGTTGGATACGAGGTTAGCAACCTCATTCTGTAAAATAAACACCATTGCTACCAAAACTTCAAGCCTCCAACTTGAAACCCTATGTTCCACTAGGAACGTAAAGGAACATAAAAAGGCGTAAAGTACTAGGTAAGGTAGAGAAGTAGGCCGATAAATTTGTGAAGCTACATCAGTTGAGATGGCTAGGGCTCGTACTACCCAGTGCCAAACCACCATCTTCCTCGATGAGCAGTGTTAGCTAACACAAAAGTAGGTTGAAAGAGAGTTAAGAATAGTCAAAACAAAATTAGGTATCACTCTATGAAGCATTTAACAGTTAGTTTGAGGCAGGTCGGTACGTACAGGCTACCTAATCGGGTTTGTTGCGATGCCAAGAACCACTGACTAGAGGCTACTGGAGTAATGGCTCAAAATCGTTCTCGATGGAGCAGATGCATTCACTGTTTGTGATTTTCGATATCCAATAAAATCCTCATGTTTTTCCATGTTGGTATACTTTCTGCTGGACATTTCCACTTATTGTAGCTCTTTTAAATCTCTTTATTCCCTGTATCTTTGCGTACCATGGGAAGTGTGTTCACTTGAACTGTTTCACTAATGGGAAAAGGCCTATATTGGAAGCCTCATACAAGTATGATACCCTGTGTGCAGTACAGTTACACAGTGTTGTACCACTCTTCAGTTTTGGCTAACTTGTATTATACATTTCACCGAATAAATTGTATTATTACTAATGCATCTGTATTTATATCAGCAATAAAGTATTATTACCTCGATAATTTTTTTTTTCATTTAGATCCTCCTGGTGCACCAGAAAACTTGAATATTGATGAATTTGATAAACGTTCAGTGAAACTGTCCTGGAAACCGCCAGCAGATGATGGTGGCAATCCAATAAAAGGTAAGTACTCCTAAAAGTACAGAAAAATGTGAGGATGCATGTCTTACATGTCTTATATATTATAGGATTCTATTGAATAGTGTATATACGTAAGCCGGTCAACTAACAATAGCTGAGATCTTTTACTGAATGTTGTACTATAGAGAGACACACAGAGAGAGAGAGAGATAATAGATACCTTCAGGTATTAATCTTTAGTAAATGGGGTTGTCAACGTCATCACCAAATAATATAAAGAAATTAGAAAATTTACGAAGACCGACCCATCTTTTGTAGCTAGCTAACTGTCTGCTTGTATTTACCATTTTCACCGTCGACAATATTATGTTTTTACATTGTCAAAAAGGAGAGAAGAAGAAAATAATCTACAAAATTGACGCCATTATAAGTATAAAATAAAAATGAAACTTTTACTGCATAGGACGATACTCCACAAATGTACTTTATATTTATTTTTACTAAATTATTATTATTGTTATTATTATTGATGATTTGAAAAGGGTGAACTGTTGGTATCCAACTTATAACCTTGATGACATCATTCCAGAAATGAAAGAAAAAAAATACCAATCATTGAACAGTTTAGATTTCAGTAGTATAAGAAAAGACTTGCTGTTTTTTTTTTAGAAAAAGTCTTTCATACATAGAACCATTTAAAATGCTATTAGGCAGGGTAATATGAAGGAATTCTTATCATCCACTCGTATATTCAAGTATTACTTTCAGTGTACTAGAAAGTTGTGTGAATTTTTGCCATTGTTTTCAAAATGTCAGTACCGAATACAATATCTAATTATATTTCTCAGTGTAACTTCTTTAACTGATATTTCATTTCCTGTAATACAATTTACTGCTAGTTAACGTTCACTATATAAAAGGTAGTATCATGTTTAGTAGTAGTCAAACAAATACACGTTTAAAGGATGTCTAATGTTATGAACGGAAGATAGGTAGTGGTACTATTCTAGAAATATTTCAGGTCATAGGTCAAATTTTAAAAAAATTACACTGTGTAATAATCTGGAAGGTCGGGTAGGAAAGATATGATTAGTCAGAAGTGGTTTTACAGCGACTCAGACAAGTCATCTTAGAAAAGAATGGATATCCTCCAAGATTTACGGAGAAAAAAATGAAGAAGGTGCCGAAGAAACTGCTATTTATGAGCGTTGAATTTAAAGGGGATACCACTGCTGAGATCCTGAAGAATTGTTTATGCAGATCACTGAGAAAAGCCTTCTTTACGGCTGAGCTACGGATCAATTTCTACAGCCGACAAATGATCAATGGATATGTGAAGGATTATATGCCGCTTTTTGGCAGTTCAATGTATCTTTATAAATTCATCTGCTCGTGTAGAGCTAGTTATGTTGGCCGCCCACATAAAGCGCACACTTTCCAAACACATCTCTGAACATTATCTGGTATGGTTAGCAAAAGTACACTGCAAGACAGTTACTAGCTCAATTATCGAGCACTTGATGAACTCAAGCCACGTAGATCCACCACAGTCGTCTTTCAAGATTTTCTACAACGTGAGGCAAAATGGTACAAAGGGTGTCAGGTTTCGGCATTTGTGTATGGTAAAGGCGCTGGTAATTCTTCAATACAACCCAGAACCCTGTATACAGAAAAAGTTTGTCCAGTCTCTTATTCTACCATGGTCTTAACCCCTCCACTAGTCATTCCCTGTAAAAAAAAACTTTATTTTTTAATTTTCAATTTTACTTTCAGTTTGCTTGTACTTTCATAATTAATTCACCATTATCACTCTTATATGCTCCTTCTGTACATACTCACACTGGTTAAATTGACATTCAACCACGTTTACTCTCACTCAATAACAATGTTAAGCTTATCAAATTTTTAATCCTTTCTTCTTTCATGCCGTCGAGTACTACGTAATTCACAACTTTTATTTTTACTTTTAAAGCCACTTCTGAGTAATTATATCTTATTATGTCATTCCACCCCTACCTTCTTGATGTCTAATCTGTTGTATAACATGACACTCATAAAACTATAAATGCAATCTATTTTCTAATACTTCTTTTTAAGGTTACCTGATTGAAAAAAGAACAGCCAGAGGAGAATGGCGTAAAGCAACTGCATCACTTGTTCCGGGTACTGAGGCAACAGTTACTGGTGTGGAAGAAGGTCAAACGTATGAGTTTCGCGTTAGCGCTGTTAACGATGCTGGACCTGGTAAACCATCTAAAGCAACTCAACCACATTTGGTTAAAGATCCAACATGTAAGTTGAAGATATTTAAACAATTTTCAACGTGTATATATATATATATGAACTTATATGACTGTTTTTCTACCCTTGACTGTTTTCACTGAGTAAGCATTGTACATTGTGTTATTTGCTTAAAGATTATACAAGTCGAAATCTATACATCCAGCGAATTACCCAAGTTTATCGACCGTATGTGAGTTCTTTCCTCTCCTCAGATTTGAGTACTTTTCAAATCAGGAAGTCTAGTGTTCCCTTTGTGATAAAATAGAATTTTTTTATTACAGCTTGATTACACACTGTATTTTTGGTAAATGTATGGGATTTTCAGCATACGATATCGGTAGCCCAAATTTTGCAGGCCGACCATAGATATCGGGTGTGCGTCGGCAGAGGATCGAACCTCGGATCATGTGCATGGTCGGCGAGAGTCCTAACCACTGTGCCACCGACGCACTCTTGTCTAGACAGAAGAAATTCACAAGGACTGTTCAAAAGTTTCACCGCAATATTTCAAGAAAAGTCCTTGAAATACTAACTACGTAAATATTATTTTCCCACTTGTAGAATATTTTTTTCCTTCACGTTCCCCAGTGGAACATAGGGCTTCAAGCTAGTGGCTTGAAGTTTCTGTAGCACTGTTTATTTTACGGGATGATGTTGCTAGCCTCATACCCAACCTTCCCTCTTTACCAGCATTATTTCTGGCTTAGCGAGGTAAAGGAGTGCGTCGGCCAGGGATCGAATCCCGGACCATGTGCATGGTCAGCGAGCGTCCTAATCGCTATGCCACCGACGCCTCTTGTAGAATATTACTTGTCTTTAAGGTCAATCAGTGCAAAAGACTTGTAATCAGAACTTTTAGCTTTCTGCATATTACCTGATAATTACTCAAAATAATATTCCAACATTTAATTGGTCCTATTGTATATTTAGCTTACCTGTGAAGCTAAATTTATGAATCTTCTTATATACATGAAAACATAAAAGAACCTATATAATCAAAGAGTATATTAATCCAGGTCAATGAATGAAGGAAAGTAACTCAAAATAACACAAAACTAACGAAGAAGATATTAAAATTGAGATTTGGATGACTATTTTCATTGTAAATTACGTCACAAACTACAATAGATTATATTGTTACTGGAGACCAAGGAGCATTGGACAACTGTTTCGTCCTAGCCTCGGATTCTTCATCAGTGTACACGACGCATGACCCTACCTAGGATCGACTCTGGAACCTTCAGGTGACCAAGCCAGGTCGTTGACTCTATTAAGATTAGTTTAAGATGATTTGATTTGATAAGTATTAGTCTATCAAACTAAGGCTACCTCAAATATTCTTACCATGTATTCGTGTATGTATTTACTTTTTTCAAATCAACTTTGATTATAAAGTTATATTTGTAAAATCTCAGCGAAATTGAAATGATTAATTCCAACGTTTTGTTCGGCAATCTAGTCCGAACTTCTTCAGGGAAATTAATCGGACCAGATTGCCGAACGAAACGTTGGAATTAATCATTTCAATTTCGCTGAGATTTTACAAATATAACTTTATAAATGTCTACTTCTCACTCAGCGCTCAATTATTTTGCAACTATCCGGTCAAATCTTGATCACAGTTCGTATGAACAACTTTGATTATTACTGTATAATATTGTTCAGCACACATCTGAGATACTCCATGGTACTCCTAAACTTGTTACTTTCTACACAAATCAAAATAACAGTTAAGATTGCTGCTTTGCCTTCTACCTGACAGCTTCAACGTTTCGTTCTTCTTATATCTACTGACTCATTTAATTATGCCATAGTGCAAACATTAATGACTTATTACCTGGTGTAACAACAGAAGACAAGGGCCAGGCAACAGATCGTTTTATTATGAAAATCACGTATTTATACATATTTCACATACATTATTATAGACAAGCGCAGTCATCTGATTGGTTGTTTATCAGAAGTTAGGTAGACAAACGCAGGCTTCTGATTGGTTGTTTCGGGATTCCTTGACAAATAGAGTTCTCTATCTGCGAATCATATTTTGCCACGTTAACTTTGCTGTGATTGGTTGTTGACTCAGCCTTGTTCATATTTTCTCAAGGCCCATATTAACGTAGCTTAGTGTCAACCAATCGGCTAGCAGCCTGCTCTCACCACACTGGAACCTCGTTTCTTCAATCACTGAGACACAGGAAAATCCAAGTATAACGCGAAATATATATATATATATATATTACTTTCATTGGACACTGAATAGCAACCAGAATCATGCATCTGTTCCTATGTTTGTTGCAGACTGAATTCTATCAATTAAGTTTACAATGTGGTCACCATGCTAGGTGGCTTGCTATCACGGTACACTCAGAATTGTTGTTAGATGGTTGAAGGTAATCGTCAGGAAGCCTTGCGCCCAAGTTTTGTACTTGTTAGCACTAACAGAATCTAGTGTTAACCAAATAGTGGACTAGATGCATAACATTAGTTCCTGCCTAGTGGGTTCGAACCATGGTGGTGGATGCGTACTGTTGAGCAGTCCCAAACTAGGATGGGAGAAACAGCTGTCCAGTACTCCCAGATATTCCAATGGTTCTCTAACTGATGTCAGCTCATGATGAAATCCTCCAACCAATCAAACACAATCTCTACAAAACCGATGCTTGAAAATCCAATCAAAGTATCCTTTACAGTCTTACAGAAGGTTAGTCATAAGCTCAGTGGTAATGTCTCTGGCTGCAGCACTGGGGGACACAAGTTCCTTCAAGATTGCAGGTACGTCATACTGATGAGTGCCGAAAAGCGCGAAACCTAGATGCAAGACTTCCTATAGATTGCTTCCAATCACATAAGAATGTATATATGCATATATAAGACAAGTTTAAGTCATAACTGAATGTAAACATGCATGTATACATACACTTCGCTTGTTATTTGATTGATATATAAGAAAAACATTTATTTACTTAAAACAATTAACTTTTGGACGAAAGTGATTCACTGCTGAAGAACAACTATGAAAGCATCACTACACAGGTTAAACAAACACAAATATGTTTTGCTTCTTCCTCTTTTTCATCTTGATCCTATCAGATATTATCTTGACTTGTATGTATTATATGAATGTATCACAAGGTTAGCATTATTTACAAATATTTAAATCAGTGTGTATAAACAAACAGGTTTATTATACGCGATATCAAGTAATCTAGTAATAATCAATCCACTTTATTAACTAATGATTGACAATGAACCAACTATCTGTTGATGCCATACATATATATTGTTAGCTAGACATTTGAATGAAGGCTATATATATATATATATATATATATATAGAGACAACAGATTCACTCTTTTTTTGGCTGTTAAAGAAAAGTGTTAGTTGAAGACATTTCTAGCGCTAAATAGTATACGGAATTATATTAATATTTCATCTAGTCAAGTGTGTAAATATGGTACTAATTTTAATCATCTTGACTGGATGTAGACTTTGGTTCTTTTTCCAACTATTTTTCTTAATTTCCACATTTTTTTTCCTTCACGTTCCCAGTGGAACATAGGGCTTCAAGCTAGTGGCTTGAAGTTTCTTTAGCCTGATACCCAACCTTTCCTCTTTATCAGCATTATTTCTGGCTTAGTGAGGTAAAGGCGTTCGTCGGTGGCCGGGGATCGAACCCCGGATCATATGTATCGTCGGTGAGCTTCCTAACAGCTGTGCCACTGACGCATTAATCATTAGTCCTTCCCAAATCCTTCAGTCATCTTTGTTCATGGATTTTTTTTGTCGACTGCCTCCAACCGTCCAAGATAAATTTAAAGATCACTGTAACGCTGACTCTACTTGGTTGCATGACTGTTCGAATTCAGTCGGCGTTATGCACCGCACACTTATTATGGTAGTGATTGATCAATCTAAGTTACTTGGTGTGATCAAGTGAAATTATCATTAATTGTGTTTATGATGCAGGTCACGTGCTCGTTTGATAATGAGTTTCCTTTTTTTCACCTTTCCATGACTCGTACTTTTCCCAATAACTTAGCTGCTCATCTTAATTAACTTTCTCGAAACATCCTTTATATCTATCTAGACTATAATAAAATATTCTGAGGGGAAATTAAAACAAATTAGGTGAAAAATTCGTGCATCTGTGGCACGGAGGTTAGCATGCTCACCGACCATTAACATGGTCCGGGGTTCGATCACCGGCCGATGTAGTCCTTTACCTCACTTATCCAGTAATAAAACTGGTGAAGAGGGGAGGGTGGGCATGAGGCTAGCAACCCCATCCTGTAAAAATAATCACCACTGCTACAGAAACTTCAAGCATCCAGCTTGAAGCCCTATTTTCCACTAGAAACGTAAAGGAAATAAAAAAAAGTGAAAAAAATCAACAAAGGTAGACATTTGGTAATATTCAATAGAACACATCATAGTTTATGTTCAATTAGTCCTGTTATTCAGGCTGGTATAGGATGCAGCAACTATTTAGAATTTTCATGCAAGTAATGGGCATACAAGGGATAAAATGATTAGGACTAGTCGTAGTGTAGCGTGTGCTTCTGATAAATATTATCAGCTTTGTCACATTTAAAGCATCCGTCTTTCCTAGGACTCGTTCGTAGTGCCGCTACTTCATGCTGCAATTCTTCAACTTTCTGTTCCCATTTGCTCAATGTCTGCGGCTGTATTGCGGCTAAAGTTGTGTTTAACAGATGTCTTGTCACCTTCGCTAGTTCACCAATGTCCATGGATTGTGCAGCGTTAATCTGTTTCAGCTGCTGAGAAATGTGGTCTGGGATAATCTTGATAAGCTTGGACGCCAATAGCTGAGACTCTGACTTTCCATCCAGTGTGAGGAGTGCGTGACATAGTAGATTCGTCAGCTTCATTGCCCACACTAGTGCATCTCCGTCTGGTCCCAGCATCGTGGCACGGAACTGCTGAGAATGTTTATTAGGAATTTGGTATCTCTATTTAACGAAATTATGAACACCTTATCTTCAACGCACCATATGCACAAGTCTTCCGTGTTGTGCTACTTCTCACCTACCTTCTTATTGTGTTTCACTGTGTTCCTTTCATGTCTCTCATGTATCTCCGCAACTCTGTATCATTTGCTTTCTCTAATATCAGATCTATCTTCCTGAAATTTAGTGTTTTTATGCCGATGAACTACTCTTTATATATTTATATACTACTGATAAATCTTATTAGTAGTACACACCACAGTAGTAAAATGGGAACACGTCACACCTGACATGGTGAGCCCCACTGGTTACGACTTCCTATTGGAACCGTAATCAGTGACTAGTGAACACTAATGGTGACTTGTATTGATCTCCGGAGTTATCATGGGGTGCGTACTGTTGAAGACTCCTGAAACTGGACGAAACAGCTGTTCAGTACTCCATCGTTTACGACGTTTCCCTAAATGACATCACTCCGTAATTAGTTTATGAGTAGTAGTTACAGTAGACAAGTTGTATGTTCACAATATATGACATTTTATTTTAGAAAGTAACAAACCCAATATGAGACTAAGTAGTAATTAACAGATTGTCTGGTAGATTTAAGGTTCTTTAGAATTGATACATACCATTGGACATAAATTAGGAGACTAACATATGGAAACAATCTTGTAAACTAAATCAAACAACATGGATAAAAATTTATTTGGTCTTTAAGACGAATATATCTTATGATTTATTTGCATCTGTCAGATGAATACAATAGGTTTGCTATGGAAAAGAAAATGCAAGTATCTGTTACTGACTGACGGTGCATGGAAAAGTGACTCCCTGAACTTCAGGTAAAAAGACTGTTGGTGGTGAGACAGACTATCTATAAAGAACATTAGGATATAACTGGTGCAACGAAACATTGTTCTGCAACAATTAAGTGACATATTCCAGATTCCCATTTTCTTAGTAGTCCCTTTGCTGTAGGCTTCAGAGTCGTCATGGTGCTAATAACAGACATCCTTCTTATCCAGTGGATAGGAGACACTATATACCTAGTCGTATTGCATTTCCAGTAGTTAAGATTATTACATAAGTTATATCTGGTCTATGGTTAATTCTATGAATAAATCTGACTGTAATACTTACTGAAAATCAACTATGTATTTCTTCTACCTGATTAGGTGTTATAGTAACAGTTGAATTTCTCATTTTCATCATATTATTTCTCAGCGATTTAGGCGATCATTAGTCTATAATTTTCATTCACAAAACATTAAAATCTAAGTTTTAAGATTAGAAAAGAGGGGTCTGCAGCACATACTAACGTTTAGTTTAAAACTAGAATAAAACACCCATTGGGTTTCGAACCCAGGTTACAAGGCAAAGTCGTAGACTATTCAGCCACTGGGACCTGCGTCAATGACCCATGAGTGAAGATGGAGTTCCTGCTTATGGTACTAGTTGGCTGTCGCGCCAAAATCACCAATTGGTAGAAGTTAGAATTCACGGCTGGCCATTGAATAGAAGATTCCTGGTGGTTGAATGGTCTACGAGCTTGTCTTGCAACCAGAAGGTCCTGGATTTGAACCCCAGTGGGCGTGTGCTTAAGAAGAGTCCCAGACTAGGACAAAACGACTGTCTAGTACAGTATTCCCTGGTTTTCATTGGTCCTCTAACTGATATTAACCCGTGGTTCAACCTAAAGCAGAGAGAATAAAACATTTGCTTAGTCTGATTTACTCTCTCTGCCTCACTCTTTCTGTCTCCATAATCTAGGCGCTTCTATTTATGAATTAGTGATCTTTCCGTGTCATTTAAGCCCACTAAAGCATTTCACGGGTAAATATGAATCAATATCATTCACAGTAATTTTGCTGAGATAAGTATCTTTTTCGTCTTACCTTTCCTGTTAACATGATTTCATCCAAGCTCTCGACAGGGGAACATATCAAAATATTCTTTCAGTGTTGACTAAATCCTACATGATTCTTAATATTTTTCAAAGTTTGGTTTTAAAAATAAAAGCTATCGTGTTTGCTTCCAGTCTTAAAAGTGATTTCCTCTACAGGATAGAATACAGTTCGATGGGGGTAATTACACTAATCTCTTGAAATAACAATTAATTTAAATGAAGGACACAACCTGACCTGTTAAATTTATGATATTTTTTAGATCCACCCGGTCCACCTGAAGGATTAAATGTGGACAAAACTAACAAAAATGGTGTTAAACTATCCTGGAACAAACCTCGACGTGATGGCGGTCTACCAGTTACTGGTTACGTTGTAGAGAAAAAAGGTGATGGTGATGAATGGATACCTGTTCAGAATACAACTAATCCATGTGCTTTTATTCCAATGAAAGAAGGTGAAACAGCTCAATTTAGAGTTCGTGCAGTCAATGAAGAGGGACCAGGAGAACCAACTAAACCGACAGCTGTAATCACTGCTGTAGATCCACCAGAAGCACCACGACTGTGTACACCTGATGAATGTGCTGGAGGTCCCGGTTCAGGAGTAGGTGGACTGAAAGATATCACGCTTAAAGTAAGTAAGCTTTTATAATCATTCTAATTAATAAATTACCGTTACAATTGATCTCCAAACCATATTAGAAAGTTAACCTATAGTAAAACCGTAGAGTATTACTTCTCAATAATATCTCAAATTATTTTTTAGGCTGGTCAAGAATTGTTATTAGCTGCTGCTTGGTTTGGAAATCCAAAGCCAACTGCAACATGGATACAGAATGAAAAAGTTGTCAAACCGGATGGTAAACATATTCAAGTCTCTGACGAACCACCTCCACCACCTGCTAACCCTGGACCTGGTGGGGCATTAGAACAACCAGCTGGTGGAACAGCTGTTCTTCGAATTCCAAAAGCGCGTCGCAGTGATGGTGGTAACTACGAGTTGACATTGACGAATGACCTTGGACAAGTCAAAACATCATGTCATGTTGAAGTATTAGGTGAGTAGACGGACAGAAGTGAACATATTCTTTGTAGACGTCAAACCTCTTCATTACTTGACTAAAATTAAACCATGACTCACGGTTTCTGCTAAGTAATACTTTCTTTTATTCCCTTACATTCCCAGTGGAACATACAGCTTCAAGCTAGAGGTTTGAAGTTTCGGTTGCAGTGTTGTTTATTTTTACGGGATGAGGCCACTACCCTCATGCCCAACATTCCCTCTTTACCAGTCTAATTACTGGCTTAGTAAGGTAAATGAGTGCGTCAGCCGGGGATAGAACCACATGAGGTGTGGTTGGTGAGCATTCTACTACTGTGCCACGCCAATAAAGTTGGAGTAATATTTTTAAATCTGATTTCTACAAATATCAAACATTCACCAAGTAAGGGTGAAATTTAAAATTTCAAGCCCCAGGCCGGAATTTATTCTTTTTTATCATACAATGATATATTTGTTGCATCACCTACACAGCACAAGTCAACAGTATTCTTGATTAATATTCGAGTCATTTAAAATCGCCAGATAGTTTTAGACTTTAACATCTTTGCATATGGTCTTATATATTTGAATATCAAACCAATGTGCAAATAAGGTTCTACGTTTAAACAATATGTGCCACACTCAATCCCCATCTTGACTACTTTTATTCAGAAGACCGGATATCATTTCGAATATATATCCTAACCTCCCGCCTATTCTATCATTTTATTATTTCTACATATTTAATCCCTAATTACATAAACAATTATTCGTCAGATTAGTTATCATCCCACTAGATTTTTTATCCAACCATCCTGTCTATTTTTGTTATTTCTACATTTCTAACCTCTAAGTGCACAACATGTCAATCTTCTCAGTAGTTATGATGCTACTTTGTTTAAGTTTTATCTACACACATCCCTGTTTATTATGACATTTTAATTCCTAATAGTAGTTTTATTAATTTGACCGTTGACCAGAAATTATTCTGGAACTTTCTCACCCATTTACTATAAATACACGAAGGTACAGCCTAGTTGATGACTTCGTCGAAAAGAAAATTTCCATCGCTGCAACCGTCTTTTTATTATTCCCTATGATCAAATGTGTATAATACAAAAACATCAAGTGTGACTGACAGCATGATTAACAAATTATTATTATTATTGTTCCCTTGGGTTCCTAGTGGAACATAGGGCTTCAACTCCACGTCTCCACTTGCCACTTCTGTCTTCTGCTGCTGTACTTTCACCTCCATCCATGCATGTTAGTCCATACAGTTCCAACTCCTCTTCACACCATCTCCTCCATGTCACCCTTGCGACGACGTCCCACTCGCCGCTTCCCTTTCGGTCTGGTTCCACTCGAGCAATGGCCTCACGCGCGCGCCATGTCACCCAGCGGCCTCCTCAGTGAGTGTGTGTGTGTGTCCAATCCATCTCCACTTTCTCCTGCATATTTCTTGGTTGGCGATTGCTTCTTGTTTTGTTTCTTTGTTCCAAGCCAAAGTTTCTTGTTGGTGATTCTTTCCCGCCCGGCCATCTGATCAGATCTTCAGTATAGAGCCAGCGAAGACAGTTGTTGGTTGATAAAGGTCTGCAACAGGCTGTTGGAAATACCTGTTCTTTGTGACCCGCCCACCAAGTTTCTGATTCATATAGAAGAACTGACTGACTTGACGTTTGTATCGAAAATCCGACTGGATCTTGTTGTTGATGCTGAGTGACGTGATGCTGATTTCTAGATTGGTTTCAGGTTGATGCATGTGTGTGTGTTTCGCGCCTTCCCGATTCCCACTCGATTTGACATCCTCGTCCGTCCCGGCAGCATGCAGTTGAGACAATGCTCCCTAGATAAGTGAGTGAATGAAGTAACCTCTTTCAAATCCCTCCTGTTGATGATGGTTGGCGCTGCATGTTGCTGCTGTTGTTTTTGATGTTTAACAAATACAAATATTTAATATTTCAATAGCTCTTGGTTTGGTGACAGACCAAGCATCTGTTACTTGGTGACTGTAATATCACAGTCAACAGATATCATGTATACTCCCACAAGTTAAAAATTATTTTTGACGGTTGTTATAACTAGGATACGAAATGATGACTAGCATAAATTTCAACACCTTTACTTTTCATTTTCTCACAATATCACCTACTTAGATGTCCCTGGACCACCAGAAGGACCATTAGAAGCTACTGATGTTAATGCAGATGAGATTTCACTCAAATGGAAACCACCACTAGATGACGGAGGACAACCTATCACAAATTATATTCTTGAAAAACGACAAAAAGGAAGTGAAGGGTAAGTTCATATCAAAATTTATATAATTACAATACTAATATGATTAATATTCATTTAGATTAGTTATTATCATGTCGATTGTATTTAAGCACTGAGATAAATAATAGTTTTCATGAGGTTTCACATTATGCAAATTCATCAGCACCATTTAACGTAAATTCTCGGTGCCTGAATTAAGTTATAAGGATAAAATGTAGACTTACAAAACGCGAAAAACGCGAAGTATTCGGTTCACTTATAGACAGAATCATTGTCGTGCTGTGTAATGATTGAAAGTATGCTCAGTCTCCTTCGCATTCTATAGTTTTCAGTATATCAGTAGAACTTCAGGAGTTTTTGACTTGAAACAGTTTATTGGTGAGCGATAAATCTTGTTTCTTAACTAAATGGATATTTCGAAAAGATAGAATTAACTAATTCGTATTCTGGTAATTATTCTTGATAGATTATGTAGGACAACAAAACTCTTAAAAGTCATAAAGAGATCATCAGAGTCGGTAGTTCAGTGGTAGACTGCTCACCAACTACGCACCTAGTCCAGAGTTCGATTCTTGGCTGACACACTCCTATACCTTGCTTAACTTGCAGTAAGGCTGATAAACAGGGAAGGTTGGAAGTGTGGCTAGTAAAAAAAGACACTTCCGCCCATGAGATTTCAAAGCTCAAGCTTGAAGTCCTACTCAGAATGTGAATGAATGGAGAAAATGGATCTCATCAAACCAAAAATACAATTTTGACAGATGTGATATGCATAAATCCTATAAAGTTTAATGGCAATCATAGTCAACCTGACAGATCACAGCGTTACAACTCAGTATTATTTCAAGTGAATAAAGTGGCCTTATATGTCAACGAATTCAATTCATCCTGAGTACTCACGATATATAAAATGTATCTTGCATAGAGGTGCCTACCGATTCATGTAAGAACCGACAAATAAATCTTTAAAATTGACACGTGCACCAAAGAAAACTTTCTGAATTGTGATCAAATAAATATTATCGATATTCAAGTCTTCGTGTGTAGGGATTTGATTGGTTACAGGATTTCATCATGAGCTGACATTAGCTAGAGAACCATTGGAAAACCAGCTGGGAGTACTGAACAGCTGTTTCGTCAGCCTAGTTTGGCACTCTTCATCAGTACGCACCCACCGGGATTCGAACCCACGACCTTTCGGTTATAAGGCGACCGATCCCGTAGACCATTGAGCCACTGGGCCCCGATCCAAATGCCATCCCATGAATTCTAACTTCTGCCGATTCACGACATAGCGCGACCCCTAGCCAATGTCTTCGACCTGCCGCACCCTACTGGTCACGACTTCTCACTAAGAATCCCAGGTAACTACCTACCTGAATAGAGCAAGTCGCTAGTGAGCATCCCATTGATATTCAAGTGTTGGTGTGTAGAGATATTATCGAGTTTAAAACCCGAACGCTAAAATTAAACAGGCAGTTTATTAGATTTTCGACTAGTTTATTCATAAAATCAAGACAACATGATGTTCTGCCTCTTTCTCCAACCCTGAAATATGCCAATTTTGTATTTTACTATTATCTTTATTTAACCTAGTTGGCAGAAAGTTAGTGCTTTCTTAAATTCTCCGAATGCAACAGTTCGAAACTTAGAACTTGGACAAGAATATGAATTCAGAGTAATGGCTGAAAATGCAATGGGTGTTAGTGAACCACTATTGACAAGTAAACCAATTAAAGCAAAACATCCATATGGTAAGTTGTTGTTTTTTCTACTTATTTGACTTGGCATTTTAATTTATTGATGCAATGTTTTGTCTGTCCAGTTGTTCTCCAATCATAAATAGTTATTTTCAGTATATAATAGTACGATTTTAATATGTCATTCCAGACTAATGTATCTTTAATTTTTGTTCTGCTAAAATATTGCGCAGGCCTAGTTAAACTTTAAGCACCAGTGAGTACCAATGGAGTGCGACCGCACCAATGACCTTGAGGCACTTACTGATCAGGTTAATGATGTAATCACGAATAAAATATGCTTATTGAAGTGTTATTTGACGAAGTTAGAGTATCATAGTCAAAGTACCAATGAACAAATGACCTGGAATGCACTAGTCACATGATGAAGGCGATTTTTGCGCATAAAATACATATATATATTCATGAAAATAATGAATTAGAAGTCATGAAACTGTTACACAGGATACCTTTCCCTGACTTGTGACTAAAATACCTCTCAGTTTTGGATTGGAGTATCAACAGACTAATGTAACCACATTCTATGCACGTAATTATCTAGGTCTTCTAACCCTAATCTAACTTGAATCAGCCCTAGTGTCTCCCTTATTAGGTTAGCCTAACCCTAACCTACCCTTAGCCTAAACCTTAATGTAATCTTTCCCAAATTTAAGCTGACATTTGCCAGATATCCCATTTAATAACGTAACACTTCATTAAGCATAATTTATTTGTGATTGCAATATTATTTGCTCACTGAACTTTTCAAGATTGTTGATGCGGTCACACTCTACTGGTACTTACTGGTGCTTAAAGTTTAACTTTGACGTTGCGCATGATTATAAATAAATTATTTTTCTCGCCTACATCGATAAAGTATGTAGGGACTTTTAATTAGAGAGACATGATACAACGCGTTAACTCACTCGATTTTGGTGCTGAAAGGAAACTCTCCGTACACAGTATTATTCATAGCTTTTTAGTAGAGACATTAATGAACGAATATTTAAAGGAAGGGTTACTCTTCTTAGCTAAATCGCATATACACATAATGCGTTGTCATGGTAACAAATGGAATATCCCTAATTGGTATTATTAAAATTGTAGATTTTACTAAACGATTACGCAATATAGAAAGTGTTAATCGGGTAGAAACTAAAATTAAATGGATAGATTGGGTGATGTAACATAGTCGGTAGGATTGAGTACAGCTCAGCTAAAATATAAACAGGGTCAAGTTAGGATCAGCATCATATGGAGTAGAACTGTAATAGTGGGAAAGGAGAAACTTAATAAAATCCAGAAATTAAAAAACCCCATTAAATGTTAAGATAAATTAGGTCCATTGTAGGTTCAGTGACTGAACAAAGTTTTGTGTATGATGAGTTCAGGATTTAAAGTATGGATCACCATTACTTTTATGGTTTGAAGAAGTTGATTTGCACTCCTTTGGTTAGGTTTTCTCGTACTCTGGGATATTCGTCAAAACTAGGTAACTTGGCTATTATTGAGCTGAGAAAGAAAGAGTATCAATTATTTAAACATTTGTCAGTCAATTTTTTCCTCAAAACATCTGTCAATATGCATACCTCAGTATATTGATGTAGTTGTGACCTTTGACCTTTATGGTTCCATCGGTTGAAGGATTTCATCATGAGCTGACATTGCTTTAAGAACCAGGAGTACTGGACAGCTGTTTCAGCCTAGTTGTGGACTCTTCATCAGTACGTACCCACCACTAGGGTTGAAACTCAGGACCTTCTGGTTACAAAGCCAGCGACCTCGTAGACCACTAATCCACTGGGACACGATCCACTGACCAGCCCATGAATTCTAACTTCCGCCAATTCACGACATAGCGCGACCACTTCGTAGTGTCTTCTTCTATGAGTGAATGTCCTCACCCTCAACCTGCTGTACCCTACTGGTCACGGCTTCCCAAGAGAACCCCAGGTAACTGTCTGAATAGGACCAGTCGCTAATAAGCATCAGATTTATTGTTATGTTGTGAGGCAATCTTTGTCTGTATAGATAACATCTTCAGCGCATACTTCAATGAGTATTTTTTCACCCACGTGTATTGGTATTAGTTAGTTCGCATAGATCTTCTAGGTCAGAGAACATAATAACACTAATATCATTCACCTGAGCTACAAATCTTCACCATATCAAAATTTCGGTATTTTGATAAGTGGTTCTTAGGTCAATAACAGTAAGACGAGTATCTGACGTTTCAGAATTTCCCTTGTTTACCTTCAAATCTATCATAAAAATGATAAAAGCATAATTTTTTAGCAATATGATTAGACTCATGAAAGAGTGCTGTAGTACTGTGGAGACTTTTGAAAGTCTCCTCCCCTTTGAACCATGTGTGTACACTTGCAGTTTCTAATATGTGCATCTCGCGACGAAAGTTTCACATACCTCTAATCTTAATTTGATGCCTTGTGCTCATTTAAAAAGTAATATTCGGTATCAATTCTAATCATATTTCTCATCAATACAGCTAAGACAGTCTGTTATTTCACCAATCACAATGAGGAGTAAGCCCGAATTTCCAAGCATTTGACTTTTTTTTCTCTAAAGCACTATGCAGTTGACACCATCATGGAGAATATTCAAAAGTGGGTCAAATGAGATCACCCTAATATTGACTTAAATGATGATATTAACTTTAGAAGAAGAGGTAATAATGACGAATCCATATTGGTAAAGAATCATTTTTTTATTAATTCAGGATGACTGAACAGTGGACACTATTCTGGGGAACTAGAAAAAGATAAATCAGACACTGTGAAATCTACAGTAATAAATATCCTGTCATAAGATAGTTAGCTGTAGATAAGGCGTAAACATTTAAGTCCACTGTAAAAGTGACTACCTAATAACTTCTTGAAGTCCACGCTCACCGATGACAATGAATTCTTCATATCTTTTCTCTTAGTATTTCAAACGTCATTTACTATCCACAATAATCAGTTATCCTACTTTTTTTTGAAAAAACAACAACAATTAGATCCACCTTCGGGTATGAAGAAACCTGTAGTTGAAACTACAACAGATGATTCAGTAACCTTGTCTTGGGAACCACCAATGAAAGGTCCAACTACTGGTTATGTTGTAGAAAAGCGACCTAAAGGTTCCAGAGAATGGACAAAGTAAGCAATCACCTCAGTAATACATTTCAATCATTAATGATTTTTAATGAGTTTAATTTTATTTGTAATTAGCAAATAAATAGCATCCACTAAGAAGCATTGATACCGAAAGGAAAGGTTACATACGAGTCAGCCACATATCGTAAATTTTACATAAATATTTATACTATGTAATAATATAAATGGCCGAAAAGGATAATCAATAAAGAACTCTGGAGGTGCAACAAACCAGCCAAGAATCTACTACCCAGCTGATATTCAGAGGGAAATGAAGATGGATTAAAAATGTACTGGAGGAGGGACTTCCAAGTAATATAATACCACAGATCATCAAGTGGAACATCAATAGGAAGTGGTGGGTTAGGTCTACGTCTGAGAATGACATGGTAGCGAACGTGTGAAGAGAGAATGAAAGATTGTGAACGGTTGTAGAACTATTTTATGAATACATGCATAAGTACTGATTATCCTTCGTTATGAATAGTGATTCTTCTGTAATGTTCCGAATGAGCTAATTGAATCACGACCTTAGTGTATTATTGCAATTATTAGTTAATGAAGTGCAATCTGTTTTACTTTTGTTAACTCAACCATGAAAGCTGAATGAAATCAGTCAAAATTCACATCCTTTCCTTTGTTTATATACAGTACTTACGCCTTCGCTGTCTATTAGGATATGAGTTACTTCTAGGAGCATCACTGCACTTTGTGGTTGCAAATCCATCAGAAATAAGACCGTAATAGAACAAAACATAGCTCTTAGATTCTATTGCTAACGATGATCAAATTATTATATTAATATTGTTCCCTTGGGTTGTAAGTGGAACATACTGTTTCAATAATACATATCCACTTTCTTCTATTTTCTGTCGTCCTCTTCAGCAGGGTCCAAGACTGGCCATAATCTCTCATCTCCTACTCTTCGCTATACGATCTCCTTCAAGTCATCCTCGCATAGATGACCCACTCGCCCCTTCCTATTTGGGTTCCACCCGAGGGCCTGGCACTCTACGTAATGTGTCAGTCTCCTCAACGTATGCCATTATCCATCTCCATTTTCTTCCATATATTTGTTGAACGATCAACTCTTGTTTGGTTTGTCCCCAGAGTTTCTTGTCGCTAATTCTTACTGGCCCACGCGGTCATTTGATCTTCATTATGAAGTCAGCCAGTAAAGAGGGCATCTGTTGATAAAAGTCTAACACATGTTGAAAATGCTTTTCGTGAGGCGTAAGCCAAGTTTCTGACACGTAAAGAAGAACTAGCTGACTTCACATTTGTGTAGAAAATTCGAATCTTGTTCTTTATGCCACAGAGTGCAGAAGCCTTCCAAACCGATTCCAGATTGATGAATGAGTATTTCGCCTTTCCAACTCTGACTGATTTTGACATCTTCACCAGTCCCAACTCTCTGTAGTTGAAACAATGCTTCCTAGATAAGTGAAGTGATTTTCCACAATAATCAACTATCTAACCAGAATTCGAAAAGAAATGTGATCAGGTAGTTCATACATGCAACTCATTTAACGACAAGGACAAAATGATTCACTTCTATAAATCAACATTTGCAAAGTTAAAAGGTTCATTAAACTAGTATTCGGTGTGTAATATTCGGCCATTATATTTCATTAAATTAATAAATACCCATTCAAAATTAAAAAGCATAGGTCTCTATAGGAGCTCTAATTGTAATCCCAATCGATCCATATGACAAGTCCAAAACAAGGCCAAAGGTTATTTCCTTACTACATACATAATTAAAACTGATGATGATGATGATCCCCTTGTAACATGGATCGGAATTATTCAGTGAATGATCAAGTTTGAACCAACTATTGAAGATCAAATGGCTGACCAGAAAGAATTAGCAACAAAAAATTCTATCGATAAACTAATTAAAAACCTATCGTTTAACAAATACGTAGGCGAAAATAGAGGAGGAGGCCGCTTCCATTTCGGCCTGGTTCCACTCGAGCGATGGCCTGACGCGCGATGTCACCCAGCGGTCTCCTCAGCGAGTGTCCGATCCATCTCCACTTTCTCCTGCATATTTGTTGGGCGATTGGTTCTTGCTTTGTTTGTTCCCATAATTCCTTGTTGGTGATTATTTCCGGCCATCTGATCTTCAGTATAGAGCCAGCGAAGACAGTTGTTAATAAAGGTCTGCAGCCTTTTGGAAATATACTTTGTGACCCGCCAAGTTTCTGATCCGTATATAAGAACTGACTTTACGTTTGTATTGAAAATCCGATAGAATTTTGTTGTTGATGCTGAGTGACGAAGATTTCCAGATTGATTTCAGGCTGATGAATGTGTTTCTCGCTTGCCTTCCCGATTCTCGCTCGATTTGACATCCTCGTCCGCTCCTCCTGTAGTTGAGACAGTGCTCCCTAGATAAGTGAATGAAGTAACCTCTTTCAAATCCCTCCCGTTGATGGTGATCGACGTTGGATGTTGTTGCTGTTGTTGGCTGGTGGATCATAAACCATCGATATTGCTAACATAAACTTTCCAGTTAGTGAATAAAAGTTGACCTTTTAGATCATATCATTGTATACATCTGAAGAAATAGTAATTGTAATTTTTTTATTATTATTATTATTATATTCTATAAGATCTTTAATTCTAAACTTTCGTATCATTATCATAATTATTTCTTAAAACAGAGCAAATACAGGCAATGTCACGGGTACTGAATACACTGTAAAAGGTTTACCAAAAGGTAAAGAATTTGAATTTCGTATTGTACCCTACAATTTGGCTGGTCTTGGTGAACCAAGTGAACCGACAGATGTAGTTAAAGTTCAATTCCCAACAAGTAAGTTGAAAAAATGTTCAACAATTAAAGATTTTTGGAGTGGAATATAAATGCTGAGAGTTTTTTTTTAACTCTATACTTCAATTATGCTTCAGCTTTGACATTCAATCCTCAGTGTCTCATTATCTCCCAAAGGGGCTCACCATCGCCTATCTCACTGTAAAGATACTGGTTTCAGGTATTAATATGTTAAAATATAAGAGCCTTACCAAAGCCAGTATGCCTCTATGCCCATTTAATCAATATTGTTATTATTATTTGATTCCTTTACGTTCCCAATGGAACATAGGGCTTCAAGCTAGAGGCTTGAAGTTTCGGTAGAGGCGATTGCCTTATTTTTACGAGGTACGATTGCTAGTTTCATGCCCGACTTTCCCTCTTTACCAGTCTTATTACTGGTTTGGCGAAGTAAAGCAGTGCTTTGGCCTGGGATCGAACCCCGAACCACCTGTCTGGTTGGCAGGCATTCTACCGCTGTGCCACCAAAGCCCCCTAATCACTACACCACCTAATTTGTAATTACTGATAAAAAAACACGAATCAAAAAGACGCATTTATTTAGGATCATGCTCTGAGGAGCAGCATACATTTAAATAGAATAAAATACTAAGGTTATTTAGGGAAGAGATTTTAGAATTTATCCGATTAGTATGGGTGAGTTAACAACTCTGAGGATTCCATACCACCAACAGCACACACAGAACTATCAGTGGACATCAATCCACTAAAAAAGTGGATATCTTGAATGCTATCAGACTACTGAATTCCAGTGGGGAAGTCAGCAGGACCAGATGGAATTCCTCCTAAAGCACTGAAAACGGACCCAGAAACTGCGTCAGATGCGCTCACGCCATTATTGCAGAAGTTTGGGAAAGAAGGAAAGGTACCTACTGGCTTCAAGAAAAGTCACTTTGTCAAGCTACCAAAGAAGGGAGACTTAGGCTTCTGCAAGAACTGGCGTGCTGTTATCCACACCAAGTAAAATACTAAGTCGCGTCATCCTGTAGGGAATAAAAGATGCACTGGATGCAGAACTCCGCTAACCGGAGCAAGCTAGATTCAGGAAATGCAAATCATGTGGTGAACAAATTGCAACTCTAATCGTCGTCATCGAACCAAGCATAGAATGGTAATCAAACCACTACCCCAATTTCATTGACCTGGAAAAGGCCTCCGATAGTGCAACATTGACCTAGAAGTTATTTAGAAACTGCTTCAGCACAATGGCGTACAGTGCCCAAATCTTTACCGACCTCATTCAACAGCTGGCTATACGACAACGCCACGTGTCAGGTGAACCACACCAGAGAACTCAGCGAACTTCTGAAGTGAATACAGAAGTAAGACAAGGCTGCTTACTGTTATCACCGATGATATTCCTAATTGTGGTGGACTGGGTTATGTGTCAGACTGTGCATGGACGGACAAGACAGGAATACCGATAAGAAGACTTTAGAAGATCTGGATTTATCAGATGATATATGTTTAATGTCACACAAACTCGAAGACTTGCAGGTGAAAAGCAACAGATTGACTGAACTGGACGACAGAGAAGACAGGACTCCAGGTGAACATAGAGAAGACGGAAGTGGTGAAGATAACCAACCATCAAAAACAACAACAAACACTAATCACCAAAAACGGGGGAAATTTGAAGGAGGTAACTTCCTTCATTTATTTATGCAGTAAGCATTGTTTCAATCACAGGTGGTCAGCAGGAATTTTTCTTTCCTTCACGTTCCCCAGTGGAACATAGGGCTTCAAGCTGTAGCAGTGTTTATTTTTACAGTATGGGGTTGCTAGCCTCATGCCCAACCTTTACTCTTCACCAGCATTATTTCCGGCTTATCGAGGTAAAGGAGTGCGTCGGTTGGGGATCGAACTCCGGACCATGTGCATGGTTGTCGGGCGCCCAAACCGCTGTGCCACCAACGCACGGATGAAGATGTCAAAACCAGTCAGTATCGAAAAAGACAAAGCACATCTTCATCAATGTGGAATCGGTTGGGAAGTCTACTGCACTAAGCATACAGAACAATATTTGGATTTTCAACATATATTTCAAGTCAGTTAGTGCTTTTGTATGACTCCAAAAATTGGGTCACACCTCATGATTAGCACTTTTCAACATGTTGCAGACTTTTATTAACAGATGCCCTCTTCACTGGCTAGCTCCATAATGAAGATCAAATGGTCGGGTAGCCAGAAAGAATTAGCAACAAGAAATTCTGGCTAGGAACAAACTAACAGGCGAGATCCGATTGCTCAACAAATATGTAGAAGAAAATGCAGATAGATTAGGCATACGTTGAGGAGGGAGACCATCGAATGATAGATATCACGCTCTATACAGTTCCTCCCTCTAGTGGAATCTAAATGGGAAGCTACGAGTAGATCGTCAGTGTAAGGGTAACATGGAGGCGATCGTGTGACGAGGAACAAGAGATGAGAAATTATGGGCGATTGTGGACCCAGCTGAAGAGGATGGCAGAAAATAGAAGAAAATGGAGGTACGCTGTTGAATCGGTATGTTCCACTCGGAACCCAAAGGAACAATAATAATAATAATAACAGAGGATAAGAATTCGGTTTTCATTGCCGAAAGTGGTTACAAATACATACTGATTAAAATACTTGACTGTATTTCAGTAATCTCCCTCTCCCCCTCTCTATGTTTCTACTACTTAGATGAAAGTGACAATGAAATCATTTTCATATCATCTCTATTATACTTCATATACAAACAACATCAAATTCATTCAAATATAATCGCCAGCATATACGAAAAAAGGATTATATCATTTTAAAATAGCAGTACAGCAATGAATTGCATGATGTCTGTAATCTAGGACACGCGTTATTTTCTATCTGAAGAAGTTAAATGATGAAAATGTCAACTTATTTTTTTCAAGTAAATATATAAATTCAGTTTAGATTACAATAAACAAAGATGGTTCAAATGGTTGAAATCTCTTCTATCCACTTTTATAGAATGAAAGATTTGTTTGAATTTATACAGTGTTTTATTTGTGTTTATATTCTATTTACTTTACTGAACTTCAAATAATCAAAAACATTTACATATATACACTCACACACACACAAACACTCACAGAGGGACAAACAGAATAGGCTTTCCATATGAAGTAGGAAAATGGGGACACTTTGATGAATGTATCTATCAGGTTTGAAAGACAACATTTTCTATAGCATATCTGTCAGTATTAACCTTGTTTCCAACCAGTTTCACTGAATTTTCAAACCAGTTTCATTGCTTGTAATAGAATATCAATTTGAATAAAGCTCAAGTTTTAATAGCTGCCCCCCCCCCCCATAAACGATCTGGTGAAGTCGAGGGTGCGTAGACTGTGATCTTCCCTTAGAAATCCTTTCATATGTCCACGCTTTCATATTCTCTGTCAAATAAGTCCTAATCACTGACTCGGTGCGACTGGGGTGTTCCTCATAGTAAAAATGTGAATGAGGACTGGACTGATAGATGCGTAGGTTTAACTAGGGGAACTGGAAATTACTGATTCCAAACCCCATGGTGTACAAGGGCTCGAAAATTGGAAAGGATTAAATGGTATATGAACCGGCACCCATTGGAACATAGTCCCTGACACTGCCCCACTGCCCTGTAGATGAGAATTCAAGTCAAATGCTCAGGAGGCGACTTCTTAAGACAACCATCTACTTCTGTCTGAATGTCTAGGCAGTATCCAAGTCCCCTTAGAAACTATGATATTTCGTGTAGTGCATCTCCTGATTAGGATGCTTGCCTACCATTCACATGGTCCAGGGTTCGATTCCTGGCCGACGTACCCCTTTACCTTGCTAAGCCAGAGATAATGCTGGTAAAGAGGAAAGGTTGGGCATGAGGCTAGCAACCCCATCCTGTAAAAATAAACACTGCTACAGAAACTTCAAACCATTAGCTTGAAGCCCTATGTTCCATTGGGGAACGTGAAGGAAAAAAATCTCCTAATGCCAATAATGTACCAAGCTTATGTTTCAATGAATAATCCCATCTCATTACCTCAGTGACAGCTGAGTATGGCAACGATGGCTTTAAAACCCAAGGAATCTCCTACTTGCTTACTTAGTCGCAAAAGCTACACGTTCGGTACAACAGATATCGTGAGTAACTAACTTACTGAGATGTATGACATCCGGCTATTAGTTTTACAAAACAGGATACCATTTTCAATTTCTTTTTTCTAAAGGCTACTTAAATAATGAAAGTGACTCACAAAAATACTCGCAAACTAGACACATGAAAAGAAAAACAAACAAAAAATGATTTTTCACCTTTAACATTTTATTTCATCCTGGAAAAATTTAAAAAATTGACATCCACTATGGCAACTATGAAGCCTATGAGAGCATGCAGTTTGAAATAGGGGCATATTAGAAAATGATGAAATTAGATTCCCCGATTCATAAAGCAGAATGTCTCTGTCATGTTTAAATGTCAATGTACAACGTGACTAGAACTTCAGTCATATGATCATATATAATTGATCTGAAAAGAAGGACAAGCTACACTGTACACTTTTGTTCATCGTCTTCCATCCTACTAAAGTTAACTGAGAGATTTATGACATTTTCAATATAAAATACTGGCCACAGAATAAAGGTTTTCCGGTATTCTTGATTACGTCAAACTTCAATGAATACTGAGGGATAAAATATACGCAGTTATTTTATATTGTAAAAGGGGAAAAGTATTACACAGTGTAATTCCTGGATGGAAACCAACATTTGATAATACCTTTTTGTGAATTAAAGAACTTTTAACTGAAAGTATTCAGCAGTGATTGAATGAGTACCATAACAAAGAATTAACTTCAGTGAATATTAAAGTCACGTTGCACATCAATGGTCTTCAGCCAAACAGGAGGTCCAGGTTCAATTTCCGCTCGATGCTCTCTCAAGATTTTACCTAGTTTCCCAGCTGGTAGTAAGCTGGTAAACAAGGTGGCTTGGAAGTGAGGTTAGAAACTCCACCCTGTAAAAGCAGTCACCCCCCTACTACTGAATCTTAAAGCCTTATGTTCCACTAGAAATGGGGAAAATGTATAGATCAAAACCATCTTGATAATCTATAGATTAGGAAAACCGGTGAAACATAAAAGTCATCTGGATCATATGAACGATAAGCCATTTATAGATGTCATTGAGCTTTATTAGTTGAAACAAGGATGGATACTGTTCTGTATTATGATTTTATTCCTTTACGTTCCCAGCGGAACATAAGGCTTCAAACTAGAGGCTTGAAGTCTCGGTAGCAGTGGTATTCATTTTTACGGGATGGGGTTGTTAGCCTCATGCTTAACCTTCCCTCTTTACCAGTTTTATTACTGGCTTAGAGGGGTAAATGAGTGCGTCAGCTGGAGATCGAACTCTGAGCTACGTGAGGCGTGGTTTGCGAGAATTCTACCACCTTGCCACCGACGCACTAGTGTTCTGTACATTATTGTCATTTGGTATGTGGAGCATAAAACCCTTTACTAATAGTGTGGTGAGAGCTGGCTGCTAGCCAAAGTTGGTAGACAGTAATTTACGTCAATGCTTATGTCCCCAATATTGGTCGTGAGAAAAATGAGAACAAAGGCTTTGCGTAGGCGGGTACACTCAGCATAAAGATGATCTGACATTCAAGAAACAGCCACAAAGAGATGCAAGGTTAATTTTCTGTGAGAAACAGCCACCAATCAGAAGACTGTGTTTTTCTACTAACAATAATCTATAATAACGTACATGAAAATCTATAAATATGTGTTGATTTCGTAAATAAACGAGCTGTTGCCTGGACCTTGTCTTCTGTTGTTACAATAGTACTTATTTATACTACAAGGCATTTACAGACAAATGAGAAGTTAGAATAAAGGGATAAATTCGAGAAACTGTTCTTTACACTGACTTATTTGGACCTAGTTTTCTGTCTGAGTGATGTAAATGTTGATTATGAACATCCACCTTAAGACAGTTTGATAGTCTGTCAACGCAGAATTAAAGCCAATTGACAACGTAAATCAAGGAGAAATAACTCACACTTTTAAACGCTCGTTAGAGGTTGCTTTCAAAATTTTATTCAACCATAAGTCACTTGTTAACAGGTTGCATTAAATCATGAAATCATTGAACTAAATAACACTAGTGATCAATCCCCAATCCAGAAGTTTATGCTTAACGTCACAAATCAATACTATCCCTTTACTTCATACCATGTAAATCAAAAGACCCTAAATTAGAAGGAGAGAAAACTAAAATCATCAATAAAACAGATTGGATGAACCGAGAAAAACACTAAATTGGACTAAATTAGATTTTCTATTCGTTTTATCATTCATGAACACTAACTAGCAGTCAAAAGGCGCGACCTACACTAGTTCATATCAATTCACATAAACAACTGGAAAGATCAGTTCTACTGGGTTAATGTAAAAAAAATCTTAAACTGATTTAACACAAATGATGCTAGACAATCCCTACAATTCTGCTTTAGTCGGTTAGATGACAGATTTGTTAAGTATCGAATCAGCAACACGATCAATACCAAGTGAATACGATCCAAATCTATGAGAACTACGAGTCACAATCAAGGTTACTAGGATAGTCAGTTATTTCACCTGCTGCAGTTGTTATCCAGACAGATAATGAAAGCTTCTCAATTCATCTCTATCGTCCAAAGAATACAACACTAGATGTTCACATTCATTAGCTTACAGAAGGAGCTACGTGTACAGTGATGTTGCCATGCCAACTAGTTGTTAACTTTTATATCGAAACGAAACATGGTGTATTATAAACAACAGACAAAGAAAAATAATAATACAAATTCATGAATTTATAGTCTCTACTGAAGGCCAGGACAGTAGTAGTGGCTGGACTTGCTTCTTCTGCACACACACACACAGCACTAGTTGTTTCGGACGGAGCATGCAGTACCTCGACGTTTTTGGCAATTATTTGCTACCCCGTAGATGAAAGAGAATGAATGCGGCCAGTTTGGACCAGGTGGTGTAATATCGAACTATTGATGGTTTTCACTATATACCTTTATTTAGCCATACTAAAAGATGTTCTCAAGCACAAAAATTCAAGTTCTCAGAACAACGGCCAATATAACTCGCTTCACAAGCGTAGTTGAGTAGGCAGATATAATTGGAAGTGGCTAGTCTAGTCTAGGTACTTCATCTTTCAATTAAGGAATCACCATCGGTCCTATAGAAAATAAGACTTTCAGTTTGGCAGCATTAAAAGTTCTTTGAACTGATTTTCTTAACTTCCTCTTGATTATTTCGCTATGTATATATTCCTTGAATTGCAGTCGTATGTGTAAAGGCTTCTTGTTTACAGATAGTGAGTAGTCCTTTTACTCTTTCTTTTTCATGTGTTTCTTGATCAATTTGTCGGGATAGCTATTTTCAATCAAGGTATCATATACAACGCTTCGTTTAATAACTTTCTATTTTCCAAATGACAACTTCATCATGGACTAAAAGGAAACTATTTAATCTTCTCATCTTTTTTTCCTCCAAACTTTAGCTCCACCCAAGATAGGACGAGATGCACCTCGTGAAGTAACTGCACGGCTTGGAGAACCCTTTAAAATTCATATACCTTATACTGGAAGTCCGCCAGATAAAGTGGAAGTAACTAAGGTTAGTCTTTTCTAATGGTGTTTATTTCCCATATAATGAAGGATTAGGTAGCTGTCGATTGAACAATTGCGTAATCTTAAAGTGGCTTTGTTCACCTGTGACACTTAGTTTGATAATTACTGAAATCAAGAACCAGTGATTAAACATACGAGTATACGGCGTTTTTTTTCAATGAAATCCAAAAATCTACTGTTTCACTCATTTGGTATACGATGAAAGACACCAGGAAAGTGGCCATCATAAATCATTAGCTGAACAGTCTGGAAAACAGTTGTACTTTTTGTAGTATCTTTTTTTATTTATTACTACTATCATAGTGTTCAAGATTTCATGCACAGTCCAGCTTATTCTCCATAGGAATATATGTATTTTCAAATGTTATAGATAAATTTTGCATACCAGTTAAACCGCCTACACTGATACCTGTAATTCCCTTTCTCAATAAAGGAGCTTTACTGTTGCTTGTACCGTAAGTGAGCAGTATTTAAACTTTCAAGTCTGACCACAGATTGATGTCAGTTAGAGAACCATTGGAAACCAGGGAGTATTGCCAGACAGCTGTCGCGGCCTAATTCGGGACTCTTCATCAGTAGGCGTCCACCACAGTGGTTCAAACTCAGGACCTTCCGGTTATGCCAGCCTCGTAGACCATTCAGCCGCTGGGACCCGACCCAATGGCCTATGAATTCTAAGTTCTACCAAATCGTTACTTCAGTGAGACCACGAGCCAATGTCATCAGCGAGTGTCTGTCCTCACTCTCAACCGGGTGGATTCCACTAACTCTTAAAAACACTGTTATAGTTTACAAATACTATGAGGTCATAATGTAACTGAGGCTGGTTTATTTGTCGATAAGATTGATTGACCTGTTGGTCACTGTGATGATTGCTCACTTGGAACTGTACTCCAACTGAGTTGATAGAACAATTAACTATGAAATACACAAGTTATGTTAAATATGACATAAAAGGTCAATAGTCAAACAGTAAATCGTTACAAAGAGTTAGCAAATTTCATTTTTCCTCCTTTAAGATATGATTTCACAACGATAATGTCTAGAATCATCGTCCTATTGGAACAGGGGAGATGTTATGCTGTGATAATCTCTTGATCATGAATTTATATCTTTTTGCTTATCACTTATTACACTTACAGGGTTAATTTTAGTATTATCTACGATGATGAATAATTCCTTCTCTTCCTTCCCTTTAATACTTAGAATGGAATTCCAGTCCCACTAGAAGGTGGTCGTTTCAAAGTGGAAATCACACCAGATGAAGTTATCATCACAGATACAGAAGCAGAAAAAGGAGATGCAGGCAACTATAAAATTGATCTTGAAAATGAGAAAGGTCGTGATTCAGTACCAGTTACAGTAAAAGTTGTTGGACCGCCTGAACCACCACAAGGACCATTAGAAATTAGTCATATTAAGAGTAGTTCATGTTCCTTGAGTTGGAATCCACCAACAGTGAGTAACTAGTTTTTTTTTGTTAAATTATTAGACTGATATACTGTTTGTCCCACCCCCTCCTCAATTTTTAAAGTGGAGTGTGTGACATCACTGAAAGAGTTAGGGGTACAAAACATATGCTAATTTCCTCTTTAAGTAGTAAAATAAGCTTTCTTAAATAAATGCTTATTTAGAAACATAAATTAGGATATATTACATCTTTCTTCTCATGCATGTTTAACCTGAAATTCCTGTGATCCTGTTTTTAAATTTTCTTTGAATAAACCGTGAGAAATTCCTTTTTTCTATTAAAGATATTAAATTGTGTAAAGAAAGTACATACTACTTTTACTGTTTAAGCGATATACCTCATTATACAGTAATAATAACCCCAGGAATTCTAAATTCCTGATAATCAAATTATGCACTTTTTAAGAGAAGTATTCGAGGTATTACTATTACGATTATTATTCCATTGGGTTCTGAGTGGGACATAGGGCTTCAATAGAACATTACTGTATCCTGCACTCTGTGGTCCTCTTTAGCTGACCCCACGATTGCCTGTAGGCTGTCATCTCTGGTCATATGCCCAACCCGTCGTTTCCTAGTCGGGTTCCACTCGAGGGTGTGCCTGGGACGTTGTTTCATTCGATGGTCTCCTCAAAGTGTGTCCTATCTATCTCTATTTTCTCCAGGACATTTTGTAGAGTAATAGGTTCTTAGTTAAGTGTTGGTTTGTAGGGATTTGGTTGGTTTCAGGATTTCATCATGAGCTGACATTAGTTAGAGAACCATTGGAAAACAAGCTGGGAGTACTGGACAGCTGCTGTTTCATCCTAGTTTGGGAATCATCGGCAGTACGCACCCACTGGGATTCGAACCCGGGACCTTTCGGTTACCAGCACACTTTCCACTCGTTAAATCTCATGAACAGTGGATAGTTTTCCAGCTATGCATGTATACATATCTAGCTGATTCAGTAAAGTACTAGGTCAGACTTTCTAGGATTTGTCGTTTAATCGTGTTTCAACTCTCTTTCTGTTTCAGTATATATCAACACTGTTTCTATGAAAAGACATGAATGTTGAATACCTTATCCAACATACTACAAGAGACGTTTCTACTCGAAATATTTGTAAAATGATAAGTGGCTTATCTGTCTAACCCTAAGTACATTGATCGTACTCTACCAATCAGGTGTTTGTAATGATTAAATGACACTGTTACTCATTGTGGTACAAGGTGTAATTTGGTTGGTAGATTTTGATCGGCCCATTTATGATTAGATAAGTAAATTGACTATCACCTGACAATCAACTCATGCGAACCTGTTAATACTTCAGGTATCAATCACAACCTGATTACCTTAAGCATAACTTCGGTATTGAAAGAATATAAACCAGCCCAAAATGCGACAGACAGAGGGTAACGAGGAAACAGGCATGAAATGGACTCATACAAAAAACTTGGAGGATCTGGACTTCGCCCTTGATGATATATGTCTGATTTCCTACAAACAAGAAGATATGAAGGTGAAAAGCAACAAGTTTGCGACAGAAGAAGCATGAAATATAGGAAGGAGTTCAGGTGAACATAGAGAAAACAGAGGTGACGAAGATTCCTGACCAACAGTAATAGCAACAGACAACAATCAGCATAAATGGGAGAAATCTGAAAGAAGCAACCTTCTTTGTCTACCTGAGAAACATCGTTTCAAATACAGGAGGACGTAACTGATGACGATATCAAAGCGAGGATCGGGAAAACAAGACAAGCTTCCATTACTTTCAAGTCTGTGTGGAGATCGACAGCACTCCTCAGTATGAAAAATAAGATCCAGATTTTCAACTCCAACCTGAAGTCATTGCTACTACACGGATCAGGGACTTGGCACGTCACGGAGGGCACTTCGAACAAACCACACACTTTCATCAACAGCTGTCTTCTCTTAATACTATTCAAGATCAGATGGTCAGAAAAGATAAGCGACAGGGATCTCTGACAATGAACGAACCAACCCATCAGGAACCAATTTTGCAACAAATGTGCAAGAATACATGCAGGTGGATTGGCCATACTCTGAGGAAACCATCAGGTGATATCACACGTCAAGCCATCGCTCAAATGGAACCCGAAAGGGAAGCGGCGAGTTGGTCGTCAGCGCATGGATGACATGGAGGACGTCATGCGAAGAGGGAATAAAAGCATATGGGCAGAAGTCGAGCGAAGTAAAAACTCTGGCGGAGAACCGAACGGAATGTAGATGTGCGGCTGAAGTCCCATTTTCCTCTAGGAACTAAAGGAAACAACAATAACAAAAATAAGAAGTCCGGCTTTCTTACTGACTGATTTCTCTCAACGCCTAAGATCAAAACTAAATCTTTCAATAAGGATTGATATAAGAATAAAACTTGTGCACTGTGGTAGAGTGTAATTCCATCATGGGTAAATTTTGTTTTGATAAAGTCTCACAGTTTCATACAGTAATGTTTACTGATGACGTTTCGAGCACAATTTATTGCTCATAATCATCCGTTGATAATATGCGACAATTTCCAGAAACCTTTTCTGCACACGGCATTTGTGGATCCATGAATTGAAAATTATATTTTTATGGTATATATGAAAAACTATGACTGTAATGGTAGAATACGACAGAATATATATGGAGGAATGTCTATCTGCACTCTATATCTCTATGTAGTGAACTTATATACACCTTATCTTCAATGCACCATTTACACACATCTTTTATGTTGTGCTACTTCTTGCCTTCCTTCATATTGTGTGTGTGTTCCTTTGTGTTCCTTTCATGCCTTCTGTGTATCACCGCAACTCTTTATCATTCACTTTCTCTGACATCAAATTTATCTGCCTGTTATTTGATGTTTTAATGACTATGAACATCTCTTTATATATATATATATACTACTGATAAATATTATCAGTAGCACGCGTCACGTAACCAGCTGTCATTAGAATTCTAGTCGATGGTTTCAAAAATAAAAAGGAAAGAAAAGCGTCAACATTGTCTCTTTCTACTCCAATGAGGCTCGTGAATATATTTCGCTTTAAAATTGAAAACAAAACTCAAAGACTACTTAACATCTAAGTTATCAGTGGTGATTAGATAACAATTTATCATTAGAGAAATATCATGGTTCACGTTAGGCAGGTTGGTGCAAGTATGTATGCCTAAAAATACCGTTCATATTACCGCTTCTTATCTGCTACATTATGGTGAAACTTACAGTTGGTGAAATTTATTTATCATTTCCCTTACAGTTGTGTAGAAGCAGTGTTGACTGATGTATACAAGTGAATTCTGTAGAGTGATTCTTATTCCATTTATAAATTCGACCAACAAATAGGAATGAGCATACGTTGGTTAACAGACACCCATCTCGTCCTATGTGGAGCTCAGCGCTTATAAGTTTAAACTTTAAAAGTTAAGTTCTAGTCTCAAGGGGAACACCATCACACTGAGACCTAAATGACGGGTGTTAAGCAGGAAACGACGAATGTCTTGGGGACTACTGCTAGTCATCGCTTCAACCAATGTAACAACAGAAGACAAGGGCCGACAACAGATCGTTGTATTACGGAAATCAACACGTATTTATATATATTTCATGTACATTATTATAGCTTATTCAAGCAGACAAACACGGTCTTCTGATTGGTTGTTTCTGGTTTCTCGGATAGTTAAGTCATATATCTGCGAATCTTATTCGCCCACGTTAAGTCTGCTGTGATTGGTTGTTGAATCAGCCTTGTTCATATTTTCTCACGGCCAATATTAGTGACCTAGACATCGACGTAAATTAATGTCTACCAATTGGCTAGCAGCCTGCTCTCACCACACCAAGTAGAATTAAGTTAACCTTAGAACATCATCGAAGCATCCGTACTAGAAATCGGTCCAGAAAAGTGAAACAAAGGAAAATCCAGTAAGCAACAGATGAAAATGGAGGTAGGAATCTCAAACACAGAATAACAACTTCAAACCCTATCCCGCCCCACCCTTGCTCAAGTTCGAAGAATGACCATTTTTCCCCAAGAATATGATAACTGCATACCTACTTACATTTAATCTCTTATCTTAACTATAATTCAACTATTTCAGAAATATGCTCTCATCAATGGCATTCATCAGTGTTCTTTAAATTTAAATTTTTTTTCTTCTACTTTATAGGATAATGGTGGTAGTCCTATTACAAATTATGTTGTTGAAAGACAAAATACTAAAACAGGTGATTGGATTACAGTTAATTCATTTGTTCGATCACCAAATTGTGATGTAACTGGTTTGGATGAAGGGAATATGTATCGATTTCGTGTACGTGCAGCAAATGAATTCGGTGTTAGTGAACCGTTAGATGCAGATAAAGCTATTGTTGCAGAAAATCCTGCAAGTGAGTTTCTTAAACAGTATATAAATAAATACAAAAATTGACTAGATTGCAAGTATGTATGTGTGTATGTATGTACAACATATGTATGTATGCATGTATGCGTGTATGCATGTATTTCATCACATAAAAGTGGCACAGAAATCTTAATGTTCTACATTTATACTTTACACAATAAACTTTGTGCTGTGTTTATTGCTCACCTAGTGTCATCCAAGAAGGAACAATTATTCTTTAAGTGTTTTACTGTAAAGATCTGATTAACTCCAAGGTGAAATTCATCGTGAACCGATTTTAGGTAAAGAACCATTGAAAGAACATCTGCCCCATCTTTGTTGATTCACCATCGGTCAGTGAATGGCCAGTAGGATTGTCTAATAACATGAAAGTCCTACATTTGATCCTTAATGAATACTTGTCGTTGAACAGTTCCAAAGCAGGATGAAACAGTTGTCTAAGTATGCCCTAGTTGCCACTGGTTGTTTATAATTGATGTTGATTCCTAATGAAGTTCACCCTAAAATCAAGTCTCTTTTCTGATAACTCTAAAACAAGCTGATATAGAGTTAAAACTTCGTTATTCGACGTCATTTCTAAGATATCCGAGACTAATGTAAGGGATAAACGCATGTTATCCATGAATGTATCATCACTATTTACTAATGTACCGTTCATGGAAACAGTAGATTATATTTGTCAAGAAATCACCGAAAGACAATTAGACTTAGGAATCCCCTTGTATAACCTCAAAGAATTACTTCTTAAATGCACAATGAATATTCAATTTGTCTTCAATAATTCATGCTATCGATAAGTAGATGGAATATTTAGGCCTAATATTAGCTGATTTCTTTCTCGCAAAACTTGAAAACGGGAAATTGAAGGACATCATCAAGGAGTTTGATATGTATTAGATGGTTGGAGGCAATCAGAAGGAAGCCTTGGACCTAGGTTTCGTGCTAGCTGGCACTCGTTAGCAAGGTGTATCTGCAACTAGCTTGAAGGAACTCATGTCCCTTCTGAGATTCGAACCCTCGTCACCCAGTGCCACCTAAAGTCAGAGATGTTACCACTGAGCTATTCGGACTTGGGATTGACCTCCTGTAGGACTGTAGTGGATATTTTGATTTGACACTAGTAACTAGTGTGATGCGTCTAGTCCTCTAATATGATATGATATGTTTGATATGTATTACGGATATGTCGATGATGCACTTATCTTAGCTTATGGGAATGTTAACACAGATGAATTGTTGCTGAAATTCAACAACATCCATCCTTCGCTTACCTTTACTTGTGAAGAGGAACAGGACAATAAACTACATTTTCTAGATGTCTCGCTGAATATTTATAAAATGATAAAGAAGATATTTACTAGAAGGCTTTTTTTAAGAAATGAACTACGTTCACTTATCATTTCAGTTAATATAAATGGTACATCTGTTCATCAAGGTAATCATAAAATGATACTCTTAGTAAACAAACAACAAATGACCGGAAAAAATGTGCACGGTAATAATAATTAGAAGAATAAGAAGCCAATAATCCCTAGGTAGCTACTTCCTCCCAGTATGGGACTTCAAGGATTTCCTCACACTGATGACCTACCACCGTCACCTACATCTCCACAATTCCAGCACTTAAACTCCCCTTTTAAAGTTACTTACATAAAAACACCTTTTGATAGGACCCAGCATAAAATAGTGTATCATCCTTTCTCACGAATCGTGTAATTTATCATGTGATGGAGTTACTATATCAATGTAACATTTCTCAGGCATATTGTGATTGTGTGTGTGACCAATTCATCTTCTCCTGTCTCACCTTGCTCTTTCTCTGATCACCAACCAATCAGGATAGATATTTCCAACCAATAAGAACAATCCCTTCTCACGGTTGTGAGCCGACTTTAATATGGTTAAGAAAATGCATGAATATCATGTGTTGTTTCTTAAACTACGTAATATAGTAATATAGTAGTAAAGTACAATGCAGTATCTTCCAGTCATAGGCCAGCCTCGGTCTTTTAATATTTGTGTGTCTCAGTGAATCTGAAAGTACAACGGACAAACATAGATCTGTTAGCGCACCAGTCGAGCTTACTACCGTTATAGTAATTAGCAGGTGCAGACATAACCAAGTAGCAATGAATTTATTCCCTTTGTGGTGAGAGCAGGCTGCTAGCCAAATTGGTAGACATTAATTTACGTCAATGTTGATGTTCCCAATATTGGTCGTGAGAAAATATGAACAAAGACTGATTCAGCAAACAACCGCAGCAGACTTTTCGTAGGCAGATACAGTTAGCATATAGATGATCTGACATTCAAGAAACAGTCACAAAGAGATGCAAGGTCAACTTTCTGTGAGAAGCAGCCACCAATCAGAAGAGTGTGTTTGTCTGTTTGAATAAGCTATAATAATGTACATGAAATATATATAAATACGTGTTGATTTTCTTAATAAACGATCTGTCGCCTGGTCCTTGTCTTCTGTTGTTACATTTGGTGTCGCTGCCTACCGACAGATGGGAAGCCTATGCCCTGCAGTTTTTGATGGAGACATTCGGATCTTCAGGCAGGACTTCAAGGCTTCTGCGCAGTTAAGTGGCGTTCAAGAACTGTCGGCGATGAGGCTGCTGCTTGGGACGCTGTTGAGAAGCCGATCTAAGGCGGCATATAACAGCCCAGAGAGGTCAGATGTCACAGCTTCTTGGAAGACATTGGTTGAACGATTGGTTTCGGAGTTCAACAGCGCAACAGACAGACAGCTAGCAATGCAGCAGTTCCGTTCAACGAAGCTAGGACCTGATGGAGACCCTTTAGTGTTGGCGGTGACATTGACGAATCTACTTCGACGTGCTCTTCCCACTTTGGATGAGGAATAAGAGGCGCAGTTACTGAGTTCCCAGTTCATCCGGAGTGTCCCAGACCACATTTCTCAGCGATTACAATTAATGTCTACCAATTTGGCTAGCAGCCTGCTCTCACCACAACTTCACTTCAGTTATAACAAATTTGGCAACGGACTTATAACACCTTTATATAATTATTCCCCTTAATAAATTTGAATAAAGCTAGAACAACAGTTTTTTAGCCCTGTTTTAGGAGATATATTTATGTCCAGTCTTGAAAGAAAATGTTGAAGCATGCCTTCGACGGAACAACTTCTTATCTTCGATATGTAGACGACACATTTGTAGTGTACAACAATGAAAGTCATGCTTCCTACCTACTCAGATTATTCGACGACACACATACAAATATTAAATTTACTATGGAACATGAAAATAATGGAAAGTTTCATTTTCTTCACATTCTCATGCAACGCCCAGAAGATGGTAGTCTTCAGAGGTCCATTTACCGAAAGCCTACTTGGAAAGGACAATACCTACATTTTAATAGTTTTTTGTCCAAATGGATTTAAACGTAGACTAGTCAAGACTATATAGTAAATAGCTACGAGATTATGCTCTACAGCGAAATAAGAGGGAGAATTTATGTTTCCCGAAAAGATGTTGAAAAGCATCAGTTACCCTCAAAGGTTCACTAATGAGTACAGAAGATCTGAAGGCTCAAATATCAAACAAATCACAATGGGGAAAAAGCCCATCTTCTATCAACCTGATTTTAAAGGTAAAAATATTACAGAAATTGTCAACAAAAGATTGAGGACGTCACTAGCTAGAGCCTATTCTAAAGCTTAGCCGGTTCCCATCTAACTAGCAACATGTTCTTTGGTGCAGTTACATTGGAAGAACAGAAAGAAGGGCATATCTACGTTTTTCTGAACATGTACCAAAAAGTATACATGTCAAGATAACAAATGCTTTCAACACAGCCATCTTCAGGCATCTCCTTGGCACGGGTCATGAGGTGGACATCTCAAGATAGTTCAGAATTATGAATAGTCAAAAGAGTTCAATTCTCTTTAAGTTTGCTGAAGTAACCTACATCAAGCACCTGAAACCCGATTTATGAGCTCAGAAAGAAGCAGTTATCAGTCTTTCCTTGGCCTACCCGGTAACTGAATGTTTTCATCCTCTCTTTCATCTGATTGCATAACACCTAAAGATCCCATTATGTGTGATTATTATTATTAGCATTAGTATTGTATGCATATATTAATTGATTGATTTTTGTTTAAAAACAAACTCTGTGCAAGTATGTTAAAATACTTAATAGTGTCTTTGAGTTGTAAGCAGTTGATGAGATGCCAACGAAATAAATGGGGTACCATTTTATTCTGCAAAAACTGTTTTCTTTGCCTTATTCAAACATTTTTATATGATTTTTAAACCAAATAATAACATCATGTCACTATCATAATACAAGACTGTTTAACAAAAAGTCACAACTATTTTGAGAGTGATTGAAAATGCAAAATTGTTCCTTACATATTTACATCCATCCGCTTGTTGTGGAGGCGTGATACAGAAAATGTGTGCTAACAGAATATTATTTTCACATATTCCCACAGTTCAATATGACATTAGCAACAGAATACAATATAAAATCTATTCGAACCTTCTATTTGATGTTAGAGACATAATACATTTCCCACGGTTATATACTGCATTGGCAACAGAATACTATATATATATATATATTTGGAGATTCTATTTTTGTCGTTTAATGCAACACCGAAATCACACGATCAGGGATTGGTTACCGAATATAAAAAGATACTTTGGCTTGTGTATCTCACCTACTGTTGTTACACCCCCTTACTTAGATCACAGACTTCTTATTAGTAGTAGAAATAATCTCTTATATCAAAATTATTTTTGTTAGTTCAGATAAACCTTTTGAGAAAATGTTGATAAGCTTCTTTTACAACATTAAGATCAAACAGCTATGATAAATTTCTGTAACATTCATTTTTTTATTTATTTTAGCTGCACCTGGAGCTCCTGGAAATCTTACACCAACCGATATAGACGCTGACAAGGTAACCTTAGAATGGACCAAACCCAAATCAGATGGAGGACGTCGTATCATGGGTTATCTGGTTGAATATAAACCTGTCAATTCAGATGAATGGCGAACAGCACCAGAAGGCTTGGTCAAGGGGAATTCCACAACAGGTATGTATTCAGTCTGCTGAGAAAAAAAAAGAATACTTGATTATAATGTGTCACTCAGTCAATATGTAAATCTTAGTCTTCAGGTACCATGAATAACTATGATACATTTAACAAAAAGGGGAAAAGTGCTTTTTGCCAATGTAGATTACAATCAATGAATGGCATTGTCAAGATATGGGCAAACGGATCCTGTGCATGATAACGTAGTAATAATGGGATATATGTGGGTAAATAAAGTATAAGCAGTTGGGTTTATCACCACGATTTTTATTATTAAGAAAGCCACCGTTGAAAAAAGGGATTAGTGATGAAATAACCTCGTCTACAGTTCACTTAAATCATTATATGCCTACTTTCCTGTCAGATAGGTGACTATTTCAGACATAAATAAATAATAATTTGGAAATAGCCATATCGATTTCTAAATTATATTTAATATAAACCTCAGTATTAGTGTAATAAATAATCCCAGCATTTTGTTCAATAAACTATTCCTAGGATTGTAGAATTTCATAATGATCTCATGTTTTGAGTTTACATACTGTTAAGCTGTAGTAAAATGTGCTGTATACAACAATTCTTCTATCGACTTAACAAATAACAACTAACCGATTGAAAAACAAATAGTTTATCCCAAACTAACAAATCGAACAATAGAACTAAGTAGTACAACAAAAAACTTAAAATGTGATGAAATTAAAACAGACAGAAGGAGAAGCGTTAGTGTTAAATAACTATTCTATAAAATTCATTAGGAAGATGAAAAAAGGCCAAAAGCAAAAAAAGCAAATTATGAGGAAACTAATAATGATAACATAAATAATAGGGAATATAAGTCATCCACTGATATACCACATAAGGAGGGGACATCTGAGACCCTACGTAAGATTCATAATAAAGCAGGAATTAGGGTGGCATTTAAACCTACACACTCACTCAGATAGGACAAGCTCTGTAGGCTAAAGGACCCTGTAGGTTGACCCAATTAAACAAAATAATATAATTTACATAGTAACTTCCAATGACTGTGAGGTCAAATACATAGGTCAAACCAGCAGATTGGGAGTAGTCAGATGGTCAGAACATAAGAATCTAGCTAACTACAGAATGACTGACTCCAAAGAAGAGAAGTAGTTTAGAAAAAAATAACTCAATGATTGCACTGTATGCATTGACACACAACTACACAACAGGGTGGGTGGGAAAGAGTCAAAATTCTAAAAAGTAATACACGTAGTTGGAGAGAGAGACAGGTTGATTACTGAATCCTGGTTCATTGATTCTACACCCAAACACATGGAACAGTAGTGACTCAATGCAAATACCAGAGATATGCATGGAAGATATTATTACTACCGGTCAAATCAGAGGAGGATAATAAATAACGTCAACATACATTCAATTCACACTATAACATTCTAACAAGTTATTTATTTATTTATTTTAATATAAAAAACATCTTATTTCCCATATTATTGTATTTTATTGATAACACTAATATTATTATTTCCCAATGTACTTTATCTTATACTGATTTTATTCAAATGTCTAATCAATTTCACTCATATATATATATATATAAATGAAGCAAAATGTTGTGTAAGTGAGTGCCTTGATATGATTCTGAGCGGCAATAAATTGTGCTCGAAATGTGGTCATCAGTAAATATTACTGTACAACAACACTGTGTGATTTTATTAAAATACAATTTTATCCATAATGGAAGTATACTTCTACCACAGTGCCGAAATTTTATCCTTATACCCACACATATTGAGTTTGTATTTTGTCTTAATCCCCGTTTCACAATAAAATCAGTTTGATAGAAACTGAGACATCCTGAATCTCATGTGATTGAAAGCTTTATATCTGTTTAGTTGACTAATAAAGATTTTATTCAGTAAGTTTTAGTAATCCCATTTAATTTAGTCATGATATGATGTGTTGATCTGGAAGTGCTTTATCTCCTGAGTACAGTCTTAATCAGTAAGTTAATTTTTGTGGTCAGTCGTCCATTGTACAATCTCATTTCATCATTGGCTAACAGTTAATATCTTAATTCTTGTCATCCTAAAGCCAGTCAAATTTATTTAAGGAAATAATCGGCAAAAAAATTCACAGCTACATTGCAGGCTACTTATTAGTAGTACATAACTAAGTATTTATGATAGTTTGACTACTGTACACATTTAATTGTTTAAAGATGTAATTGAATTACGGTAACCTCAGTTGAGATTTATTCAACATCTGTTCTGAGTTAGGATTAACGATAAGAATAAAACTGGGGCACTGTGGTAGAAGTATACTTCCATTATGGATAAAATTGTATTTTAATAAAATCACACAGTGTTGTTGTACAGTAATATTTACTGATGACCACATTTCGAGCACAATTTATTGCTGCTTATAATCATATCAAGTTACTCACTTACACAACATTTTGCTTCATTTATATATATATATATATATATATATATATATATATGAGTGAAATTGATTAGACATTTGAATAAAATCAGTATAAGATAAAGTACATTGGGAAATAATAATATTAGTGTTATCAATAAAATACAATAATATGGGAAATAAGATGTTTTTTATATTAAAATAAATAAATAAATAACTTGTTAGAATGTTATAGTGTGAATTGAATGTATGTTGACGTTATTTATTATCCTCCTCTGATTTGACCGGTAGTAATAATATCTTCCATGCATATCTCTGGTATTTGCGTTGAGTCACTACTGTTCCATGTGTTTGGGTGTAGACTCAATGAACCAGGATTCAGTAATCAACCTGTCTCTCTCTCCAACTACGTGTATTACTTCTTAGAATTTTGACTCTTTCCCACCCACCTTATTGTGTGACTGTGTGTTTAACGCCTTTAGTGCGACTGATGAGTTTTTTTCTTAAATTACTTATTTTTGTGGGATCAGTCATATGTGAGTATTTCTCAATCGTAATGTCTGCTGTCAAAATTTGCACTACCTAAATAAGGATCTCTTAGACTCTTTCTTTCATACCTTGAGTTCTAAGCTGGACACAGGACTTCAGTCTCTGAAGTTTCAGTAGAGGTGATGTTGCCTTTAAGGGACTTGGTGGTGGCGGGGGGGTGTTCGCTAACCTCAAGCACAAATATCCCTCTTTTCCAGGAATACTACCAGTTAAGCGATTATTTTTTTTAGGGGTACATAGGGAGGGAATTGAATCCTGACCTCTCACGCGTCCCTGGAGAGTATTCCACCATTAAACTACCGATGCATACTAACTTATATTTATCCAAGTTAAATGCCACACAATTAAATTATGGCCTTTAAAAGTGTACTCAGTCAAACGATATCTATCAACACATCAAAATGATGAAAGACTCGGATATTTGAAGGTGAATAAACACCTATGAAAATGCATTCATAAAGCCCAGATGCAGACAAATATTATATTTTCAAATATTGGTTTGTAGGGATTCTATTCGATTGGTTGGAAGACTTCATAGAGGATATTACTAAGTGTTTGCTCTATGTCATAAATTGGCAAAAGTTAGAATTCATCGGTTGCCCGTTGGATCGGTGGGTCCCAGTGGCTTAATGATTTACGAGCTCATCTTTAAACTGGAAGATCCTGGATTCGAACTCAGTGGGATGCGTACTGATGAAGAGTCCCAAACTGGGACGAAACATTTGGCTGTCCAGTCAAAAAAATATACGTAATTTATTAGTTGCCTTAAAATATCAAAATTCTTTCATGCTTACATTTGTTATAAATTCATACATAAATGAATTATCACATTTAATAACTCGAATAATATTTAGTTTTGCCGACAGAATTTCTCATGCATTCCAGTGTATTTCTTTTTTTTAACCTAAAATGCCCGTGTACAGTGGATGGTCTTAGAAAAGGAGAGAAATACGTATTTCGTGTTAGTGCCAAAAATGAAGTTGGACTTAGTGAACCGTGTACAGCCAATAGACCAGTGGAATGTAAACCTAAATTTAGTAAGTCTATCATTTTCCCACACCTATTTCTGATATTACATCCTCCCACGCTCTTTCGTCTACACCCTAAAATGATCCTATAATCGGATTAGTTTATTCCCAAACATTTTTCATTATTCAAGTGTTGGTTTGCAGGGTTTTGATTTGATTTAACTGGTTACAGGTTTTCATCATGTGAACTGAAATCAGTTAGAAAACCATTGGAAAACCTGGAAGCCTGTAATGTTGGCTAGTGGTCACGGTATACCATGAATTGGCAGAAGTTGGGCTGGCCATTTGATTGAGTCCCAGTGGCTTAATTGGTCAACGAGCTCTCTGGCCTTGTAACCGGAAGTTCCTGGATTCGAGCCCCTGAGGTGGGTGTGTAAAGATGAACAGTTCCAAACTAGAGCTGAGGAAATATCTGTCCAGTACTTCAGTACTGGTTTCCCTATGGTTCTCTAACCGATTCCAGTTCAGGATAAAATCCTCTAACCATTTTCATTATTATGTGCATCCTATCCTAATTGGCTGGATCATTTTAATAAATACGGTCATTTGATAAGAGCAGATACTTCTCAGTACGCCAAATGATATTTTACGTTAGACAAATTCATGAAATTGACCAATGATCTATAAGTTAGGGGAGAGAGAATTCAAAGGGTTGTATCACCTGTTAGTTGATTGGTCCAATATAATGAATGAGCAAATAAATCCCTTTCTACCGTAAAAACTTATCCGAAATTTCTCAATATTTGATTGGTTGAATTATTAAAGTTGCCAAGTTGGCCACGATCTCATCAAACACTGAGTGGGTTGAAATTCCCATAGAATATTCATTCTTTTCTTTTGTTATGAGTAAAAACAGGTGCATAATTTTGAGAAGTACTTTATTCTTCTGATATGGTGAACTGAACAGTCCATGATAAAACTTGCAACAAATCAAATCGCTGAAAAGAATTACTACTTTTAATTTTACTTTCCATCAATAGTTGTTTCACATCATATTTAAGTATCAGCAACCAAGAAGTTAATTCGTGGATAGTGACTAGCAGTGGAATCCAGGATGGAAGTTTCGTCCTATTTGGGACTCATCATCTGGATATACCCACATTCCCCAGGGAGTGATGATGTTCCTACCGAGGCTTGAACCCAGTGCGCATAATTTTAAACGCGAAAGCGTTATCCACTAGACCACTTGGACCTCTTGTGCAACGGGTCATATTAATTATTGAATTGAATTTTAGATTTTCCCGTCGATTGATTGGACCGAAGTGCTCTGTCTCAGGTTGGAATGTCGGTTTCTTGTCCAGATGCTTCGACTATGTCTGGGCAAGTAATTAGAAGTTAATTGGTGGAATCCAGAATGTACATTTCGTCCTATTTTGGACGAAACTCTCGATGGGATTATGTCATGAAATAAATTTGTAGTGATAGTGATATTGATGTAATAGATCATGATTGAAGGTGGAATATAAACATCAGTGGTGAAAGGATCACAACCAATGGTTTGAAGCTTACACACGAACTTCATGTGACAATTTGCTTCTTGATTAAGTCATTAAGTGGTATCACTTTGTCGGTCTTTTCCCTATGGTGAATCTGACTACCTTCACTTGATGAGTAGTGTAGGAAAAATATACAAGTAGAAGAATGTGAAACGTTGCTAACTCTCAGTCACTCATCTATGACAGGTAATTTCTTTCTTCTTTAACGTTCCCAGTAGAACATACGGCTTCCTGCTGGAGGCTTGAAGTTTTGGTCGCAGTGGTATTCATTTCACGGGAAGCGGTTGCTAGCCCCATGCCCAACCTTCCCTCTTTACCGGTCATATTGCCGGCTTGGCGAGGAAAATGAATGCGTCGGCCGGCATCGAATCCCGAACCACATGATGCGTTGTTGGCAAGCATTCTACGGCCAAGCCACCGACATACACATGACGGGTAATTTACTGAAACTATATAGTGGAGTTGCCTAATTCTTTGCTTCATGAGTCTAGTGTCACAACAATAGTCATACTGATGAATATACATCGTAGAGGCATCACTAGGTAGTCTGGTTTTGCAATGAGAAATTAGGGACTGGAGATAATAGGGTAAAGTTTAGTGATGTTAAATGTTTCTTTAGGTACTCTCTACAGATGTTATCAAAATGCCGCTGACTATTCCACCTCTGAAATATCAGAATTTCTTTTTGAACCCTCATCTAACGGAAATGTATTCCTACTAAGTAGGTAATTGGATGACGCTAAATTCTGCCTTCGTTATTGGTATAGTTAGAAATAATTTAAGACAATTAACTAAACATTTTCATGCATGCAGTTTATGTTTGAAGAAGGAAATGGATAAGTTACCTAATCGGCAGTGGATTTCTACACATATTCTGTACTGTCATTCTATATGACCTTTATATGACCTCACAAATATTGAAAACAGCATACTCTCCGTTCAATCTGCCAAATATCAATAATCACCTATCATACCAGGACAGTGAAGACCACGATGCTGATTAAGGAGAGAAATATATTTATAAAGATAACAGAAAATAAGACTCAAATGCAAAGTTCTTTGGAATAAATCAATAAAATCAGGCAAATATACCTTTTGAAGCACTACCGTTTTGACATTATCCTATTAGTATTCCCTTAGATCCTAAGTGGAGCATCGGGGCTACAACAGCAAATCTTCATTGAATTTTGCTCTCTGCAGCTCTCTTTATCTGCCTGTATGATTGCCAATAAATTCTCATCTCCTCTTTCGGAGGCCAAACTCATAGTTCCCTCATTTCTGTTGTAATGATGGCTCCTAGTTCGAACTCTTCGAAGATGCTTGAAGAATGACATGGTGATATTCTGGTTGATGGTGACTAACAGTGTGATCGAGGAATCGTCGTCTGGATGTATCAGTCGGAATACCTTTACTCACAGGGAATGCGGGTATATATTTAGCTGACAAGTCCTAAAATAGGACGAAGCGTACATCCTGGATTCCTGTGCTAGTCATCATTAACCGAAATAATTTATATAAAAAATTATTACCTCTGAAGGATTTAAATGATCCTATCACTTGAGTTGGTTAAAATTTTACACAGAGGTTGACTAGAAAACATAAAACGGTTTCTTGATGAGGCTATAATCATAAGTTTGATATGACTTAAGAAATCTCGTAAATGGTTTCGAGTTTAACTCACCTGTCACCGTTACTTCTAAAACCATGAGGATAACACATCTGTTTAGCATACAAACAAAATAAGTAACCGTGTAACGGTAGAAGACGTGAAACTTGGTATCTCCATCTAGCGAAATCATGCGCAACTCATCTTCAACGCATCATTTGCATACAGATCTTCCGTGTTGTACTACTTCTCACCTTCCTTCATACTGTGTGTGTGTTCCTCTATGTCCTTTGCACGTCTCCCACGTATCTCCGCAACGGTGTTTAATTTACTTTCTCTGACATCACATCTATCTCCGTGCTATGTGATGTCCTCATCTCAGTGAATATCCCTTTATTTATATATATACTACTGATAAGTATTATCAGCAGCACATGCCACAACCGATCTTGGTTTTTTCCACATTATTTATTCTTATGTAAATTTAATTCTCACTACAAAACCTTTCCCAATTTAAGCCACCGCCGATAGTCCTGGTACACCTACTGTTGAAGATGTTGGAAAGAATTTTGTAGATTTAGCATGGTCAAAGCCAATAAAAGATGGTGGTGCTCGTATTACTGGCTATCTAGTAGAAAAGCGTAAAAAGTTTGCTACAGATTGGGAACCGGCTACAGCAGACGGGAAACCAGTGACAAATAATCAAGCTCATATTGATGGTTTGGATGAAAATGCTGAATATGAATTCCGTGTAAGTGCTGTAAATGCTGCAGGAGTTGGTGAACCAAGTCTACCGACAGAATTAACTAAAATCTGTCCTAAAAGAGGTAAATGATTGATGAATATGTAATTTTGGTAAATTTACTGTTTCATTACAATTAAAGTAACTATATAGAGTAATTCTTTATGCATAAAACCTGCTTTAGACTGTTGTCCTGAACACTTTTTGGTAATTTCCACCTATTTAACTTTTGATAGTGTGAAATATTCCCAAACTATGAATTAAAAGTCAATCTGAAGATTCATTTCAATAATTTCTCCTCTTCAGGTTCTTACAATTATAAAATATAATATTTGTGGTCGTTACAATATTGGCCAGTTATGCGGCGGATACATTTTTAACGTAGAATAACAGACTAGTTATGGGGTGTCAAAATAAATAGTCATATTTGTGTGACAAACGTGCTAGTTGACTGAAATCGATTAGTTATATACAGCGCACGACTAGGCAGATTCGTCTACGAGTTCGAGAACACTTACCAGCTTAGTTCAGCAGGGAGGGGGGTAATTAAGTGCATAAAAAGCTCGATCCTGTCACACTTGGTCGATGCTACTGGACATCGCATCGATGTCAACGCAGCTTTCAGGGTTATATACCGAATTCCGAAGTCGTTATCACGTGCGGTTCGCTTACGTTTCCTACACATAGCTGAAGCTGTTGCAATAAGATTGACTAAACCGGAACTTTGTATCCAAAAAGAACACGTCCAGGCGCTGTTCCTACTGTGGCCAACCTTGGATTGAAGATTTTTCTTCTCACCAAGAGTGCTCCTCCCCTTAACTCTTTTGGTTTTTTTAACTTTGCTTATTATTATAAATATTATTATTACAGTTATTATTATTATTCGTCATAATTTATGCCTTTTATGCAAACATTCCCTCAATACTATAGAATTTTCCATTTATACCATCCGGACTTATCATTAATGATATTATCTCTTTCTTCAATATATGCATGCCTCCACCTGTCTCATTTCACACACTCGTTATTTCTTTATGAACAACCTCTCATTGCAGTCTTACTATATCCTGTTTAACACAGACCACTCTATACTAGCCACTCCACTCACTTGACACCTTTAATAAACTTGAACTGACTTGTCAATTTTCCTACCCCACACTCTACAAATCTATTATGACCAATCACCATCACTGTCCCCCATTTTACGATTCCTTGTAATCGATTTCAGCCCAGCGCGTTTGTCACACAAGTATGACTATTTACTTTGACACTCGATAACTAATCTGTTATTCTACGTTAAAAATGTATCCGCGGCATAACTGGCCTTTATTGTAACGACCACAAATATTATATTTTATAATTGTAAGAACCTGAAGAGAAATTATTTAACTTTTACTGTTCATGCAGCGCATTGCTGATGTACTAATGTTATACGAATAGTGAGTGACAGGTTGTAATACTACTTACCTAATTCATTTGTCTTAAATGAAACATTCACTTTGCTCTGACACAGGGGATATATATATATATATATATATATATATATTTTTTAAGTATTGGTTTGTTGTAGGGATTTTGTTTGATTGCATGGAGGATTTGATCATGAGCTGACATCAGTTAGAGAACCACTGGAAAACCTGGGAGTACTGGACAGCTGTTGCGAAGTGGTCGCGCTATGTCGTGAACTGGCAGAAGTTAGAATTCAAGGACCATTGGATCGGGTCCCAGTGGCTCAATGGTCTACGAGCTCGCCTTGTAACCAGAAGGTCCTGGGTTCGAATCCCGGTGGGTGCGTACTGCTGAGGAGTCCCAAACTAGGACGAAACAGCTGTCCAGTACTCCCAGGTTTTCCAGTGGTTCTCTAACTGATGTCAGCTCATGATCAAATCCTCCATGCAATATATATATATATATGAATTACAATAAACAATAACAATATTTTTTGTGTGTGTGATAAAGTTTGACAGTGAGTGGAAATACTAAAGTACGATAATCCTGGTGTATAAGATTATGAATCACAATTTATTAGATATATGTACGAATACTGAATTCATCTCTGATTCCGACGTGAACTGGCTAGCATGATAGCAGCTGTTGAACTCCTTACTTATCATATCGATGTTGGTATTCCCGTCACTTATGATGACAGTATCATCCATGTATCTTTGGTACATATTCTCTAGACTTGACAAGAAGCTGTCTGCAGATCAAGGAATCGGAGATGAACTAGGGATTCCATTTTTTTGAATGTTTTCCTAAAAAGGAGATCTAATAGTTCTCTTCAAAGGTTGATCTACACGAAGTCAACATGGAATGGTTAGTACACGAATTGTCATAGTTGGGTCCCTTTGAGAAGAAAGCCAAAATCTGATCCACTTCTTATCCTCAAGAATATGAATGTGAATAACTAAATAAATAGAGGTCAACCTAAAGCTCAGCAGCCACATGTGTGAAATAGATGATCGGAAAATACATCACATTCAGAAGTGTGAATGTGTGGATATAATATGGCGGAGACATAGAATGAGTGGAATGTTGTAAAAATAGTAGACTAGATAAAATGTTTGAATTCGATAACATAAAGTGAAATGAAATAAAACAAAAACAAAAGTTGAAACAGAATAAAGAAGGATAACAAAGTGTTTTTAAGTATGAATTACATAGTAAAATCAAGACCATAGTAACTACAGAGACTGTACAAATTGTTTTTGTACACCAAGTCTTGGTTTTATGTTATGTTATGTACTGCCAAAGCCTCTGCTATACAACACAAATTCACTCGTGTCCCTTTCGGCAAATTTTGTGAGACTTTGTAGACAATATTAAACGATGTATCAGATGATGCGTCGTGGTCAGCAACTACATTATGTTGCAATATCAATGAATTAATTAATAACTCTACGTTCTCCTTCAGTTATGATGCTGGACCTTTTGTCACGAGGTCACTGCTTAACTACTGACCAGTGCCCACTTAACTGGTAAAGCAGAACACGCGAGAATCAGAGTAAAACCAGGTTCTTTTATTATGACAAGTGACTGTATTTATACAGAAAATAAGGTAGACTGGAAATCAACCAATCCGGCTGAGAGTTTGGAATTGTGCAAGCGTCCAATCAGAAAGCAGAAACAAATGCATTCAACGACACACTAATAACCTGACTGAGACATGATAATGACCTGATAATTGCATGTTTCGCCTCTTCCTAACACCTTCGCTTAACTAAACTGGGAGGTGCTGTCGAACGTGATGGCGGGATATGTTTCTTGACGAAAGTCCTATGTACCCAGGTCCACAAGAGCAAGTGAACACATAAATACACATGGAATTAGACAATTGATGTAACATTTCCTTGACATTAAGTTGCATCGGGGGACGGCTAGAATAGGTTATTCGTGGAGTGGCAGCAATGATCTCGTTAGACGACTCATTAGTGTGTGTATATAGGCTGTTACAGTACAGTGTTGAACTTATTTTCTCATATTTCATGTTTATACCAATTATGAAAGAATAACAGGAGGGAAAAATTAAGTCAAATTAAGCTGACAATGTTCCAAGCCAGTGCTCGGAAAACATGTCAAGACTTTACTTCAATATCCTTGTCGATAGAATGATGAATAAGATAGAAATAAGAGTGATTAGTGTATCTGTTGTTTTTTGGGAGAACCCAAAACCGACGTACTGTAGCCTGAAGACAAGAAACGAATCTATATATCCTAGTGTATAGCTGACCAAAACTTCCTAGAGTTACCTACCCAGAGTCACAAAATGCGCTAATGACAGTAAAAAGACAGTTGGCTGAGGTGAGATCCACGACATTATTTAACAATGACAACACCAAAAACTCAAATAACCTCAACACTGCCTTTAGACAGCTATTCAGACAAGGGAACTTTCTAGTACACAGCAAGTACAGTAGAACAAAATTAGTTAACTAAAATTCAGCACCTCAGAATCAAGTAGAATATTCCTAACAAGGTGGGATTAAAACTCCATCCACTAAAATCACACACCATCAATTCCCACTACAGATAGTCCAAGTTCAAAATAGTCTTGAGTCGCCCGGAAAAAATCGCATCGTGGAACAACACATTATCAATGTATCACGCAGCCACAAAGACAAGCATTAAAGTTTAAAGATTAAAACAAAGACAAATAATAAGGATTAAATCAACAGATGGTATACAAACGTTAGGGTAGTGACATATAGCCTGGTAGAAAAGAGGAAAACAGTTGTTGTCCAATTGTCCAAATAAGTATCAGTATATTGATTGGATACTGGTAACTAGTGTGATTCGTCTAGTCCTCGGTGTTTGGTGAAGACTGAATCCTATCAGCCAGATTTGCATTGTGACCATCATTCTAGGTAGCTCGCCATCATGGTACACATTGATTTGATGATATTAGATGGTCAGTAGGAAGCCTTGCCCAACCTAGGTTTCGTGCTAGTTTGCACTCGTCAACAGGGCGTATCTGACGACAGGATTGGGCTACGCGGGTTCGAATCTCAGTAGCAGGTAAGCCTTGCTGACTGATGAGTACCAACTGTCACAAAACTTAGGTCTAAGACTTCCTGCCGATTCACTTTAACCATCTAATAAGTATCAGTATTTTAAGTAGGTAGTGCAGGAAATATCTTCCAAACAATTATTCCTTTGCACTTTTTGACAGGAAAGATTTTCTTGAAGATTAAATAAGGAAGAATTAATTAAAAACAACTACTGAAGGATTGAAACAGTTAGTCCCTTTGGAAAATCTAAATAACTCATTAAAATGATAAATATGGCGAGATGATATCATTCCTTTACGATTGGTTTACAACTAGCATAGTTCACAATAGAAAAAGCATAACAATTAAACTATGCAAGCCTGCTTGAAACTTGGGCTAGCATCTCTCTGCTGCACAAATTTTTTCTCGTTCGGTTTGTTTTAATCGACTAAGATACGACCTCTATTGGTATTATCTATTTTTGTGTGTTTTTAAAATGTTTAAAAGCTCCTGATTGGGTGAGATTAAACGTTATCGTGATACATTTTCGCGCACTGTATGGGTTATCACGTTCACGCCTATAGAGACGTTATAATCGCTCAGTTTTGTGAAAATAGATTATATTTGACTAGTTTTAGGCTTCTGCAGCCGAAAAAAGCAGTATTTTGCTGTATTGTGTTTGTAGTAATGCGTAAAATTGTCTTGATAGCCCAGACGAATTATTACTAAAAAAAAGTCATCCTTTTTTAAGAAATTTCGCATAGAAAGACTATTATTTGCCTTTTAGAGCCTTGAGGCTCTGTTTTTTGCGAGTTGTTTTAGATATTAAGGTTGTAAATTGACTAGAGGCAATGGTTGTTGTCATTCCAGTTATTCTCTGAGAATCGGGCATCTGAAAGAGAAATCTATAAAAAAGAAAGAAAAGAAAATCTAGAAAAGTACAAGAACCCACGTGTTCGTTGACATCGCCAGCAACCGATAGGCCAAACAACGGAGTGTATGATAAATCAAGCCTTGTACATGCACAAAAACGTAAGACAAAACGTTAGAATAGTCAAAGTTTACATTTATATTCATCAGATCTGCTGGCAAACAATGCATGACGCAAGCACACAAGGCTGCACACGACATCGCCTACCAAGGAACAATCAAATATCCAACTGACCGCCACTGTTCTACCTAATGAAAGACGAGAAAACCTGAGGCTCGGAAAATTCAACACGCAATAACGTATATCCTTACCCTTCCTGATTGACAAGTTCCTACCGAACTTGAGAAATGGCCTGATTGTAGTAGGCAGCGTATTCCAATACATGGGATTAATGTTATTCAGTCATGTCCTGGGGTCACAAAACGTACTTCTGAACACCTTATAAGTGACTTTTAACTGGATATCGTAGATTTCTTGAAGGAGATAAGGTAGATATATCATAATGGAATGGTTTGGGCTTCAGCTCAGAGACCATTTTGTCACAGGGGATACTTTGAATTAATAATTTACTTGAACAAATTGTGCGAAGGGAAAATGTCAAACAATAAACTCCTCTGAAAATTCTGTACATTTTATTAATACTGTCCAGAATAAAGATATTATTATTATTATTAAACAGAGATGAAGTAGACAATATCTTCATTTCAACAGTTTTCTTCCTGTTCGGTAGAAACCTCTTCTAGTGAAATGCCTGTTTTCAAGTGCCTGTAACATTAGCACGAGTGATACATTAATGGATGAGCTAAATGTTCATGAATGTTAGCTTTAGTTATTATTATTATTATTGTATCCTTTAGTTCCTAGAGGAACATAGGGCTTCAGCTGCGCACCTCCATTGCCTTCGGTTTTCTGACAACTTTTTCACCCTGCTCCAGGTCTGTCCACATGCTTTCATCTCCTCCTCGCATGACCTCCTCCAAGTCACCCTTGCACTGACGACCAACTCGCCGCCTCCCTTTCGGGTTCCACTCGAGGGCTTGTATAGTGATTTCACTTGATGGTTTCCTCAGCGTATGGCCAATCCATCTCCATTTCTACCTGCCTATTTGTTGCACAATTGGTTCCGGCTGAGTTGGTTCGCTCATTGCCAGAGATCCCTATTGCTGATCTTTTCTGGCTGGCCATCTGATCTTGAGTAGTATCGAGCGAAGACAACTGTTAATGAAGGTCTGTAGTTTGTTTGAGATGCTCTTTATGACGCGCAGTGCAAGTCTCTGACCCGTATAGTGAGTAGCACTGACTTTACATTGGAGTTGAAAATCCGAATCTTATTTTTGATGCTGAGTAGTGTTGTTGACCTCCACACAAACTTAAGAGTAATGAAAGCTTGTCTTGCTTTTCCGATTCTCGCTTTGATATCCTCGTCAGTTCCGCCTGTAGTTGAGACGATGCTTCCCAGGTAGGTGAAGGAGTTGATAGTTGGCTAATTAATATCCTAAAAATTTCACTGTGTGTCAAAAAACAAGAGAGAATACTGCTTGAAAAGACAGTTTCCGTACCAAAGAAGGCTCTCTTTATTTGAACTATCATTCACAGATGAACAAGCCATGCAGCTGATAGCTCAAAGGCGTCAATTAGCCAACAAGCTCACTTTCTACACTACATCTGCATACCTTACACCTCGAACATTTTTTGATTTATGTACCAACGATTAAAGGACGAAATTCTACGGACACTACTTCATAATGCATCTACAAGTTCACTTGCAATTGTAATGAAACATATAAAAGTAGAACGAATAAAATGTTTCAGTGTCACCGAGAAGAATTTATTCCTGAATGGTTAATAGATCACAAAATCAATATTATCGACCGCTTCTCACTTATTTCACAGAACTCTAATTCAAGGTTATTAAAGGCGATCTAAAGTGCTATGGATTAATCACATACATCCTAAACAATGTGCCTATGGTGGACTCCTTATTATTATTATTGTTGCCTTGGGTTCCTAGTGGAACATAGGGCTTCAACTGCACGTCTCCACTTGCTTCTGTCTTCTGCTGCTGTACTTTTCACCTCCATCCATGTTAGTTCATACTGTTTCAACTCCTCTTCACAACATCTCCTCCATGTCACCCTTGTACCGACGTCCCACTCACCGCTTCCCTTTCGGCCTGGTTCCACTCCAGCAATGGCTTGACGCGCGCGCGATATCACCCAGCGGCCTCCTCAGCGAGTGTGTGTGTGTGTCCAATCCACCTCCACTTTCTCCTGCATATTTGTTGGGCGATTGGTTCTTGCTTTGTTTGTTCCCATAGTTCCTTGTTGGTGATTCTTTCCGTCCCAGCCATCTGATCTTCAGTATAGAGCCAGCGAAGACAGTTGTTGGTTGATAAAGGTCTGCAACACGCTGTTGGAAATATTCTTTGTGACCCTCCCGCCAAGTTTCTGATCCGTATAGAAGGACTGACTGACTTGGCGTTTGTATCGAAAATCCGACTGGATCTTGTTGTTGATGCTGAGTGACGTGATGCTGATTTCTAGATTGGTTTCAGGTTGATGCATGTGTGTGTGTTTCGCGCCTTCCCGATTCCCACTCGATTTGACACCCTCGTCCGTCCCGGCAGCATGCAGTTGAGACAATGCTCCCTAGATAAGTGAAGTGAATGAAGTAGCCTCTTTCAAATCCCTCCAGTTGATGATGATTGGCGCTGGATGTTGCTGCTCTTGTTGTTGGTGGTTGGTTGGTTATTTTCATAAACTCCGTCTTGTCTATGTTCACTTGGAGTCCTGTCTTCGCCGGCTGCTTCTTCGGCCAGTTTGTCGGTCGGTTTTTGCTTGTAAGTCTTCGATTTTGTGACAGTGACATCAAACATAAATCATCCATGCGCGAAATCCAGGTCTTCTAGGTTCTTCACGTCGTTCCGGTCCAGGATATCCCTGTCTTCTCATTTCCCATTCACTGCCTGACGCATAATCCAGTCAATACACCATAATTAGGAATATCATTCATTGGTGATAATAAGCCAGCACCCTTGTCTGACTCCTTTGTTTACTCCAAACGCCTTCACTGACTTCTCTGTTGTGGATCATTTGACGTTTTCCACCGTTGTCGTACAGCACATGGTGGACTACTTAACCAACTAAAATATGATTAGTTATTAGTATGTACTATTGTTTTATACAACTGAGTAACTGTCATAGATTTTATTTTATTATCGTGAAGCATAACAGTTGTAAAGGGATTGAAGAGAAACTACGAAATTATATCCTCTCGTGATATTTTATACTATTCCCCTTCTCATCAAAGTTGAAAGTACCCATCAATGTTGATTAGATTTCCGAAATCTCACTCAAAAAAACGCACACACTTTAAACCAAGTTGATTTCAAACATGCATATAAATGTAACTACATTTCAAAATATAATTCAAATAATTTTTGATTTTGATTTCTTTTCTTTTTTCAAACTTAGACAAACCACAGCCCCCGTCAAATGTTCAAGCTAAAGACGTGTATGCTGATAATTGTGTATTAACATGGAGTCCACCAGATTCAGATGGAGGATGTCCAATTTTAGGTAATTGTTTAATAGTATCTTCTAAAGACGAAGATAAATAAAACTAATTACGGAATATTTTTTCACATTGTGTAAACAGTACAGAAATGATTTTTACTTGTTACAGTTTAATTACTTTTGGGGGAAAATTAATTTTCTCACAGTATTGGATAATTTAAAAATTTTGTTGTTATTTTAGGAGTTTGATCACGGATTAATTAAATATCAGTCAAACTCGTAAAAACAAATCTAATCTTTACAAATTAGCTCTTGAAAATTGATCTGCTGCTCTCTAGTGACTTCCTACAGGACGGAGTTTACTTGAGTTCTAGTGAGAAGTGGTGACCAGTGGGGTTCATCCAGTCAGGATTGAGGATAGACTTCCCACCGATGACACTGGTTGGCGGTCTACCTAAATTCACCAATTGGTAGAAGTTAGAGTTTATGGGCTGGTCAATGGTTCAATGGTACACGAGATTGCTTGCCTTGTAACCGGAAGATCCCAGGTTCAAGCCCTGATGGTGGGTGTGTGCTGCCGATGAGTCCAAAAACAGGGACGAAACAGCTGACTGTCCAATACTCCCTGATTGTTTTCAATGGTTTTCTAAATGATATCAATCCAAGGTCAAACTCATAAAAACAAATCTAATCCTTACAAACCAACTCTCTTGAAAGCAATTTTAGGAGAAAAAATCTCTTTATTCGCTTCGTTAAATGAATTACAGCATTAGAAAATAAGTAGCTAAGTTATTATGTTAATGAGGCAATATATACATAGATTTTTCTTAATGATAATTAATACTGAAAAGTCAGGTGACAAATTGACATCAATTAGAGAACTCCTGAAAACCATGGAGTACCTGAAAGTTGTTTTGTACTAGTCCGGGACTTTTTATTAGTATACACCCATAGCTACACCGCTACCAGGAATTGAACTCAGCATTTTGAAGCTACGAGGAGAATTCAATGATCCATGAATTCTAACCTCTGACATCTCACAGTTTAGAGTGACCTTCAACCAATGTCATCGGTGAGCATTTGTCCTCACAATGTACTAGGACACAAGAGCTGTCCGATAATCCCTGGTTTCTAATGGTCCTCAGGAATCCAATGTAAGAAAACCCTGCTTAACATTGATTTATGTCGCTTAACTCATCTGGAAGGCATATCTACAAACTATATGAAGCTTATTCCCTCCTTCCTCCGTCGAAGCCTGCTGCTTGCAATACTCAGTACCGAACCCAGGACTATAGTTTTTTTTTCCTCACGTTCCCCAGTGGAACATAGGGCTCTAAGATATTGGCTTGAAGTTTCTGTAGCAGTGTCTATTTTACAGGATGGGGTTGCTAGCCTCATACCCAACCTTTCCTCTTTACCAGAATTATTTCTGGCTTAACGAGGTAAAGGGGTGCATCGGTGGCCGGGGATCGAACCCCGGACGATGTGCATGGTCGGCGAGCGTCCTAACCGCTGTACCACCGACGCACCCAGGACTATAGAGCACAACATTTTTGTGTTTTTTCTGCTTAGTGAGCAAATTTAGTGTTGAATCGACTGTTTTACACCAACACACTAAGGATAATAAAATCCCATAGGTTATCATAGCATGATATATTTATACATCCAAAATGTTATTTCCCCAGTGTAACAGCATTAACTCATCAACCGCAGTGATTGAATTTTTATTACAATTTTATACTCAACTTGTTGAATGGGGGGGGAATAAAAATGAATTATGTTTCATTGGATGGGGGATTTCATCATGAGCTGATATCAGTTAGAGGACCACCGGAAAACCTGGGAGTACTGGACAGCTATTTCGTCCTAATTTGAGGCTGTTCAACGCTTCGCGCCTATTGGGGTTCGAACCTAGGATCTCCAGGTTACGAGATGATACATAGTTACTTAAGTATTATCCTTCCTAAGTTATCAATACTCTTTGCATTTCTGGTGGTTCTCTAACTGATTTCAGCTCATGATGAAATCCTCCAACCAATCAAACAAAACCCGTACGAAACCAATACTTGAAAATTTATCTGATGCTCACTTAGTGACTGCTGGCCCTATTCAGGCGATTAACCTGGGGTTCTAAGTGGGAAGCCGTGGCCAGTAGGATACAGCAGGTTGAAGATGAGTCAGTAACTTATCGAAAAAAAACGAATTAGTTAACTACAGTCCATGGTTATCTGAATTATCTGTGATATTCGACGCCATTTTCAAAAACTTCATTGTTAAGTTATGTAGGTTACACTCCGAGGGATTCGCATTAGGGGCAGTATAAGTTAGCAGACACTATGAAATAACTAAGATAAATATAAGTAAGAATGACAGGCTAATAAGAAAAAATGAACAAAGTTTATATAGGATGGAATTTTTACGTGTTTTTTAACGCCTTTCGTTCGTTCAAAAGAATGTTTACTGAACCAAGAATATTCTTTTCAATGACTCCTTCTTCATCAGGTTTTACAGTTATATATCTGCATAATAGTGAATGAATTAGTGCTACTAACGACATTGTGCATCGGTGGCACAGTGGTTAGGATTCTCGCCGACCATGCACATGGTCCGAGGTTCGAGCCCACGCCGATGCACACCTGATATCTATGGTCGGCCTGCGAATTTCGGGCTATCGATATCCACGCTGAAAATTCCATACTTGTACGAAAAATACGGTGTGGAATCAAGCTGTAATCAAAAAAAAAAAAAAAAAGAAAATAAATAAAATAAATTTATTTCGTTTAAATGACATAGTATCAATAATAATAATATCAATGGATTACAGTTCGATAGCATCAACATAACAGTGCACACTGAATATCAAACAGGCAAATTAAGAAAGATAATAATACAAGTTCATGAATTTATAGTCTCCACTGAAGGCCAGCTAGGGCAGTAGAAGTGGCTAAACTTGCTTCTTCTGCACACAGGTTGTTTGAGGTGAATCGCGACAGCTTCTGCTGTTTGAAGTATGCGGTACCTGGATGTTTTTGGCATTTTATTTGGTACAGAAATTTCGAAACAGATATTATCGACAACAATCAGGCATTAGTTATCATTAGTGTGGATCTACCAGTTAGACGTCCATAGCTTGTTTGTTAAGAATGGGATTCACTTAGTTCAAACAAGACTATTTAACACATTAAGATATCTTATCTTATTCCTTTACGTTCCCAGTGGAATATAGGGCTTCAAGCTACAGCTCCAAAGTTCCGGTAGCAGTGGTTTTATTTTTATAGGGTAGGTTTGCTAACTTCACGCCCAACATCCCCTCTGTACCGACCTTAATACCGGCTTAGCGAGGTCTAGAAGTGCATCGGTCAGGGATCGAACCCGAACAACATGCGTGGTTGGTGAGCATTCTACCGTTGCACCAATAACTCACAAAACTGTTTGATTTGTTGACGATTTTCGAGAGTTAGTTAGCAGGGATTTGATTTCTTTCAAATTTGGTCGTGAAGAGAGACCCAAGGAATACTGGTTAGCTGTTTCATCCTAATTTGGGACTGTCCAGAGCTTTGCACCTACCAGGATTCGAACCTGGGGCCTCCTGGTTACGAGATGAGCTTGTAGACTTCCGGGACAATTAAGACATACTTACTCAAATATTATCTTCTCTAAGTTTAAAAATAAATACACTTTGCAGTGTCTAGGAATCAAATTTAAGGCGTACTTTTTCATTTAGTCTTCTGAGAAGTGGTGGCTATCGACTTGTTTCCTAACAACTATCCAATAATGTCATAGAATGTTGTTCGTCGTTAAACATCTTTAAAATAACACATAAACAATATATGTGTGAAATAAAAGCATGTCATATATGCTTAGCATACTTTCACTTATATGTACATTATTTAAAAATTTAATCTTTTAGATTATATTGTTGAAAAATGTGATGCAACTACTGAAATATGGGAACGTGTACCAACTGTAGTCACTGGTACAAGTTGTCCAATAAAAGGCTTAACTGAAGGTAAACGATACCGCTTTCGAGTATCTGCTGTCAATACAATGGGACCTAGTGAACCAGCAGAAACGAATACAGCAATTACAGCTAAAAATCCATTTGGTAAGTTCAAACATTTTTATTTATTATCTAACATATAGAGTCATTGATCTGATGTGAGTATGAAATTCCTGTGTCTGTAGATCAACAGGATAAGATAGGATTCTTAACATGTTTATTTCTTTTGAGTGATACGACGATTTACTAGCCTCCGTTTAGTAATAGAAAAAGGCTTTTTCAAGTTCTTCTGTCTTTTGACATTCTTCCACGGAAAGGTTAATGATCATCTGAGGCGGTTACACTCATTAGTGTTCAGATAGTTAGTCGTTACTTAATTAAGCTACTATGTTCCCAAGTAAAAGAGTACTATTGTGGTGAGAGCAGGCTGCTAGCCGATTGGTTGGCACTAATCTACGTTAAGGTCTAGGTCACTAATATGGGCCGTGAGAAAATATGAACAAGGCTGAGTCAACAACCAATCACAGCAAAGTTAACGTGGCAAAATATGATTCGCAGATAGAGAACTCTATTTGTCAAGGAATCCCGAAACAACCAATCAGAAACCTGCGTTTGTCTACCTAACTTCTGATAAACAACCAATCAGATAACTGTGCTTGTCTACTTGCATAAGCTATAATAATGTTGTGAAATATGTATAAATACGTGTTGATTTTCATAATAAAACGATCTGTTGCCTGGCCCTTGTCTTCTGTTGTTACATTTGGTGTCGCTGCCTACCGACAAATGAAAAGCCTATACCCTGCTGTTTTCGATGGAGACATATGGATCTTCGGGCAGGACTTCAAGGCTTCTGCGCAGTTGAGTGGCGTTCAAGATCTGTCAGCGATGGAGCTGCTACTTGAGACGCTGCTGGGAGGTCGGGCGAAAGCAGCATATGAAGGTGTGGGCCGAAGTATGGACGAATGTTCTACAGGGTCAGGCAAACAGTTTCCAAAGTGGGAAGGACCATATATGGTCACTTCGAGATGGGGTTACGCAGACACAGTCGCAATGGCGAACAATGAGAGGCGCGTGAACGTCAGCGAGCTCCAGAAATGGATACAGCGAGACAAGCCAACGATGACGCCTGCACCAAGTAGATCAAGCCGACTTCAGTCGCACGTATTTGACGGGGGGACGAGTGTGGTGAGAGCAGGCTGCTAGCCGATTGGTTGGCACTAATCTACGTTAAGGTCTAGGTCACTAATATGGGCCGTGAGAAAATATGAACAAGGCTGAGTCAACAACCAATCACAGCAAAGTTAACGTGGCAAAATATGATTCGCAGATAGAGAACTCTATTTGTCAAGGAATCCCGAAACAACCAATCAGAAGCCTGCGTTTGTCTACCTAACTTCTGATAAACAACCAATCAGATGACTGCGCTTGTCTATGATAATGTAGTTGAAATATGTATAAATACGTGTTGTTTTTCATAATAAAACGATCTGTTGCCTGGCCCTTGTCTTCTGTTGTTACACTATCAGCATTCTGAAGAGAATGTCTGTTACCAGAACTCAAAATTTGCCATATTGTATCTACTGCTGGAAATCTCAAGATAGTGGAAGAAAACTTAACGATAAGCATTTATCTCCTTCCTCTACAGATGCACCTGATTCACCAGAAGATGTCAGAATTGAGAAATTCGACAGTCATGGTGTTACTTTGGCATGGAAACCACCGGAAAATGATGGCGGAAATCCAATTCAGGGTAAGATATTTACTAATTCATTGAAAAGATATCTTAATGATTATATATATATATGATGGAACTTTGTCTATTAGCTTTGTGTAAAAGGTTTTGATTGGTACTCAGTTTTTTTTTTCCATTACAGGTTACTTAGTTGAAAAACGTACACCCAATGGAGAATGGAAACCAGCAACTGCTGGTTTAGTTCATGGCAAAGAAGCCAATTTAACAGGTTTAGAAAAAGGACAAACTTATGAGTTTCGTGTTAGTGCTGTGAATGATGCTGGCCCAGGACGTCCATCGAAAGTAACACCACCTCAAGTAATCAAGGATCCTACATGTACGTCTTAGTACAAAATGATTTAATAACTACCTTTTTTAAAGATAATTTTTTGTTAGCATAAAATAATGCAAGCCCTTATTTAAACTTTCTTTCAGATCCACCAAGTCCACCAGAAACACTTAATGTTGATAAAATCAATAAAAATGGTGTAAAATTATCATGGCAAAAACCACGAAAAGATGGTGGAAGCAAAATCACCGGATATCAAGTAGAAAAGAAAGATGAGAATGGTGAATGGGTCCCGGTGAAACAAACTACTGAACCATGTGCATTTATTCCAATGAAAGAAGGAGAGACTGCACAATTTCGTGTACGTGCAGTGAATGAAGAGGGACCAGGTGAACCAACTCGTCCTACTGCTCCTTTAACAGCTGCTGATCAACCTGAAGCCCCAAGAATATGTACTCCTGAAGATTGTGTTGGTGGTTTAGGCAGTGGAGTTGGTGGTCTCAAAGATGTTAAGTTAAAGGTGACTTAATTTCATCTCTTTTTTTTTATCATAAGTATTATGACATTTTAATTACCAAACTTTATAAAGCTATAAAAACTAGTTCAAGGTAGACAGTAATTAGTACCGTTAAAAATCAACTATTCTTTTTCAGCACTAACCATCTCAAAACATTTTTCAGGGAACTTATTTGAATTCTGACACAAGACTAAACTAATCGTTAAAGTACTATTCATTTTTACAAGAGTTCATTAAAACTAATATCTAGATATGAATGTTAAAATTTTTAAATATTTTTGAATTTTAACACAAATATGAAATCAGTCAATTCTTCTATATGGATCATAAACTCACCTCACACCTCACAGAAAGCGTTTTCAACAGGTTACAAACTTTTTCCAGAGGCTGACTTCACTGGCTGGTTGACGAGGAAGAATTAGCGACAAGAAACTATGGCAGGAAACTATTTAAGGACCTACTGTTCAACAAATATGTTGGCGAAAATGGAGATGGATAGGGCACACACTGAAGAGGCCATAGAATGACATCGTGTGCCAGACCATAGCTCGAATGAAACTTGAATGCAAAACGACGAGTGGGTTATCGGTGCGAGGGTGACATGGAGGAGATCGTGTGAGGAGGAGATGAGAGATTATGGGAAATCCGGGGGGGGCAGCTGAAGAGGACAGCAGAGAATAGAAAGATGTGGAGATGTATTGTTGAAGTGGTATATTCCACTAGGAACCCAAGGGAAGAATAATAAATATAATAGTAAAATACTTAAGGAAAATAATATTTTAACTGATTAAAAATGCCCATTAAAATTTTTTTCAAAGAATGGATGCTGAACAAAGAGTACTCTTTCCGATAACCTGCTCTTCATCAGGTTCTACAGTTATATATGCATAGTAGTGAATGAATTACTTCTATTAACAACATTAATGTTGTTTAAATAACATAGAATCAATCATAATAATAATATCAATGGATTACAGTTCAATAGCATCAATAACATAACAATACACTGAATATCAGAAAGGCAAATTAAGAAAGATAATAATAATGCAAATTCATGAATTTATAGTCTCTACTGAAGGCCGTGACAGCTTCGTTCTTCTCCAGTACAAAGGAAAATTAGCGAAGACCCTCAGCCACAGAGTTACAGCTATATGCTCAGAAGAAGTAATTGAAGATGAATTAAGCATTGTATGTGATACTTTGATCGAAAATAGCTATCCCGAAAAATTTATCAAGAAACACATGGCAAAGAAAGAGTAAAAGGACTACTCACTATCTGTAAACAAGAAGCCTTTACACATACGACTGCAATTCAAGGACGATAAACATAACGAAATAATTACTAAAAAAGTAAGAAAATCAGTTCAATGAACTTTTAATGCTGGCAAAGTACAAGTCTTATTTTCTACAGGACCGATGGTGATTCCCTAATTAAAAGATGAAGTACCTAGACTAGACTAGCCACTTCCAATTGTATCTACCTACTCAACTACGCTTGTGAAGCGAGTTATATTGGCCGTTGTTCTGCGAACTTGAATTTTTGTGCTCGAGAACATCTCCCAGTATGGCTAAGTAAAGGTGTAGTTAAAACCATTAATAGTTCGATATTGGACCATCTGGTGCAAACCGGCCACAAAGCCAGCCTGGAAGAATCCTTCTCTGTAGTCTACCGGATGCCTAATAAATTACCAAAATTTGATTTTTGATTTTGATTTTTGATTTACAGCTTGATTCCACACTGTATTTTTGGTACAAGTATGGGATTTTCAGCATGGATATCGGTAGCCCAAATTTTGCAGGCCGACCATAGATATCAGGTGTGCATCGGCGTGGGCTCGAACCTCGGACCATGTGCATGGTCGGCGAGAATCCTAACCACTGTGCCACCGACGCACTGCATGCTCCAAACAGCACAGGCTATCGCAATTCGCGTGAAGCAACCAGTGCTTTTTGTTCAAAAGAAGCAAGTCCAGCCTCTACTACTGCCCTGACCGGCCTTCAGTGGAGACTATAAATTCATGAATTTGTAATATTATCTTTCCTAATTTTTTGTGACATTTAGTTTATTGTTATGCTGATGCTACTGAACTGTAATCTATTGGTTTTATTGATTTGATGTTATTTAAACAACATTAATGTTGTTAATAACAATAATCTATTCACTATTATGCCCATATATAACTGTAGAACCTGATGAAGAGCAGGTTATCGGAAAGAGTACTCTTTGTTCAATATCCATTCTTTTGAAAAAATAATATTTTATTGTGAATTTCTTCATGATTAATTTTCACCCTCAATATGCTTACACTGAACTCTATGATATAACTAAAAACGAAGACATTTATATTAACATAAACTAAAGACCCAAAAGACTTCACAGAGTCCTCTACTACTACTACAATTTGCAGACATCTAAACCACTGAAGAAGTGAAAATTCAATAGACGATTGTGGTTTTACTTCTGTGTTTAGTTTGTGTACACAATTTTAGGATTTACAACAGATAAGACTATCACTATCCGATAGAATGGTATTTTAATCGCACAAAAAATAAAATAAAAAATACACATTGGTGAAAAGTTCCCTTAGCATATGAAATAATGCTTAATACGTTCATAGAGCTTTAACATCCCTTTAAATATTTGACTAGTAACCTATGAGCTACCTAAAAGTCAATGAAACTACTGTCTTGTGCCTGCTTTAGTAGTGAGTGCTTACTGTGAAGAGTCCCAGGCTAGGTCGAAACAGCTGTCCAATACTGCAATGCTGGTTTTCCAATCGTTCTCTAACCGATGTCAGTCCATGATGAAGTCCTGAATTCCAAAAAGTAATCACTGAGAGCCATTAAGCATAGAGAAACATTTTTATTCGTATGTGGTGGTGGTGGTGGTGAGTATTGAGAATTTCTCCATAGTTCCTACTCAAACATAAGTCTAAACTATAATTTAAGGTAGTCAGTTTTACAGAATCAGTATAGTCTTCAATAAAAAGAACACTGGAGTGACATCATAACTCTGGCCCCCTAATGAAACTTTAATGGGTTGAGTGGAGTTGGACACCTGACAGTTACAGTCAGGAGATCAAATAGAAAAGAAATGAAAACTTTTGGGCAATCATGGACACTACTGAAAATAAGGAGCTCAGAAAACAGATTGAAACTAATATGTACCGCTGAAGCCCTAAGTTCCACTCTGAACCCAAGGGAATAATAACAATAAAATGATAGTCTTAAAGCACTCGGATTTATAAGAGTGAACATATGAAAACGATCTTTCTTTGGTTGAATCCACTGGTATATTGATAAGACCCAGCATATCATCCTTTCTCATGAGTCGTGTGATTAATCATGCGATGGAGTTACTATGTCAATGTATCATTTCTCACGTATATTGTGAGTTAATGTGTGATCAATTAATCTTCTCTTGTCTCACCTTGATCTTTGTCTGATCACCGACCAATCAGGATAGACATTTCCAACCAATAAGAACAATCCATTCTCCCAGCCGTGAACCGACTTTAGTACCTTTAAGGAAATGTGTACATATCATGTGTCTTAAGTCAATGTAAAAACTGGCGTGGAATTATGCTTCTGTCCATTCCAAGCAAGATACTAAGTCGCATCATCCTGGAGAGAATCAAACAAGCCCTAGATGAAAAACTTCGTCCGGAACAGGCTGGATTCAGGAGAAACAAATCATGTAAATGATCAAATCGCCACTCTACGGATCATCATTGAACAAAGCTTGGAATGGTAGTCACCTCTCTATCTCAACTTCATCGACTTTGAAAAGGCCTTCGACAGCGTCGATCGTGAGGTCATTTGGAAACTACTTCGCTACTACGGGGTCCCATCGACAATTATACACCTCATCCAACAGTTATACGACAATGCTGCATGCCAAGTAATCCACAACGGGAAACTTACGGAAGCCTTCGAAGTGAGGACGGGAGTGAGGCAAGGCTGTCTACTATCACCAATGATCTTCCTGATTGCAGTAGACTAAATAGTGCGACAGACAACGGCAACCAACGAGGGAACAGGCATAAAATGGACTGACACAAAAGACTTGGAGGATCTGGATTTCGCCGATGATATATGTCTGATTTCCCACAAACTGGAAGATATGCAAGTGATAAGCAACAAGTTGGCGATAGAAGAAGCATCAAAGATAGGAAGGAGTTCAGGTGAACATAGATAAAACAGAGGTGATGAAAATTCCTAGCCAACATCAACACCAACAGACCACAATAAGCATAAATGGGAAGAACCTGAAAGAAACAACCTCCTTCATCGTCTCAACTACAGGCGGAACTGACGAGGACATCAAAGCCAGAATCGGAAAAGCAAGACAAGCTTTCATTACTCACGTCAAGTCTGTGTGGAGATCAACAGCACTCAGCATGAAAATGAAAATGAGATTCGGATTTTCAACTCCAATGTGAAGTCAGTGCTACTCACTATACGGGTCAGAGACTTGGCGAGTCATAAAGAGCATCTCAAACAAACTTCAAACCTTCATTAACAACTGTCTCCGCTCAATACTCAAGATCAGATGGCCAGAAAAGATCAGCAACAGGGATCTCTGGGAGCGAACCAATCAGGAACCGATTGTAAAACAAATAGGCCGGTAGAAATGGAGATGGATTGGCCATACAATGAGGAAACCATCAAGTGACATCACTAGACAAGCCATCGCTCGAGTGGAACCCGAAAGGGAGGCGGCGAGTTGGTCGTCCAAGGGTGACTTGGAGGAGGTCATGCGAGGAGGAGATGAAAGCATGTGGACAGACCTGGAGCAGGGTGAAAAAGTTGTCAGAAAACCGAAGGCAATGGAGGTGCGCAGCTGAAGCCCTATGTTCCTCTAGGAACTAAAGGATACAATAATAATTTAACATAGTAGTACAGTACAACGCAGCGTCTTACAGTCACAGGTGAGAGTTTCTCTTTTGATATTTGCGTATCTCAGTGTCTCTGAAGGTACAACGAACAAACACAGACGTATTAGCGCACCAGTCGAGCTCACTACCGTTATAGTAATTAACAGGCGCAGACATAACAAAGTAGTGACGTTTTATTCAGTTCACGGCAGAAATAAACAATAGACACCAAAGTCAAACGACCTTGATTTCACCAATCAATCAGAAATCTCAGCATTACAAATGGTTGCTAGTCATAATCTTCGTTGAAAATGTCTCCTAGATTTGGTTTTCGACTTCTCTGTGGAAAATATGTTGATAGGGAGGAACAAAACATGCATATGTGTTAGGATAATAACTCTGCAAAAGTATTGCCGGGCTATGGATGGTTATACATTCAGATGTAACCACTTTATATGAGGAATTTTGTATAAGTTGGTAAGTCGTACATGATTGGTGGCTTTTTAGACGCTTTCTTCTCGAAATCAAAAGTCTCCTTTAGTAATATATTGCGTATATGAAACCAGTATCTGCTACAGCTGGAGAAATAGAGAATACATTAGTTTGATATGTCTATAACCATTTATATGAGAATCTGGGACCAGATTTTGCAGCATATTAGAAACATATGCCGTAAATAATTCATTTTTATAACCTATATGTCGTAGATACACTTCTTTGTAAACTAAACACCACTTTTCACCTAGAAGAATCTGATTGGCTGTTTCAAGGTCATTTGACTTTGGTGCCTATTGTTTACTCTTTCCCAGTTCACTTCAGTTATAACAAATTGGCTACGGAGTTATAACATATATATATAAAAATAACTGGATGTTAAACACTTGTTGATAGCATATTTTGGTTCATTATTTTACTTACTAGGCTGGTCAAGAGCTGAAACTGCCTGTTGCATGGTTTGGTCATCCTAAACCAACATTTGTTTGGAGTTTAAATGATAAACCAATCAGTATTGATGGTAAAAGAATTACTGAATCAAATCAACCTTTACCACCACCTGCAAATCCTGGGCCTGGTGGACCTCTTGAAATGTCACCTGGAGGTACAGTAGTATTATCTGTTGGAAAAGTTCGTCGTTCTGATACAGGACGTTATCAACTGACCCTGTCCAATGATCAAGGTCAGACAAGTACATCTTGTCAAGTTGAAGTTATTGGTAAGTTAATATTTACTGGTGCAAGTATACATACATATATATGCATTCGCTGGAAGCTCTAAAGCACATGCTGAAACCGATAGGTCACATAACAGTCATGTATCGGAAAATAAGTAAGATTATTATGAAGCTAGCAATAAACAAAGTTGAAACATAAATCAGAGCTTGATGGTACCCAGCATGGTGCTGACCATTCCATATACATATGATTGATTGCAGATGTACCATAGTTAGAACACACATATCCCTGTTAACTGAAATCAACACAAAACAATAAGTACTATTCGACTGAGAAAATTCAGATACTGTGTTATTAATTATACCGCCTATTGCACCTAAAATTAATAAATTCTGCATTTGCAGGACAAAAGTGAGAGAACTTTTTTTCGTGTTAGACGTTCATCTGTGGAATATTCCAGACACTTATAAATTTAGACGTGTATTTAAGTCTAAGCGATTAGGCATAAAAATTTGCTAAATGAAATGTTAAATTATACTCTGTGTAGTTGTCACAGATTTTAAAAAAACTGGACTAAATATAAATTTGATTTAAAAGACAGCCAAATATGAGGAGGCTGTTGAGTGATATCACATGTTAAACCCTCGAAGTAGAACCCGAATGGAAAAAAGATAAGTTGCACGCAAGCTAGGATAACGTGGAAGGGATCGTTTTAGAAGGAGATGAAACTTTATTGGCAATCATGCAGTTAGCTGAAAAAAAGATGGCAGAATATAAAGTAAAATGGAGACGAGTTGTTAAAACTGTATGTTCCCAGTCGGAATCGGATGCTTGAATAATATTAATAACGAATATTCATCATAAAATCCGAAAATTCCACTATTCACTGATAGAGAATGATAAAAAGACAGTTGCAGCGAAGAAAATTTTCTTTTTGACGAAGTCGTCAACTAGATAGCTGTACATTCATCTATTTATAATAAATGGGTAGGAATGTTCCAGAAGAAATTTCTGGTCAGGGGTCAGATTAATAAAATTACAATTAGGAATTAAAATACGATAATATTTTTTTGATTACAGTTTGATTCCACGCCGTATTTTTTGGTACAGGTATGGAATTTTCAGCATATGATATCGGTAGCCTAAATTTTGTAGGCCGACCATAGATATCTGGTGTGCATCGTCAGGGGATCGAACCCCGGACCACGTGCATGGTCGGCGAGAGTCTTAACCACTGTGCCACCGACGCACAGGGGCGGATAAAACTCAGACAAAGTAGCATCATAATTACTGAGAAGATTGACATATTGTACAATTAGGGGTTAGAAATGTAGCAATAACAAAAATAGATAGGATGTTTGGATAAAAAATCTAGTGGGATGATAACTAATCTGACGAATAATTGTTTATGTAATTAGGGATTAAATATGTAGAAATAATAAAATAACAAAAATAGACAGGAATTTCGGATATGAAAATATGGTAGTGTAAATAGGGATTAAGAAAAACTTAAAAATAACATGAATAAATAGGAAGTTTGAATACGAAAGGCAATGGGAAGGTCATTACTAAAAGAATTACCTGTTTACGATGGGCATTGCAGGGACAAGGGTTGGACGTATTTCTTTTGGATACATACCGTGGATTTGAGCTTTTGGATGGCTAGTGCCTCGGCTATATCCAGATTTCTTAATTTTACTCCCTTCGATAGGTTTGATCGAATCTTGTATATTATTTTGAAGGATTTTCCGAATGGCGCTGAATGTCCTAAATTGACCAGATGTTCTGTCACTGAACTATATACCCGTTTTCGTTCTCCTTTTACTAGCCAGTCTGGATAGTGTTCACGAGTGCGTTTTTCAAGTTGGCGCATCATGGTACAGCCGATGTACTCAGCTCAATGATAATAGGTGATTGGACGCAATCTACAGGAAGCCATCGATCTAGGTAGGTTTCATGTTAGTTGGGACTCACCAGTCAGCAAGGCGTATGTGCAACCTTGAAGGAACTCATATCCCTTCTAAGATTCAAACCCGCCTTACTGACGAGTACCAGCCAACAGGAAGCCTAGGTGGAGGACTTCCTGCCAATTGCCTCCAACCATCTAATCCCAACAATTCAAAGTACACAGTGATGTCGAGCTGTCTAAAATGGTGGCCATACTGCAAATCTGACTGGTGGAATTCAGTTTGCACCAAACACCAAGGATTAGACACATTTTACACTAGTTACTGACTACCTTCCAACCAAAAATATTCACTGATATGTTTACTTTTGAAACAAGCACAAAAAGTGATTCTTATTTTCACTTAAAAACATTAAATTTCTTCTTTTTAAAAAATAATTATCATACAGATGTACCAAGTCCACCAGGTGGACCACTTGAAGCAACAGATGTTAAAGCAGATGAAATAACACTACGGTGGAAAGCTCCAGAAGATGATGGCGGCGAACCAATTACTAATTACGTTCTACAAAAGAGACGCAAAGGTTCAGATGAGTACGTGGCTTTTATTTATTTTTTCGCTAATTAATTAGTAATCGTTTTAATTAAATGATGAATATTCACTTTTTTGACAAGAAAATTTTGAAATATTTTTTTTTGATTATTTAAATAGTGGAATTTAGTTTAGGAAATAAATGTTCCCAAATAGTTTTTAAATGTTTACGTTGAAACAAATGTTCGATGAATAGTTATGTAATTTAAACACAAATTTTTACGAGTTTCACCACGGTTTGATATAAAATAGAGAAACATTGAAAATTAGAGAGTACTGGACAGCCAACGATTTCGTCCCAGTTTGGGACTCATCGGCAGTACGCACCCACCATCACAGTCTGAACCCAGGACCTTACGGTTACAAGGCAAGCAATCTCGTATACCATTCAACCAATGGGACCCGATTCAGTGGCTAACCCCTGTATTCTAACTTCTACCTTTTCGTGATTTAGTGCGACCCCGATGATTCCCAAACTAGGATGAAACAACAGCTGTCCAGTACTCCCCGGTTTTCAATGGTACTCTAACTGATATCAATCCGTGACCAACTCGTAAAAACATAACCAACCCTTACAAACCAAACTATAGAAAATTGAACACAAATGTTCTTGGAAAATCTCTAACGACTTGGTTGATGATGTTGTCGTGTGATGATAGTGGATGTACTGATACAATCCAAGGAAGCCTCAAATTGGCGGAATGAATGTCACCTTAACAAGAATGCATACCATATGCCTTGGATACGATCAGCAGAAAACATTAAAACAAGGTTTCGTATTTGTTGGCAGTCGTCAGCAGTCTCATATCAGCAACCTAGTGACCAATTGGTGTACCCTATTCACTCCTACAGGAGATCAGTTATGAAAGTAAATAGCTTAGCGATAACATCTCTGAATGACTATTACACTGTATGACACGAGTTCTAATCTCATAGGGAATATGGATCCCTTCTAAGATTGAAGATACTGTGGTGAGAGCAGGCCGTGAGAAAATATGAGCAAGGCTGATTCAACAACCAATCACAGCAAAGTTAACGTGGCAAAATATGATTCGCAGATAGAGAACTCTATTTGTCGAGGAATCCCGAAACAACCAATCAGAAGCCTGCGTTTGTCTGCCTAACTTCTGATAAACAACCAATCAGATGACTGCGCTTGTCTATAATAATGTAGTTGAAATATGTATAAATACGTGTTGATTTTCATAATAAAACGATCTGTTGCCTGGCCCTTGTCTTCTGTTGTTACAATACGACTTGTTGGCGAGTGCTAAGTAATAAGATACCTAAAACCGGAGATTCCTACCGATTGTCTCTAACCACCTAATATCGGCTGAGAATACCCCGTGATGGCAAGTTACCTAACTTAGTGACCACATTAGAAACTTGACCAGTAGAATTCAGTCTCGAATAACATGTGTAGAATTGATTACGTCCTGGTCACCAGTCAGTGCAGACAGACACTTACATACAGACATTTTACTTCGATAGCCTAATCATAAATTACTTAACAGAAAGCATTAGAAATGTGCAGAACAAACACACTTATTCATTCAAATAGGGCAAATCACTCATCATTTCTATAGAATCCGATCAGTAATCAGAAAGGGATGACACCATGAGCTTCAAATAAAATTTTTTTTTCTAAAGACTTCATTCAAATCTAGTCAGTAGTTAAAAATTCCTTTGAGAAAGTCCCGCGGCTATTCTTCTATCCCTCCGTGGAAGCACTTGTAGGGGAAGGGAATTCATGACCTCTGTAAATTGTGATTTAATGATATAACTAACGCAAATTGTTTCAGCAGTAATCGATACAACTAAGTTGTAAATCGTCAACAGGTAATTCTTGTTAGAACGTTTTTGCACACTTACCTTGTTCTTTTTCCATTACTAATGGTTGATATCAATTTTTAAAATATAAATATATATATATATATTTCATGTGCTTCATTTCTTCTCTTCTCTATAAGCTGGGAAAAAGTAAGCGGTTTCTTGAATTCACCTACCGCAACAGTTAGAAATCTTGAAGAAGGCACAGAATACGAATTCCGTGTAATGGCCGAGAATGCAATGGGTCAGAGTGAACCTTTGACAACCACTCAACCAATTAAAGCTAAACATCCTTTCGGTAAATATGATGATATAAACCTTTTATTGTTGGTTTTTTCTTTTGCACTGTGTAAACGAATTAACATTATCATTTAAAGTTGTCGACAATCATTCATTCATTCATTCAATTTGTGAATGATTGATGTGCTTTCTTTTTTGTTGTTTTTCTGTTGGTGAGAATTCACACTGTGATAAAGAAGAAAGAGCTTAGTCCCAGTGTTATAAGCAAGAAAAAATTTTTGTGTAGGCAGCTGTTGATCCTCTTGAATTTGTCAATCTGTTGATGTGGTTTTTTTTTCATAATTTTTATCTTTCTAATCACAGTAAGGGAAATATATTTAAAATGTCTACATCACATAGTTTACACAGCATACAAACAATCTTTGGTGTATTCTATTAATAAAGACGCAGTACAAGGTGCAATATTTAGTGTCAGAAAAAATTACCATCTAAATTTAGAAGATAGAAATGAGCCTGAAATCACTTAAAAACTTCTTCACACAACTAAAGGTGAAGAGAATACAAATGACTTTAGAAAGTCAATCATGATGCACAATATATATATGTATATAGTACCATTTAGTTGCACTATTATTGATCATATGATCCTTGAAAAACCTTTAAATTGTAAATCGCTTGTTGAAGGGGAGCTATGTAATTATTCACTATTTAGAACTACAAGTTTGCTTGTTGGGCTACAGTGTCCTACTGTAGATGCAATAAAATGTTTTAACACGTTTAAAAACTTCCCCTTCTTTCCAGTTTTTATGTTTAACTACTGATAGAGATACTTCTGAAGGTCTATAATGAAGTGAAAGTTTTTCAGGCATGATATAATATGTGAGACTTTTGCTGTGAAAAGTACTTGACATTTCTTAGGCGTATTAATACTTAAACATAGTGTCAAAGCTAAGAGAACAAACAAATTTCTATCCTGAATTTAGCTTACAACTGGATGAAATCTGGGAGTTCTTCTTTTTATATTTCGTATGGTACGATGACTTGATTTATGTCATCAAATAAACTGACTATTAAGCAAATCTAGAAAAGGCATTCATTATCAACCAAAAATGTTGTTTATACAGTTAAAAGTTATGAATATATATATATGACAGTGCCACATGTCAAGTGATCCACAACGGAAAACTCAGAGAGGTGTTCAAAGTGAATACAGAAGTGAGACAAAGCTGCCCACTCTTATCACCGATGATATTCCTAATTCTGCTGAATTGGGTCATACAACAGACTGTGGGGAGTGAGGACAAGGCGATACTCTGGACCGATAAGAAGACTATAGAAGATTTAGGTTTCGCCGAGGATTTATATCTAATATCACACAAACCCGAAGAATTAAAGTCGATAACTAATAAGTTGGTAGAAGAAGCAGTGAAAACAGGACTTTAAGTGGACATATAGGAGACGGAGGTGGTGAAGATAACCAGCCAACGAGAACATCAAAAAGCGCCAATCACTATCAACGGGGGAAATTTGAAAGAGGTTACTTACTTCAATTATCCTAGGAGGCATCATTTCGATTACCAGCAACGGCATAGATAAGTATTTTCAAAAGTTGATTTGTAAGGAGTAGAACTACTTTTCCAGTTTGACTAAGGATTGATATCAGTTAGAGAACCATTGGAAAACCACCACTGGGGTACTGAACAACTGTTTCGTCTGCCCTAGTTTGGGCGTCATCGGCAGTACGCACCCACAACCGGGGTTCGAACCCAGGACCTTCCAGTTATAAGGTGAGCTGGTTGACCATTCACCCACTGGGATCCGACTCAATGGTGATTTTAGTGCGACCACCAACCCATGTCATCGGCGAGAACTCTATCCTCACTCCCGACTGGATGAGCCTCACTAGTCACAACTCCTCAGTAGAACTCCAGTTAACTCCGTACTGTAGCAAGTTACTAGGATGAAACAGCTGTCCAGTGCTGGTTTTCTGTGGTTCTCTAACTGATATCAACCCATCGTCAAACTGGAAACACAGATGAGTATATCAAAACCAGAACCAGAAAGGCAGGACAAACCTTGACTATTTATTTTATTTTTTTAAATTTTGATTACAGCTTGATTCCACACAGTATTTTTGGTACAAGTATGGAGTTTTCAGCATGGATATCGGTAGCCCAAATTTTGCAGGCCGACCATAGATATCAGGTGTGCGTCGGCAGGGGATCGAATCTCGGAACATGTGCATGGTCGGCGAGAGTTCTAACCACTGTGCCACCGACGCACACCCTGAAATCAGCTTGGAAATCTTTTGCACTCAGTAAGCATGAAGAATAAGATTCGAATTTTTAACGCCAAAGTTAAGTCAGTCACTTTTCCCATATGGGTCAGATACTTGGAGCAAGCGACACAAAAGTATTTCTAACAGGTTACTGTAGATTTTTGTCAACAGATCAAATGGCTAGAAAGAATTAGCAACGAGAAGTTTTGGAAACGAACCAACCAAGAACCCACTGTTGGATAACGCCATGTTCCATGCCGTCGAGTGGAACCGGAATGGGAAACGATAAGTTTGGGTGCAGGTATGACGGTGACATGGAGGAGGTCGTCTAAGGAGAAGATGTGAGTTTACTAGCAATCGTGGGGTCACCTAAAGAGGGTTACAGAGGACAGAGCAAAATGGTGATGTGCTACAATGGTGAGAGCTGTCTGCTAGCCAAAATTGGCAGACAGCAATTTACGTCAATGTTTACGTCCTAAATCTTGGTCATGAGAAAAAACAAGAACAAAGACTAACTCAACAACCAATAACAGCAGACTTAGCGTGGGTGGACACGATTAGCAGAAATATCAACGGACTGCCTAAGAAACGGTAACAAAGAGGTGACAGAATAACCTTCAGCAGGAAAACAAACAATTAGAAGACTGTACCTCTCTGCTAACGATAGTGAATAATAATGTACATAAAAATTTATAAATATCTGTTGATTTTCTCAATAAACGACATGTTGCCTGGTCCTTGTCTTCTATTGTTGCACTTCTGAATCTCCTCCCTGCATTCGAAACTCCAGGGAACAGTAATATGTAGTAATAATGTACAGTTAAAAGCTGAAGCTGAGATGTAACGGCAAATCTACAATATCATACCTAGACGTATTTAAAATGAAAAAGCGAATGTGTTGCCCTCTGTGCACCCGTGTTCATGTGTTCACCAAAAATACACATAGTGTAAACAGTGGAGCGTTCGGTTATTGTTTTTACGATGAGAGGAATGTGAATCTTCACATTATATTCAAATTTAAATGACTTAATAGGTTCAGTTATGTTTTGAGCCTATGAAATATCACAAATTCTCGCATCCCTGAAATGAATTAATAATAAATTATAAGTTGTTTGAGTTAGTCTGTCGAAAACTGTAGGTACTTCATTTTGAGAAACTGAAAGGTAGTCACTACTGACATAACTCAATCCACATCCTATTCAAACATTATAGGGGCTAATTTCTCCCGTTTAAAACTGGTCTTTCCGTTATATTAATAACTTTTTTATCCCAGTAAAAGATTAGACGCTTTGAACTATGGCAGGTTTCGATCATATTTCCCGTTAAAGACCAAATCAACTGACGTTTAGGTTCATGCATTATTTTCAGTTATTTTAACATGCTAAACTAAGAAGATTATTTGTCATTTAATTTTTATTCGTCTTCCTTAAACAAAATACAGATCCTCCATCGGGTATGCAGAAACCAACTGTCGAGGATACAACAGATGATTCAGTTACTTTAGCCTGGGAACCTCCACGAAAAGGTCCTGTTACAGGATATATTGTAGAGAAAAGGGCGAAGGGAGATAAAAATTGGTCTAAGTAAGTCTTAAATTATTCTTATTAATGAATTTTATCACAATACAATATTATTTGAACCAATTGCAGCGTGATTAGGATATCAAAACAGATATTTTTCTGAATATTTCACCTTTTTTTGCAGAATTAACACATTTTCTTGGGTCTATCGAAATAGTACAGCTATGAAATATTGGATAACCAAGAAATGGATAACCAAGAATCCTAATCATCTACTCTATTTCCAGTGAATTACATAAATAGCAAGCAAGAGAATCAAAAAAAAAGTCTGTAGTTCTTATCACAGAAATGAAATACCCTAAAAGAACTTCTACTTGGTCATACCTAAAAGTTAAGAAGTGATACGCTCATAATTCTTAGTTAAAACAATCAATAAAAGTTATTAGTGTTTAGGATTTTGAGTTACAGTCGATTAGATATATAAATGAAAGACTAAATAAATGCAGGTCAGCATAAAGCTCAGCAGCCACATGTGTGAAATAGATGATCGGAAAATACATCACATTCAGAAATGTGAATATGTGGATATAATATGGCGGAGACATAGGATGAGTGAAATGTTGTAAAAATAGTAGACTAGATAAAATTCTAGAATATGATAACATAAAGTGAAATTAGTATACAATTGGTGGATGGTAGTTAGCAGTGGAATCCAGGATGCGCATTTCGTCCTGTCTGGTACTCGTCATCTGGATGTACCTGCATTTCTCGGTGAGTGATAATGTTCCCACCGAGGCTCGAACCCAGTGCCTATAGTTTCAAACACCAAAGCGTTATCCAGTAGAGCACTTGGGCCACGAGAGCCACCTCTTGTGCAACGGGTCATATTAATTACTGAATTGAGAAATGCAGGTACATCCAGATGACGAGTCCCAAATAGGACGAAATGCGCATCCTGGATTCCACTGCTAACCACCATCTACCAATTGTATACAAATCAAATCCTCAGAAATCGTCGAAGCATCTGCACAAGAAGCCGACATGTCAACCTGAGACCGAGCACTTCGGTCCAATCAATCGACAGGAAAGTCAAAAAATTCAATTCAATAAAGTGAAATTAAATAAAACAGAAATGGAAAAGGGAATAAAGAAGGATGACAAAGAGAGAACGGGTATCCACTACTCTTCGTAGAGGCCAGTAGCAAATTACGAGGAAGAAATGCCGAGATTGATAAGGTAGCTAAAAAAGTGTTGTATCTAAACTTAGAATTTAAGGGTGACACTGCAAGTGAAGTACTTAAAAACAGTTTGACAAGACCCATTGAGAAAGACCTTGTTTGCTGACACTTTACGAATAGCCTATATCTAGCCATCCACTGTTCAACCTTATTATCAAACAAATGTTAACTTGGTTGCCTCATTCCATGTATTTATATGTTCACATGCTCTTGTGGGGCTAGGTACATAGGACGTTCGTCGGGAAACATATCCCACCACCGTGTTCAACAGTTTGGTTGAGCGAATGAGAACGTCAAGGTATTAACTAACTCATCGACATTGCAACATATTGTCGATAGTGACAACGACGCAGTATCTGACACATCGTTTAATATAGTCTACAAAGTCGGATAAAGTTTGTCGAAAGGGAGATGACAGCATTTACCTTGTATAGAAGAGGCTTTGGCAAAACATAACATAACATAAAGCTAGAACTTTGTGTACAAAACTAATTTGTACGATCTCTTTGGTTACCATGGTCTTGATTTTACTATGTAATTCACATTTTAAAATATTTTGTTATCCTTCTTTATTCCGTGGTTCAACTTTTGTTTTTGTTTTATTTCATTTCACTTTCACTCATTCTAACATTTTATCTAGTCTACTATTTTGAGAAGGTTTCACTCATCCTATGTCTCTATCATATTGTATTCAGATATTCACATTTCTAAATGTACTTTATTTTCCGATCATCTATTTCACACGTATGTCTATTGAGGTTCGGGTTGACCTCTATTGATTTATGGAGCTAATCAGCTGTGATTCATAATCCAATACACCAATATTATCGCACTTTAGTATTTCCATTCATCGACGAATTTTAATACACACACACACACACACACACAAGGAAAATAACTAATAGTTATTGTCTAATGTAATATATATAGTTCGCTACTACGGGGTGCCATCGACAATTATACATCTCATCCAACAGTTATACGACAATGCTGCATGCCAAGTAATCCACAACGGGAAACTTACGGAGGCCTTCGAAGTGAGGACGGGAGTGAGGCAAGGCTGTCTACTATCACCAATGATCTTCCTGATTGCAGTAGACTAAATAGTGCGACAGACAACGGCAACCAACGAGGGAACAGGCATAAAATGGACTGACACAAAAGACTTGGAGGATCTGGATTTCGCCGATGATATATGTCTGATTTCCCACAAACTGGAAGATATGCAAGTGAAAAGCAACAGGCTTGCAGAAGAAACATCAAAGATAGGAAGGAGTTCAGGTGAACATAGAGAAAACAGAGGTGATGAAGATTCCTGGCCAACAACAACAGCCACAACAACAGACAACAATACGCTGACATAAATGGGAGGAACCTGAAAGAAACAACCTCCTTCACCTACCTGGGAAGCATCGTCTCAACTACAGGCGGAACTGACGAGGACATCAAAGCCAGAATCGGAAAAGCAAGACAAGCTTTCATTACTCTTAAGTCTGTGTGGAGGTCAACATCACTCAGCATCAGAAATAAGATCCGGATTTTCAACTCCAATGTGAAGTCAGTGCTACTCACTATATGGATCAAAGACTTGTACTGCGCGTCATAAAGAGCATCTCCAACAAACTTCAGACCTTCATTAACAACTGTCTCCGCTCAATACTCAAGATCAGATGGCCAGTCAGAAAAGATCAGCAACAGGGATCTCTGGGAGCGAACCAACCAGGAACCGATTGTGAAACAAATAGACAGAAAGAAATGGAGATGGATTGGCTGGCCATACGCTGAGGAAACCATCAAGTGACATCACTAGACAAGCCATTGTTCGAGTGGAACCGGATGGTATGGGAAGCGGCGAGTCGATCGTCAGTGCAAGGGTGACTTGGAGGAGGTCATGTGAGGAGGAGATGAAAGCGTGTGGGCAGACTTGGAGCGGAGTGAAAAAGTTGGCAGAAAACAGAAGGCAATGGAGACGCGCAGCTGAAGTCCTAGGAATTAAAGGATATAATATACATATATATATAAATTACAGCTATGAAATCGGCGAAAAGAGAATTTTCTCCGCTGAACTGTTTGTTTTTATTTCTCATTGGGGATTATTCATTAGTTGTTAGTGGAAGAGACGTTGAATTCTTAAATTATCGTATGACTCATTGTTTGTCTGTTCTACAAGCATGACTTCAGATATTGTTTGTTACGTAATGAACGTAAAAGGTAAATTTGGGCATCGTGATAGGATATATTCCTTACTAGATAAGTATGTTTGATATAGCACACAGTAATACAGCATTAATAAGTGGATGACCTTTCGAGCATAATTTACTGGTCATAATCTGAGATGAACCCTCATTCGGTTAGCGGAAATGAGAAAATGATAATGAATGTATTGGCTGAATGGTATACGAGCTCTCTGGCCTTTTAACCAGAAGGTCCTAGATTAGAACTCTGGTAGTGGGCGCGTACTGCCGATGATTCACAAACTATGGCAGACGAAATAGCTGTCCAGTACTCCATTGCTGGTTTTCCAATAGTTCTCTAACTGATATCAATCCGTTGGTTAAACTCGAAAGTATATTGAGAAGGCAGTAATTGAATCATGTCATTTTGAGTATTAATCAATAGAAGGATTTACTAAGCAATGTATAACCAAAAGATTGTAGGCGTCAAGTAAACCAATACTAATCATAATAATAAGATTGATGATAATGATGAAATTGACAACAAAAATTGAGGAAATCTAGAAGTCATAACCTAATTTTGAACAGAACAGAGAGAAAAGATTTACAAAGCTTGGTAACTAAGTGAACATTAGACAATCGTATATGTATTAGTTGAAAAGTAATGATAAAAAGCAATTACAACATTAACATTAGTAATAAATCATTTATCCATTAAACAAAGCCAATTCAAGTAGGAGAGAGGTATGGTAGAGTGGGAATTATGAAAAGACAAATACATTAGGGAAGAATAGATACGCCAATAAACAGAGATGAACTCATCAGACACACGTGTTGTTATTGATGACACAGGTGATGAGGATGATAAATAGGCATGAATGGTACTGATACTGTGGCGTGTAGTACTGACGAGATTTGTCAGTATTATATACATTTTGATATAAATACGTATATCATGCACAAGAATGCCAAATAGTAGGGAGATGGATTTGCTGAAGGATACTTTTCAAAAAACCTGGAGAAAATGAAAGGAAGACAAAGAAGCACCATACGGAAGGCAAAGTACCACAATACCGAAGAGATGTGTAAGTTGTGATTCTAATATATGGTTGACGAATTTCGACTCTATCGGTACATCGAGTTGCCAATAAATAATTCCGTTACCAAATTCTCTAATCTTCTGTTGTTACAATACTACTTCTTCTTACTTTTTCTGCCAGCACTTCCCATGCATCAGTTAGCATCAAACCATTTAGTTTGCTCAAACTATTTCTGATTACCCAAATATTCTGATTGTCTACAGTTAATCTTCCTTTGGATTTTTTATAATCCATAAAATCTACAACCGTCTGGTGATAATGCAAGCCGATCTGGTTGCTTCATTTTCTGTTTCGTGGAGTGTAAAATTCATCTATTCTCAGCCTTTCGTGTATATTTAATGTTGTTGTTCGTGATTATGGTGTTTTGATTTTCTTATAGGCATCTCTTAGCCAATCAGCTCAAGACAACTACAGTTTTCCGTTTGTCATCTATTGTGATACTGAGTTGTGCCAGTTGACAAACACCTCTGTATTATTATTATTGTTCCCTTGGGTTCCTAGTGGAACATAGGGCTTCAACTCCACGTCTCCACTTGCTTCTGTCTTCCTTCTGCTGTACTTTCCATCTGCATCCATGTTAGCCCATACTGTTTCAACTCCTCTTCACAACATCTCCTCCATGTCACCCTTGCACCGACGTCCCACTCGCCGCTTCCCTTTCGGCCTGGTTCCACTCGAGCAATGGCCTCACGCGCGCGCCATGTCACCCAGCCGCCTCCTCAGCGAGTGTGTGTGTCCAATCCATCTCAATCCACTTTCTCCTGCATATTTGTTGGTAGGCGATTGGTTCTTGTTTTGTTTGTTCCCACAGTTTCTTGTTGGTGATTCTTTCCGGCCCGGCCATCTGATCTTCAGTATAGAGTGAAGAAAACTGTTGATAAAACACCTCTGTATGACCTATTTATTAGTTCATACAAGACCATTCAAAATGGTATATGTTGTTGTGTTTCGAGGATTACTGTCATGTCTTTTCGTGATTGTTGCACCACCCGTTTGATAATATTTAGAAATACAACAACAGATGCTCAGCAAACCCTTTTAGTGACCTTTTCTAGCCTTCAACTACACCATTTTGAAAGTTAACTGTTCAAAGCTTATTGAGTTTTAAGGAGCTGCAGAAACCGGTGTAGATTTTCCCCTACTTTTTCTGACTACTTTTATTAGCTAGGCCTTTTGAATAGCCGTTCAAAAAATGGAATGTTTTCATTTTGCAATCCATATAGGGAATCAGGGCAAACTTTACTTTCTCTATCCTAAAGAAATTAAGCAAAAGACATATTCATGTATATTTTAAATATCTGTTTTGAAATTTTATTCTACTTTTCATTTGAATGAAGAATCTATAATTGATATAAATAAACTAATTAGTACTATTTCTTTATATTTATTATTATCCTTTCAATAATAGGGCCAATGCAGCACCTATATCTAGTACAGGTTATACTGTAAAGAATTTACCGAAAGGCAAAGAATTTGAATTCCGTGTTATCCCAGTAAATGCTGCTGGACAAGGTGAACCAAGTGAACCGACTAAATTTGTTAAAGTTCAAAAACCATTCAGTAAGTAGATTGTCAACAATATTTAAACTATTTTTATAATCGATATTAAATGATGATAATTTTACCAATAAACTGACAGAAGAAGGATTGCAGCGAAGACAGGACTCCAGGTGAACATAGAGAGGACGAAAGTGATGGAGATAACCAACCAACGGGAGCAACAACAAACGCTAATCAATAGCAAAGGGAGAAATTTGAAGGCGGTAACTTCATTCACTTATCTAGGAAGCATCGTTTCAACTACATGCAGAACAGATGAAGATGTCAAAACCACTCAGAGTTGGAGAGGCGAGATACACCTTCATCAATCTGAAATCGGTTTAGAAGTCTTCTACACTCCGTGGCATAAAAAACAAGATTCGGAATTTCAACACATATGTGAGATTAGTCACTTCTTCTATGCGGATCAGGAACTTGGCCAGGGTATATCACGAAAAGGATTTCCAACAAGATACAGACTTTTATCAACAGCTGCCTTCGCTAGCTCCATACTGAACATCATATGGCCGGTGGAAGGAATTAGTAATAAGAAACTCTGGCTGAGAAGAGGTGATTGCTCAATAAATATGTAGGAGAAAATGAAGGTGGATGGATCGGACATAAATTGAGGTGACCATCGAATGACATCGCCTGCCAAACCATCGCTCGAGTGAAATACCGATGGGGAACGATGAGCGGGTCGTCGGTGCGAGATGGTGGAGATGGTGACAGGAGGAGATAAAAGATTATGGGCAGTTGTAGGGCTAGCCAGCTGAAAAGGACACCAGAGTATATACGAAAGTAGAGATGTGTTGTTGAGGCCCTATGTTCCACTTGGAGCCCAAGGGAATAATAATAATAATAATTTCAGGTAGTGGTTTAGCAGGGATTTTGTTTGATTGAATGGAGGATTCCATTATGAGCTGACATCAGTTAGAGAACTACTGGAAAACCAGGGAGTACTGGACAGCTGTTTTGTCCTAGTTTGAGACTCTTCAGCAATACGCATCCACCACCAAGGTTGGAATCCAGGACCTTCTGGTTACGAGGCGAGCCCGCAGACCATTAGGCCACTGGGACCTGCAAACCAACATTTGAATATCAATCTGATGCTCAGTAAGGACTGGCCCTATTCACGTAGGTAGTTACCCGGGTTCTAGTGGGAAACCGTGACCATTGGGGTACAGCAATTTGGGTTTGAGGACAAATCCCAGCCGATAAAATTGGCTGGTACCAGCCTTGCTATATCGTGAATTGTCAGAAGTTAGAATTCACGAGCCATCAGATCGAGTCCCAGTGGCTTAATTGTATATCACCTCGCCTTGTAATCGGAATATCCTAGGTTCGAATCCTGGTGGCTGCGTAATAATGAAGAGTCCAAAACCCGGAAGAAACGGCTGTCTAACAGTACTGTCAGATTTTCTAATGGTTCTCTAACCGATGACAACTCATGATGAAATCCTATAAACAAACACTTGGCGATGACTGTTTCGTTAAAAAGTGTTTATTATTAGAACTCATGTAAGTACATGAAATAAAGACCTGAATCTCTGGATTTCAGGCAGTTTACTTTCTACCTCTAGTGTTTAAGTTTTTACAGCGGAAGTAAGATCTTCTTAACTGATAGAAAATATTTTCGTATACATTTCAGAAATCAAAGCTAGAGAATTCAGCAAATAATATCAACATTTAAAAGTTTTATTTTGTTGAAGATTGAAATAAACTTCAGAACAGACATTAATCAATAGTCAACTAAATTGTTCTGATTTCATATACTCCACGTATGATTTAATTCTACATACTATTCATGACTGTTTTTCATTTCAAAATATTGTTGAATATTTCAATCAACTATTTGTACATTTCTACTATCTAATTTTTGTTCTGCAGCTATACCAAAGATAACTATCGATGCACCAAAGGAAATTAGTGCTCGTCTGGGTGAACCATTTAAAATTCGAATTCCATTTACTGGTGGACCACCAGAAGAAGTTGAAGTAACTAAGGTAAGGAAAAACAATCTCATTTTGAAATGCACCTAATTTGTGAGTAGTACACATGATATTTCATGCTTTCAATCATCTTACTATTACATTCTGTTGGTGACTTATGAAGGATCTTTCTGAGGGTAAATAAGCTTCAGGAATAATAAAACTATGGTAAACTTATTTTATGCCAACAGAACATACATGGTGCCCCCATAGTAAAATGAGATAGTCCATCTAATCGCTGAAGGCAGTCAATAATAATTCATACGTGTTTTCTCCTCAGTTTGCCTCTCTGTTCAACACTGTACGCTTAAGATTTAGTTGAAAGTCCTAAGCTTTCATGGGACACATATTCCTGGTTCAGTCACTATCTTGAAGTAAAACAGTATAGATTTTATAACTATCCTAGTTAATGGTTGCTGCAATTGACTATAAACCATACAACTGATTACGGAAACCTCAACCTGACGTCCATTAGCTTCATACATGTTTCTTCATATCTTGTCAGTGATTCACTCTTTCAAAATAAATTAGTTATATGCCAAAGATTTCTAAAAGAATAAAAGCAGCCTGAACTTGACTGATTAGAGGAAGATTCCAATGTTCTAACTTAGCCAGTCAAAACGACTCATGTCATCTTGTGGTTTGTACTAAGGAGAAGCTTTGATTCCAAAAAAATTTTTTCCATTCCTCTGCTTCCTGAGTGGAACATAGGACTTCAAGCATGAGCTTTGTAGTTTCAATAGCAGTGTGATGTTTACTTTTACGGGGTGAGGTTGCTAGCCTCACTTTCACACCCCCACCCCACATTTGTCGGGCTTACAACCGGCTAGGGGAGGTAAAGGTGTACGCCGGCTGGGGATCGGACCCCCGGACCACATGCCTGGTAGGTCAGCATCCTACCGTTGAGTCACCGATGCGATTCATATAATACTATGGTGGTGTGATATAGACAATGTGTGCCAACGGGATGTTATTCTCACACGTTCCCACAGTTCAACTAGGCATTGGCAACAGAATACTATGTAGAGTTGAATATTCCATTTCATGTCGTTTAATGTAAATCGAAATCACGCGCTCAGTGATTGGTTAAAGAATATAAACTGTAGATATATAAACCGAGGTTTGATTAATGAAAAATATACCGTGCCTTGCCTTCTATTGTCGCAATACTAGCACTAAATTCTAAGCAATACTGAGATTTCAGCGCCGATTATTCAGAAGTCCCATACAACACAAGTGACGAACAGAAATGAAATCATTGTCTGTCAAGGCTATCCCTTAGTTAGTTATACATTTGAAAATGTTCTCGAATCAAGCTAAGAATTCTTCCAGAAAGTTAATTAGGTATGCTGCCTAAACTACTTCAAGCTCACTTTCTCGTTGGCTTTAATTCATGGTTATTGTGTGACCATCTATCCTGAGAGATAGGCGCTTTGGCCACACTGCCTACTGACCCATTTAGCATGGCCCACCTGACCTGGTGGTCTGGCTGGCGACTAGTAGAGTAACAGTACTGCTGTTCAGAGATGTATTTATTAAGTGTTCGTAGAAAAAAGATATAGGGAAACACAATTACACCACAACTCAGTAACTATGCTCTTGCCCGCTGAAAATCCGATTGTCAACAATGTGACTGAATTAGCATAGATAAACAGATTGATCTTTGAAGATAAAATGGCTATAGGTTACTTGAATCGGTCAGTTTTTTTGATCCCCTACATTCCAGTCATTGTAGATGATTAATTATACTCCAGATGTTTAAATTTGTAATCATCAAAAACAAATAAATAAATAACATTACTATAATTTAAATTTTCTTCATAATTATAGGATGGAAAACCTGTTCCATTGGATGTAAGCCGTTTCAAACTTGAAATAACGCCTACTGAAGTTATTATCACGGATACAAAAGCTGAAAAAGATGATGCTGGACAGTATAAGATTGCTTTGAAAAATGAAAAAGGCGAAGCGTCACATCCACTTCAAGTGAAAATTTTAAGTCCACCAGATGCTCCTGAAGGTCCACTAGAAGTTAGTGATATCAAGGGTGAATCGTGTAAATTAACTTGGAATCCACCAAAGGTCAGTATTTTTTTTGTGAAGTAATTTTCTAAACATCTAAATCAGTTGAATGCATAGTTGGTATTGTTCCTGTCATTTGCATTTTGGTTTCAAAGGGTTGTGAGTTTGAGTAAATTTAGCTAATTATTATTATTCATTCTTTGCGTTCCGAATAGAACACGGGGTTTCCGCGGTACACCTCTATGGCACTTAGTTCTCTGAAGTCACTTTCAACCCGCCACACGACTTCACTTAAGGTTTTATTTTCTCTCCGCATGAGCTCCTCCGTATCACGTCCAACCCTTCTCTTCTAATTTGAATTCCAATCGAGGGTCTCAGAGGCATCCAGCTAGTAACAGATGCTTAGTATTTCATGAATAAACCTTGAAGTCGTGACCAGTAGGGTGCAGCACTTCGGGTGTTAGGACAAATACTCACCGAAGACATTGGCTAGCGGTTACGCTATATCCTGAATTGGCAGAAGTTAAAATTCATGGGCTTAACTGTCTACGAACTCGCCTTGTAACCAGAAGGTCTTGGGTTCGAACCTCCTGTGGTGGGTGCGTACTGATGAAAAGTCCCAAATTAGGACAAAACAGCTGTCCAGTACTCCCATGTTTTCCAGTGGCTCTCTAACTGTTGTCAGCTCATGATGAAATCCTGTAACCAATCAAGCAAATCCCTACAAACCAATACTTAAAAATGTATTCAGTTAGGTATTTGACATTTTCTCATAAAGTGGTCATGAAAATCTGACACTGTATTAAGGGGTGTTTATAAGAGTCATTCTACATAACTGTAGACATCTATATAGGACCCTTGTACTGATGTGTGTGTGTTGTTTTTGTGAAATTCTATCGGCACAATGAACATATTTTCATTTGTGTTAAATTTGGTCATTGCTATGTAGTCAATAAGTCATCCTTTAGAGACAGTAACAATATAGAACCATAAAGTATGATTACAATGACTCGCTAGTCATTATTTCCATTTCACCAACCTCAAAATCTTGTCAGTAAGAGCGATTCAACTCAGAAATTGAATTGCATTGGTGTTTCTAACTAATGAATGAAAATAACTAGAAATAATTCATATATAACCAGTCTGATATAATCTTAATCCCTGAAATTTTAGAACAATGGAGGTTGTCCTGTAACAAATTATATCGTGGAGAAGTTAGAACCAAGAACAGGTGAATGGGTACCTGTTAGCAAATTTGTTCGATCACCGGAGTATGAAGTTACTGGCTTGGAACCTGGTAATAACTATAGATTTCGTGTACGAGCTGAGAATGAACTTGGAGCTAGTGAACCATTGGAAACAGAACGCTCGATACTGGCAGAAGATCCATGCAGTAAGTTTTCATACTTCTCATTTTATAAAATATCCACTACTCGGACTAGGTGCATTACAAATGGTACAATAGAAAGAGAACATTAAGCGTACTGTTTGTATGGAACAATAAAAGACGAAACTGTAACCGCTTCCTATAGGCCGTTATATCCACCACCTGGCTTATTTCTAGAAATACTTGTAAAAAAGGGGAAAAAGTGATAGAAATATTTGAAATGATAAAAATAGAGTATCATTCAGTTGAATGTTAAATATAATATATTATTATTGTTCCCTTGGGTTCCGAGTGGAACATAGGATTTCAATAAAACATTTCCACTTCGTCCTATTTTCTGCCATCCTCTTCAGCTGGGTCCACGATTAACCATAATCTCTCATCTCCAACTTTCACTCGATGGCTTGGCACGAGATGTCATTCAATGGTTTCTTCAGTGTGTGCTTGTTTGTAGTTGTCTGTCAAGTCTGTGCGTTGTAGCTGCGTAGCATTGGATTATTGTGACCTTCCTTCCTTCCTGTTGAATTGAATCTTGTTGTCATGATCGCGGATGAGGGGATTGGTTCCCACTGCATTATGGCTCTGGCTGCCACTGGTAACATCTTGATAGCTACTCACTGCCTCATTGTGCTCATGGTTGTCATCTGGGTGACCGGAGAAGATTAATGGACTCTCCATTTGACAATTTTGATAATTCACATTCATTCCATCTGCTCTAGCAGATACCCAGCACTTCTATGCCATATCTTCCCATTTCTTTGCCAACCTAGGTAGCCTTCCCACTCTTGTACATAGTAGGTACGTTCTACATTCCCATTCTTATTCTTACTCTCATCAAGAGAAGACATATCTTCTGGCTTCCCGAAGGCTTTCACCAGCCCGCAGTGTCATTCCACCTCTTCAATTCCAGCGAAGAATAAGATTGCTATTTGAATCTTTTGTACGTTGAAGTTTTTTAAATTATTCTGCATTTCACTTCAAGAAGTATTTGAGGTAGTCTTCTTGATGTTAGATGATTGGAGGCATTCGGAAGGAAGCCTTCCAACTAGGTTTCGTGCTAGTTGACACTCACCTGTCAATAAGATCTATCTAGAGCCTTGAAAGAACTCATGTCCCTTCTGAGATTCGAACCCGCGTCACCCAGTGCCGCCTGCAGTCAGAGACGTTACCACTGAGCTATTCGGGCTCGCGATTTACCTGCTGAATACTTTGATTGGACACTAGTAACTAGTGTGATGTGTCTAGTCCTTTGCTGAGTGCAGACTGAATTCTATCAGTTAGATTTGCAATGTGGCCACCATTCTAAGTAGTCTGTTAACAAAGTAAGGTTAGATGAGAGTTTTGAACTGCTGTACACTGAGGATGACAAAATTATGTCTAAAGTATATATGACAATCAGCTTTTTAAAACCAATGTATTATTAAGAATTTATATACTTAACTGGAGTAAAGAATAAACGAGAGAGCTACTAACTTTTATATTTCTATGGTAAAACTGTAGAGTTTTCTATGGTAGTATTCGTGTACACCTGTAATAATTCAATCTAATAAAAATATTTCTTTTATTCAGCTGTACCTGATGCACCAAACAATCTGACAGCAGTCGATGTAGATGCTAATAAAGTGACACTGGAATGGACTAAACCACGTAATGATGGTGGAAAACGTATCAGTGGTTATGTGATTGAATACAAACCTCTCAATTCTACAGAATGGGAACATGCTACAACTGTGAAAGAAACAACTGGTACTGGTAAGTTGTACTACAAGCAAATATAATTTATATAAAACTCACTAGACCGTCCAGTACCGATCATGTTTTTCTTTGCACCAGTAAGATTACAACTAGAATAAATGGCCCGATATAAATCACCACACATTTAGATGCATACTAAAGTTTATCTATATTCAGTCTAGTTTTTATTGAGTGACTAATGAAAGCATGTGATAGAATGAAATATCAGTGTACTTATTATTTATTTTTATTTCCGATTACAGCTTGATTCTACACTGTATTTTTGGCACAGGTATAGAATTTTCAGCATGGATATCGGTAGCTCAAATTTTGTAGGCCGACCATAGATATCAGGTGTGCGTCGGCAGGGGATCGAATCTCGGTCAGTGTGCATGGTCGGCGAGAGTCCTAACCACTGTGCCACCGACGCACCTTATCTACTAAACTAAATGTAAAACTTAAGAAAGTGTTTAGTAAATGTCTCTGAAATCCGTATAGCTTTGGTTACACACCCTGGGAAAATAAATAAAAGTCACAAGATTAACGTCTACAAACAGACACTGTTCGTCAACATCGATTATAAACCATATCATTGAATTAATACGTTTACAGCTGCATGAGAGCTAAAACAGATATGTATGGGTAACAGCTGTCAGTACTCGAAATAAGTAAAGCTACTTAAAATAGAAGCCCTTTATTTGATAATATATCTTAACTAATTGATTTAAATCTTTCCTTTTTATTCCAAAAATTTTTTAGTGGAAGGTTTGAAGAAAGGAGAGAAATACATGTTTCGTGTTTCAGCTAAAAATGAAGTGGGCGTTAGTCAACCATGTTCAACTAATCGGGCAGTTGAATGTAAACCAAAACATAGTAAGTAAATCTTTTCAGCATTAACATGGATAGAATGACTGTTTTCGAGATCATTTAGTTGACGGAATCCACTTTGTCATCATTTAAATGCTTTTTCTTTTGATTGATCATTCTTCATCAACTGGAGGAAAAAAACAACCACAACTAATGTTATTTAACAAGGTTGATCGTAAGCTGACTTCAATTAGAAAACAATTGAAAGCCTAAGGGGTATTGGACAGCTGTTTTGTCATAGTTTGGGACTCTTCAGTGTTACACATCCATGATCCCCACAAGGACCGGATCGAAGACCTTCATGTTACAAAGTGGGCTCATAGGCTGTTCAGCCGCTGAGACAGAATCCGATGGCCCATGACTTCTAAATTTCACAAATTTACAATATTCAACAAGTTTATTTAACAAATAAAATGTTTATATACACCATGATTTAGTTAAATTATATTCCGAAAAGTGTAACATTTCTGGAAATTTGTCCCACTGACAGGATACAACTGGGCACGGAAGATATTAGATTAACTTACTGTTAATCATTAGTATTCATCTTGGTCAAGTACTCTTATCTGTTATTCTTTACAGAGAAAAATCTTACATAAACGAATTCTGTTAAAAAAGGTCCTTGTATTTCCAAATGAGTGAAAAATCAAAACAAAATTATTTTTATTGACCTTTCGCTATTCACTGTGAACGTGGTTTGAACACATCAATGAATTCTAGGTCACATCATACATAGGGAGGACTCATCGATCTCTGCAAGTAAGGGCTTCAGAGCATATTCCTAAATGGCTCCAGAAGCAAATAGAATCTTCAGAACCCAATAATGGTGAGAACAAGAGACCTAGCTGTTCTATTACTAAACCTATTATAGAGACAGGACATAAAACTGACGTTTAAGTGTCTTTTAGACCTATCTATTCAACGTGTTTGGGGCATATCCTAGAGTTTTTGGAAGCCCTAGCAATTAGAAAATTTAAATCATCTTTATGCGTTCAAAAACAATTCGTCATCACTCTAAACCTTCCTTGGTAAACTTTGTTTTGATACCAGCCAGGGTAGATGTTGATTGGTTTAGTGATCTTCATTGTTATTTTGACCTTCACTATGTCCTTTTAACTTGACCTAAATTTATTTTCTCACCTTTTAACTCTTTATTAATTTCATATATATATTCCTATGACAAGTCTGTGTGTGATCAGATTGTTTGAAATGTGTTTCGCAAATACATTACACGATTTAGACAAATTACATCTTCTTATTGCTGTATCTAAATTCATAAACGAAACTAATTGTTTTAAGTATTTGGACATGATAAGGGATTGTTGAAAAATGAATCTCTAACTATATGAGGATTAGGGAATCAAGTTATGTGAAAACGTGTAAAATGAACACCATCCACTCCCCCCTTCACCAAAATCGCTAATTTTATGAGTAAATTCTCCATAAAAAACTACCACGTTTTTTCGTAGAGAAGTTTGAGGTAAAAAAAGTTGAAGATATAAAGTTGATTTGTTTAATGCATTTAAACTAAAACTGATTTGTCGCAGACAGGCAAGTTTGTTCTTCAATTGATAGAGAAAACATATCTACAATGTTTGTTATTTAACCAGGCACCAATAAGCACTGTTGTTTGGTAACTCGATTCACCATAGTTAGGAAATAACTGGATTTGACTTTCGCCTGTTATGATTTCATAATCTTAATTGTCTTGTAGATAACCACTTACTAATTTCAAGGGAAAAGTGTTGAAACTGCCCCTAAATCTTTGCATAAAACACGATATACTACTGACTGATTGAGATGAGTAGTTCTATATTACTCAATTAAAACAGTAGTGGTAGTAGTATTTGCTAGCGAGATAGAAGTGATTTAAATACCAGACGGCTGTTTTGTCCACTAAGGGTCAAGTTCATCAGCAGCGTAACCTATTCAACTCAGTTCAGACAGTTGAATCAGTTTAAACGAAACTCATTGATCCGGATTGTTTACAACTACTCGCCTCAATCAGTTAGTAGTATATAATTTTATGCGAATATCTTTGCTTTCTTGATTACCGTCTCTGTGGCAATCACCTTCTCGAATTGTGTAAACTGTCAAAATTAGTTTTGTAAAATTGTAAATTCAACTGCAAAATACTTCGTCTTGACTATCCAAGTCAAGTCAGCTTAGCAACCATTACAATGCTAGATATTCTATGCATACAAAAAATAACTCTTTATGATGTAAATAAGAATTTACGAAGAGAATTATTAAGGGAACACTGTTAAAATAACATGAATGTCATAGTTAATTAGTTGTTGATTTATTTGACAGGAATAGGGTGATTAGGCTTACAAAGTCAGCCAGGATACACTGTCTGGTGAGAGAATTGATTTTTCCCTCTAAAAGATGCACACATATATATACTTTTAGACTTTGAATGCTTCATAAAGGTCAAAAAGGATAGGTGATTATTGTTTTCTTAACACTGACATGGTCAGTTTGTTGGGAAATATTTGTTTTTAGGATAAAATGCAAATACTATTTTTAGGTGTAGTGTATGAAATGATTTCACCAAATCCGATTGTTGTTTTTTTCTTTCTGGGAAGACAACGTCATAGCTTGCTTATAAGTGAAGGAAATAACTTCAGAATGGCAGAATACAGGCAGGATCATTTATTCTCCAAAATGACATACAGTGGTTCTAAAATGCAAAAAATCTCACATTGAAAGTACAATTTTCTGCTTCTTTTATCTTCCAGTCGTGTTTTCTGTTTCATAGTTCCATAATGATATTCATTTCTCCTTTGAACAAATTAATCCGTCACTTCGCTATTCAAGATTCTTAGAGAAGATGTAACCAATATACTACTTACAAATTCTTACTAGTAAAACATGCCACACTGGTCATAACTTCCTGAAATCTTGAAACCAATCAAATCCTTGCAAACCAGCACTTGAATGTCAACCTGTTGCTCACTAGTGACTGACCCTATTCAGGTAGTTAGTTAGTTACGTAGGTCCCAGTGCGAAGTCATGACCAGTGGGGCACCGAAACTTAGGTGTGAGGACAAGTACACTAGCCAGTGATGACATTCGCTAATGGTCGCGCCATATCACGGATTGGCAGAAGTTAAAATTCATACACTGGCCACTGGATCGGGTCCAAGTGGCTTAATGGTCTACCAGCTTGCCTTGTGACCGGAATTTCCTGGGTTCAAACCCCGGCAGTGGGTGTGTGCTGATGAAGAGTACCAGACTAGGCAGAAACAGTTGTTCAGTACTCCATTACTGGTTTTCCAATAGTCCTCTAACCGTTATCAGTTTATGATGAAGTCCTGATACTATTATTATTCAGTCAGCAGTTTTGTGGCTTAATTGTTAATGTACAAGAGGTTCGTATTTCAATTTCCGTGTTGATTTAGGATTCATCATCAATTTATTCAATCCTGTAATAAAAGATTACACGAATATAAAGGAGTCATCAGTTGTCTTTGCAATTTAGTCAATATTTTAATGTATCGGTGAGTACTCGGAGTTTATATCAACCTAAGTATTGAGTTTAAATTCTTCATTTCACAATGTTTTATGGTATTGAAAACCAATTGACAGTTCTACCAAAACTTATCTATGTAAGTTAATGAACCTGTTGAAATGCAGATCATAAATCTTCGATTTCATGTTTCCTTTACAGCTACAGCTGATAGTCCTGGTCGGCCAAATGTAGATGATGTTGGAAAGAATTCAATTGATTTATCTTGGTCTCGACCACTTAAAGACGGTGGAGCTAGAATAACAGGATATGTTGTTGAAAAACGCAAGAAAAATTCACCAGATTGGGAACCTGCAATCCCAGGAAATACACCTGTCACTGGTACACAAGCCCACATCGATGGTTTGGATGAAAATGGTGAATATGAATTCCGAGTTAGACCAGTCAATGCAGCTGGTGTTGGTGAAGCAAGTGAACCAACTTCAATGACTAGAATTGGACCAAAGAGAGGTAAGTGATGATTTGTAAAGCATTTTCATAAGCCTGTTGTAGTTCATGAATAACAACTGATTATATAAGAACCTTTTTGGAATGTATCATAATTTATAGTAATAATTAATTCTGTAAAGGTTCAAATAAAATAATAATATGGCCATTAGGGTAAGTGATTAACTGTAATCGATGTTCTGTTTCGAATCAAATTGGGTAGAAAAACTTAACCCAACATGCGTAGTTCAGTTGCATGATACGGTGGGCGTAGATGAGTGGTTCCTCACAGAATAAGTCTCCTAGTAATATTGTCACTAGCCTCATTGTCAGGTGGCACAGTGGTTAGGACTCTCGCCGACCATGCACATGGTCCGGGGTTCGAGCCCGCACCGACTCACACCTGATATCTATGGTCGGCCTGCAAAATTTGAGCTACCGATATCCATGCTGAAAATTCCATACTTGTAGTGTGGAATCAAGCTGTAAATCAAAAAAAAATTAAAAGGTAGTACAAGTTCAATTGATTGACAGAATATGAAGGTATTGGTGGTTTCAGAAGCTTACTTGTAACAAATATCAGGAAGAAACATGGTAAGGGATTTTTAAATTTTTTCACTAGTATTTTGCAACTTGTAACTAAACATACTGTCATCTTATATAGTTGAGGCTAGTATTTATGTAGAGGTAGCTATGTGGCGTGTGCGATTCCCTAACAAGTTTTTCGTCTTCCACCTTTACAGCTTCATTAGTCTTTGATGGTATGTTATAAAACTTCTCACAGCTATAAACGAATTCTTTCCAAAACATCAAGATAAGCCTTAGAGCTTACAAATAGGATAACTTAACTCATCTAATTTATATCATACCAGTGAGTGGGATCCTACTAATGAAATTATATTTTTAGGGATAAATGTTTCAGGAAATAAATTTTTTAAATTATTGGGGTCGACACTTTTTCGTGCCACTCTGGAGGTTTAATTGTCTGCAAATTTTAAAGCGTATTGACCACAGAAGAATTTTCCCAGCATCATTTCAACCACAAGGAATTGTTTTGTGCTTTACGAATGAAGGTCAGACTTAGATCATTATTCCAATATAGATTCTGTGAGTAACCAGCATCAGTTAGATAGTCGTTGAAAGCCGAGGAGCACCGGATAGCTATTTCATTCCACTTTGGAAGTCTTCATCATTGAATACCCACAGATTCACCACGGATCAGAGGCAGGACCTTCAGGACATGTTATGAGCCTATCGACTATTCAGCTGTGGGTTCAAAATACAGTTACCTAGACGGTGATGACAGGTCTCTAAATAAGATGAAATAGATGTTGAGTGCTCATCGATTTTCAGGAGATTCACTGACTAATATCAGTATGTGAATATGATCTAAGATTTAGATCAATAAAGATTGTAAAAGCTGTATGGGTGTATATAAGCGATAGTAAAGCATAAAAGTCTGGTATTTTCTAATACGTAAGCGGATTTCAAAATACACCTGACTTGTTTATCACTTGGATTTGATACATAGTTGTAATTCAGTGGATAAGACGACATATTGCATCGGGGGATAGGTAGATCGGTTCATACTTCTAAGGAAAAGAAAGTGACGATAAGAGGAAGAATAAGTCCACATCATTAGAAAGAATATAAGTTGGAAAAGCGAAACAGGTTAACTGTGATAAAGGCAACATTTGATATTTTCACGTTTATGTGCTGTTTTGAGGGATTCTGAATCTTGTCATTGACAACCTACAGTCCCTAAATCCCCTTATACTGACAACTGCAGTCATCATCATCATCACCAAAACCATAAGTTAGTGCTATCATTCATGTCTTATGTCACTTAGCACTCTTGTAGCTGATGTTTTCAATCAGAATAGGCAGTGAATCAACTGACTGGCTTAGTTTACTCAGATTTCTGACATTTGTAAGACAGATACATTCAGACAAACATACTGTATTGCTGACTGTATCGGTGTGTAAGGGCAAAGTGAACATCATTCAAAGTAAACTGATAAATTTAGGCTGGAATAATGAAAAAGATTTATAGCTCAGTTAGATGTTGCCTAGATGGGAGATGAAAGCTCTTCAATTTAACCATCCAGCTAAAAATAAAAACACGTTTCCATCCATCGTTAATGTCTGTTGTATCTGCATTATATTACTTAGTAGTTTACGTTAAAGCAGTGACCTCTAGTACTGATTTCTTTAGTGATTAACTAAGATGAACGCAAGTAGCTATATTCTCTCCTATTTTACTGACAATTATATATTTCTACATTTATCTTTATTCATAGACTTGTAAATTCTTATTTTCCATAATAAAATCACTATTTTACACTTGTTTTCAAAGATAAACCCAGCTCCCCTGAAGATGTTGAAGTTACTGATCTTACAGCTGAAAGTTGTAAACTAGTCTGGAAACCTCCTACTAAAGACGGTGGAGCACCAATTACTGGTAAGTGATTGTTACTGAATTTTTTGTGAATTACTGGACTGATCATAGATTTTGAAGATACTTTTATTTTTGTGTTACTGCGTTGAGTGCTACTTATAATCAGATATAAGTAGTATATAACTAAACGAATTCAGAAAAGTAACAAATGTTTTGAACACTAGAAAAAGGTATTAGATAGTTGGAGGTAATCGGCAGGAACTCTTAGACCTAGGTTTCGTGCTAGTTGGCACTTATCAGCAAGGCGATTGAAGAAAAGAACCTCTGAGAAAAACATTGCAAACACTGTGTAGAATCCAGTAAGCTATTGAATGTGGTGATATTCGACAAATTTGCGAATGATGTGCAAACAATATCATCTCAATCAGGTATTTGTAACGTGATGAAATTTGGAATGATCATGACTTTATCAGTAGTGAACATTTTAAGAATGTCTGTTTAACTATATAAGATACGAAATCAAAATCCCTTAAGCATACGTAGACAAGTTAACGTGAATCCATAGCCTAAAAATATTCGATTTGGATGACAAGCCTCTATTGCTACTCGAACTTTATTAATTTGATCAAATTTAAAATATGCCGAATAAGCTAAGGAATGAGACACCCAGATCATTCTGTTGTTGTTGCTGTCAGCAGGGCTTTACATAAGCTTTATATCTGAAATTAACTGACTTGTAGCTAGGGTGTTCAAATACACTAGAATGATTGTGTTCAAATCCTAGTTCGCTCATAATCTTACATCTTTTGAATGGCTTAGCAATATGTTGTTTAAATTCAGTCTGCTTTACTAGAGAGTGACGATAAGTACAAAGTTAAACCATAGACTTGTCAATTATTCTTTCTGTCTATTGACCTGATGGCAGTTTAGTCGAAAAGAGATCTGATTTTCCCGAATCTTATTATATAGATGAAAGAAGAATTAGAGTTATGGAAGATACTAAACTAAAGACATTTAGTTGACGTCGTTTTTCTGGTTTTAAGTAGTTCCTCAAATAGGATTAGTTAACGTCGAAGAATTTCCATTGATTCAAAAATATTCAAGTATTGGTTTTATAGGGATTTTGTTTGATTGGATGGAAGATTTCATCATGAACTGACATCAGTTAGAGAACCATCGGAAAACCTAAGAGTACTGGACAGCTGTTTCCTACGCCCTAGATTGGGACTCTTCATCAGTACGCAACCACCACAGGGGTTCGAACCCATGACCTTCTGGTTACAGGGCGAGTTCATAGACCATTGAGTCACTGGGATGCGATCCAATGGCCAGTGCATGAATTCTAACAACTGCTCACTAGCAACTGGCGTATTCAGGCAGTTAACCTGGGGTTCTAGAGGGAAGCCATGACCAGTAGGATACAGCAGGTTGAAGATGAGGCAGTAACTTATCGAAGAAGAAATTGAGAAGTGGCCGCGCTTTAATGTGAATTGGCAGAAGTTGGAGTTCACGCACTGGCCGTTGGGTTGGGTTCCAGTGGTTCAATGGTCTAGGAGCTCAATGGCCTTGTAACCAAAAGGTCCTGGTGCGCAACTCTGTGGTGGTTTCGCACTGATTAAAAGTCCCAAACTAGGACGAAACAGCTGTCCAGTACTCCCAGCTGGTTTTCCTATGGTTCTCTAAATGATGTCAGCTCATGATGAAATCCTCCCTCCCATTCAAAAATATTTCAAAGATTATGAGAATATAAGTACTGAGTGAGTTTAAGGAAAAGTATGTGCGTCTAGATGTTAATATTATGGAGAAAAGAGATATGCTCATCCTCGATTTCATGTCTATTTAAACGTATTTCTGAATCTGTTTATTAATTAAGAGTATACTGTCACTCGAGTAAAAATCTAGTAGAAGGAGGCACATATGTTAACAGTTGAACTGACACTGCACTTGTTATATTTTACTGCATTATGCAAGAATATGACACGGTCATAATCAAACATTTAGTAGAACATGAAACTTGTCGCTTTAGAACTACGGTTCACCTTTCACGAAGTCTCTCAATCTACTTTCACCAGTTAGATTTATTGAAATTATATTATGTATACTGAAGAGCTGACAGTTAGACGTCTTCCATTCTACAATCTTTGCAGTAAAGATTCAGATCTATCTAGGGTAGTGATCTATTTCTCAGAAAATATTTCTTCACCCAGTCTCTATTATTATATTCAATAATCTTCCCAACAAATTATATGTTACCCAAATATCTCTAATCTCTTACTTTCATTTTAAAACTGCAACTTTAAAACTCATTGATATGTAAAAAATTTTTTCCCTTGTAGATTACATCGTTGAGAAATGCGATGCAACAACAGGAATATGGGAGAAAGTTCCAGCTATAATTGTTGGGACATCATGTCCTATAAAAGGCTTAACTGAAGGAAAACGTTATCGATTTCGAGTATCAGCTGTTAATCCACTGGGACAGAGTGAACCTGCTGAAGTATTAAATGCTGTAACAGCTAAAAATCCTTTCGGTAAGTAAACTTGCAACCTTTGAGTATTTTAATTCATATTGCTTTTTTCTTGAATAGATGCACCAGATTCACCGGATAATTTGAATATGGATTCATTTGATAAACACTCTGTGGATCTTTCATGGACTCCACCAAAACACGATGGTGGTAATCCTATCAAGGGTAAGTAGCTTGAAATTTGTATCCCTTATTTGAATGTTATATTTATCATGATAAAATTGAGTTAGATGTGTATGTAATCAGTCGTTTGGAATAGAATTCATATCTAAGAACCTCTTATAGCTCACTGAATTCATAGCATGAATGATCCCAGTAATCTTTCATCCTTTATACCGTTACTTATTTACAAATATAGGTTATCTAGTTGAAAAGCGTACGCCTAAAGGTGAATGGAAGCCAGCCACCATTGGATTAGTCACTGGTCCATCAGCTCACTTAACAGGTCTTGAACCGGGTGAAACCTACGAATTCCGTGTAAGTGCTGTGAATGATGCTGGTCCAGGCCGCCCATCTAGAGCAACAGCACCTCATGTTATGAAGGATCCTAGCTGTAAGTCTTTTTGTTTTACTTCTGATGCAAAATTATTTTTGGTATTTTATACATATTTCGCTTGGTGTGTGTGTGAATATCCATAAACTGATTAGTAACACTTAGTAAAACGTAGTTTTTTAAATATGCAACATTTACTTTTAATTCAGTAGTATGAATTTTATTTTCAGTAGAAACACTGATTTCAGGAAATAATCACTTACCAGTTACCCAATATGAATTTAATTCCTTATTTCTCCAATAGATCCTGCTGCTGCTCCTGAGTCTTTGAATGTTGATAAAATCAATAAAAATGGTGTAAAATTATCATGGCAAAAACCACGAAAAGATGGTGGAAGTAAAATCACCGGATATCAAGTGGAGAAGAAAGATGAAAATGGTGAATGGGTCCCGGTGAAACAAACTACTGAACCATGTGCATTTATTCCAATGAAAGAAGGAGAGACTGCACAATTTCGTGTACGTGCAGTGAATGAAGAGGGACCAGGTGAACCGACTCGTCCTACTGCTCCTTTAACAGCTGCTGATCAACCTGAAGCCCCGAGAATATGTACTCCTGAAGATTGTGTTGGTGGTTTAGGCAGTGGAGTTGGAGGTCTGAAAGACGTTTCTCTGAAAGTAAGTTCTGTAGTATAAATTTTCAGCATAGCAGTTGCACATAGCTAAACACACCTAATCCATTGTTAAGTTTATGCAAAACAGACTGTCTGTCAAATGTTTGCTTATGTTAAGTGCTTTCATTAAGTAACCGATAAAACAGTATTTATAATCATCACCAAAAGTTGCATTTCTGAATAGAAATTCACGCTTTATTTTGACTACTTGGTCCTTTATATTTATCACTATTTATTTATTTATTATAAATATGATATAATTATTTATGTCAGTGGGCTTCAGATTGTCGACTGTAAGAAAAGTTAGACAGGATTATTTCTTCTTCGAGTTTGACCACGAATCGATATCATTTAGAGAACCATTGAAAATCAGGTAGCACTGTACTGAACATCTGTTTTGTCTGTCCTAGTTTAGGACTCATTGACAGTACGCACTCTTCACAGTTCAAACCCACGACCTTGCGGTTACAAGGCGAGCTCGTATACCACTCAGACACTGAGACCCAATTCACTGGCCATCCCGTGAATTCTAACTTCTCCCAATTGGTGATTTTAGTGTGACCATCAACCAGTGTCATCGACAGGAACTCTGTCCTCACACTTGACTGGTTGGACCTCACTGGTCATGACTTCTCACTAGAACTGTAGTAAACTCTGTCCTGTAGCAAGTCAGTTGCGAGCATCAGATTAATTTTCAAGAGTTGATTTGTAAAGATTTGACTTGTTTTTCGAGTTTGATCACGGATTGATATCAGTTAGAATTATTTCTACTATATTATAAAATAAATTTGTATTTGTTAAATAATCTAGGCTGGACAAGAATTGAGATTACCAGTGGCGTGGTTTGGTCATCCAAAGCCCACATTTACTTGGACATTGAATGGTGAGCCAGTTAAAGTTGATGGAGTTCGTGTCATACAAAAAGAACAACCTTTACCACCTCCTGCTCATCCTGGACCTGGAGGACAGTTAGAGCTTTCACCTGGTGGTGTTACTGTCCTAGTTGTACCCAACGTCAAACGAAGTGATCATGGTAGATACCAGTTAACAGTTACAAATGATTTGGGTCAAGCGAGTACTTCATGTAACGTAGATGTATTGGGTAAGTTGTAACATGCAATATTATTGTTAAATTGATCCTCGGGCTAAACATCAATATAAGCGAAATATGCAATCATGTTAGTCCTGATAAAGAATGTCTCAGAGTGATCTGGAAATGATAACGGAATGGAAATTATATGATTTTAAGAAATTACATTTAAACCGATCACAAGTTTCTCTACGAAATAAGCTATCACACTTAATATTTAGTCTAGTTTCAACTTCGATTTAACTATCGAATACTTTGTTTGAATGTTTTGTGAATTACACACCAAACATCTGTTGATTGGAAAGGGGTTCAGAAAACTGAAAACTCTCGTCACTTGTCCAGATCGAAATAGATCTTGTTGCAGAAGACTAATTGTTGTCTCAGAATACTAGGTGAAGTAACCAACTCATAATATCCGAAAACAGATTGGCGGTTCTAGAATTGTATATTTCTTCAGCGACAGTGAACCAATACTATAGGATTACTTAGCACAAAGTCTGTGAAATAAACATTAGAATGAATTGCAATAAATACTTCTGATCGTCTTTCCCTCTTCTTCTGACAAACAACGTAGACTGGGCCACGACCGCCATTGTTGAATCCCACCAGAATGGCGATCTATTCTAAAAAACAAACCATATGTTGCTCATTCAGTGTTCACTAACATTGATAACTATGTTGTGCGTACATACATGGTTTATGAGTTTACAACATAGTAGGAAAATATATTTACGTATTTATCAACTTCTGTATTGATTCAGTTCCTAATTTGTTTTTTATTATCTAAGTTCAAAACAACTACATTAAATCCGCCAAGGGAACTTTGTAGGAGCTGGAGTTCTTTCTCATACTGCAATCCATAATTATAGTTTTAACAATTTAGTGGTCGATGAGCACCCTGCTAATCAATCTTTAGGAATCTGCTGAAACTTTCAACCAAGCATTATATGAGGATATGTGGTAAAAGTAATGTACAGAATAACTGTTATGGTAATTGAACTCTTACACTTTTCAAAGTGTGTGGATGCTGAAAAGAAACGTATTTTAGTCTCCAAATAACAGACGTATAAAATGCCGTCTTACGAATATCAGTTAGTTGTCATATGATGCCATTTTTTTAGTAAAGCTAGTTAATATATTACTGCAAAATATTTCTCTGAGAAAATATGCCAATCATGTAATCAGCAAACCAAAGGAGAAAGTTACGATTCTATCTAAAATTTTTCAAAGCCCAATATTCAGGATTCAAACCAGCAAATAAACACATGTCACCTAGATATGCCTCCATCTCCAGTGAGTGGTGGTGTTTCCACTGAGGCTCAAACCCATCAATCCACCTAATGCTTTCGCATTTGAAACGATAAATGTGCGGTTATGGTCTTATTGGGGGCAATTCTAAAGAATAGCAGCCCAAACCGAAACTACCCAGCGAACGGACAAATGACCATGAGCAACCAATCAGGTGACTCTGTTTTATCCAGAGGTACTTATGGGTGCTTTACACCTTTTCCGTTGCAAATTCGCTTCAGATCTTGTTTTGATTACTGTATGGAGAACGGACTGATAGGAAGATCGAAAAATTGCCAATGTGTAGGTGTCATTCATATGCAAAGATACAATAGGTGCATCGATGGGTTTGCTTATTGGTGAAATGAGTGCAGAACCAGAAAATCAGTTCCTTAACGTATGTCGTTCGTTTTTGATTTACAAATTCCTTAGGTACTTTTGATAAATAGAAAATATAATCGAGGGAGATTGAGTGCGAATCAGCAATAGGTATTGGAGATATATGACACCAGCCTCCAGAAAGGATATATTGAGGCTATCCCTAATCGCAGTGCAGGTGTATTATTGCCTATTATACAGCGCTTAGTGCTGCCTGGGACAACTGTTCATACAGATGAATGGAGTAGTTACACTCAGTTATCGAATCAGGGCTATATTCATCAAGTGGTCAACCATACAAATCGTTTTCTCGATCCTTTTGGTGGAACTCACACTAATTTCATCGAAAGTTTCTGGAGTCATCTAAAAAACATATCAGATCTGTGAATGGATCAAGAAACTCAATGATATACAGTTATCTCGATGAGTTTATTTACAGGACTTGGTTTAACATGAGTATCAAGACTCCTATGAGAAATTGGGAGGTTTTTTTCGCAACATATACGAGAACATCGTCCTTTGTTACTATTTTTTAACATTGCAATTATGCGCCGTTTTTTGAACCTTCTGATTGGTCGAAGTTGTCCTTGTCAAGGTCGTTTGTCCGTTCGCCAGGTAGTTTCAGTTTGGGCTGCTATTCTTTAGAGTTGCCTCATCGGGAATATGATCACTCACTAAGAGTTCAAGTGCATCTAGATGACGAGTTCTGAATAGGACGAAATGCACAACTTGTATTCTACTGATAGTCCCTTCACCGTTTATATCTATTTAAATAAAGAAACTAGCAAACAATTAAGCAATTCCATCTCTGATAGGTGAGTGTAGGCTTAATGTTATTAGTTTTTTACGCGGAGACCTTTGTTCACCTAATCAACACTTCTGTTTAATTTCAATTTATTTCATCATCTATTTTTCAGATGCTCCTTCTGCACCTGGTGGACCTCTTGAAGCAAGTGATGTTAGTGCTAATGAGATCACTTTGAACTGGAAAGCGCCATCAGACGATGGTGGACAACCAATTACTAATTACATACTTGAGAAGCGTCCCAAAGGTTCAGACACGTACGTTAATCCACTATTGCTATTATTATGTATTTTCAGACAGTCATATATATATATTTAGAAACCACTTGTGATAAATTTATATCATCGTAAACAAACATCTACATAATAGTATATTATTTGTTTGTTTTATTTTCTTCATTTTGAATTCAGTTGGCAGAAAGTTAGTGGATTCTTAAAGTCACCCAACGCAACTGTCAGAAATCTTGATGAAGGTACAGAGTATGAATTCAGAGTTATGGCTGAAAATCCGCTTGGAATTAGTGAACCATTAGTTACAACTCAGCCTATTAAAGCCAGACATCCATTCGGTAAGTTAACTTCTTTTGCACAATAATGAATATACATTTTTTTTATTCCTTTACGTTCTCAGTGGAAAATAGGGCTTCAAGCTAGAGGCTTGAAGTTTCGGTAGCAGTGGTGTTAATTTTTAAGGGATTAGGTTGCTGGCCTTATACCCAACCTTCCGTATTTACTTAGCTTAGCGAGGTAAGGGAGTGCGTCGTCTGGGAATCGAACCCCGAACAATATGAGGCGTGCTACCGTTGCATGAATATAGGTTTTGAAACTTGTTATTCAGCCTTTATTTATAACTATCAAGAAACATCAGCTGTTGTATATAGTGTAGTAATACACCCATATCATTGCACCGACAGGAATGATGCAGTACATCATACACGAAAATAAGAGATAGATTGGTAGGGGTTTATCCAAGCTCAAAGTACAAAGTTACTATGTGGTAACATGTTCACTTATGAAACGAGGATTTGATAAGTATACTCACCTATCAGTGAGAAGACAAAAAAATTAAGCAAACAGGTAGGTATATTAGTAAATAAGTAAGCACACTTCCACATGTATTTCAAAATTAAATGTCTATTAGTGATGAGTTATTCATAGCTGACGGAATTCAGTGTGCTGCTATTCAAAATGATTCTATGGGCTTTCTGCAGATTTTAGATCAAACAAAATTTCACTAACTAAAACAGATTTGCTGCACACTTATTTATGTATTTATTGATTTAAAACACAAAACCTTGTACAATATGGGTACCAAGAAGATGCGTATATTATCGTATACCCCGAAACCTAACTCAAATATAAGGAATAAATATATTTTAATATCACTCTTACAGTGGGAATAGGAATCTGGTAATCTCCAAGTCACTTCTCACGTAACTATCATATTAACACAGCTGGGATTACTGTTATTATCCCTATTTATATTTATATTCACTAAGTTTCATGAAATTGGTTACAGGATTTCAGCATGAGCTGTCATCATTTAGAGAAACATTGGAAAACCTCGGAGTGCTGCCAGATAGCTGTTTTGTCCTAGTTTAGGACTCCTCATCAGTAAAGCAGATAGTGTGGGGGGGGGGACAGATACCCACCGATAACATTGGCTAGTGGTCGCGTCATATTGTGAATTGTCAGAAGTTGGAATCCATGCACTGGTCATTGGATCGGCGGGTCCCAGTGGCTGGATGGTCTACAGGCTCGCCTTGTTACCAGAAAGCCCTGGGTTAGAGCCCCTACGGCGGATACGTAATGATGAAGGGTCCCGGACTAGGATGAAGCATCTGTCCAGTACTCCCTGGTTTTCGAATGGTTCTCTAACCGACGTCAGTTCATGATAAAATTCTGTAACCAAACAAATCGCTGCAAAACAACACTTGAATTCCACTCCACTAATGTAAAATATTACAAATATTAATTACGTAATGCAGATTACTACACGACTTTCATGTGAGAGAGCTTTATACAAGGTGTGCAAAATTAGGGAAAGATATTACTCCCAACTGCTGAAACCAACATCTATATCTACGGATAGGGTACGTATATAACTAATTCTCTATCTCCTGTTGATCGGACAGTGATTATTAGTCTCTATTGACATGTCACCCACCTCCTAGTACGGATGCTTCAATGATGCTTGAAGATTAACATCATGTTATTAAATTGACAGTGGAACGCGGTAAGTGCTTCGTGTCCGATTTAGGACTCGTCTGCTGTCAAGGTGTGTATCTTCAGTGAGACTGGAACTCAGTGTCTACCGTTTCAGACATCAGGAAGTTATCCATTAGGCTGAGACAGCCATCTTCCGTTCAACGGATGTCGGTCGTTGTTTGTTTAATTTACTCTCTGTTTCCCACTGATTAACTTCTATTCGACCGAAATTTTTCATTCGGATGCATCGAAAGTGTGGTTTAAGGTTTAATGGAGTAGTTCAGTAGACAGTTATTTAGGTTGAATGATTCCAACTGAAAGTGTAGAAATCGAAACTACACACTTTTTACGTCTTGTTAGTTTGAATAAGGCATTAAGAAGACAAATTTCGCGAGATGATATCATTTCGTAGTTTCTTTACAACCGCTTTACAACTAACATGGTTAACAATAATAAAATAAAGTTCATGACAATTACTCAGTTAAATAAAAAACACAAAAGTACATACTAATGACCAATCATATTTAGATAGGTCATGTAGTCCAGGGTAGGCGAAGATTAAAGTCTATTGATTTTTGTACACACAGTTTAGGCTGTATGTGATTAATCCAAAGTGCTTCCATCACCTTCAATAACCTTGAATTAGAGTTATGTGTTAGTTGTTTAATCGACATTTCTCCCCTTGTGTATCTTTTTTAGAGGTAAAATTCAATTCATTTCTATCCTTTTTTATGTAGATCCACCTTCTGGAATGTCTCAACCAACCATTGAAAATGTTACTGATGATTCAGTAACACTATCCTGGGATCCTCCTAGAAAGGGTCCAGTTACTGGTTATACAATAGAAAAGCGTGGAAAAGGAGATCGTAATTGGACAAAGTAAGCAAAGATTTAGAGAAAAAACACTCAAAAGAGAGTACTTCAAAGCTAAAAATTTCTTTACTGGATCCTTCATTATTTCTTAATCATGAAATTACTAAATAATTAATCTTCTCAAGTCTTAATCTACTGTTTATAAATAATTTGTATTCCACTCTTTATAACTAACCAATTCAGTTCAATTGAGTAAAAACTGTTTTAAAAGCAGTTGGATTACTTTCGATGGTTAGCTCTTCTTGGCAATATTCACCGGTAACGTCAAGAAACTGGTAAACAAGGCCACCATAACCCATAGTATCCATTATTAAAGCGGAAGCAGTCAACAAGAGGACTGGCAGAAAGGTTACCTACGAAACACTGGAACCCTGGTTCGATAACAAAAGTCACACATCAAGTCAAAACTGATTACCCATGTCCCTAATCTATTAACATTTAGGGTTGAAATCATGGCAGCTAACTCTTTGTAGGCGTTTATATATTCGACAGGTATTTAATAGAAAAATGCGTGGAGAATAAAATTAAATTATGAAATATTAGTTCTACAGTAGTTTGCAAAAGCAGCCTGATTTCTGTTCAAAGTTTGATCACGGACTGATATCAGTTAGAGAACTATGGGAAAACCAGCACTGGAGTACTGGACAGCTGTTCCCTCTCCCCTAGTTTGGAACTCATTGGCAGTACGCCTCCACCGCAGGGGATCGAACTCTGGACCTTCCATTTACAGGTCAAGCTCATAGACCCTTCAGTCACTGGAACCCAACTCAATGGCCCATGAACTCTAACTTTTAATAATTCGCGATTTTTGTCGTTTACATTCAAACTTTAAAATTAAGCATTCCATATTCGTAGGGAGAAATACTATGCAGTTCTTCAAGACTGACATTCTGTAGTTTTTCTGTCAACAATGGGATTACGGCGTTCTCCAATAACTCTGAACATTTTCTGGTTTAGTAGGCAATTGACCTGGGGATTATGTTTGACCCTCCCACTTTTTTCAACCATTTTTCTTAGCATTATTTGGCGAGAAGACAAGGCAGGTCATCTGTTTTATTATATGTAGTTCGATCGGATCCTCAGAGCATTTAAATTTGATTACTGCACCACAGCGGTAAAATACTGAGAGAAGGGTTTATCAGCTGGAAGATTATGAAAGAGGATGGACAAAAGTTGTTGTCTGTTTACTATATGACTTGAAATTATTTCCTAAGATTATAAGATGTTTGATTTACTGTATATCATAGCTTTTATATTATATCTCATTTCTAATATATGTAATATTTCCAACATATGTCTAGGGTCAATGTTCATCCACTGTCAGGTACAGAGCATACAATTAGAGGTTTACCTGAGGGGAAAGAATTCGAATTTCGTGTTGTCCCATTCAATGCTGCCGGTGCAGGTGAACCTAGTGAACCAACATCTCTTGTGAAAATTCAGAAACCTAAAGGTAATACACATTTGTTGAAAATTATTTCTACTGTAATCAGTACGGTGTTTATTTTCTTGTGGTAATTTAATTTTACAACTTCACATATGTACTAAGAAAATAGCACACTCTTGATAAAGGATGAAATTCTCAAGTATTGGTTTTGTTAGGGATTTTGTTTGATTGGTTGGAGGGCTTCATCACGAGTTGACATCAGTTAGAGAACCACTGGAAAACCAGCAACGGAGTCCTGGACAGCTGTTTCAGCCTAGTTTTGAATTCTTCATCACTACATACCCAACAAAGTTCGAATCCAGGACCTTATAATCTGAATAAAGCGACATCGTTGGAACTAAATTTCACTGGCGAATGGCATAAATCTACTTGGTGAGTTTTTAAAATCTCAACAGTTAAAAGTTGACCAGGCAACTACAAGAACACAGGTTTTCAGGTGAAGCAGTTTCAGTTGAGATGAACAAACAGTGGTGAAGATTTATTCGTGACGAAATTGATAAATCACTAAGTTTTCGGGATTATTTTACTCTCTTAACAATACGATAGATTAGATTTTAGGTTCTTTATGTACACATTTTAAGGTATATTTAAGAACAATAGGCTTTGACGGTGTCTTAACATGAAACTCTGAATATGAAATCATATTTGTTTTATATTACTTTCCTATTTGTATCGCTTTCATTCCGTGTACATGATTAATCTTCATCAAGTTACTTTTAAGGGCAGTTTTCACTATCACCAATCAGATAAATAAGTAGCTGAGGTGGAATATGATTTGATTGCTTCGAAAATAAATACTTTACAAACTGATGAAGCTTGTGCACAGTTATAACGACGAGGGTTTGCGGTCAATAATGGAGTTACAAGAAGCAAAATCTTAATAATCAACCTATAACACTTTATTTCCTTTAATTCACTATACATCAGATACGAAAGACTCGACAGAATTATAACGTGCTGTTCAGGGTTGCCCAAGAATTAAAGCTTTTTGTCGTATAACATAGTAGGCGTCTACTTCTGAGAAGATATGAATTCAAGTGAAATAGCCGCCAGAGGATAGTTTTAATTTTCGAGGGTTAATTTGTAGGGATCTGATTTGCTTCTTTAAGTCCGACTACGGATTGATATTAGTTAGAGAACCACTGGAAAACCTAGGAGTGCTGAACAGCCAGCTATTTCGTCCTAGTTTGGGACTCGTCGTCAGTACGCATCCATCAGGTTTCGAACATAGGACTTTCCAGTTACAAGGCAAGTTCGTAGACCATTCAGTCACCGAAACCCAATTCAATGGCCCATAAGTTTTATTTCTACCTCTACGAATTCGTGATTGTAACGCGAGCCAGCCAATGTCATCGGTGAACATTTGTCCTTACTCCCGACAGGATGAACCCCACTAGGCACGACTTCTTACTAGAACTCCGGGAAACTCCATCCTGTAGTTGTCCTGTCGATAAGTCCCAAACTGGGACGGAACAGCTGTTCAGTACTCCCTGGTTCTCAAGGGTTCTCTAGCTGATATCAATACGTAGTTGAATTTGAGATAGTTTTAAGCTAATTCCTGTCTGCTGAGAAAACGAATAGGAAGGTGGTTTTCTCAGCTAAGAATATGTTACATTCTATATTTTCGCTATATTGTGACTATATTTCTGATTAGGGCGAATTTCATTTTAGTTGCTTTACGTCTATACGTCACACTCTGTTAGTTGTTTGTTCGGATTATAATGTACACTTCTCATTGGTATCATCTAAAATATGTTATAAGTTGGGATTGTTTTTATGATCAGTTGATATTATTAAACAGTTTCGATCAAAAGTACTTATGGAAAGCTGATTGACTAACGTGAATAATGATCACTTGCATAATTACACTTTATTTTAGCCATCTGTTGTGAAGACATTTTAAATAATGAATGAGTAAAGCAACTCTGATAGTTCAAATAAATTCTGCTTTTTTTTCTCTTGAGGCACTTACTTACATTATATAGGAAAATATTAAACGAAACACAAGTGAGAAGTAGTCTTAGGAGGACAGATAACATGTACTTCAGTGAAGAACAAATATTAATTTGATGTACTTATCCTGTTAGGGAAGTTCTCTTTCCATTGAATTGTCCATACTGTCTAGTTCATAAGTCTTCAAAAAATTAACAAGGATTTTCGTATCTGTAGTGTTTTTGATTTTTATCTAATTCTGTGTATTCTTTGCACACATATAAATGTAGCTGCTCCTAAAATTGGCCCTGATGCACCAAGACAAGTTAACGTTACTAAGGGGGAACCATTCAAAATTCGCATCCCATATACTGGAAGTCCACCAGATGTTGTCGAAGCTACAAAAGTATGTTTGTTGATTTTTAGTTTTTATATGAGTTTTATAAATTCACTAGGTTATTGGCAATTAATAGTGTTCTCTGAGCTGGTTGGTTTAGTTGCGGAGCTTTCATCGTCTTTCTGGACGACATCTTCAGCACAGTATTTTGGAAGAAATGATTTAAATTTCTTCATGAGTGGTATAATTGTGTCTCCTGGTAACCATCTTTAAATATGTATTGACCGTTTTCTATTGATTGGGATTTTAAACTTTCTGATCACCTGATTTACTTTTTATTAGTTGGTATATTTCATCTTTATTAGCGTGTTTGTTAATTGCATTTTCGTTTGAGTATCAGGCTTCTAGGAATTCCCTGACTGCACTTTTGGTGTTTCCTCTGTCTAAGATTTTGACATTATCCCAATCAAATTGATGTCCATAATCGTCCGTATGCATTGTTACTAAGGAATTTATATCATGTCTTTTCACGGCTGATTTGTGTTCTTGGATTCTTATTCGAAGGGGACGCCCACTTTGGCCGATGTAATGTTTGTTACATTTCATACAATTTATTTTGTAAATGGTGTTAATTTTATCTCCTTTTTCTATCAGATCTTTTGGTTTGCATAAGATCGAATTAGGCGATTCGGCTGGTTTATGTGCTACATCTATATCAAACGGTTTCATTATTCTAGCCGTTATTTCAGAGATATTTCTGATGTATGGTAGGATGAATTTATTTTTGGTCTTTGGTGATGGTTCTTTGTTGGTGCTTTGATTTGACTTTAAACACTTTTTGATGAAATATTTTGGATAACCATTCTTCTTGAAGACCGTTTGTAAGTATTTTTGTTCCATTCTTTTCAACTCTGGTGTGCTACAATGTGTTTGAACTCTTCTAAACAATGTCTGCACATAGTTTCTTTTGTGAGTAATTGGATTATTGCTAGAATAGTTGAGTATTTGATCTGTGTGCGTTAATTTTCTATATACTTGTGTTTCTAAATTTCCTGTGTTGGTTCTCCTGATTAAGACATCTAAAAATGGGATTTTGTTATCTAATTCTTCTTCTCTTGTGAATTTGATGTCTTCAAATATGTTGTTTATTGATGTGTGGGTATATTCGAAATCATTTCTCTTAATTATTACAAATGTATCATCAACGTAACGTACCCAGATTTTCGGTTTAATTATAGGTAGAGCTATTAATTCTAATCTTTGCATAACGGCTTCAGCTATTAATCCTGATATGGGCGATCCCATTGGTGCTCCCTTTATTTGCTCATATATTTGAGTATTGAATTGGAAGTATGTTGTAAGGCATAATTTTATGAGTTCTATCCAAGTTGAACATTGCGTTTTTATGTTTTCATCACTGTAGAGTAATTGTTGCATAGTTTCTGTTGCTAGTTTTGGACTAATTGAAATATATAATGCTGGTGACATCAAAGGACACCATTATTTCATTGTTTTCTACCTGAATGTTTTTGATTTTCTCTAAAAATTGGATTGACGAATTGATAGAATGGTCGCATGATTCTGCTAGGTAATTTAACTTCCTGAAAAGTTCCTTAGATAGATTATATGTTGGTGTTTCTGGAAGCGAAACGATTGGTCGTAAGGGGATGTTTGGTTTGTGTAGTTTTGGTCTACCATAGAATCGAGGTAAAATAGGTCCATTAGATTTCATTCGCCATTGATCTTGTTCTGTAATCTGTCCTGATTTCGTTAGTTTATTTAACGTTGTTCTGATTTTGTTATCGAATGCTTGTATTGGGTTTTTTGTCAATTGATGATATACATTATTATGTTTGAGTAAATCCTCTGCCTTTTTTATGTAGTCTTCTGTGTCCAGGATTACTGTTGTTCTTCCTTTATCAGCCGGTAGAATAACTATATCTTTTCTATTCTTTAGTTTCTTCAATGCATTTTGCTCTTCAGTGCTAAGTTAAGAATTATGTCTTTTCTGTTTGAGTATAGGTATAGGTTATTACAGTTGGAGTGAATTTTACAATATAAGTATTGAGTATTGTAGAGTGAAGTTATATAATTTTACATGACCTCTGTTGCGTATAATACATTTGTGAGGTAATGGTTTTACAATGATATGAAACCTTTCTTAAATATCTTTCTGTAATAAGCAATCCAGAAAACAGTGGATAATTTCAGCATAGTCTTGACAACAGTATGATTAGACCTTTCTATATGAATTTTCGAAATAACCATGAAAACGGAGTTTTTTTCTTTAAATATGAAGTCTGCCAATTTCTGTCATTGGAATAAAATTTTCACAGTAAGGCGGTAAGCTTCGGTGGCATAGCGGTTAGGACGCTCGCTGACCATGTACGTGGTCCGGGGTTCGATTCCCGGCCGACGCACTCCTTTACCTCGCTAAACCAGAAATAATACTGGTAAAGAGGGAAGGTTGGGCTTGAGGCTAGCAACCCCATCCTGTAAAATAAACACTGCTACAGAAACTTCAAGCCACTAGCTTGAAGTCCTATGTTCCAATGGAGAACGTGAAGGAAAAAAAAGGCGGTAAGCAAAACGTATGACTAGATAACAAGGCGAGTGCTTAAGGTATCTGATAAATGTATTCTACAGATATTGTACTTCAATAATAAGAAATATTCCCATATCATGAATTAAAAGTCAATATGAACGAAGAATATTCTTTTCAGTTATTCCTCTTCAGGTTCTTACAATTATAAAACAGTTAAAATATTTGCTGTCGTTACAATAATGATAACCAGTTATAGGGCGGATATATTTTTTAACGTAGAAAAACAAATTAGTTATTGGGTGACAAAATAGTCATATTTGTGAGACAAACGTGCTAGTTGGCTGAAATCGATTAGAAAGTATTTCGGTGACATGGGAGACAGTGGTGGTGATTAGCCATAATTGATTTGTAGAGTGTGGGGTGGGAAAATTGACAAGTTAGATCAAGATTATAAAAGGTGTCAGGTGAGTGGAGTGGCTAGTACAAAGTGGTCTGTGTTAAACAGGAGATGGTAAGACTGCGATGAGAGGTTGTTCATAAAGAAATAACGAGTGTGTGAAATGAGACAGGTGGAGGCATGCATATATTGAGAAAACAGATGATATCACTTATAATAAGTCCGGATAGTATAAATGGAAAATTTGATAGTATTGAGAGAATGTTTGAGTGAAGGGTATAAATTATGACGAATAATAATAATTGTAATAATAAGCAAAAAAGGAAAACCAAGAAGATTAAGGGGAAGAAGCACTCTTGGTGAGAAGAATCACTAATTTAGGATCGGCCACAGTAGGAACAGCGTCTGAACGTGTTCTTTTTGGATACAAGGTTGTGGTTTAATGGGTCTTATTGCAATAGCTTCAGCTATGTGTAGGAGACGTAAGCGATAAAGACTTTGGTAAGTGATAAAGACTTTGGAATTCGACATATAACCCTGAAAGCTATGTTGACGTCGATGCGATGTCCAGTATCGATGATGTGTGATAGGATCGAGTTTTTTATTTAATTGTGTTGTCAGTGGACTGCTCAACAAAACACTCAACACAAACTCTAAACTGCCTACTTTTATCATATTGTGAGATGATATTGTATCCTAGCAACGAGTGTGGACATGAGGATACATGTAGTACACACTGGTTTTCAGTGCTTCTTTGATCAATTTTAATAATCAATAAAGAATAATCGTGAATTGACAGAAGTTAGAATTCATGGGCCATTGGATCGGGTCACAGTGGCTTAACGGTATACGAACTCGCTTTGTAAGGTCCTGGGTTCGAACCCTGGTGGGTGCGTACTGTGAAGAGTCCCAAACTTGGACGAAACAGCTGTCCAGTACTCACAGGTTTTCCGATGGTTCTCTAACCAAAATCAGTTCATGATGAAATCCTGTAACCAATCAGTAAAGACTCAGACTGAAGTAACTCTGCAGCTGTGTACACATTTACTCCGATTGTTTATCTTACTAGTCGACGCAGGTCTCAAACCAGCCACCTGTCAGTTGAACCTTTAGCACTTAGAATAACTTCAAAAAATGCAACCTTCAAACGAACTAGCTATCCATCAACTAGGCGACAGGACAAAAGTAATAACTTGCTTGAAATTTGTTTGTCCAGATGTGTTTATTTTTCCCAGTTTATAAAAATCATGCTTGAGTGTTTGAAAATTCAGACGATAAGTTATCCTAGACAATCAACAATATCTACCGGCATCCCTTGTTGAAATTGAAATAGTTAAAATAGCAATTGATTTCTGTTTTACTTCATCGTATTAATTTTTATGATGCTTATCCTAATGTATACTATTTTATTCATTCTGATCGAAAAACGTAGTCTTCGATTGCACATTAATCAATAACTAGTGTAGTGCGTCTAGTCCTTTGTTTGGTGCAGACTGAACTCTATCCGTCAAGTTTGCAATGTGGCCACCATACCACTAGGTGGCTTGCCATCATGGTGCACTGTAAATTATTGGTGTTAGATGGTTGGAGGCAATCTACAGGAAGCCTTCCGACTGGGTTTTGTGCTAGTTGGCACTCACCAGTCAGCAAGGCATATCTGCAACCTTGAAGGAACTCGTTACCCTTCTGAGCCTGAATAATCCAGTGGTAACTTCTCTGAGTGACGTGGGTTCGAATCTCAGAAGAGACATGAGTTACTTCGAGTTTGCAGATACGCCTTGTTGACTGGTGAGTGCCACCTAGTACGAAACCTAATTGGAGGGCTTCCTACTGATTGACTCCAACCTTTTACTACCAAAACGTGGTCTGTCTGAACATAAATTGGACAGTAAATATCATACTTGTCTCTCTTAAATTTAAAAATAAATATACAGATTGCCGGTTCATACACTAGCCATCTCACTTTCATTAGTATCATTTATGTTAGGATAACATAGTAAACAGTTTTAAATTATGATGATTGACCAGCGACACATAAAAAGCTCACTTACACACACACACACTCTCAAACACCAGTCAGTTTTATACTTCAAGTTTGATCATACTATTATTATTTATTGCTCCCTTGGGTTCCTAGTGGAACATAGGGCTTCAACTGCACGTCTCCATATGCTTCTGTCTTCCGCTGTACTTTTCCACTGCATCCATGTTAGTCCATACTGTTTCAGCTCCTCTTCACACCATCTTCTCCATGTCACCCTTGGACGTCATACGCGCCGCCTCCCTTTCGGCCTGGTTCCACTCGACCAATGGCCTGACGCGCGATGTCACCAACCGGCCTCCTCAGCGAGTGTCCAATCCATCTCCACTTTCTCCTGCATATTTCTTGGTTGGCGATTGGTTCTTGTTTTGTTTGTTTCTTCCCAGCCACAGTTTCTTGTTGGTGATTCTTTCCGGGCCGGCCATCTGATCTTCAGTATAGATCCAGCGAAGACAGTTGTTGGTTGATGAAGGTCTGCAACAGGCTGTTGGAAATATTCTTCGTGACCCGCCCTCCAAGTTTCTGATCCGTATAGAAGAGCTGACTGACTTGACGTTTGTATCGAAAATCCGACTGGATTTTGTTGTTGAGGCTGAGTGAGATGAGGCTGACTTCCAGATTGGTTTCAGGTTGATGAATATGTGTGTTCTCTCCTTCCCGATTCTCGCTCGATTTGACATCCTCGTCCGTCCCGGCAGCCTGTAGTTGAGACAATGCTCCCGTTGATGACGATTGGCGCTGGATGTTGCTGCCGTTGTTGTTGGTTGGTTATTTTCATAACCTCCGTCTTGTCTATATTCACTTGGAGTCCTGTCTTCGCCGGCTGCTTCTTCGACCAGTTTGTCGGTCGGTTTTCGCTTGTAAGTCTTCGATTTTGTGACAGTGACATCAAACATAAATCATCCATGCGCGAAATCCAGGTCTTCTAGGTTCTTCGCGTTGTTCTGGTTCAGGATATCCCTGTCTTCTCGTTTCCCACTCACAGTCTGACGCATTATGCAGTCAATACACCATAATTAGGAATATCATTCATTGGTGATAATAAGCCAGCACCCTTGTCTGACTCCTGTGTTTACCTTAAACGCCTCACTGAGTTTCCCGTTGTGGATCACTTGACATGTGCTGTTGTCGTACAGCTGTTGAATAAGGTTGGTGAATATTTGGGGTACGCCGTAGTACTCGAGTAATTTCCAAATTACTTCACGATCAACACTGTCGAAGGCCTTCTCAAAGTCTATAAAGTTGAGGTAGAGGTTTGGTTGACATTCCATGCTTTGTTTTGTGATGATGATGCGTAGAGTTGCAATTTGGTCAGTAAATGATTTGCCTTTCCTGAATCCAGCTTGTTCTAGTCGGAGTTCTGTATCCAGTACATCCTTTAATCTCTCCAGGATGATGCGACTCAGGATTTTGCTTGGCGTCGACAGGAGCATGATAATAAATTGACGTCAATTAGATAAACCCGGAGTACTGTACAGCTGTTTCGTCCTAGTTTGGGACTTTTCGACAGCATGCGCTCATGACCCCACCAGGGATTGAATCAGAGACCTTCAGGAAATAAGGCAAGTTTATCTACCTATTAGCCTGGTTTCTACCTCCAGCCAATTAGAGGTACATAGTACTACTGCAAACCAACATTTGACTTTATCAGGTAGCGCCTACTTTTTAAAGTGAAAAATCCCCATATTGAAACCAAAACAAGATTTTGAGCAAACAATTGTTTTCGATAACTTCTTCTTCAGGCACTACAGTTATAAATCCATGAATAATAGAGTACATATAGCCAATAGAGGCAAATGAAAATAATATCAGAAACTGTATTTGTATCATTTGAAACAATAATTTGGATAGACAACATCTGCTCCAAGTCTTCAATAAGGTACACCCAGCTATCAAATTCACTTGTGAAGAGGAACTCCAAGGTAGTATCCCATTTCTGGATGTTCTTTTCACAAAAAGATCAGACGGTACCTTGAAAAGAAACATCTATAGGAAAGCCACGTGGAACGGACAATACACCCACTTCCATAGCTTCATACCTATACAATATAAGCGCAACCTAGTTCGTTGTCTTAGTCATAGAATTAGACGCATATGTACCGAGGATTGTATTGAAGATGAAATAAGAAATCTTACAAACGCCTTGCTACGAAATGACTACCCTACCAACTTTGTAAAGAAGTATATCTACGAAACTACACATAATACCAAGCGAGACACAGTAAGTAAGAAAAAGCTTTACTTAAATGTACCATTCAAAGTCGATGTAGCCAGCGACATATTAAACCGTAGATTAACAAGATCAATTGAAAGAACTTTTAATGCCGCAAAACTGTATGTCAGTTTCTCAACCAAATCGACATTGACGCCGTGCATTAAAGATAGATTGCCCAAAATGGCGACATCAATGTGTGTATATAAATTCAACTGCTCCTGTGGAGCTAGTTATATAGGTCGTACCCAGAGGAATTTATCTTTATACGCACTCGTGAACATATTCCTGTTTGGCTTGGGAAAAGAGCAACCAAATCATTAAATAGTGCAATTCTGTCTCATCTAGTGAATAGCGAACACAGCATCAAAGTAGATGAGTCATTTACAGTTGTGTATCGAGTACCGAACAATCTCCCCAAAGGCACACGATTACGCCTCCTAGCCATAGCTGAGGCTTTAGAGATTATAGAGAGAGAGAGAGAGACCAGACCTATGTGTACAGAAAAAACTTATTCACTCTCTTTGTCTACCCTGGCCCACTATAAGGACACCAGGATCATAATTTTTTCGTACTATTATTATCGTTATTATTATTTTGTGATATCATATCTTTATTATTCACTTCTCCACCCAGTTTATTTCACCTCATTGTTACCCTTATTTTCGTCAGCCTTTATGATTTTATACTAAGCCTACCAATTCTGTAGCATTTTATTACAATTTAGCCTCTTTATTTTATCATTAGACATTATCGGTCAGCCCTCACATTCAGTGCCTCCTTTGTTAATGTGTATCTGTATGTATTTTCTGGTTATTGCATTTTTCTCACCCCAAGGACACTTGTATTCTGTTGACTATAAAATAACACTATATCACCCAATTGTTCATTCACACTTCATCACATTTTTCTGACTAAACACCCTATACACATTTGATTGACTATAATAACTAATGGACTATCACCTCAAGTTACACATGCACTCCAATACAGTTTCTGATATTATTTTCATTTGCCTCTATTGGCTACATGTACTCTATTATTCATGGATTTATAACTGTAGAGCCTGAAGAAGAAGTTATCGAAACAATTGTTTGCTCAAAATCTTGTTTTTAAAATGAGACAGTGTTTTAACATCTCGGTATGAACAATTATTAGAAATTTTAAAATCACTAGTTTCATTTTAATTACTAAATTTTCGTCTTTTTATTTCCTCATAAGGATGGTGTACCAGTCATTTTAGATGATGGTCGATTTGTCTTAACTATTACACCGGATGAAGTTATCATTGTTGGCAAGAAAGGTGATAAACCAGATGAAGGATCATATAAAATAACACTGAAAAATGATAAAGGTCAAGATACTTTACCTATCAGGATCAATGTTCTTGGACCACCTGATACTCCACAGGGACCACTTGAAGTAACAAATATCAAGGCTGATTCATGCACACTTGGATGGAGACCACCAAAGGTGAGTAATAAACGATTAAATTTTATTTGTTTGAATTAAGCGGAGATTTTTTAACATTGACACGTTAGACATTTATACTCTTTTTGATAAGCTACATTTTTACAAACAATAGTTTGTTTTCGCACAAAATAAGCCTTCTTCATAAAACTGAACTTTCAGGAGGAATGTATATTGTGATTGAGATTTATTTGGATAAAGTAAGTAGTTTCCTTATCTATGTCAAGCTACTTCATCACAATAGTTCCTTTTCTTTTAATGAAAATCTCTTGCAGACATACAATATCAATTGAATGAACTTTTATTAATGAATAATCTCCATTCAGACATTAATGAAAAAACAAAACAAAACATGTCATTCAACAAAGAGGCTGTTTTCAGTGAATTCATTTTCTTTAGCTTCTTTATCTCATTTATATACAATGTTTTTTCACGAAAGAGAGTAGTAAAAAAATTAATGAATTGTACTAACTATAGTCAGAATTTGTTGGTTCCTTGAATTCCAACCCAAGTAGCTGAATGGCCAACCACTTTGGTGACGTTACCTGAATGTCCCGGTTTTGATTCCTGATGAGGTCTTTTTTTAATAATAATGGTAAAGCTTTATTTAAGACGGTATGCGAATATACGGTACAAAGATTTTCAGCGTATTCAATTCCAAAGTACTTTTTTCTTCACAAAGGATTCACATGTAAAGTTATAATCTGAAGTATATCTTCATTTCGTTGAAGAATTGGGAGCAAGTTAAATCATCGCGCAAGTTTATGTATAGGTCATTTGATATAACTGCATGATTAGAACAATGATAAATCCAGATGAAATTAAGCATTTTAGAGGAAAGTAATTTCGGTAGCCCAATGATTTAAGCAGGCCGCCTTGAATGCGAACTGATGAAGAGACGTGATATAGGAGGAGAAAGCTGTCAAGTAGTCCCTGACTTCCAGTGATCTCTCCAACTGATGTTGACTTGTAATGAAAATCCAATAACTGAAATAACCGTAGTTGTTAATTTTAGTCTAGGGAAGAGTGGAATTCAAAAAGTCTATCAGAGTGACGTAATAAGATGACTAATTTAATAAATGCGTTCTAGCCAGCATGGTGCGTCGGTGCCGACCATGCATTTGGTTCGGTCCCCGGCAGACGCACTCCTTTACCTCGCTAAGCTAGTAATATGACTAGTGAAGAAGGAAGGTTGGGGATGAAGCTAGCAACTCTATCCCATAAAAACAGTAAACACCACTGCTACAGAAACTTCAAACCTCTAGCTTATAGCCGTATGCTCCACTGGGAACGTAATTCAATAATAAAAATAAAAAGCCAACATGCACATAGAAACGAAAAAAATATGACATTATGCCAGAGTTATAAAAATATGCAGGTAAAAAGAGTTGAAAAACCAGACCAAACAACAAAGCAAACGAAATCAAGCTAGTAGAAAATAACAAGTTTGTTGCCATGACAGTAGACATGATGTAACGATAGAATAATTTTCTTTTAACTGCAGAGCAAGACAAGCTTTCATTGCTCTCAAATCTGTGTGGAGGTCAACAGCACTCAGCATCAAAAATAAGATCCGGATTTTCAACTCCAATGTAAAGTCAGTGCTACTATACGGATCAGAGACTTGGTGAGTCATAAAGAGCATCTCAAACAAACTTCAGACCTTCATTAACAGCTGTCTTCGCTTAATACTCAAGATCAGATGGCCAGCCAGAAAAGATCAGCAACAGGGATCTCTGGGAATGAGCGAACCAACCCAGCAGGAACCAATTGTGCAACAAATAGGCAGGTAGAAATGGAGATGGATTGGCCATACGCTGAGGAAACCATCAAGTGACATCACTAGACAAGCCATCGCTCGAGTGGAACCCGAAAGGGAGGCGGCGAATTGGTCGTCAGTGAGAGGGTGACTTGGAGGAGGTCATGTGAAGAGGAGATGAAAGCATGTGGACAGACCTAGAGCGGGGTGAAAAAGTTGTCAGAAAACAGAAGGCAATGGAGGTGCGCAGCTGAAGCCCTATGTTCCTCTAGGAACTAAAGGATACAATAATAATAATAATAACTGCAGAGCTACAGTTTATCTGTCTGAATGGTAAGAGCTTCGGAAACACAAAGGAAACGAAAGCGTGTTGTCTCTTATTCCCCTAAAACTGTTCAGCACACAGTGTCTTTTTGCATTCTGTTAATCCGTATGCTTCATGAATCCTTCTGAGGCAATCCTCAGTATATCCAGCGTAAATAAATAAATTTTAAAACACAATACAGTTTTGCACTTATCAAAAAACACAACCAAAACTGTAATACCTAGTTTCAGTTGTAAGCGTAATAAAAAGACGTGTCACTGAACAAACAATAAGCATAGACGGGGTAGTTGCCTAATTCACGTATAAGTAGGCGACGTAAATCACTCCAATAGTGTCAAATAAGAAGAAGCACAGTGTCTTAAAGTCCAATGAACACAAAGTAATCACAATGGAGAAAGATTCCTATGGTAATTGCAGTTAATGAAAAAGTAACAATTGTCTTCATCCCTTTTTTGGCTGATACACACTAACTATCCTCCTGTAGTTCCTGTGTTTCAGAGAGATAAAAAGGCATTATTCTACTTCGGTGACATTTTTCTCTCAGGTGAAATATTATGCGGAGGAATAATTTGGAACTGATGAGATATTGAGTAAAAAAATCTATAATTAACTCATGTCTCACTGTCGCCCTCTCTCCATCTCTCTCCTTCTTTCATTAAAAGTGAGCTGATGAACACAAAAAGAGATCCAAGTAATTGGGATCAATTTTGTTGACATAATCGAAAAATACTCTTTAAAATATACTTACTTTACTTTGGCTATCTCCTACGGGAGGATGAGCCGGATTCATGAACCCTGAAGTTTCATGGGAATTGGGTACGAGTGATGTCCCCAGCATCGCTCGGCCTTTGTTTGAGAGTGCAGTTCTAGCCTTTACACAACCAGGTGTGACCTACAAGGCAGTAGGAGTGGAGTAGGGAGTCCACTATCCATTGGCAGCCGGTGACCGGAGTCCGGTTCATTCGCCTTTTTGAATGGGGCCAGTCATCCAGGGCATCCAATAAGCCCTTTGTCCATACGTCTGCCGGTGAGCTCCGGTGAGCTTCATACGCCAATCGTTGGAGGTTTGGAATCAGGGTTTAGCCATCTCCCCTAGACCGTCATCCAATGGACAGTCAACCCGGTGAAGAGCGCCGGGCATCCGCTTTTTCCTTCTCAATTTGGTGAAAAACACCTCCGCCACGTGAAGGCAGTGATTGGGACTTCCTCAGGAGAGGCTATGTAAGACGCCCGGTCATATGGGAGCATTTCAAGAGGTGTACGGAGGGGTGGCCAACCCGCAGCGCAAGACACCCACCCCCGACCATCCTGAGGCTTTGGAGTATTTCTTACTATTTAGTTTATCAGAAATATGAAGATTGTGTTACTCGCTTTAAAAAAAATGAATGTAAGATAAAATCTATCTAAAGTGATTTTCTATAGAGAAAGAAAGACCAGATTTTGCAGTATAAAATGATATCATCATTCTATTTCACAGGTTCTCATCAGCCAACTGCAAACTACCTAAAATTACAATGGTTATAAATAATAATAATAACATTTCATACTTCAATGTTTGAAAGGTAATACAGAAAACATTATAAGATGAATGCATCCGGAATATAAGCACACCAGGCCACCACTCGAGTGGGACCCAAATGGAAAGTGGCGAGTTGGTCGTCATTGCGAGGGTGACATAGAGGAGGTCATGAGAAGAGAAGATGAAAGCATTCTGGCAGACGTGGAGCCAGGTGAAAACGTCTGCAGAGAACCAGACGCAATGGAGACATGCGGCTGAAGGCCTATGCTCCTCTAGGAACTAAAGGAGACAGTACTACTAATAATAAATTGTGTTCGAAACATTAGCAGTGAATATTACTGTATAAAACTGTAAGACTTCATCAAAATAAATGTTTTCTCCATAATGGAATTGTTGAGTTTTGCTTTATATCGCTTCTTGGTTTCGATCTACAATGAAGATTACTTTTAAATATGAAAAAAGTTGATTCCCTGTTAAAAATAAACATGGAAGGCTCTTTTTCCCGAAATATTACTGGATAGATTTCATAAAGTAAATGAAACCTTTTTATAACTCATCCCAAAACCTTTTGTAGACAAAACTAAACTTTCATCACATCTAAGCAAAATCGTGTTTTACTAATCCCTCCTAACCTGTTTTCATTTACATTATTCAGGAAACTGGTGGATGTCCAGTAACACATTATGTCGTAGAGAAACAAGATCAAAGTACTGGAGAATGGACACCAGTTAGCAAATTTGTACGAGGTACAGATTACGATGTTCTCGGGTTGGATGAAGGCAAGAAGCATAAATTCCGTGTTCGAGCTGCAAATGAATATGGCCTGAGTGAACCACTTGAATTAGATCATACTATTACAACAGAAAATCCATCAAGTAAGTAATCATACAATTCGCTTATATTCCATTATTAACAGCTGAGTGGAGCAGTCTCTACACAGCTCTTTCAAGAGACAATATAGTATTGGTTCTGCTCAGTGGATGCACATATTTGCATTCGTACAGTTTTGAAAATAAAACCCACAAGAGGAATGTTACCTACTCACCCTGTAGAGTAGTGAATACTTAGAGAGGTAGAATGTTTCGAAGTACTAAATTAAAGGAACTGTAGCATGTGCTATTGATAAGATTTACCAGTAGTATGTAAAGAGACATTCATCGGTACACACAAATATCAAATGGCAGCGACATAGACCTGATGTCAAAGACAGGAAATCTACTAGCGTTGCGGCAAAACATGGAACACATGAAAAGAAGACAAATAAACACAGTATGAAGGGCAGAAATAGCCCTAGACAGATGATCTGTGTAAATGGTGATTTGGAGATAAGGTGTACATAATTTCTCTGGATAAAGATACCAAATTCCAAGTCTCTTGTTATCTACCTTTGCAGAACTACTCTGTGAATACTGAGAGTTGTCTTCTGACTTATGTATTCATAATGAAAAATAAGTTCAAAGATTTGAGTTGTAGACTCCTATTACTAGTGCTTCCGGATATTAATATCTCCGTATAGGTCCAGACAAAGTAAACAGCTCATGGTGAAATCCTATAGTCACTTTAATTCCTGCAAACCAACACTTGAAAATAAACACTTGTTTACCTCATCTAGATCGCCTTTTGAGCTTCGTATATCATGGTTCATATGATTATTCACTCACTTTTCAGTCATTTATTATCAGAAGGCAAAACGATTTATTTATTGCATAATTAAAAAGCACTAAATACTCCGTATTCTTCTAATGTGGTACACTGTAGCCAGCATATCAGTTGCCATGATTGATAAATTTAATGAATGAGTATGCTTTCCAGCTGAGTAAGAGTATGCAATTCACAAAAGAAGGCATTTTTCATAGTATAATTTTAAAGTAAGCGAAGGATATATTTTACGAAAGTCTTTTATCAAAGACTTGAGTGATTTCGGTTGATTGATATTGCTACAATCCCCCTAAAAGGTAAAAAACACTTTCAGATTGGTTACAGGATCTTATCATGAGCTGACATTGGTTAGAGAACCATTAGAAAACCAGTAGTGGAGTACTGTATAGCAGTTTCGTCGTATTTCGGGACTCTTCACAGTACGCACCCACCGGGGTTCGAACACAGGACCTTCTGGTTGCAAGGCAAGCTTCTAAATTGTTTGAGAATCTGTTTGAAGATAGCACAATTTATCCTTCTGTCTGTGGCTTTGATTCGACTTCCATTATAATTATCTTTGTAGATCTAGATTACTGTATCATGTTAAGGTTAGTTTAGATTTAATAACGTCAATATAGTCTATCCACTCACTGTAGCAACTATAGTTTATAACAGATATTACTTAATTTTTGTCATGGACATATCTCGTTGTATTCCTGATTATTTTCAGCTGCACCTGCAGCACCAAACGGTGTTGAAGTGGCTGATGTTGATGCGAATTCAGTTACATTGGAATGGTCAAAACCGAAATCTGATGGTGGTAGCAGAATAAATGGTTATGTAATCGAGTACAGACCTGTTAATGGTGGAGGCTGGGAGAAAGCACCAACAGGACCTATCAAAGGAAACAGTGCAACAGGTATATATATATGTATATGCATAACTGAAGCGAAGGTTTTTTCAAAATTTTATTATCAAATGTTAAGATTCGAAAAATAAATTTTTTTGATAAAGGTCATATGAAATACCTCAATAGATTGTAGCTCATAAATGTCGGTTAATGGTGGTTTAATTTAACATCTGTCTGCTTGTAAGCAACTTTTTTGCAACCAGATCAGCCTTAGAAATTGTGATCGTGAACAGTGACTACCAATAACACGTAATTCCTTTTACTTCACAAAGATGTAGCCTATCACTTTTTATAATTTTCATTTGAGCATAATAATTATTTCAGTCAGTTGGAAAAAATTTCTTGTGATGCTTCCTTCATAATCTTCATACTGCTTCCCTAATCTTATTGTTACGCATACTTCAAACCAAACTACATTCAGACAGATGCTTGGAATTCCGATCATCCCATCCTATGTCAGTAAAATTAGGATTGGTGAAATGTTTAAATGACAGAGCACAAAAACTAAGTAGTTCCAAAGAAAATCTAAGACAGGAAGTGATACACATAAAAGAAGCCTTGAAACTTAATAATTACCCGGATAAATTAGTCAGGAAGTATGCAAGGAAATGTAAATATAAAATAAATAATGACAGTAGCGATAGTGACAGTAATAATAATAATAATGATAACAATAATAATAATAGTGATGATAATAATAATATTAATGACGACACCAACAATAAAGAATCTAAATCATTAACAGTAATTCAATACAAGGAAAGAACCTCGGAAACCTTACGCAGAATTCTTAACAAGACAGGAATAAAAGTGGCTGGGATTCAAACCAACCACAAACTCAATTTGAAACAATCCTTGTCGGTTAAACGATCAATCCTGTGGAGCTTTTAAAACAAAACAATTTAGTTTATCTAATTCCCTGTGTGCAATGATTGTCAGGTCAAATACATAGGTCAAACTAGTAGAACAGGGTCAGTGAGTCAGACCAGCGGAGCATAAAAACCTAGCCAAATCTAGATTGGTTGACCCGAATAAGATAAGAAATCTAGAGAATAGTTCAGCCATAGCACTCACTACATGCAATTAAACACAACAATACAATAGGATGGATGGGATAGGACGACAGGTTTAGAATCTAATGTCACAGAGTGGAGGGAGAGATTGATAACAGAAGCTTTGTTTATCGAATCAGCTGCAAATACACGTAATAGAAACGATTCATCACCTGTCCCAGATATATGGAAAATTCTACTACCCCTACGACAAATAGGAGAAGACAAAGAAAATTATAAAACTCAAGTTTCAAAGTCGTGTGATTACAATTGATATGATTATGAACAATAAATTGTGTTCGAAACCTCGTCATCCAGTAAATAATACTGTTTCACTGTGTGATACATCTAATAAACAAACTAATATGGAATTACTTCAAACCAAAATGAAATTATGAGGGGGAATTCAATCAACAAACAGAATATGAAGCTGTCCGGTTCCAAGTGCTGGTTAAGTTTTTACTATAAAGTTTACAATTAGTAAAAGAGTTAAAATTGAGTGTTGCGGTCAAGTAGAATTTCATCTTAGTCTGCTTATTTGATGTAGCACATAGTGATATGAAAGTGATGACTACGTGAGACAGATTGTACTCAAAACGTCATCCAGTAAATTTTACTGTTTGTTACATTTATAGACAAACTTGATATGATCGTTAATGCACAATTGGTAGTTGCGCTAATGAATTTTCTACCTAGTCGATTCGACAGCCTATTGTTCTAGACACTATTCGCAACAACACGACAACAACAACAACAACAACGCGATACGATACCACCGAAAACGCAGCGCAAGAAGACGAGAAGAGAAGTCTGACTGTTGATGTGGAGAGATTTTACGGTGTCGTATCAACAGTTGAACACGATTGACGGTACTTGCGTACATATATGCTTTAAATGACCATGAGGGACACTGATGACATTGATAAATTAGGTCCATATACATATCAAAACTAACACGCAGTTTTTCGCGCTCTTCGAGAAAACGCAAGGTTCTACAGAGTTACACATATGACTTTCTAATGCATATCATACAGCAGAATTTTCATATACTGATAGTCTTTAATTGGTGGATGGTGACTAGCGTTGGAATCCAGAATGAGCATTTCGTGCTAGTTGGGACTCATCATCTGGATGTACCTGCATCCGGCAGTGAGTGATGATGATAATGAAACCCAGCACTTCAGTCCAACCAATCCACGGGAAAATCTAAAATTGGATTAAACTGATAATCTTGTTTAATTGTGATGCTCTGAAGTGATCACTTCAATTTTTAATTAAGTTAGTGCTGAAGATGTTTCCAAGACTGGTGGTGAAACATTTACGTATCCATATCAAAGATCAGAGAAAATGAAAACATTCTTATCCCCGTTTTGGGCTACAAATCTTCCAAATTATTCACCTGCTTTACTTTTTCATCTTCTCGCTTAGTATTCTTCATTTTTAGTCAATGTCTGATTTTTAGCAATGAGTAGATACTCTTTTTTACAAACTAATGTGATTATGACTACATGAGGCTGAGTTCTGTTAGTCAGGTTTGCGATATGGCCACCATACTAGGTGGTTTGCCATCACGGTGCACCCTGAATTGTTGTTAGGTGTCTGAAGACAGTTGGCAAGAAGCCTTGGACCTAGATTTTTCGCTTGCTGACACCTGTCAGCATTCTCGTAAGAGCTCATGTCCCTGGTATTCCCCATATCATATCACTCTGATGCAGCCTGCTTAAACCACTGGGCTACTGAAATTGCTTTCCAACAAAATGCCTAATTTCATCTGGATTTATCATTGTTATAATCGTCCGGTTATGTCACAATGAGCTATACATGAACTTGCGCACTGATTTAACTTGCCTTCAAGTAAACTTTGCGCGATTCTTCAACGAAATGAAGATGTACTTCAGATTATTACTTAAAACGTAAATCCTGTATGAAGAAAAAAGTATTTTGGAACTAAATACGCTGAAAATTCGCAAATTGTCTAAAATACTTCTTTATTAATATTATTATTACACCACCCGTATGAATCAGTCGTAAATTAGAAGTACCTTTTTAAGAATCCAATCCCATTCCCTTCTTTCCTTTCAGTTACTGGTCTTTCACCTGGAGAAAAGTACGTGTTTCGTGTTCTGGCTAAAAATGATGTTGGCACTAGTGAACCCAGTTCATCAACACGCCCAGTCGAGTGTAAACCGAAACATGGTAATCAATTTAATTTATGACTTTAGTATATTTTGATTGTATATTTCGTTTTCATAGAAAAGTTAAGTAGTTACATCTGTACAACAGTTCACTTACAGTATTTTATTCATTCCATAAGTCATGCGTAAATTGAAGACCCAGGATAATATTATGAAGACTGTGTGTGTGTGTGTACCGAGTTCGTTACACTAACATAAACACTTGGTTGACCGCTACATTTTGCATATTTTACAAGAAGTTAAGTACATTCATTCTCATACATGTGATTACATAATAATCTGCAATATTTAACTTTATTTCCAATATTTCCACTTAATGTACATTAAACTAAATCTTATTTTGTTTTTAAATGGATAAGGACCCTGGGATTGGAGTTTTCCCTTGGAATCTTACGATTAATTTGTTCTTTTTAGACAGATCTTTAGTCAGCTTTTAAGGTTTGGACAATATCCTTATCTGTTTGTAGTTGTCACTTATTTTAATTAGTTCTATATATTTCAAACTGAAAGTACTTCTAGTCGGACAAAAGTCAGAAGAACAATGAAAACTAATGAGCAATCGACAGCTTTCATTTCATGACTTCAAGACTCCTTGTTGTATGTTGTATACTATCAACCATGGCAGTGTTCCATTAGTTTCTAACCAAAAGCTTAGGTAGCCATATGAAACCTTATCAGACAACCTACACTTCCCAGATTAGCTCAGATGAAGTTTTAATACAGCACCTTGAAGTGAACGATGGATGAACTTGGGTAACACATGGTCTAACAATTTAATTCTCCACCAATAATCTGCTTAATTGACTCACGTGTTTTGCCAAAGACTCTATTCCCATCTTTCACTCTGCTCACATCATGCTTCACTAACTGTGAAAATCACTGAGAAGACATCTGAGTAGGCATCTGACGTCTATGTAGCCCTTCTACCTGTCATACAGTAGGGCTCGACACAGCGCAGTCAACTCCTAATGGGCAACTAGATAAATAAATAATATATAAAAATCATTATAGTAGCTTTAGACAAAGCAATAAGAAGACGTAATTGCTCTGAATTGTGTAATGTATTTGCGCAACACATTTCGAACTGTCTGATCCATCGCACACAGACTTGTCATCAGAATATATATATATATAAAATTAATAACGGCTTAAGAGGTGAGAAAATAAATTTAGGTCAAGTTAAAAGGATATATTGAAGAAAGGCGTGTACATCAAGCTACTCTATATGGGTGATCTTAGCGGCTTGACAACTAGACAAAGAATGAACGCTGTAGTTAAAAAGACTTTTTATTCAGCTAATATCATAATAATTGCGAGTGTGAAGCCAATATATCCATCTAAGCCCTTAGAACATGAGAAAAATGATGTCACATCCCGCTGTTTCTACCAAGTTAAATGTATGCGTGGACGCATATACATATAGAGAACTCACCGATCTCTGCAAGTAAGGACTGGCTTCAGAACCGTATCGAATCCCCGGAACCCATTAATGTTGACAACAAGAGACCTAGCTCCTCTATTGTGAAACATATTATAGAAACAGGAAATAAAATTGACGTTTACACATCTTTTAAACCTATCTATGAAACGTGTTTAGTGCATATCCTAAATTTCATGGAAGCCCTGGCAAGCAATTAGGAAGTTTAAACCACCTTTATACGATCAAAGCAACAATTCGCCATCCCGCTAAACCTTCCTTGGTAAACTTTCTTTTGATACCAGCCAGGGTAGATGTATGATTACCTCTGTTATTTGGTTTAGTGGTCTTCATTGTTATTTTCAACCTGAATATGTCCTTTTAACTTGACCTAAATAGTCTATTTTCTCACCTCTTAACTCTATTAATTTCATATGTGTATATTCCCATGACAAGTTCGTGTGTGATGGATCAGATTGTTCTAAATGTGTTCCGCAAAAACATTACACGATTCAGACAAATTACGTCTTCTTATTGGTTTATCTAAATTCATTAAGGGAACTAATTGTTCTAAGTAGTAGCTTTATTCTGAAAAATGAGTACATACGCAATCTAAGATTTTCAGCGAGTTTTATTGAGAAGTATTTACCTCTTCTGCAGAATCTTCAAATAATATAACAATCAATAATATATTATCTGAAGAAATACTGCTGCTTCTAAACTATGCTCCAATGCTACTCCATAATGTTCTCCCATCATTTCCTCCAAAAAAAACTCCTAGCGATAGGTAGAAACGTCTCTGAAATAGTTCGCGAGTATAGATTGCCACTGATTCTGGTAATTAGAAGATTAAAACAGTTTGAAACAGGGTAAAAACGATGCATTTTGACAGACGGAAGATTTCAGTAGCCCAATGATCTAAGCAGGTTACCGTATAATTAAACAAGCCTTTATTATCTTTGTTGAGGTCTCATTATGCGTCAATCAACCACTATGGTTAGATGGTTAAAGAGCACAAGCAAAAAATTAAAGAATTATTATCAGAAATCATGGAGTAGCGAACAACGAATAAATCTTGAGACAGGAGAGTATAAATATTCAGTGCCGACTAGCTTTTTGAAACTCTTAAATAATGCCACATATTGATTCAAACGTTTAATTTGTTTATTTCATCGTTAAACGCAATATCACACCAGTATCGATTCATGTTTGTGTTAATTTTCAATGTCTCCTTACTGTTCCACAAAAGCATGCCCTAACAGCTGTTTGGTTTTAGCGTCTCTGCTATCTATGGGTTTTGAAAAATGTAATTTCAGTTGATCAAAGCAGTTTAATCTCTTCTTCTTCTTTTCTCTTCTTTAAAGTACCAGCAGGTAGTCCAGGTGAGCCTAATGTTGATGGAGTTGGTAGAAACTGGATCGATTTATCATGGTCTCGACCAAACAATGATGGTGGTGCTCGAATTACTGGTTACATTGTTGAGAAGCGTAAAAAAGACTCTCCTGATTGGGAACCAGCAACATCGGATGGAAAACCTGTCTCCAGTAATTATGTTCATCTTGATAATCTTGGTGAAGGGGATATGTACCAGTTCCGTGTAAGGGCTGTTACTGCTGCTGGTCCAGGTGAAGCCAGTAATCCAACACCTATGATCAGAATTGAAGACAGAAAACGTAAGTAGATCTTTTTAATTTTTATTTGATAACACTTGTTTGGCTACGTAGAAAATTGTGTATATAAGCACTAACAAATCATTAATGAGTAGGTTTACGAAGGGCGACAGATGTAATATACTTCATAGCATTTTATGGAACATAGTAACGTTAGTGACTTGTGATGAAATACGCATGTGGTTACTAAATATCAGTAAACTTATGGAAAATAAGAATTGTACTGCTAGAGTTTAAGGAATGCTGTATAAATAATCACGTTGATAATTCTGAAATTCTGAGGATAAACAATGAGGCAGTATAGCAAAGAACTATCCTTCGATGTAAACTGAACTGTGGAATGATTTCCCCAGTTGGCACTAACTAGAACTTGTACAAGGATTACAGAGACGATTTTGTGCCAACATGAAAATCAGAATGCAGACAGTCAGTTTCAAGACACTAATAACCTAACTGTGGGTTGTGCTACTGACAAGAATTAGTAGTAGTATATAAAGAGACCTTCTTCGGCATAAAAACATCAAATAACAGATAGATAGATTTGATGTCAGAGAAAGTAAATGATACGGTGTTGCGGAGGTACATGGGAGACGTGAAAGGAACGCAGAGAAACACACACAATATGAGGGAAGGTGATAAGCTGCACAGCATGGGAGATCTGTGAAAGTGGTGCGTTGAAGATACAATGTAGAGATACCACGTTGCAAATAAAGATTCCTTTACCAAGTCTTCCATCTTCTACCGTTAAATACTCAGTTTATTCTGTTCCCCAAATATATCCAGCCATCAGTTAAACTACGATTGGTCTTTGTTACGTAGACAGAGATGATTAAAATGCGTTAGACCATAAAATGTGTTTGTGTAATTTAAAAGACTGGTTGAACAACAGATGACCTGATAATCCATATATTTATTCAGTGGCTTACCGAATGAAAATTTACCAATCATCAAAACAGCTATAGATAGAGATATTTTTTATACAGTACTGGCCATCATGAAATGATGAAGTTCTTTTTATTTTAGTGTTTTACGTCCCAATGATTTGTTTATACCCAAAAGATAGTTACATCTGGTCTGTATCTTGTTTTGTGCATGTTTTACTTTTTAATAATAGAGAATTAATGTGAAAACTGTTCAGGGGTCCAAATCCAGACCGACGCATTCTTAAACCTCGCTCAAGCGGTAGTAAGCCCATTAAAGAGGGGAGGTTGAGTGTGAGTCTAGCAACCCCACCCCGTAAAGACGACACCACTACTACTGAAACTTCAAAGATGAATCTTGAAGCCCTATGCTCCTCTGAGGATGGCAAGGAATAAAAAAAAGTGTGAAAATTACGAGTAAAAAAGGTCTTCATTTTAGTTAACAATGATGCTTTTATTCCAAAGTATTGGTTTGTAGGGGTTTTGGTTTGATTGGTTCCATGATTTCATCATGAGCTGATATCAGTTAGAGAACCGTTGGAAAACCTGAGAGTATTACCAGACAGCTGTTTCGTCCTAGTTTGGGACTATTCACAATACGCCCCTCCCGAGGTTCAAACCTAGGACCTTCTGGTTACAAGGAGAGCTCGTAGACCATTAAGCCGAAGATATTGGCTGGCGGTCGTACTGTGTTGTTAATTGTCAGAAGTTGGAATTCATGCACTGGCCATTGGATTGGGTCCCAGTGGACTAATGGTCTACCAACTCGCTAGCCTTGTAACCAGAGGAGCTTAGGTTCGAAACCTGGCGGTGGGTGTGTACTGATGAAGAGTCCCAAACTAAAAGGGACGAAACAGCTGCCCAGTACTCCATTGCTAGTTTTCCAACGGTTCTCTGACCGATGTCAGCTCATGGTGCTTTTATTCATTAGATGAATCATAGTTTCTTTAGGCATAATAAATACAGAAACAAGCCGCTTTATTCACTTTTCCTAGCCGATTGCAAGCCTGGAAAACACAGAAATTTAGGCGTGAACCTAGAAACCCCACCAAGTAAAAACAACCTTATCGCTACTGAAACTTAACAGATTCATGTTCCATTTGGAAAGCAAGGAGTGAGAAAGGAACGCAGGTAGAGATGTAAACTTAGACCAGAAATAGTAGGGCAATACAGGAACAATTGCATGTCAGTGGTGTAAATCGCTACTTTAATTATTGTAATCCGTAATCTATAAACGCCACGAGTCTTTTATCAAAGATTTCTACTTATCATTCACATACAATTTTCTTCATACTTTTATCACAACAGCTACTGCAACACCTGACTTCGTTTCTAAAATTCGTCCTACAACTGCACCAATTGGAGGTACAGCAGCATTTGAAGTACAGGTTGATGGTCAACCGTTACCTTCTGTACGCTGGTTTAGAGATGGCATAGAACTTCTACCCGGTAATCGTATTAAAATCAAACCACCGGGTCCAGATGGAAAAGCCAGTCTAGAAATACAAGATCTTGATGAAAGAGACAGTGGAACAATTACATGCCAAGTATCTAATCCTTCTGGTAAAAATTCATGCTCAGCACCATTTGAAGTATTGGGTAGGTAAAATTAGTCAGTTTTTCTTAACTAACTATTTATACTTTCAAAGATAATATCTATTTTTTTGGAAAGAGTAATTTATATACTCAATCATTCCTTTTTGTTTTCTTAGCAATACCTAAAGTACTTGGTAATATTGATGATAAAATCGCTTCAGAAGGTGATCTTGTTAAATTCAAAGTTCCTTATTCTGGCCGAGGTTCAATAACACTGAAATTGAAATGTAATGGTCGTGAAGTACCAGAATCTGATCGAGTTAAATTAATGGATCTAGATGGAACAGCTTCTATACAATTCAAAGGTAACATTTATTTTGTCTAGTATATTTTTATTTGAATATAATATATCTTCAATTAGTTTAGAGCAAATACAGTTTTTGTTAGATGTGAAGCTTTCATAGACAACTGTGAACATTCTCATTAGATTAGGTTATTTAATATTATTATTATTCCTTTGGGTTCTCAGTGGGACATAAGGCTTTAATAGAACATTACTTTGTCCTGCTCTTTGGTGTTCTCTTCATCTGCGCCCACAAGATCTCCTCCATGTCACTCGCGGAAGACCCATTCGTCATTTCCTATTCGAGTTCCACTCGAAGGTGTGACTGGTAGGCGATGTCATCTTACGGTTTCCTCAGCGTATGACAGATCCATCCACATTTACTTCTCCATATTTTTGGATGATAGGCTCTTGGTTGGTTTGTTTTCAGAGTTTCTTGTTGTCGATTCTTCCCGCCGGCCATTTGATCTTCAGCATGGAATCAGCCAGAGAAGGTGGTAGCTGTTGATGATGATGCTTTTCGTGACACTCAGTGCAAGTTTCTGAACTGTGTAGAAGAACTGACTGACTGACTTCACATTTGTGTTAAAAATCCGAATCTTATTCTTAGTGCTATGCAGTGCAGAAGATTTCCAAACTGGTTTCAGGTTAATGAAGGTGTATCTTCATATATGTGTAAAACTTGGGCACATCAACATGAAGGTAGAGGCAATTCAATTCACTTATGAATTGGAAAGTCAGGAAGGGGAACTTCCAATGTTAGATTGCAACGTAAAAAGGAAAGAAGATGGGAAGCTAAACACTAGTGTTTACAGAAAACCCACACATTTGAACAGATGCTTGGACTTCCGATCATCCCATCCTATGTCAGTAAAATTAGGATTGGTGAAATGTTAAAATGACAGAGCACGAAAACTAAGTAGTACCAAAGAAAATCTAGGACAGAGAGTGATACACATAAAAGAAGCCTTGAAACTTAATAATTACTCGGATAAATTAGTCAGGAAGTATGCAAGGAAATGTAAATATAAAATAAATAATGACAGTAGCGATAGTGACAGTAATAATAATAATGATAACAATAATAATAATAGTGATGATAATAATAATATTGATGACGACACCAACAATAAGGAATCTAAATCATCATCAGTAATTCCATATAAGGAAGGAACCTCGGAAACCTTACGTAGAATTCTTAACAAGACAGGAATAAAAGTGGCTGGCATTCAAACCAACCACAAACTCAATTTGAAACAAGCCTTGTCGGTTAAACGATCAATCCTGTGGAGCTTTTAAAACAAAACAATTTAGTTTATCTAATACCCTGACTGCAATGATTGTCAGGTCAAATACATAGGTCAAACTAGTAGAACAGCGTCAGTGAGTCAGACTAGCCGAACATAAAAACCTAGCCAAATCTAGATTGGTTGACCCAGATAAGATAAGAAATCTAAGAAATCTGGTTCAGCCATAGCACTCACTACATGCAGTTAAACACAACCATACAATAGGATGGATGGGATAAGACGACAGTTTTAGAATCTAATGTCACAGGGTGGAGGGAGAGATTGATAACAGAAGCTTTGTTTATCGAATCAACTGCAAATACACGTAATAGAAACGATTCATCACCTGTTCTTGATATCTGGAAAATTCTACTACCCCTAGGACGACAAATAGGAGAAGACAAAGAAAACTATAAAACTCAAGTTTCAAAGTCGTGTGGTTACAATTGATATGATTATGAACAATAAATTGTGTTCGAAACCTCGTCATCCAGTAAATAATACTGTTTCACTGTGTGATACATCTAATAAACAAACTAAAAGGTGTATCTTCCCTTTTCGATTCCGGCTGCCTGTTGTTGAAACAGTGCTTACTACCTGGATAAGTGAAGGAAGTTGCCTCTGACAAATCTCTCCCGTTGATGATGATTGGTGCTGGTTGTTGTTGTTGTTGTTGCTGTCGGTTGGTTATCTTCATCACCTCTCGTCTTCTCTGTGTTCACCTGGAGTCCAGTCTTCGCTAAAGTAACTAGAAATGATAGCTTTACATATCCACGGTACCAATGCCCTTGATATAGCTTAATTAAGCATGGATACCATTGATAATACTTTTCACGCACAACTGTGGAGTAAATTGGTGATTTCTATCTCATTTTTTCGAAACGTGACTGATTCACATGTTATGCGAGACTGAATTATTTAGATATACAGGTCGGTTACAAGCTTACATAGTGCCATAATATCCAAAAATGGTACAAATATATGTGAGTGAAATTTGGGCACTGGAGAATAATTCCATCATAGAATACTTCTACTTGATGAAACATACACTGATACAGAATTACATGAATTACTGTGTCACCGTATATTTGATCAAATGAAATCATTTAGTGATGACACAAATATACCTCTAGAAATCCTTCAGTTGTATTTCTCCTTTAATAGATAAACCATATTCTTTTAGGCATTGTCTAATGAATGAACGAGAGATTTCATGTACAAATCAACTTATATTTCTCACAATACGTTTAATTGATGTTTCCCTCCTTTTTTAACGTGTTTAATACATCATTTGGTATTTCTGGCTTTAATAACGTTGACATAAACTATCCTAATGAATGAGGCCATCTGTTTTCTTAAATCACTATCTTAAAGTATAATGTAATCTATGTTATTTGTGGTTTATAGATATAACCAGGAATATGGGTGGGAATTATACCCTAGAAATCGGAAATGAGAGTGGTTTTACTTCAGTACCATTCAATATCAAAGTAACATGTGAGTTTTCAAAGTATATTTTAATCACAAATTAGATTTCTGATGCTTTACCGTTCATTTTTAATAAAAGCCTATTAACGAGTCCCTGATACTGCACTCAAACAAAGTAATTTAATGCGGAAGGCTTGATTGCTTGTTACACTTTTGTTGGAAGTACTTACGCCTTCATAGGCGGCATGTTTAAAACTTATTAATATATTAGTTACAGGATACCATCATGAGCTGATATCGGTTAGAGAACAATTGGAAAACCAGTAATGGAGTACTGGACAGCTGTTTCGTCCTAGTCTGGGACTCTTCATGAGTATGCAGCCACCGGGGTTCGAACACAGGACCTTCTGGTTACAAGGCGAGCTCGTAGAACATTAAGCCGCTGGGACCCAATTCAGTGTCCAGTGCATGAATTCCAACTTCTGCCAATTCACGATATGGCGCAACTGCTAGCCGATGTCTTTGGCGAGTATTTGTGTTCACACCAGACCTGCTACAGCTTACTGGTCACGACTTCTCATTAGAACCTCAGGTAACTGCCTACCTGAACAGGGCCAGTCGCTAGTGATCATCTCATTGATTTTCAAGTATTAATATATGTATTACGTGATAAAGTTGTAAGTCTAGTGCAAACTTATGCCACCGAGGGGCAATAATATGCTGATCTATTGGGTTTGCTCATAAAACCTGATGTATATAAATCGGTAAACTAGGCTAAACACTACAGAGACATACAAAATCTAAGACCCTAGATTTCTGTGAGATGCCATAAAATTTTGTGTCACAAATAAATAAGAACCATCTAGTAGTTAGTGGACTGTCAGTGATTCATCGACACTAAAGGCACTTCCAAAGGAGGAATGTCAACAACTTAAATATGTCTTTTTAGAGATTTCATTTTCAAAAGATGTACAATCGCATTTAAATACATAAATTTACATAGATACAATTATTATTTGATTCCACATAATAACGAAGGTGAATAAAGAGGTGACAATTATATTCAACTTGATATGGCTTACGAGAGGCTTGGAAACAAAATTATACAGGATTATAACGAATTATAGGTGTGAGCAAAATGAGCATGGAAACAAACTGAGGCAATAATTTTCAACTTAAAATGTAAGTTAGGAGGTGTAAATATAGACTACAAGAGGCATAGAAACAAAAATTACACACGATTGGAATATATTTGTAAAATGGTTATTCTAAACGGATTACAAGTGTGATCAGGAGGAGCATGGAAACAAACTTAAAATAACTGTTTGTGTAATTGGAAAAATGGGATGAATTGAATGAAAACAGAGGGCGAAAAAATATAAACACAGCGGAAAATAACGTAGGCTAAGGGAACAATCCGAACTAAGTCCATGGTAGTTGTAAAGTTTGGAGAAGTTTCTTTTGAACACAAAGCTCCGGGTTCTCGATGCATATTGTGAGGGCTTCTGCAGTATAAGGAAGTTGGAAACATACTGCCTTTGATAGGTTTCTGTTTACTCTGTAAACGACTTTGAATAAATCAGTTGAGATGCTGTGGGAGGTGTTGATCAGATGTTCAATGATGGCACTTCTTATTGAACCGGTGCCCTTTTCTTTGCAGCTATACTGGGTTATGTTCTCTAACACATTTCGAAAGGATGCGCATACAATGACCTATGTACCTAGCTCCGCATGAGCAGGTGAACTGGTATATGCACATTGAAATGGTTAAATGCGAGAGTTTGTCCCTTGCATTGTTTAAAAGTACTGGGCGGCTAGAGAATATCACTGTTAGTGTTGATACAGGGGAGGTTTTCTTTAGAGAGCTGGTTATTCTTCCCTTCACGATATCAGCTGCCAAATCCACCTGGAATTTCAGATTCATATACAGGGTTTTCTTCGGCGCTAAAATGCATTCTCCTCTTTTTGGTTTTGGATTCATGTTCTTTTCGTAAATTCGTGCCGGGTAACCATTTTGAGCTAAGATATTTTTGAGGAATACCTTTTAAAGCCTCTCGTTAAGCCATATCAAGTTGAAAATAATTGTCACCTTTTTGTTCGCCCTCATAGTTATGTGGAATCAAATAATAATTGTTTCTGTGTAAATTTATGTATTTAAATGTGATTGTACATCTTTTGAAAATGAAATCGCCGTAACGATATCTTTGCTAAACTTCGTGTTCTCTTCTTTCTAATGTTCTAACGTGTATTTTCGACGACAGCGTGAATAAACTGCAGGACTCTCTGTAAGTCAAGCTACAGTCGAATGTGAAAAACTCGTGAAAACACAGGTAACACGAAACAACAAAAATATACTCAGGTGTTTGAATCACTGGCAAAATATGAACTGAAGTTCATCATGTTGAAATAGCAGTCTAAATTACACTACTTAATAATAGTAAGTAGTTAAAACGTGAAGGAATATAAGAGTATTCAGAAGATAGATTGAAGAACAAGATTAATACAGTATTTGGTGTGAGGTGTTATTATAATCTCACACAATAATTACATGAAATCAATTAAGTTGGATTTATATTACTCATCCTACGTCTTTAAGCTAGTCTTACGTGATTTACATCATTGCATCATGTTGATATTTCCACTTAATGTTGGCTTGGGTACCGCCATTGACTAGGTGATATAATTACGGATTTCTTATCTTTGTATTTTGCCTTTTTCTTGGACTGCTGTTCAAGAAAACACATTAGTCAAGACACTAACTTAGTGACTACAGATCAATTACTTTCCGCCTTAAATTTTATACCGGTTTCTGAGTTACAGCTGTATTCAAACGAGTATAGTAGAATTCTCAATTTTTGAATTACCCATAGTTTCCTTTGAGCACTGTCCGATTCGGAACATGAGTGCCTGCCGTCTAGTAATTAGAGATCGCTACCATCTGGTTAGCAAAATCTACCAGTCGATATGAGTAGTATCTAACTACTTATTCGCATTAGTCAGTCAGTGGTATATACCATCGTGTATAGAATGTTTTAAGATCCCACTATTCTAAGATTGTAGTTATTCGGGATAATCATACGTTGTGTTGTAGAATCACTACTAATAATGGTTAACCGAGATAGAAGATGCTGGGGAGTGGCACTTAAGTGATGATGGCAGATCAGACTTCCTCGACTGAGGTATTTTGTAGTTGTGTGCCAGTCATTTGTTGTTATCACAATAACTTATTGATAGTCCTGAGGTAGTCCTAAAGCAGTAGTGAGTCCGGTAAAGAGGGGAGGTTGAGCGCGAGGCTAGCAACTCCACCTTGTAAAAGTAACAACACTGCTATCGAAACTTTAAAGCTCTAGCTTAAAGCCATATGTTCCACTAGGAATGTAAAGGAATAAAATAAAGAATTAAAAAATTAGTACACACACACATACACAATAATTTTTCATAGTTTTACTGCTTTCACTTGAAAAAAACACACAATCAAATCCAACTTTTGTTTGGCATTTTTAGCTCCTCCAGGAGAATGCCAAGGTCCAATTGTTGTCTCTGACACTTCACCATTCAGTACTCGATTAACATGGAAACCTCCTAAAGATGATGGAGGATCTAAAATCACTCATTATATTATTGAACGTCAAGAAGTTGGAAAAGATCGTTGGATACCAGTGTCTTCTGGTTGCAAAGAACCAACCTGTGAAGTACAAGGTCTTCAAGAAAATGGACGTTATTTGTTCCGTGTTGCTGCTGTAAATGACTGCGGTCAAAGCGATTGGTTACAAGTGCCTAATGAAGTGATTGCCAAATATCCATTCGGTAAGTTGATAGAGTATTATTATTATTATTGTTATGCTTAATCCTGTTCTTCTAAAATAGGTCAAATTGAAAATTGTGTGGTTTTTATACGAATAATCACCTACCTTTATAATATACACAACTTACTCCATTCTGCTAGAATTTGACAGGGAGTATTGCATTATAAAATTAAAAGTAGTTGAAAGCATTTGGATGTCTTTGAATGTTTCAATTTATCACCCAGTAAATTACTCATTATGTTTATTTGTCTTTTAGATAAACCTGGAAAACCAGGTCAATTAACTGCCAATGAAGTTGGAGGTGATTTTGTTAATCTATCATGGACAAGACCTGCTTCAGATGGTGGTGGTCGTATCCGTGGGTATATTGTTGAAAAACGCGAAGTCGGTGCAACAAACTGGTCACGATGCACTCCTAATCCTGTACTTACACTCAGCCATAATATACCTAATTTAATTGAAGACAAAACTTATGAATTCCGTGTTATGGCTGTAAATGATGCAGGTGAAAGCGAACCAGCCATGATAGATCAACCTGTATGTGTTAAAGATCCTAAAGGTAAATTAAAATTTGTCTAATTACAAATAACGCACTGGCATAGTGTTTTGATATCATAAGAAAATAAACTTTATTAAAGCAGACACAAAGGATATATTGCAGAATTATAGAATCTAATAATTAACAAGTAATATCACAATGTTGTTACTTAATTCCATGATCGCACCACACAATTGACTGAACATCAGTTACTACTACGCCATCTGATGACCATGCCTACAACCTGAGATATCTCAAAGGTAAGGGAATTGTTACAACAGTTGTTTGTAGGAATCTGCTAGCAAGGAGAATGTACATGAAAGTAAACTAGTACCATAATGAACCAGGTTTTTGGTGGACTGACAGAAGGCTTTATGAACTCTTAGTTGGAGTTGAAAATTAACCAGATTATAAGGACCTCGACTGAGGCTGAATTATTATGGAAATATTCCTGAAGCCTATGCTTGGTTTCCTTGAATGATTGAAGGACAAATCGAAACTTATCCTGGACAAATATTCTTTTTTAATTCGAAACTCTTTAGAAAAAATAAACCCAATTCTCATTATCTCACTATTATGACGTTATACATGCCACTGTTTTTAGCTTTCACGGGATGAGGTTGCTAACCTCACTTTCGAACTTCCCTCTTTGTCAGGCTTACTACCCAGCTTGTAAAAATGGGGAGGTTCATGAGCTCGTCGCCTGGGTCTCTGAACTCGGGCCACTTGCATGGTTGGCAGTATTCTACTTCTGAACTAGCGAAGCACTATCCAGTATCGCTATATAGTTAACTGTTGATATATCTAACTTATTTGACTATTTTTAAGTTCTGAATTTCATTGGGAAGCAAACTGATGATAAACACCCTGGTGTCGAGGAGCTACTGTAGTTAAAATTATGACAGTTTTCCTGGAAATACTATGAAAGTTTCATTCTTCAATCAGCTTTCAAATCTTAGATCAGACTTGCTGAAACAACATCCAGGAACACATCTTCCTCGCCCCGAGTTGTTTTTTAAATATTCGTTATAATAAATCTGTATAAATATGAATCTTATAATTCTTAATATTCCTGAGTTTTCACTGTTTCATTTTTGTCAAGCTGTTTCTCGGCCAACTTTCCTCAGTGGTCTTAAACCCCAACTGGTCAATGAAGGTCGGGATGCTGTGTTCGAAGTTGAAGTTGACTGTCCTTCAAATTATGATATTATATGGTCCAAAGGTCCTCGTGATCTTGTTGAATCTCATCGTATAGAAATGACTAAAGAAGGACGTAAACACTTCTTAACAATTCGTAATTGTGGTCTCGAAGATTCTGAGGAGTACAGTGTCAAGGTTTCAAACCGTGGAGGCTCTAAAGTCAGCAGAGCTCCACTGTCTGTCAAATGTAAGTGGATCTTATTGCTTTTATATCAAAAATATGGTCATTTCATATAAAATCATTCTGTTTTTAGAAATACAATGCAAATAAATTATTGATTCGGTGTGTTAAAATTTGATATTATTATATAGTTTTACAAAAACAAAAAATATGAGCAAAGAATATCCTTTTCGATAATTTCCTCTTGTGGTTCTACAATTATATGCATGTTTATATACACAGAATATTCTAGAGTAATCGTCATTAACAACATTAGTGTTTTTCATTACTATCGATTTGTTAAATAAGATAGATGGAATTGCACTTCCCGAAAGACGTTTAACTTATAATATGCATAAAAATGTAGTAACAAATAGAATATCAAATAAAATCAGGGAAATTTCCACATAAAATTCAGTATCATTCGAATCTAGATGGCCAAGTTGAGTACAGTGTCTGAACCAACCAACTTCTTTTGGATACATAAGTTAGGTTTCTTAATGTGGATCCCAACGACCTCAACAACATGTAGTAGATGAACTCTAGAGGTAAAGTTAAGTTTAGTTAGTATGCAATAGATGACTTCAAAAGCCGCCTCGTTAACACGAATTGTGTGTTTTGTATCCACAAGATGGGGGAGAACAGAGCCATGTGAATGGATTTTGTTTGTCCCTCACTTAAGAACCATGCAGGATGGTGTTCGAAAATCCGACGATGAACATGACAAATTATGTGGCCTGTGTTGACTGATGCTCGCGTTATACCTTCCATTCATGGAAGCTTCATGTTTTCCATCATATCTATTATTTGGGCGATAGTAATTATGCAAGAATTTATCAGTTTTTAGGACTAAATATTTTCAAATTTCAGCGTTCTAGTTATTAGGGTAGCTTTTTTAAATACAAAATCACATTCACTTTCTTTGTAGGTAAAACTTTCTCACATACTTACTAGCCTAAATATCCCTAAACTTACTTGAAGTGTGCATTGACTCTTACATGTGGGGAACAATGTAATACTTTAGCTATATAAGTGTTAAGAATGGTATTTTGTAGAATATGCATAAAGACATAACATCGGAAACAGAGGTAGTCCATTACAGAACGATAGTTAGTTACGAATTTATTGGAGTGACGACTAAAATTGAACTAATATCGTAGGCTGTAGTGGGATTCAAAATGTCTTGGGTCACTGGTTTCAACTACAGCCTTCATTTCATTCGCATAAGACTGATCTTTCCAAAGAACACTATCTCATATGGTTAGGCTGACAACATCACAGATTTGAAGAAATCTGCAAAAGCCCTTACATTCACAGTGATATTTTTGTGCAATGTTAAAGTATTTTATTGCACAGAAGTAGGACACCCCAATTCAGGGTTTGCGCAGTCCACTAATATCTTAGTTGTATAAAGAAGTGTTTCCAGGAAGCGATTTTCTCATAATTTTATGAAATCGAAATCATGCGTACTTAAACAGTTGACTGGTATACCAGTAAACGAAAGCTTTACAGAAAAGATGGTTATTTTAGATGATATTTGACTTCAGCTGCATACATTTAAACAAATAAAATACTGTGAGTTGTACTCAACCATTTGAGGCAGTCAGTAGTGTGTGTATGTGTTTTGTGCAGACTTTCCAACAAATAATTTCACATTATATCACTCAATTGTATATTTTAGCGAAACCACAGATACATTTACCAAGTCGTTGGCAAGAGCCTACTGAATGGGAACGTGGTGATTCAATTTCCATCAAAGTACCATTTACAGGATTCCCTAAACCAAAAGCAAAATGGACACTCAATGGAAAGGATATTAAAGAAGGAAAGAATGTTAGTACAGTACTAAAAGATCGTTATGCTATAATCAATTTGGAGAATGTTGGTGAAGAATTCTCTGGAAAATTGAATATAACACTAGAGAATGAAATGGGATCTGATTCAGCGACTATTGAATTACGCGTAAATGACAGGCCACCACCTCCAATTAATTTGAAAGTTGAAGGAGTATCCGATGGATCCGCCCTTTTATCTTGGAGTATGCCATCAGAAACTGGTTATATTTCTCAATATATCATTGAAAGATGTGAAATGCCTGGTGATACATGGATCAGAGCAGGTACCAACCGGTGAGTCGGCAAAGCCCACTGTTACATTCTAAATGTGACAAGTTTGTTTTATGTGTAACAATAATTTTAGTGAAATAGATTTTCTGTTCAGTGCATGTCCGGATTCCTACAAATCTTACCAATGTCCACTTGTCACCAAAATATCATTAACATAACTTCTAAATCATAGAGGTAATACTCTTGTAGTTATTCAGGAGATGTCTTTCATGGACAGATAATAAAATACATAACTTTACTGCAGTTCATTTTGGCTTTATGCCTTCAGTATAGTGTAGTGGTACTTTCAAATATGGGTTACAGTCAAATTTACATCGCTTAATCTGTAATATATTCAACTTAAGCAAGACAAAAGAATACTACTATCTATCTGTATCAAAAATTACTCATTCTTGCTATCAACCATCGAAAACGTATATTTAATGAAAAGTGGAAAACCTTGTTAAGAAATAATCAGTCTCATAAGCTTAGAAGAGAATTTTAAATTCTGTAGGTCGCATACATTTATCAGACAGAGTTTAACTGCTTGTATTAAATTTAAATTATTATGAGTTGTTTGTTATCAAAAATGTGTCTGTTCTTCTTTAATTCTGCTGAGTACTATTTATTGGTCCATTGGGTTTAGAGTGGAACATAGGACTTTAACAGCACGTCTCCATCTTGTCCTATTCTTCAAGTATTGGTTTTGTAGGGATTTAGTTTGATTAGTTGAAGGATTACATCATGAGTTGACATCAGTTAGAGAACCATTGGAAAAACTGCATGGAGAGTACTGGGCACCTGTTTCGTCCTAATTTGAGACTCCTCATCAGTACTCACTCACCAGGTCCTTTCCATCTGTTTCCACGACTACCCATAAGCTTTTATCTTCTTCTCACATGATTTCCTCCATGTAACCCTCGGACGCTCAACTTGTTTTCTGACATTCGAATTTAACTCGAGGGCGTGCCTGGCGTGGGCCGTCACCTAATGGTCTCCTCAGCGTGTGACCAATTCATTTCCATTTTCTTCGAAATATCTGTTGAGCAAACGGTTCTTGGTTAGTTTTTCTCCAGAGTTTCTTGTTGATAAATCTTCCCGACTAGAATAGAGTATGTGTGACTGTTGAAATCTCTCAATTAACTATGAAAGCGTGTACTCCTCGCTTGAATACTTTCATAACTTAATCAACTTTATGTACTTGTATGCTTATTTAAAAAAAATTTATTTTCAGTTTCTCGACATACAACTGTGAAGGTTTAGTAAACGGAAAAGAATATCGTTTCCGTGTAATGGCAGAGAATTTACACGGTCGTAGTGATCCATGTCAACCTACTGGAAGTCATCTGATTGCTCCAGATACTCGTCAACGTGGTGCCCGTCGTGAACGTGGAGAAGATCGTGGAGATTACACTGGACCACCAATTGATAATTATGACAGATTTTGTAAGTCACTTTTCTAAGGGTGTAATGCTTAATTTTTTTCCTTTTTGTGATTAATAACAAAGAGGGAGCTTGATTTTCTCTAGTCAAAACACTAAACGTTAATGACTTATTCAGTTTTATCTTATTGTTTAGTTTTGTCAAGTTTAATCAACATTTTAAAATGTTATACATATATGGAAAAAGGGTTTAAAATAGCTTATAGGCATAATTTTTAGGCAGAAAGGAGTGAAAACAACGCCACTGTAACAAATGTGGTAGTTCATCCACATTTTAGGTTAAGAGTTTTAACTAGCCAAAGACGTTGATTTATTTCATCCCAAGACCATGTCTTCAATCTTGAGATGTCACACAAACAATTATTCTTTTTCTGCTTACTAACATTAATTCTTTTGAAGAACTCTACTTTTAAGAAAAGATTTATACATCATTAATTAGCGATACACATAGTGGGATCATAAAAAACATTGACTAATCTTGAAGCATAAAAAGAAAGATAATCTGTGAACACCTGAAGGTGTGTCACTAGTTCTTAACCAAAGTTATAACTTTCCAATATACTTATGAATCGTTTTTCACCGGTAACTTCTCCGACCGTAGCATTAACTGATGCGAGTGTGTATCTTCGAGGGGAAATCCTTTAGGCGGACACATACAAATGAATGTAAAAAAGCATGAAACCTTGATCCAGGACTTCAGAGGAACACTTCCAACCAAGTGACATCAGTTCAAAGGAAATATAGCTTTGTGACCACAGTGCAAATGTGACTGATAGAATTCAGTCAGAACCCACACTAGTGCTTCCGTTTAATATATTACCTGTAAACATTTCGCAGATTATATTAAGAAACATCAGTGATATTAGATAATTGAAGATAGTCGTGCTAGTTGGTGACTGTCAGCAAGGCGTATCTGCAACCTCGAAGGAACTCATGTCCCTTCTAGGGTTTGAACCTGTTTCACTTGGTGCCGCAGTCAAAACAGTTACCACTGAGCTATTTGGGCTATTTGACTGATCTCCTGTAGGACAGTATTGGATACCGTGCACCGTGATGGCGAGCTACCTAGTGGCATGGTGGCCACATTGCAAACTTGACTGAAAGAATTCAGTCTGCACCAAACATCAAGGACTAGACGCATTACACTAGAAACTAACTAGCGTTCAATCAGAAGATAAATTAGTGAACCATAGACTAATGCATAGATAATATTAAACCCTATGACAGGGATTAATACCATAAAATGTTTTGAAACGTATTCCTATGATCTCTGCCCAATGGAAACCAATGAAAATTAAAAATAGTTTACTTAATTTTGCATAGCACTTTAAAAAAGTTATAAATTCCACCTAAGATACACAAACTCCAAACGACTGAGTAAATCTTCGATAAAGAAAACAAAATACTCGGTTTTCACAAAGAGTACCAAGGCAGAAAACAGAGATTTTGTGTGTTAGGAAATAGAAGCGCCTAATAAACTTATAAACATCAAGTTTGATATTATCTAGGTAACACTGTCAAGGATATTGTCTGAGTGGAGCATCAGTGAATAAAGGTAAACATCACATACTTGTCAGAACCACACCTCAGGGTTTATGGTGCAACGTGTGTCCAAGAGGCTAAATTATTACTACTGTTTCTTTCCTTTCGTTCAGTGTTGACCACAGGGCTTCAGCAGCACATCAACATTCCACTATTTCTACTATAGATACTTTCAGCCTACTCCACGATTTCCATAAGCTTTCATTTACTTCTCCATTTCCTTTTTCGGATACCCGACCCATATCTTCTCATTAAGGTTGACTCGAAGTCTTGATGTGTGATGTCACTTGAAGGTTTCCTCATTATATTATGTTGATGGCATCTCTATTTCCCTCAGTGTCGAGAGAAAGCAGCTGTTGATGAAAGTACGGAGCCTGTTGTAAATGGCTCAAGTGACACTAGCATCAATTCTCTGAAGCATATAGAAGCACTGACTTGACGTTTGTATTAAAAACCCAGATCTCGTCCCTTATGCTGAGTACAGTAGACTTCCACACTGGTTTCAGATGAATTAACGACTGCCTTGAATACTTCCCCAGTTCTGCATGGCTGCCTTTGACACCGTTACTAGTAAACATGTCTTTCTCATTTCATAATACTGAACTATATTGCCCACTTTATCAATTTTCCATTGTCTTATTAAACTGTCGCGGTTGATAATAACTCCTCTCTTACAATTTTTTTTTTAATATCCAACTTATTCGTAGATCGAAACATATGGGATAAACAAACACCTCTACCAACTCAAGTGCATAAAGGTGAAAGTGTATATGATTATTACGACATCATGGAAGAACTTGGAGTGTAAGTCATTTATGATAATATAATTAAACCAAGTAAATTTGTCCTCTAATTTTAAAAATTCAGTGATATAATGAATTCAAGTGTTGGTTTGTAGGGATTTGATTGGTTTCAGGATTTCATCATGAGCTGACATTAGTTAGAGAACCATTGGAAAACCTGGGAGTACTGGACAGCTGTTTCGTCCTAGTTTGGGACTCTTCAGCAGTACGCACCCACCGGGATTCGAACCCAGGACCTTCCGGTTACAAGGCGAGCTCGTATACCATTAAGCCACTGGGACCCGATCCAATGGTCCTTGAATTCTAACTTCTGCCAATTCACGACATAGCGCGACCGCTAGCCAATGTCTTCGGCGAGTATTTGTCCTCACACCCGACCAGCTGCACCCTACTGGTCACGACTTCCCACTGGAACCCAGGTAACTACCTACCTGAATAGGGCCAGTCGCCAGTGAGCATCTCATTGGTATTCAAGTGTTGGTGAATGAATGAATGAATGAATTACTTTATAAGCGAAGATGTCGAAATGAGTCAATCATTTATTCTCTGTTATAAGTGCATAACCCTAACATTTTTACAGCTTTATCGTATGTTAGTTGAATTAAGTATTTAAAAACAACACTGGCACTCTAAAGAGAATTTTAGCATCTAACCATAGGAATGGTAACACTAAGGCAGTAAAGCCTTGCTAATTATTATTAATGCAACATGTTAGAGTGAATAGTATTCAGGAAGAATACTTTTCAACATAAATAGGTATAACGATAACTTTGTTCACGACCAAAGGATGGCAGATGCAAATGTTATTAGGTAACCTCTAAGCATCATTCAAAGAATGATGGTAACCTTAGCAATAACATTAAAGAAAGAAAAATGAAAATTCCATACTTTCGGTTTCCTTTATGAATTTCGATAGAGAAAGAAAGACGGGATTTGCAGGGGAAAGTCAAATCATCGTTCTATTTCACAGGTTCTCATCAGATAACTGCAAACCACTCGAAATCACAATGGTTATAAATAATGACATTCCATACTTCAATGTTTGAAAGGTAATAGAGAAAAAAATTGTAAGATAAACGTATCTGGAATAACAGCATTACAATTTTTAGTTTAAGTCACCATCAATTTATATGCTTGCAAATTATGAAAAAGGTGGGGAGGGGTGAGAGAAGACAGAAAAATCTAATAAACAGTGTTAGTATGTACGTCAACATAACAACTCAAGAAGGTTAAAGTTGATCAAATTGAAAACATGCACAGTGAGCTGAGCTCATTAATGTGTATAACTGATCAGTGTAATCAAAGTATTACGGTTACCAAGGAAATGAGAGACTGGCTACATTCTCTTTCTGTGTGCGTAACTTTGATCTGAAACGCTTGATTGCGATTGTTTCAGCAAATCTTAGTAAATTAGCTGTCCTTCGTATGTTTAATATTTTGAAAGATTTAGAAATCTCGACAAAATGACCCGTATCCACAGGGTGTCTGGTAATTCCACTTTGTAAATATCTGCTTCCTTTTAAGCATACGTTTCTTGGAATATGCTCTGAAAACCTGATAGAAGTCCTTCTTTTTGTCCTTCGAAAGTACTTACTGCCACAGATGCACGTAAATTTATAAATGCAGTTGTAGGTAACATCAGCAGAGTACTTATCCAGTTTCGATTGGCTTATGGAACATATAGTGCTGTATTGCGTCACTACGTTAGCTGCAGGGAAGCATCTTTTGATTGAAAACAATCCATGAAATGCTTCGCTTACTTAATTCTTTCAGATGACAATATGTGGTTAAAATAATTATAATTATAGAAGTTCAAATGAAAGAATTTATTGGACTTCATTAGATATGCGTGAATTATTCCAAGATTAACATAAAATTAGAATGTATCCTTCTAGTTCCATATTTCATATGGTAAAGACATTGAATCTGCAGTGGGTAAATTAATCTTGTTATTATATACAATCAGCTAACCTAGCCACCGTTTGTAAAGAAATGATAAGCAGCTATTATTCAGTGTCAAAGTATTACGATGTGAAGATTACTAAATGATGAGTGATATGAAAATTATGCCAAGTATTCAAGAGGCTCCAGTGAATATTAGCAACTGCCTGTACACGACCATCGTGTACAAGTTGAAAAATAGTTTTGTCCGTACGATTCTTTTTCTTACTGAAATAAGGAGGTCATCTGAAATACTGTTGTTCACGTGTTAAGTTGATGACTGAGTTAGGGTTACCAAGCATCCTCGACATCGATGTCTACGAGTACTATGCACACGAAAACTGAAAAGAGATTTAGTCATCTTATCAACGTTTTCCTCGTAGGATAACTCGACCAAGACAGAACTGTTGAGTAATCAGTGGAGAAGTTGAGACACAGAAAGCGAATCAGTTGATGAAGTTATTCTAGGATTTAGTGGAAATCAATTTTTGGTTACAGGATTTCATCATGAGCTGACATTAGTTAGAGAATCATTGGAAAACCATCCAGGGAGTACTGGACATCTGTTTCGTCCTAGTTTGGGACCCTTCATCAGCACACACCCACTGTGGCTCTAACTTAGGACGTTCTGGTTACAAGGCGCACTCGTAGACCATTAAGACACTGGGAACCAATCTAATGGTCCATGAATTCCAACTTCTGTCAATGCACGACATAGCGTGACCCCAGCCAATGTCTTTGGTGAGTATTTGTCCTTACACCCGACCTGCTGCATCCTACTGGTCACGACTTCCCACTGGGACCCAGGTAACTACCTCCCTGAATAGGGCCAGTCGCCAGTGAGCGAAACCAATTTTTATCAGATTAAGAAGTAATAATCCCTCCAAAGTTAACCATCTACCACATTTTCACTCTTAATTCATTATAACTCATCGAATTAAAAAATGTTTTGTTTTTCCGTGTTTTTGAAGGTTAATTAATGATTAATTAATCGACTTTCATGAATATTTCTTTTTATCGTTTAGTGGAACATTTGGTGCTGTTCACCGATGTCAAGAAAAGACAAGTGGTAATTCTTACGCTTGTAAATTTGTAAACACTGATACACCACAAGATAAACAAGTAGTTCTGAATGAAATTGATGTCATGAAAGAGTTGCATCATCCAAGGTTAATCAATCTACGAGAAGCATTTGATGATAAAAATGATGTGGCACTCATTCTTGAATTGTAAGTTGTTAATTTTCAAAATATCTCCTAGATTATTTTTTACTGAACTTCAACAACTGATCTTTGTTTATAACTTGGTTCTTAAAACTCACATTCTATTGATTACTTTGATTTCAAAGTTGATGTGATTTAATAGAAGCTGGCTGAGCACAGGATGCACATTTCGTCCTGTTTCGGATGTTCCTACATTCCAGATGACGAAGTTTCTACCTTTGATGAGCTATTCCAGCACCTGTATTTTCAAACATTGGTCTAATTTGAGTGATAAATGAGGTAGAGTTAAATCAGTCCGGAAACAAATAATTTTTGCGGTAGTAAATAGTAGTTTTACCAATATTCACTACTGCTGTGGCGTGTGCTACTGATAAGACGTGTCAGTAGTATATAATGAGACGTCCATCGGCATAAAAACATCAAATAACGGGTAGATTGATTTGATGTCAGAGAAGGCAACTGATCCAGTGTTGCGGAGATACATGGGAGACGTGGAAGGAACCTGAAGGAACACAGTGTGAAGGAGGGCGAGAAGTAGCACAACATGCTTTGAAGATAAGGTGTGATTAATTTTGCTAATATAATAAATAATAATAATTTTTCCTTCACATTCCCAGTGGAACATAGGGCTTCAAGCTAGTGGCTTGAAGTTTCTGTAGCAGTGTTTATTTTTACAGGATGGGGTTGCTAGCCACATGCCCAACCTTTCCTCTTTACCAGCATCATTTCTGGCTTAGCGAGCAAGGTAAAGGAGTGCGTCGGCCGGGGATCGAACCCCGGAACATGTGTATGGTCGGCGAGCGTCCTAATCGCTGTGCCACCGACGCCCTTTGCTAATATAGAGATACGAATTTGCAAATAAAGATTCCTTTACCAAATCTCTCGTATTCTAACATTGCACTGCAAGGGAAAATGAGGTGAAAGTTATCGAGATTAGTTTAGTAGTTTGATTAGTTTCATTGCTTATATTCTAAAAACTGAACCCGTCTATGGTTTTCGGCTGAATAAAGTTTTAAGCTAAGATTTACTTAAATCAGATTGACGAGCTAATAGTTTATATGAAATCATTTATTTTTATATGTGTTACGCGGTTCATTTTTCTCCCTGGCTTTTAAAAAAGCCATTTGACTGACCTTCTACTTTTAAACAGTCAGTCACTTTGAAACGGATAGTCTCTAACACAAAAGATTGCTGCTCAGGGTAAACAAAAATAAAAAGTTATTCAGTCACCTCTTTTCTTTCAACTGAGGCGACTGATTTTGAAGTTTATAAGCACTGGTGAGCACTATTTTCAGGGGAGATAACCTTCGAAACCCAATAACTTCTGGGCACCCGAAGTGTATGCATGCGAATAATTAACGGCCCAATCAGATACGCATATTCAAGTGTTGGTTTGCAAGAATTCGATTTGCCATAGGTTTCATTACGCGCTGAAATCAGTTAGAAAACGATTACACCATGTATCATAAAGTGGCAGAAGTTGGGATTCAAGGGCTACTGAATCGGATCCCAGTAGCTGAGTGGTGATCTACGGACTCGTTTTGTAAATGATAGGTCCTGGACTGGAATCATGGTGGCTGGGTATTGATGAAAAACCGCAAGCGAGGACGAAGCAACTTTCCGTAGTTTTCAAATGGTTTTGTAACAAAGCTCTGTCTTCAGAAGACCGAAATGAGCAACTGGAGGTCAATGAAACTACTGAACATCACTTTCTAAGCAGATTTATACTAGTTTATGCACCAGACTCACTATTAAAAGTAAGCATACGAATGCTTTAAACAAACCACTGGATGGAACAGAAGTATGCATGCAATGAAGTTCAGTATCATATATAATTAGTAATTTCTGTTATACAGTAATATATTCTCGTCCATTTTATTTTGAGGTGATATTTTATCCTTAGATAACTCGGTACCTATTCTGTTGTATTTGTACTCGGTAACTAATAATGCATTTGGTGCGCATCACGAATTACTGTTTAATTTTACAAAAATTTAGGCTTACTGGTGGTGAACTGTTTGATCGGTTAGCAGATGAAAGTTCAACAATGTCTGAAGCTGATGCTATTAATTATATTCGACAAGTTTGTGAAGGTATACAACATATGCACGACATGAATATTCTACACTTGGATATTAAGGTAAGCTATTCATGGAATGTTTGAGTTGACAATGAAGTGACACATATAATAAAAATATAATAATAATGGTAAAGCTTTATTTAAGACAGTATGCGAATATACGGTACAAAATTTTTTAGCGTATTCAGCTACAATGTATTTTCTTCCACACACAGGATTCACATGTAAAGTAATAACCGGAAGTATATCTTCATTTCGTTGAAGAATTGTACAGCGTTTACTTGGGAGCGAGTTAAATCATCGTGCAAGTTTATGTATAGGTCATTTGATATAACTGGACGATTAAAACAATGATAAATCCAGATGAAATTGAGTATTTTGGAGAAGAGTAATTTCGGTAGCCCAATGATTTAAGCAGGCCGCCTGAATGATTCATTCTGCCATCGTTCAGTAACTTGCGTATGTAGCTGAAGAACTGCAGTCATGTGAAGTTCTGTCAATGTGTCAGTTAGTTAGTGATTATAGTGAAATTAATATTTTCGTGAATTTTCCCTAAGAAGAGGAGACGTTCAGCGAAGAGACTCTTTTCGGCGAATTCATTCACATAGCTGTACAATCGTATTTATATATAATTATTTGTGTGTGTGTGTGTGTACATGAGGTTTGTCAAGTTTAGATAATTGATCAGGTAATACAAGAATGAATGATCTAAAAAAGAAACAAGGTTAATTAGACAGCAACTAAAGTAAGGTAGAGTTAGTTAGTAAGTTAGATGACGTAATATAATTGCCTAAAATGTTTCAACTTAGGTCAGGGTAGCAACAGAGGTAATTACATGTAGAGACTAAGTAGAAGTTGGGTAGATAATAATGCCATTTAAATTAGAACTGAAATTGAGCAATTAAGTTGGATGACGTAACATAAATGACTAGAAATTGAGAGTTGGTCAAGTCAGTAACAGTGGTAGTGAGGTATAGAAATTATATCAGGTGGGGGTAGAGAACAAGAAGGTTGAAAATGCAAAATGTTACAATTGAGAAGACAAAATAATACTAATGAAGAGACAAAAAAACGAGATTAGGTAGAATTTACTTGTCGGGTGATAAGATATTTTAAATCCATTGCAAGTGTAGTGATTGAACGAACTTCTTCTGTATTCAGAGTTCAGGGCTTAGAAGGTGAATCGCCATTGCTTCTGCAGTTTGAAGAAGTCTGATTCTTTTGATTAGGAAGACTACTTATTACTCTGTAGACGACTTTGAAGTTTGTTTGGGGTGTAGCTTGGTGTCCGGATTCTATCAGATGTTCTAAGATGGAGCTGCGGGGACATCGTTTTTCTCCTTTGTAAAACCATGTTCGTAAGTGTTCGGTGATACACTTGGAAAGAGTATCACTTATCAACTATAGACTGATTCTCTTCTCAGATTACTATCTGCATCTTGGTAGAACTTTCAGACAAAAGTATTCATTTCGTAATCACCGTTTGCCCCCTAAATTGATTGTTAAAAAGGTTAAGTAAACGTGTAACAACAGAAGACAAGGGCCGGCAACAGATCGTTTTATTACGGAAATCAACACGTATTTATATATATTTCATGTACATTATTATAGCTTATTCAAGCAGACAAACACAGTCTTCTGACTGATTGTTTCTGGTTTCTCGGAAATTTAAGCCACATATCTGCGAATCTTATTTGCCCACGTTAAGTCTGCTGTGATTGGTCGTTGAATCAGCCTTATTCATATATTCTTACGGCCAATATTAGTGACCTAGACATTGATGTAAATTAATGTCTACCAATTGGCTAGCAACCTGCTCTCACCACAAACGTAGTAAACAATAACCAATCTGAAGTTACTAAGCGGTAAGTAAGCACTAAAAGCTAACAGATTAAGGTTAAAAACATGAAGTGTTAGAATTTAATGGGATAAATAAAGAGTTACTGGGTTGTCATTTCAGGTTGAAAGCCATGAATCATGTCACGGTGCTAATGATGAAAGGGAAGTTTACTGCCTACTCAATTTTAATAGACTCTTATCACTATTATTCATTAATTTTAATCCATTGCTCTCCTTTTGGGGCACAGGGATTCGAGTTGCAGCTTCGAAGTTTAGCTGGCAGTAATGTTTATTTTTAGGAATTGAGGTTGCTAGCCTCACGGTCAACCTTCCCTTATTACCGGGCTTATCAAACTATGACAAAAACACCTAATAAAGTCACACTTTAATTTCACAGGAATAATACTAATTAACGCTGTGCAATAGGCGGCATCATGGTGTTTCAAATTATTGTAAAAGCTGTTGTTTTTATATCAAGCTGTGATTGAAAGGCGTTCATCACTGAGGACAAAAATAAAATTCATCAGCGACCATGATTCTCTAGCGTACTGGAGCTTTATTTTTAGGTCTCTTGATTAACTGAATAAGATTCGGTCTTCAGTACTTCAAGGCTTCCTATAAAACCTATCCACGGTGAATACTACCTTCAAATAGTTCAACTTCCTGCAAATTCCTACATTATGTATTTACTGGTATATTTAACTTAGAGTAATGCTTTTCATCTAGTTCTAGGTTAAGTAAGGTTGGAACTACTATGAGTTTTTATACAGTAAACTGTTTATTGCTGCTTATTTTCGAACCTAGTAAACATCCTGAGTTGTTTCAAAAACACTTTTTTTCACATTTTCAGCCTGAAGATCTGATGTGTGAAACATCAAAGTCAAAGAATATAAAAATTGTCGACTTTAGCTTATCCAAGAAATTAGATCCAAAAGTACCAGTCAAAGTAGATCTTTCTCATCCAGAATTTGCTGCACCAGAAATCACTCGCTCTGAACCTGTTGGCTTTTATACAGATATGTGGGCAATAGGAGTTTTAACTTATATGCTGTAAGTAGTGAACAATATATATTTTTTTATTATATGGCTGAACTTAGTTTGCTGTGGGATAAAATTCCTATTAGATAAGAATCAGAAGTCCCTAGTTTCCCATTCACTATTTGTGCGTTACATTCGGTTGCTGAATATTTTCTGAAACTGGCTGTTGATAAATTTTAATTTTACAACCCATATGTATCAGAATTGAAATGTAGAAATTTGACGGTAGCTCAGATTAAGTGGCCTTTTATTTTGTAGTTTGAAGTCAGCTGAAGAATTACACCCGTCGACAACTTATAGAGTCAGTCCTTCTGTAAGGGTCAGAAACTTGACCAGCGTGTCACGGAAAGGATTTCCAAGAAGTTATAGATTTCTATCAATAGCTGCCTCCTTCGCTGGCTGGTTGCATACTGAATATCAAATGGCCGGCCAGAAAGAATTAGCAACAAGAAATTTTGGTTGGAAACAAACTCACCAAAGGCCGATCACTCAACAATGATGGATGAGAAAGTGGAGATAGATCGACCATGCGTTCAGGGGCCGTCGAATGACAACTCGCTCCAGACCATGGCTAGAGTAGAATGCCATGGGGGAGGCGAACGAGTGGGTCGTCGGTGCGAGTTTGACCTGGAGGAGACCGTGCGAGGAGTAGATGGACAGTCGTGGACCCAGTTAAACAGTACAGCAGAAAATATAAGAAAATGGATATATGTTGTTGAAGCCCTATGTTCCACCCGGAACCAAAGGGAATAATAATAATATAATAACTTATATAGATTGTCCTGAGAGTTACTGTGTGATTAAGGCATCTTGGAAACTATCACAATCATACCTGACCAATCTTCATCATCTTATGAGTCACTATAATGATTTTACATACAAATCAATAAAATCAGCACAGAAGTCATTTCAAACTAGAACCTGGATCTTCCTTTAATCGCTAGGCAAATTAGGCTTGTGTATTCAATTGATTATGATTCTTAAGTATTCCCGTTAATTATCAAGTCATATATATCTGATTGTTTTTCAGTTTGAGTGGTTTATCACCTTTTGCTGGAAGTACTCCAGAAGAAACAATCGATAAAATTGCAAGAGGCCATTACACATTCGATCATGATGCATTCGATGGAATCTCAGCCAATGGTAAAGACTTTATCAGTAAACTTTTGCAAAAGCAACCCAAGTAAGTTAATAATAATAATGGTTTCATTCTGAGTAATGTTTATCATTATACAGAAGTTTTAGCGCAATTTATTACGTGATATTTTCTCTTCGTCAGGGATATGATTGATAGTAGATAGTGTGACATAGTTCCGTCTCACTTGCAGTGCAAACCAATTCATTGTGACATCTCTCCTTCGAGGAATACATGACATTTTGTTGATGAATGCCAATTACAAAAATGTTCTAGAGTACATTTTGTGAACGAAGGGCACCCCTCAGGAACTGTCATCCCATGTATTCAGATATGCTGCCATCGAGTATAATACTTTTTCACAAGTTTTGTAGAAACTTGCAGCTCAGCAGATTGTAAAGATTTTAAATACTCGCCAGAGTAAACAACACGATTACAGGTCACACTTTACTAGACTTAAACAAACTGAATAAGAGGAATTATATGCAAAATATTAATGGGGGTTTTTTGGTAGCCCAAGTTTTAAGCAGGACGCCGATGTTATACATAATTCTATATTTGTACAATAAGAATTATTATGAATTTCAGAAGGACGATGATCAGTATTCATAACTTAGTGTTCCTTGTGGTAATTGTTTAAATTAGAGTGTATTGGGCGACTACTTCCCCTTTCTATAGTGGTCTTAACTTTAGGCAATATAAATACCTTTCCGTTGACCATCTTCGAAATAATTAAATACAGTTTTCCAGCCCTTCTTAACTCTTCCTCATCGTTAGACCAATGTCTCAGTGTCACCAAATCTATCTTCCTGTATACTTTAGTTTCTTTATGATGAAATGTCTAATCTTAAATGAGAACAAAGTTCCAGAGGCTCACACTCTATATATATATATATAAATATATATATTCAAATTTCAATTCACTTAAATCAGTCTAAAAGAACAAGAAGCAGCTGCAGTCTTTGTGAAATAAGCCACATTAACAATTCTTCTTCAAAAAACAGTTCTAATTAGAGTATTATATTCAGCAACTTGAGCATGAAAATTATTAGGTTCATAGTATGTAGTTGAAAAAAGAGAGTAAAATTCCAATCCATTAGATTTAACATTAAACGTGTTAAATCCTTACCTTGAATGCTTTAAATGGGTTGAAATTAATTTCCGTTAAGTTAATACGTTATTCCTTTAGATTTAGATCGATGATCGTAAGATTTCTCTTCAGTGGCTGACCAAATCTTAATTGACTCTGAAGGGCTGTATAGATTTATGTTTCTAACTAGCTTTGGTATGTGCTGGTGTACCCGATGTTTTTGCAAAAGAAATTTTGGACGAGAGAAAATGCCGATATACATATGGTTATTTCATTCAAGATATGATGAATAACAGCATGTATGAAAGAAAGTGTTATTATTAATGACGATATAACTACAAAGGTGAACTCCAGAATTACTCTTGATTTACCCTGACACTTTTCTTAGCCATACAATATAAAAGCATGTTCTTCATATCCAAATAGAGATAGATGGGTTAATATATAATCAGTGGGACAAACAGCCAGAGACCAGTCAGTACTGATGAAGAAAGTTAAGTCTTAATAGAAAACAATACTGCTTTCCCGTTACTTGCCTGTAGTAACTCATTGGTTTCAAGGATTAGATTCTGGTTCTTGAAGCTATGAATACTGGGTATGAACTTTATTGATCAAAACTAGTACAGATCCCGATACATTCCATTTGTATCTCAAAAGGTGATTCAGAAAGTGAGTAATTTACAGTATTACTAGTGAGTAATCAAAATATATCAGATTTGTGAGTAGCTCCTACTATAATATATCTGCTGTGATTGACCTGCACTACTACCCATTGTAATATTCAATTTATCGGAAATCTTGCTGTATTCATGTTATCTAAAACATTTAACTGTGCATTTTATGTCTGTTTACAGTCAACGTATGACAATTTATGAAGCTTTAAAACATCCTTGGCTTAATGAAGCAATTACAGATGATCAGCGTCGACGTATCCCAGCTTCACGGTATAAAGAATGTCAAAGACAAATGCATGAACGAATGGTAAGCAGGCATTATGCTTAACACGTATACAATATACAACTTAAACTAATCAGGGTGAATGCAAATGTGGTCGAAGTTTAGTGGTTCATCTATGTGCGTCGGTGGCACAGTGGTTAGGACTCTCGCCGACCATGCACATGATCCAAGGTTCGATCCCCTGCCGATTGACACCTGATATCTATGGTCGGCCTGCAAAATTTGGGCTACCGATATTACATGCTGAAAATTCCATAACTGTACAAAAAAATACGGTGTGAAATCAAGCTGAAATAAAAAAAGACAGATAGTATGTAGGTACTTCAAAGGATGACGGTTGAAGTATGTCTTTTTATTTCAGTGTAAAAATGTGTGTAGTTGCTGTGAGATGATATGTAGAGTGAAAATCTTTGGAACACTGTGACAGAAGAGTAGGAGCTTTTATTCTGATTGAAAAATTACTACTGGTAATGGTGTTACTAATTGAAACTATAATAAAATCAACGCATGGGAAGGGTAAACATGTTGCGTAACATAAGAACTTAAAAAAATGAAAACTGCAGAGCAGAAGAAGATGCGAAACGTGTAGTTTTAACACCGTTGTCAACTAAAATAGGGATATTCCTATTACATGTTGATACAAGTGGTTTTATAGTATATGGAACTGTATTTTAAATCATTCGTGTAAATAGCTTTTTTAACCATTCAAAGTGTTACTGATTAAAAGAGGTAAAAAGTCGATATGCAACCCACGAAAATGGTCTCTAAAATAAAAAAACAACAACTTTTATTACAATTTTGACCAAGTGGGAAAATGCTTGTTAGAGAAAATCAGCAACTGGACCACGTAACTTAGACTATAAAAAGAACGAAACTGGTAGTTCAGTAGTGAAGGTTTTTCGAACGTCTTTCTTCATTAGTGTACTGAACCAGTGACTCGTAAGCGGAATGCTGCTAAAATAGTCGCATCTAGAACGCAAAGATTACTTTATGAGATCAAAGTTTTAAGCCACTTACTAGTAAAATATATTTACTTCCAGCTTAGCAGTATAAAGGAATACACAAGTCCTAAAATCCATATATTCTTGATCAGGCTGATACAATAATAATAGCTTTATTCCGGATAGACTGTTAACGCAGTGCACAGAATTTTCAGCTCAATGTATTCCATAATGTCTTTCCTTCATCCAGGATCGTTGACTAAAACAGCAATATGTAGTATATCATGTAACACAATGATGTTCAATCTGAGGTACTGACTAATCGTTTATGATATTTTCCCTGTTCGAAATATGTGCACTAGTAGATTTAAAACCATTTAAAAATGCGCGCGAACTTTTAAAGCCATATCGTGCATTGGCAGAAGTTGGAATTCATGGACCATTAGATTGGTTCCCACTGTCTTAATGGTCTACGAGTGCGCCTTGTAACCAGAACGTCCTAAGTTAGAGCCACAGTGGGGGCGTACTGATGAAGAGTCCTGGACTAGGACAAAACAACTATCTGACAGTACTCCCAGGTTTTCCAATGGTTCTCCATCCGATGTCAGTTCATGATGAAATCCTGAAATAAAACCATAAGAGTTAGAGAATGCACTATGTTGGAGGGATATTTTGGTAGCCTTAGACATTCAAGGAGGCTCAATAAACATCAGGAAACTAGGCATAGAAATATTATTCAACTTTTAGAATTCTTAGAAATTTAAACATGTCAACATGATACTTCTCAAGATGACGATTGGCAAAGATACATAAACTAATCAATTAGAAATTGGTTGGAAGATTTTATCATGAGCTGACATTAGTTACAGAACCGTTGGAAAACCTCCAGGGAGTACTGGACAGCTGTTTTATCTCAATAGTTTAGGACCCTTCAGCAGTACGCACCTACAATGCTGGGTTCGAACCCAGGACCCTCTGGTTTCAAAGCGAGCTAGTAGACCATGCAGCCACCGATGTCAGCTTCTCCAACCAATCAAACAAAAAGAAATCCCTACAAAACCAATACTTGACAGTTAGAAATTGTTTATATATGTGGATGAGTGTTTTGATATTGAATGGAAATCTGAATAAACCGTTAAAATAATCATTTAAAATACAACTTGAACTACAAATTCTGCCTACCAGTTATTGTGGTATATCATCAGTACAAAATACCAAGCCGCGTCATCCTGGAGAGAATCAAACAAGCCCTGGATGCAAAACCCCGACCGGAACAAGCTGGATTCAGGAGAAACAAGTCATGTATTGATCAAATCGCCACTCTACGGATCGTTATTGAACAAAGCTTGGAATGGTAGTCAGCTCTGTATCTCAAATTCACTGACTTTGGAAAGGCACCGGTAGCGTCAATCGTGAGGTGATTTGGTAACTACTTCGCTACTACAGGGTGCCACCAACAATTATACATCTCATTCAACAGTTGTACAACAATGCTGCATGCCAAGTAATCCACAACGGGAAACTTAAGGAAGCCTTCAAAGTGAGGATGGGAGGGAGGCAAGGCTGTCTACTATCACCAATGATCTTCCTGATTGCAGTAGACTGGATAATGCGACAGACGGCAGGCAATGAGAAAACAGGCATAAAATGGACTCACACAAAAAACGTGGAGGATCTGGACTTCGCCGATGATGGTATTTGTCTGATTTCCCACAAACTGAAAGATATGCAAGTGAAAAGTAACAAGTTCACAAAAGAAGCATCAAGGATAGGAAGGAGTTCAAGTGAACATAGAGAAAGCAGAGGTGATGAAGATTCCTGGCCAACACCAACAGCAACAACAACATCAACAGACAACAATCAGCCAGCATAAATGGGAGGAACCTGAAGGAAACAACCTCCTTCACCTACCTACCTACCTACCTGGGAAGCATCGTCTCAACTACAGGCGGGCGGAACTGACGAGGATATCAAAGCGAGAATCGGAAAAGCAAGACAAGCTTTCATTACTCTTAAGTCTGTGTGGAGGTCAATAGCACTCACCATCAAAAAGAAGACCCGGATTTTCAACTCCAATGTGAAGTCGGTGCTACTCAGTGCATGGATAAGAGATTTGCACTGCGCGTCATAAAGAGCATCTCAAACAAACTACAGACCTTCATTAACAGTTGTCTTCGCTCAATACTCAAGATCAGATGGCCGGCCAGGAAAGATAAGCAACACGGACCTCTGGCAATGAGCTAACCAACCCAGCAGGAACCGATTGTGAAACATATAGGCAGGAAGAAATGGAGATAGATTGGCCATACAATGAGGAAACCATTAAGTGACATCACTAGACAAGCCATTGCTCGAGTGGAACCCGACGGTATGGGAAGTGGCGAGTTGGTCGTCAATGCAAGGGTGACTTGGAGGAAGTCATGTGAGGAGGAGATGAAAGCATGTGGGCAGACTTGGAGCGGGGTGAAAAAGTTGGTAAAAAACCGAAGGCAATGGAGAGGCGCAGCTGAAGCCCTATGTTCCTCTAGGAATTAAAGGATATAATAATAATAATAATCAGTACAATGAATAATATCTACTCAAAAGTACCAGCTACTATTTGAAAAGGAAACTGAACAGAATAATTTCTCAATCTTTGTTGCTATATTGACTTATAAAATTAACAGTATTATTTATTTAAAACTGATTCTACTTCCCTATCATAATTTATGAAATTTCGTTCATATCTCTTACCAAAAGTGGTCTTCCAGTAGAGTTGAATACTTGTTTAAGTTGTTATGACGGTTGCTAATCCAGTCTGCGTAGTCTTTCTTTTTTTGTAAAGAAGCAAAGAAATATCATCATTTGAGTTAAGCATCTTAACACTGAGGTGTATTCTGTCCAGTGATATATGATTTGTATATTTGAATCCTATTGGCATAAAATCTCTTGATTTCGTGTCATTTTGGAGAGAACAGACCCAAAGCTTACGATGAACAGAGGAGATAGGCATCATAACGTAATCCTTTGATGACCCTTTAAAGTGTATCACTCTATCAAAGTCAAACGGTAATGTCTGAAGACTAAGGGGAGTACAGAATAAAATATCACCAACAGATATATATTTCTTATTCAACTTAATTTCTTTTACCTATTTAAACATGAATATGAATTCAGAATGCATTCTTTCACCATTTAGAAATCTATTAAAGATAAATATATTTTACTTGATACTTTTCCACTCAGGGTGATATATGGCAAAGGAGTCCAGCAATTGGTCATTTGGCAAATTATTCATCTATCCGTCAGAATAGACGAGACAAGTATCGTATACAAGAAACTAACTTTGGTAATTCTAATACTTTATTATTGATTTATTATTCCCTTAGGTTCCGAGTGGAACATCATAGCGGTTAAACAACACATATACACTTTCTTTTATTTTCTACCATCCTCTTCAGCTGGGTCCATAACTGCCCGAATTCTCTCATTACATCCTCACACAACCTCCTCCATGTCACCCTCACTCTGACGACCTACTCATCAGTTCCCATTTAGATTCCACTCGAGGGTCTGGTGCACGATGTCATTTGACGGTCTCCTCAACGTATGCCCAGTGCATCTCGACTTTTTCCTATATATTTCTTGAGCTATCGGAGTGCAATGCATTACAAAGACCAAAAAATAATGTTTCAATGATCCTGTTTATATATATACATAATTTATCAATGAGTACAACATAACTGTGAAGTTGAATGATGGAAATTAAAGCAGTTTGACTGATCAGTCAGAATTTTAGTAACTAAAACTCATCATTGAATTGAATTTTTGATTTTCCCGTCGATTAATTGGACCGAAGTGCTCGGTCTCAGGTTGACATGTCGGCTTCTTGTACAGATGCTTCTACGATGTCTGGGGATTGAGTTAGTATTTAATTGGTGGATGGTGACTAGCAGTGGAATCCAGGATGTGCATTTCTTCCTATTTGGGACTCGTCAGCTGGATGTACCTGCATTTCTCAGTGAGTGATGGCGTTCCCACCGAGGCTCGAACCCAGTACCCATAGTTTCAAACGCCAAAGGGTTCGAGCCTCGGTGGGAACGTCATCACTCACTGAGAAATGCAGGTACATCCAGCTGATGAGTCCCAAATAGGACGAAATGCGCATCCTGGATTCCACTGCTAGTCACCATCCACCAATTAAATAAAACTCATCATTTTTGTTATAGACTTGCGTGTAAACAATGCTGAAGAGTCCCAGACTAGGACAAAATAATTATCCAGTGCTACTTGGATTTCAGTAGTTTTGTGACTGATTTAGGTTAGTGACTAAATCTACCTTAAGATTACTAATGTTACAAAAAGAGGCATGTACTTTTGTAAAACTGCAGCTCTCTCCTCCGTTCTTCTGTTTACATAAGAAGCATCTTTATTAAGGTGAAAAATAAGAAAGCATTATGTGCCACCTGCGGTGCGTCGGTGGAACAGCGCTAGGATGCTCGCCAACCATGCATATGGTCGGGGGTTCGATCCCTGGTGGACGCACTGCAAACCTCACTAAAACAGTAGTAAGACTGGTAAAGAGGGAGGGTTGGGCATGAGGTTAGCAACGTCATCTTGTAAAAAATAAACACCACTGCTGCCGAAACTTCAAGTCTCTAGCTTGAAGCCCTATATTCCACTGGGAGCGTAAAGGAATTTAAAAATAATGTACCACCTGCAACCTAGAGTATGTGGATGTTATCATAATAATTAATCATTGAGCTCTGTAATTATTTATTGAAAAGTATATATTTCCGAATTCCCATTTACGCATTTAGAATAAACAACAGATTGAGCGAAGAAATATATTCCTTTTTAATTAGTTCCTCATCATCGGCTGGCTCACCACTAATATAGTTTTTTACTTTAAATAATTTTACCAATCAAGTGGCTATTTTAGTTAATCAGTTTTAGGTATTCGGGGGGGAGGGTGACGGTGAGATTAAGAGGTTAAAAGCCATCAAAACAACTAACTATTAAGTGTTAGTAACAAGATATCTAAGTTTTGAAGGAGATGTTAAAAAATCCGACGATGAACTTGGCTATTCTGAAAACCTCCCATCTTGGTTTGGCAAAGATCTGAATAAAGCTGCTATACTCAGCTCAATACTAGCTCATCTCGTTTCTAATGGATATCAAGTCGACTCTAACAAAGCTTTTAAAGTTACTTATCGTATATCGCCCAACTTCTCACATGGTCTACGAGTATAACTTTTATATACAGCAGACGTGATTGGATTCCATCTGAACACGCCGAATCTGTGTGTTTAAAAGACATTTGCACAGTCCCTTTCTTTGCTATTCTTAAATACATAATAAGCATTAGGTTTTTAAAAACGCTTTTTTACCTCCCCTTGTAACTATCTTTTGACTTTGTTAACTTATTTGTATTTTACGCAATTTTTCTAAGCCATCCTATTCTTCTTAGTCATCACTGCTATTTCGCAAATTTCTCGATTATGTAATAACTTGTCGCTGACGCCTAAGAATCAACCTATCTTGAATTCCATAATTAATTTTCAACCCTCTTTTAAAACCTAGATAACTTGTTACTAACATCTGTTAGTTATTCGTTTTGATGACTTTTAACCTTTTAATTTCATCGTTCGCCCACCCCCTCCCGGGATACCTAGAACTGATAGACTAAAACAAACACCTGATTAGTAAAACATTTTGTTGTAAGAAACCATATATTAGTGTAGAGCTAGCTGATGTGATAAGGAACTAAGTGAAAAGGAATATATATATTTATAAGTCTTCATTTACTCACATTTTGTGTTTTCCTAAATTTGATTAGCTCACTATAATTTTGGTATCATTCTTCTTCATCACAGTGGCTGACTTTTGCTAGGCAGCTTTAAACTTTGTATTCGAAGATACCTATAAGAAAAGGATGATACACTGGCGATAAATTTAGGCATGTTGAATTAAATATCTCCGACAATGATAGCGAAAAAAAAGCAAAAGAATTCAAAAGCCACTTTAGGGTGTAAAACTCAATCGTTTCACACGTTTTTTTTTCATTATTTCTTTTGGTATTTTTTTTAGACCGTAAAGAAGCTGGCCCACGTTTCATCAAATGGCCTAGTAATCAACTGGTTGTCGAAGGTCAAAATGCTCAGTTCAACTGCCGGGTTGTGGCTCTTTCTGAACCAATTGTCACATGGTAAATTATTAATGAATGTGGTTTTATTATTCGTCATTCTGTAATTATTTTTCCCATAGGACTAAATTTCATAAAAATCTGTTAATTATTGGTGATCAATCCGCAAAAATACAACAAAGACACCTTATGAGTGTAAAATCAAGTCAGCAATAAGTCTAGTTTGGAAAGAGGCTACAGCCAGTTTTTAGGTCATGATGAGTTCCTGCGTCGGCTAGTTATATGTTTTCGTGAATTCGTTTTCCATTGAATTTTAAAGATTTTTCTGGATGTTTTGCTCGTTTTGCAGTGTGTAGGTCAGTTTTTGTCACTGGGTGCTACTATTTAGCTTATTTTTAGCCTGAAGTTCACAGTTATTATGTTGGTAGTCAAAGATTATTGTAAACCTGCACTCTTTGAGCTAATTAACGTATACTATGCCAATATAGTAACATAGACTATGCTAATAATAGATAGCAGTAAACTCCCCTACTGTTTTGCCATTGTTTGACAGTGAAACTGTGCGCTGATTTTTCAGCATGAGTGGTACTAAATCAAACCTACTGGGTTTGCTTATCAAAGTTGTTCCAACCCTCACAGGACAAATTAAGCATGGACTAGCGTTACTCCAGAGCGGAAAGTTTTGATTCAGCACGCAGCTGTCTTTTTAAGCACGACCTGTGTCATTTCAGAACATAGTGAGTAAATATGATCTTCAGTTACCATAAAAAGGCATTATCGAGGAATAGGTCAGAATAAATTTAGAATTGTTTTAAGCTTGGTGGTGCTGCGGTCTAAGTGATAAATCGTATTAATCACCGTTATTCAGGATATGCTATGAACCGGAAATCCTCACCTGAAAAACGTATGGATAAGACACAGATCGGTGTAATTTATAACTGACTCCAAATTGCTTTCATCACGAAATAATCAACCAAAGTATGCTTTAAACTGTCGCTCTCAGCCGTTTGAAGGGAAATTTACTTGATTTATGCTGACCTAGTATGCACAAATTCCAAAGGTCATTGAACTGACAATTTAAAAAAGTAGATTAGTTAATACACACATTTATCTATATGTACTAATTAAGGATACATTAAATTTTTAGAAATTGTAGTTAAATTTTATTCGCCTAGTAATAAAAAATGCATACATCCTATTTTGGACTTAAAATAAATGCATCGAAATTATTGTTGATTTATATTCAGTTACTAGACATTCTCACACATCTTAATGTACTTTAAACACCACCAATGCATCCAAATAGCGTGTGACTATCACACTACACTCATACCAAAAAAATTAACATGCCATTATATTATGGTAAGGTAAGCCCTAAATCATACTGACTGTAAAATTCCGTGTCAAAATAAAAAGATTACCGCTTTAACTTATATTTTAAACCAATAGGAAGCCAGCTAACCAACAGCCAATCAAAATCTGCCTATATCCATTTTCATATTTTAGTCACAGTAATTATGCTGTAATAGTCTCTGTAATAGAATCAGATCATTTGTTTTCTTTAAAAATTATTTCATATTCTTTTTGAGCATTCCAAGATAGGGCCATACATTATTTTGACACAATTAAACTGTCTATTATTGTATTATTATTATTCCCTTGGATTCCGAATGGGACACAGAGCTTCAACAGTACATCTCCATTTCACCCTGTTCTTTTCTGTCCTCTTCACCTGGCCTCACGATTGCCCATAGTCTCTCGTCTCTTATTTACACAACCTCCATCATGTCACACTGTGGAAGTCTAACTCATCGTATCCCATTCAGGTCCCACTTCAATTATGACTCGCCGCATGATGTGTTACTCAACAGCTCTTCAGCATTCGTCTGATCCATCTACATTTTCTCCTACATATTTTTGGGCAATAGGTTCTTGTTTCGTTTGTTCCTAGAGTTTCTTTTTGCTAATTCTTTTTGACTGGTTATTTGATCTTCAGTATGGAACAAGAGCAGATGTTGACAAAGGTCTGAAACCTGTTGGAAATGCTTTCCATGACGCACCAAGTTTCTAACCCATATAGATGTGACCACCTTAACACTAGTGTTGGAAATCCGAATCTGATTTCAGAGTGATGCTGATTTATCTTGCCTTTTCGATTCTGGTTTTGGCATCCTGATCCATGCTGTCACCTGTGGTTGAGACGATGCTGTCCAGATAAGTGAAGGAAGTAGCCCCTTTCACATTTCTCCCGTTGATATTGTCGTTGGTTGGTTACCTTCATCACCTCTGTCTTCTTCATATCTGTTTGAAATCCTGTCTTTTCTGCCTCTTCTGCTAATTTGTTGGTTTCCACCTGTAAGTCTTCTAGTTTATGTGACATTAGAAGTAAATAGTTCGCAAAATCCAGATCTTTTAAAGTATACTTGTCCGGCCAACGTACTTCTGTTTTCTTATGCCCCACAGTCTGCTGTATAATCCAGTCCAACCCAATCAGTAATATCCTCAGTAATGGTGTACAGATTTCTGTTACTCCTGTCTTCACTCAAAAAGCTTGGCTGAGTTTTCCACCGTGGATCACTTTACATGTGGCATCTTAATATTGCTGTTGAATGGGGTTGATAAAGATTTGGGATATCTCATAGTGTTGAAGTAGTTTCTAAATTACTTCATGGTCGACGGTACAGAAGGTATGTTTAAAGTCGTTGAAGTTCAGGTGGAGGTCTGGCTGCTATTCTATGTCCTGTTCGATGATGATGTGTAGAGCTGCAATTTAGTTCTCATATGATTTAGTTTTCCTGAATCTAGCTCGTTCCGGGCGTAGTTTTGCATCTAGAACATCTAATAGTCTTTCTAGGAATATGCAACCTAATATTTTGCTTGGCGCGGGCAAAAAGAGCATGGTATGCACCATTTCTTACAGACGCATTTCTTTAGTAGTTTGACAGGGTAGTCTTTCTTCCAATCGGTGGGTGCCTTTCTTTTCTTCCACACTTTTCAGTAGTGCAGTGAGCATATCAGCCGTGGTTCCTTGGTCAGTTTTCAGTGGTGCTGCCTTCCCTATTTTGGCTCTTCTTTCTCCCTAAAACAGCTGTACACGTTTCCTCAAACACCACTTTCAGAGAGTTTCAGTTATCTACCATCCTGATATCTTCAGTGGTGCTACTTAATGTCTCCAACTTTGCTCTGATGGCTGTAATGAAGGTATCTTATCTGTCTCCTGCATGTTTATCAAATAGAGTTTAATTTTTCGTTGCACTGTCAGGTAACAAAAATAACCCAAATACAGAAGAATATAGAAATTGAATAATAATTTTGAATACATTGTCATTACTGTGCAAAAGTAATAAAACTTACTGAGTGAGTTATTAGGAAGACAATTGAATGAATGCATTTCACAGGCGGTGGACAAGAGTTTTAGCTGTTCGATTAGACAAACGATGAAGTATGAGTTTGTGCAGCTGCATATTAGAGACTTATACATTACTCAACCTTCCACCTGATGTTTACTCTTTGAAATGTCAGGCTACTAATTTTGACTGCATAATATAAAGCAAGGTTGCTATTAGCACTGCTTAATATATTTTACAAACCAACACTTGAATATCGATCTGATTCCAAGTAGTGACTGGCCCTACTTAAGTAGGTTGTTACCTGGGTTCTAATGAGAAGTCATGATCAGTAGAGTATATCAGGTCGGGTGTGAGGACAAGTACTGGCTGATGAATTGGCAGAGGTTAGAATCCATGCACCATTAGATCGTAACCAGTGGCTTTTAATGGTTTACGAACTTGATCACCTTGCAACCAGGAGGTCTTATGTTTGAGCCTCAGTGGGTGCGAACTGGTGAAGAGTCAAAAACTAAGCCGAAACACTCGGCAGACAGTACTCCTAGGTTTTCCAATAATCCCCTAAGCGATGTCAGTTCATGATGAAATCCTGAGACGGATGAAATCCCTGCAAACCAATGCCTGAACATGAATATTGAATGACTTTGTGTGCCTTAGAGCTTTCCTGAATCTTCCTTATGTTATTCAGAGAACCAAGGGGGAGAATATCAATTATCAGTGCATTTTTAAAAAGGTCAGAGGATGGAAGCTCAGCTCATCTGATAAGAATAAAAACTGACACACGAAACATATTCTCAAGGGGATAATTTTTCAGTTCCGTTTAGTTATCGTTCGCTTTATTAGTTAGAAAATAGAGTTACAAGAAAATCTCACACTTTTATGCTTTTCTTTGCTAACTTAGTTGTTGTAGATTTCCTTAAAAATCTCTGTTATTTCATTGGTGGAAGGTAGAATATTTTTATTTCTTTGCATTCCAGACTTTTCAAACCTAACTACCTACTGAGTAATATATATAGTAGTATGAATAAATTTTATAAAATGCCAGAGGATGAAAAAAATAGTTTTCACAATCTGTTTGTGACTAGCATTGTTTAGCCAATTTATTTTTGAGTCAGTGCAAAGTTTCTTTTTCAAGTGGCACGTACTACTTGCACTACCCATATACTTGTCAATGAATTGCAGTTTATAAGCTCAATTCTGCTGACCACTGGGTACCTAAAAATCTTCACTTTACGTCACCTTATTTTCCTCAGTGCTCAGAAGTGAAGAAGGATATTTTGATCAGTTTGCCTTACATGTTATTTAGGAATTTGCTGCTGGAGAACTAAAAACATTTTTAACATCACTGAAAGGAACAAGAATCTAAGTGTTTATTAAACTATATAGAAAATCCAAATGTACCTAATGTAAATCAAAGGCTGACATCCTCTGCTGCAAAATATTAATAAACAACTGGTAACAAAGCCAGTAATAATTATTTTTCCTTAACGCTTTTATACAATTCTACCTCATGATTGCTTAAGGTGATGGAATACATCTTAAGTTGTGTTCAGAAAGTAATGAATGCCGACCTTCTACCTACTCTGGACTCCTGGACTTATTAAAAATGATTGGTTTTCCCATATGATTAAAATACTGGTAAACATTTTATTCCTGTCAACTGTACTAAATTTTATACAAGCGGAACTAGGAAATGCAATATTGTAGTATCTGACTTCTGACTATTTTGTTTACTAGTAATATGCTCATTGAAGCCTCTCAAAAGGTAACAAATTATAGAAAACTACTTTTTCCTTGAATAACTTGATTTAGAAGTATGGTTTTAATACCTTCTATGAATATCTCGATCCCTAAAAGTTTCCAAGGTCCCTTCATAGACTGTGCCTCATTTCACTTATCCTTTAGGTTAGAGCAGATCACCTTACTGATGTACTCCATAGTAGTAAACTTAAGTGTTAAACCGTTCATAAAATAAACCAGTCGGGATACAGTTTCCATTCAACTTAAGAGTTATAAACTGTGTGACTCTGAAATCACACAGAAAAGAGTAGAACTGGCTTCTATTGAAATCCTAACTACAGACTATCAGTAAAAAACCATTTTTATATTGTAAATTAGTGAACATAAAACTCATCTATACATCTTACACTGATTTGCAGTGTTTGAAGCCTTGGATCTAGGTTCCGTCCTTGCTAGCACTCGTCAACAAGGCGTATCTGCATAGTGGTCACGTCGCAAAGTTGACTGATGAAATTTAATCTGCACTAAACGAAGGATTAGAAGAATGGCATTAGTTAATATATAGTGTCTAATCAAAGTATCCCACAGGGTGTCTTTCGTGACACATAGTAGCTTAGTGGTAACTTCTGTGGTTGCAGCACTGGTTGACCTGGGTTGGAATCTGAGAAGGGTTCCCCCAAGACTGCAAATACTTCTTGCTAACGAGAGCCAGCAGGCACGAAACCTAGGTGCAAGGTTGACTATTGTATATTCTTGTGCATTTTGGTGGTAAATACTATCTACGTTGGACATTAGGTTTAAGTTCTTATTGTCGACTAGTCAAACTGAATCCTCTCATTCCTGTACCATATATCATAAACAACTTGATTAAAATGCTCGAAAAGTGAGAGTTCCAGTAGAGAAGATAGTAACAATGAGTAGATAAAGTTTTCTGTAAAAATCATTTTCTACATCATTTAAAAACTTTTATGTTACTTTTTCTAACTTTTGAAGGCATTTTGGTGATACACAATTAGCTCAAAGTGTAAAACATATGCAACGTTATGCTGGTCATGATTACTCTTTGAAAATCAATCGTGTACGCGTTGAAGATGGTGGACATTATACTGTACGCGCTGAAAATAGTTTCGGTCGACGTGATTTCCCTGTTTTGTTAACAGTTCAACCAGTTCAAGAAATTAGAGTTGGTAAGTCAGCTTCTCAGATAAATAAGAATGCATAAAAATTTATTTTCAAATATCATTATTATTATTACTATTGCATACTTTCCTTTAAATCACTTAAATATGCTGCTTTTGATGTTTTTCACTATTATAACCATACAGAACCATTACCTCCGAAACCACGTAAGAAGATTGAACCGCCTCCTGTTGAAATGTTCCATGAAGAAGAAACACCGCCACGTTTTGCTTTCCATCTACGTAATCGTTATATACAAGAAGGTGGAAGTGTTAAACTCACATGTTCTGTTGATGGTTTCCCTACACCAGAAATTAAATGGTTCAAGGTGAGAGAGAGAACATAACTATTTATCTTTATAAAGTAAATACTTCAGACTAAATATCTTAGGGGTGAAACTGTTTTAAAATATTTAAAATTATTATTTCAGCTTATCAAGTTTAACGTCGATTCCAGTTAATATATACCTTTTCACTTCTGAGATAATTATAATTCAGGTAGAAAATGTTACTTTCGTTATAATTTCCCCTGAAACCATCACTTTTGAGGTATTACTTAAAGTAGTTATTATGAGTAACCAAGATTATCTTGAAAGTCTTTCTCTTCTCATAAGCAATGGATGGTTTAGTTGGTCAAATAAGAATACTTTCCACATTCTGATTTCCAACCTAAAAAGCTTTATTTGTAGTACACCCGATGATGTAAATTTCAAACAGAACAATAATATCCTTCTATCTACTGCCAAAAAAGGAGACTTAAGTCAATGCAAGAACTGACAAGGCATTATGCTCCTGTGCATCTCAAGCAAAATACTAAGCCGCATCATCCTGGAGAGAATCAAACACACCATTCTGGATGAAAAACTTTGACCGGAACAGGTTGGATTCAACAAGAACAAGTCATGCATCGATCAAATCGCAATACTAGATATCATCATTGAACAGAGCTTAGAATGACAGTCAGCTCTGTATCTCAAATTCACTGACTTTGGAAAGGCACCGGTAGCGTCAATCGAGAGGTGATTTGGTAACTACTTCGCTACTACAGGGTGCCACCAACAATTATACATCTCATTCAACAGTTGTACAACAATGCTGCATGCCAAGTAATCCACAACGGGAAACTTACGGAATCCTTCGAAGTGAAGACAGGAGTAAGACAAGGCTGTCTACTATCACCAATGATCTTCCTGATTGCAGTAGACTGGATAATGCGACAAACATAGGGCAACGCAACGAGGATACAGGCATAAAATGGAGCCACACAAAAACTTGGAGGTCCGGATTTCGCCGGATATATATGTCTGATTTCCCACAAACTAGAAGATATGCAAATGAAAAGCAACAAGTTGGTAGAAGAAGCATCAAAGAGAGGACTTCAGGTGAACATAGAGAAAACAGAGGTGATGAAGACTCCTGGCCAACACCAACAGCAACAACAACAACAGATGACAGTCAGCATAAATAAGAGGAATCTGAGAGAGGCGATCTCTTTCACTTACCTAGATGCCTGGGAGGCATCGTTTCAACTACAGGCGGATGGAACTGATAAGGATATCAAAGAGAGGATCGACAAAGCAAGGCAAGCTTTCATTACTCTCAAGTCTTTATGGAGATCAACAGCATTCAGAATAAAAATGAAAATAAGATCCGGATTTCCAACTCCAACATGAAGTCAGTGCTACTATACGGATCAGAGACTTGGTGCGTCATGAAGGGCACTTCGAACAAACTACAGATCTTTATTATCAGCTGTCTTCGCTCAGTTCCACTCAAGATTAAATGGTCGGTCAGAAGAGATCAACGATAGGGAACTGTGGCAATGAACCAATCAACCCAACAGGAACCGACTGTGCAACAAATATGCAGGAGGAAATAGAGGTGGATTGGATTGTGGCTATACTCTGAGAAAACAAATCATCAAGTGACATCACATGCCAGTCCATCACTCGAGTGGAACCCGACTGAATGGGAAGCGGCGAGTTGGTCGTCAGTACAAGAGTGACATAGAAAAGGTCATGTGAAGAGGAGATGAAAGTATGTTGGCAGACATGGAGCCGGGTGAAAACGTTGGCAGATAAATGAACGAAATAGAGACGTGCAGCTGAAGCTTTATGTTCCTCTAGGAACTAAAGGAAACTATAATAATGCAATACTTTTTATTCAAAATCATAGTTTTGTTGTCAGAAATGTAGTAAATTAAGGCCCAATCTAGGATCATGAAGAGATTTTTTACTATATATATTAAAAGCTATTTTCAAGGATTGCTATATTTATCTCATTCTAAATCAATTGTACATCTACAACAAATATTAGGCGGGTCCTATTACTTGCTCTTCGATTTTATTCTGTTAATAAAAAAGGAAGTATATATTTGGAGTAATTCCTTTCTGTACTGTCCTTAGTATAGGGTGAAGTGTACTTTTGTTAGTTATTCTAAGTAATGGGAGATTCAGTAGTGTAGTATCACTTAGCCTAAGCAATATAATTATTTAATTAGTGAAATAATTCTCATTATCATAATGAGAAATTTTTTAGAAGGTTTAGTTATCACGTGATGAGTTATTACTCCCATTGAACATGAGATGAATTAGGCAGTCTGTGGTCACTAGTAAATAGTATTAGTATTGTTAAACATAAATAATTACTACGAATTATCATATATAATTTATTATCCATGAACGTATTCAGGGTTGAGAGTTTTTTCTCACATTAAGAACAAACGGACAAAAGATGTGCCTTGTGTACTTTATGATATGAGAAAAATAAATGCTCACATCGGCTAGAGTGTTGAAGGTTTATTGGTTTTTGGGCTCATTTACATTTCCCGTTGACTGATTATTTTGTACGGACATAATCTGTCTCTGTTGACATTCTGGTTCCTAGTGAGGGGACGCTTTGGTGGTATCTAAGGATTACTGTGAAGTTGTTTCTGTTGATGATGACAAGCAGTGAAATCCAGACTGAATATTTAGTCCTGTTTAAGACTTGCCAACTGGATTCTCAAGGAGTGGTGATGTTACCACTGAGGCTACAACCGTGGATACATCATTTCAAACATCAAAGCATTATTCACCCACTTGGCGTCGAGAAGCTTGATCTAAGAATGTCTGCAACACAAATTAAATCTTGTGTTCAAACGGTCAGTTTAGTGTCTGTCGAATATAGTATTTATTTGGCAGTCTTTGTATTTTAAGCTTTTGTCTGTCTTTTACGGGAATAACACTGAATATTAGGACTAGTGTCTTGACTTCACCATCATCTGAATAGTCTAGAAATTTGAAAAAAAAACTAAAATGGACATGGTTCCTTCCATAGATAATTAAAAGGCATACTTTCGACATTGATTAGTTACTCAGCGTTGGTGGTAATTGAAGTCTGTCAGTCAAGTTGGCAATATGGTCACGAAGCTAAATAACTCTCCACCATGGCTAACACTGAACTGATGTTAGCTGGTTAGAGTTAATTGGTGGAACATCCTGAACCATGCCTTCGTTCTTGCTAGAACCTGCCAACAAGATGTGTCTGTCCTCTTGAAGGAAGGAACTAATATCCTCTTGGAGCCTAGACTACTCATTGGTAGCGTCTGTGAGAATAGCCTTGGGTGACCTAAGTTCAGGTCTAGAAGGATATGTTGGATCCAAGCCTCAAGAGAACATAATTTCATACGAGGTTGCTGATATATCTTGTCAAGCAGTCATAAAAAGTAGCAGGTCAAGGTACAGAACTTCATTCGGCTTCCTTCTAACCTATTGATCGCTGTCATTCATCCATAGTAATTCACTACACTACAGTGTCTGACTGACTAGTTGAATAATACTCTCATACTGAGACAATACAAAGAAGACAGACTGAGAAGGCGAGATTGGCTCTTTCATGAAGAAGACAAATGACCAGAAATTACAGCTGTTTGTCTGATAATAAGGCATTAGCGGTAAATTAAAAGTTTAATATATAAAATATGTATTATTACCACTCAGTAACGTGCTGATAGAAATCTAGTGATACTACCTTTAAACGTAGGTTAAAGCCAAGTGTTTAGTTTACAGCTTACATAGAAAACACGGACAAATAATATATTTTCTCTGCATCTTAACGCTATTAAATTTGTTTCACGTGTTACAGAATTTGCAGAGTGGATCTGTCTATATGCCCATAGAGACTTGAAAACATATCCTTAAACAAACGGATCACTTTGGTCTGATAAAGTAAACGATTGAAAATTACAGATAAAAATAGCATTCACTACAGGATTTCATTATGAGCTGACATCGGTTAAAGGATCCTTGGGAAACCTGGGAGTACCGGAAAGCTATTTTTACTCCGTCTTAGTTTTGGACTCTTCATCAGTACGCACCTACACCACGGGGTTCGAATCCAGGACCTTCTGGTTACAAGGCCAACGAGCTCGTAAACCGTTAAGCCACTAGGACCCGGTGGATGAATTCCAACTTCTGCCAATTCACGACATAGTGCTACCGCTAGCTAATGTATTCGGCGAGTATTTGTCCCAAGTTTTCCAATGGTTCTCTAACCGATGTCAGCTCATGATGAAATTCTTTAGCCAATCAATCAAATCTCTACAAATCAATACTAGAAAAATAGCATTCAGTATTCACAGCATAAAAGTTTTTCTGTTCCATCAGTTTAGAGCATGGTGTTCTAATATTTTAGTGTACATCGTAACAAAGCATAACGGGAGTAGTCATTCAGGCAATAGCATGAATATATCACTTTTAAATGAAATAACAAATACTGAGACCTTGTCTATTGTGAATGAAAACTCGCCAGTGTTTTACTAGCGAAATAAACTTCAGCTGGCTCTATAATTTGAAAAATGCCTGATACATCATCACTTGATGACTAGTTGTAACCAAAAATCAAGTTCCATCATAGAGGTATATGCACCACTACATGCAAACGACAAATAACAAGTCAGTTGTACAAAGACTGCGGCATTTGTATGCCCCCTGTTATATGCTTACTTTTTTCTCTAGTAAACTGAAATGTGATATGAATTATTAAAATATAGATACATACCTATGGAGTCAGAAAAAAGGATTATTTCTGTAAAGTGATTAGTTTTCTTCTGACATCTTCAAGGAAAGATCATGTTCCCTAAAAACTTAGTTGATTTCACACTACTTGTGAGTAGTTAAAACAAATATGAGCAGTTTAAAGTAGTTATTTTTAAGTGTACACTTTACTTATGTAAAAGTTATATTTGTAAAATTTCAGCTAAACTGAAATAGATAATACCAACGTTTCGTTTAGAAAACTGGTCTGAATTTTAGGGAAATTAATAAAAGTTAATTTCGCTGAGATTTTA